GTTGATCGAGGGTTAAGTCTGTTTTACTTTCAAATTTTCATAACTTATAGGAATGGAAATCATCATGATAATTGGATAAGTGATAATCTCTACTTTATGATTCTTTAAACATAGTTAACGTTGTTCATAAGTGAGTGAAACACCTAACTGCAATCGTGTGACTACCCACATTCAAACTAACTTCCATCAACCTACAATAATGGGGTCACCTAATAAAGAAATCTGCGTGGTCTTAGCGGTCCAAGCTATCCAGAAAGACCCAAGTTTAAAGCATACGGACTGCTGCAAAGGTCTACGAAGTCAGCCTAGCAACGCTAAGACGCCGAGTTAAGGAGAGAGCTTCCCGACGCGATAGTACGCCCAATTCGCGAAAGCTCACGGAATTCGAGGAGAATACAATTATTGAATATGTCCTCGACCTAGATGCGCGATCATTTCCTCCCCGGCTTTGCGATGTGGAAGATATGGCCAATCGACTACTTGCCGACCGCGACGCGCCTCCAGTCGGCAAGTGCTGGGCCACGAACTTTGTCAAGCGACAACCAGAGATCAAGACGCGTTTTACGCGTAGATATGACTATCAAGGGGCCTAATGCGAAGATCCGAATATCATTTGGGGCTGGTTTCAGCTTGTGCGGAATACAATCGCGAAATATGGTATCTGTGAAGGGTTCTAATAGTGTGAATTACAGCTATATAGTCCTCATGCGTTTTACATTCGAGCTGAGGAAAGAAGAAAGAAAGAAAGAGAAAGGGACAGAAAATCCTGCGACAAAATAGACTAAGTCGTCACTAGAGCAACAGTGCTCAGACCAGCAAGAGGACAAGGCACTGCCTTGTCCAGCAGGGCCTGGCCCGTTACAGTATCCAGGGGTCAGATATCTATAACTTTGATGAGACTGGGTTTATGATGGGTATTATCTCAACTGGGATGGTCGTTACGAGTGCTGAACGACGTGGAAGACCAAAAATGGCCCAACAAGGAAATAGGGAATGGGCTACTGTGATCCAGGGCGTTAATTCCCAAGGGTGGGCGACCCCGCCGTTTATCATTATTACATCACTATCAAGTCTGCGCTGGACAATAGTCTATCCCTTTCCTGGAGTAGCAGCTCCCCCTCCCTCTCCATTTTCTCGATGTACATCCTAGCCATATCCAAAACCTCGCCCTTGCTGATACTATTATCACTGCAAACCCTGCCTCCTCTGGTATCTCCATTTCCTCCGGTATCTCTGCCCCCGGTGTCATCGGATGCTTCAGTAGTGTGAGCCACTATAGATTTCCGGTCAAGGTCAGCAGGTAGCACGGTGAGCAGGCTCATGTACTGCATGTTCAGTCTCTCGCGATACTGCTTCTCGACCTGGTTGTGAGAATCTAGAGCAAGTCGTCGCTGATGCGTACACTCTTTGGGTGATGATCGCAAAGATGCTTCCCGGGTTTTCTTTCGGGATCTCTTTTTAGGCTTCCTTGAGGCAGTCCGTAGTTGAAGACCACTGGTGTGTCCGCCGTCATTAATGTCGCTATTTGCCGGGTTGCCAAGCGGCTGTTCCGCGATCGCCGCTTTCGCGGACTTCTTTCTTTTATTTTCTTGGGGTTTCAGAGTGTAGGTAGATAATAAGTCTTTCCCTGTAGTTGTTGAAGGTGTTGCAGAAGGCGTACGACTGTCAGTTTTACCCCAGAAGTTGGGAACAGGTAGTATATCCCCTTTATCATTGAGGTTAGCCAATGTGCAGAATGACTCAAAAATGACTTACAGGAAGCATTAACGACCTCAAAATCGAAGATAAGCGGTATCGCAAACGGTGATATAGAAGAAATCGGTGTATTAATTGACCAGGGATCCGTCGAATCAGTCATAGAGGGTGATATCCAGAACTGATCGTGCCAGTCTCCAGGCGCTTCTATAAATGGAGGGGTCAGATTAGTAAATTCGCCATCAGTGCTATTCCGGAGTGGGGAATGGATCCCGGTGCTCGGGTATGCACTTCCATCAAAAATTTGATGAATGTCGGATATCGGAATCTTAAGCAAATAAGCATTAGTAGACTAAATACTAGCTAGTATGAATGCAGAATTTGGGGTTTCTCCTTGCATACACCTTTGAATACGACCCCTCTCGGAATAATCGCATATGTCAGTTATCATGTTATCAAGGGGCTGGACGAGCGAGTATGTCGGACAGCTAGGAGCAGGGGCAGTCATATTGCCAATCCTCTCTAAACCCACCTATATCTGGACATCGATAACTGGAATAGAATTGCTACTAGAATAAATCAAGTCAGCTTACCTCGTCCATTTTATTCTCAAGCCTACAGTCGTTAGCAGTAGTTGTGGCAAGGGACATATTGACTCAAAATACTAGTCTTCGAGGCTGAAAGCTGGTACAAAAAGTCTTGTGAATCTGGTGACGGCATTTGCAGGCAGCCAAATCTCAGTAAAGAAGCACCAGGAAAAGCCCTCCCATAATGTTGGCTTCGCTGACCTCTTAATCACTGGTGGGCGATCGCCGATCCAAGAGATTTTATCCACTACGCCCGAATTCTAAGGGATTTCCCGGTGATCTGCCGGATCTGGTGATTCGCCGGACTTACACCTACTTGCATTCCAGACATCAATCTATAATAGCTCCACAGCCGCAGTCCCAAATCTTCCAAAATTAAACACATAATGAAAATGCAACTATAAGATATGTCTCAGTCTATTTCGCAGTCATCAAGCCATCGTGGTCGCTTGCTATTCCGCTGCGGCCGCCCGGTACCCCGAAATGCGACTACCATCTCCCGATCACTCTCAACAGCTAGACAGGGTCTTTTCGGACGAGCGGTACGGATTGGAGTGGTCGCTGCCTTCCCTTTTCGGTTGTCTTTTGGTAGATCTAGGGCCTGTGATGCTACCGGCGGCTCTGGTATGAGTGGAAGAGCGACGATTATCTCGTCTCGAACGTCCGGACTCTTCTCGCGGCCTTCAGAAGCCACCCGTCGTTCATGTTGCATTTCATGTGCCATTTCCAGATTGCGACGCTTAAGTTCTTGTCGAATCTGTCGATTGGTCTCCTTCTCTTGCTGCCTGGCCTCCCTTACCTGCCGTTTTCTCTCTATTTCCGCCTCTCGTTGCCTCCTCTTCTCCAGAGCGAGAGCTTTTTGCTCCGCCGCCTTCTGCTGTCGCTGAGCCTTTTGCGATTCCTTCTGCAGAACCTCCTCTTTCTTTTGGGCGTCCATCGCCGCTTTCTTTAGGCGGGCTTGAGCGACTTTTGCTGGGCTAAACACCTGAGCTGAATTTGGATCTGTACGATCAAAGAGCAGATCTTTCAGAGCTTTACCGCGCTGTCTGCGCTTCTTTTCTTGGCTAATTGTCTCGCGGAGTCCTTGATTCTCATATCGAAGCAGTTCAACCTCAGATTGCAGGCTTTCGAGGGTGTTCTTCAGCTTTCGGCTGTTGCGGTCAGCATCGATAGAGGATTTGTCGACTACTTTGTCAATAAGTCGGCGTAAATCTCGGGCCGTAGGTTGCTGAAGGGCTAGTGATTCTGCCGAGTCGCTACCCGTATTCGAATCATCATCTTTTTTCTCAGTGATCTGCGATAGGACCACTTCTGGGTCAAAAGGCAGGAGACCAGTCCGTTTCCACCCACTCGCAATGTTCTCGGAAGAGAAGGAAGTCTCAAATGCGTTCCAAAATAAAGTCCAGAACTCACGTTTCGATAGGCCAATAAGGCCTTGTGTTTTTGCTGTCCACTGGATAAGCTGATTTGAGTATGCGGTCGAAAGGGGGCTGAATAGCGACACGTCCAAGGGTTGCAGCCGATGCGTGGAATGGGGGGGAAACACCGCAACGATAATCCGGTGCTGGTCACACCACTCCAGAAAGTCCATATTAACATGGCTAGAGTGGCCGTCGGTAATGAGAAGGCGATAATCACGACCGTTTCGAGCTTTTGCCTTAGTAAAGCGATCGAAAACACCGACGAGCCACTCTTTTCCAAGCTCGTGATTTGTCCACCCCGTTTCTGAGGTGGTAAAGAAGGCTGATTGATGTTCTGGGTCAAATTCATTGAGCCAAGAGTCCTGGACTTGTCCTGGTTTGCCTTGATAGATGAGGAATGGGGGCAGCGATGTCATGTCCTGGCTGATGCACGCCAGGAACGTAATCCAAGATCGATTACCATCTTGCGACGCACCGAGCAATTTGCCTTGCTTTTTGATGTTAATGGAAAATACTCTCTTCGTTCAATTGATCACACCCAAGAGAAATCCTTTCTCATCCGCGTTATACGTGTTGCAGGGTAGGATGTTGTATTTCTCGATTTTTGTGCGGATCTTCCACTGTCAGTTGTGAAAGGGAAGCTTCGTGCATTGGCTTACAAGCTCAAAATAAGCCCTATACCTAGAGGCATTATCGGCTCTCTTTCGCGCGATGTCCAACCCGTCGAACCATATACAACCTAACTCATCACGATTGCGTCGAACGAAGCTGTACGGCCAGTCCTTTCCGACCTCGATTTTGGCGATATCCTGGGCGAAGTTCTTTATCATAGGTAAGGTAGGGGGAATGCCACGCGATGAAAGCTTATGAATATAAGCGATAAGATCCCGTTCTTGTTGTTTTGACAGACGTGACTTATACAAACTGTCGGCATCTCGTCTTGACCGCTGTTTGCCTTGATGTCGGCGTCGCAAGGTCGTCTCGTCGCAATTGAAACGCCGTGCAGTCTCAGCATAATTAACTGATTCCGACGATTTCAGGAAATCAAGGGCCTCATCAATCGGCGCCATGGTTGTTGAGTAATTGTCGATTGATGTTGAGTGTGTGAAGTGGCGGTGATCCGGCGGATCACCAGATCCGGCAGATCACCGGGAAATCCCTTATGTGCTAGAACTGTTACCTGGCCCGGGCGTTTTTTTGTGCACCTTGCTGCCTCAGGCATAAATCCTGTATCCAACCCATTGTCTACTACTTCGTACACCTCCCGAATCTTAGAGTCATTACGGAGTGCTAGATGCATAATTGGATCTTCTGTCATTTTAACTATTTTTTTTATCCCTTGTACAGACATCCCTTATACAGACATCGCACCCGCGACACCACCAAAAAGTTTGGCAGTCCCGTCACACTTCGCCACACCCAGCCACTTCGAGCTTGGCATAAATCTTGCTGTCGCCCCATTCATGCATGAAGCTCAAGCATGATGCTTTATGCCGACGTGGGATGCTTGGCCGCCGACAAACACAGATCATTGCTGTTAATGTTTGCTGGCAACCCCGTCTTCAACGAGTTGCTCATTGGGTAGCACGATTGCGCGATCCAACTCGTAGGGAAGACCGCGGTGACGGCCACGGATCATCATGGCGCAAATCACGAGTTTGCTAAATGTCGAGAACTTGCCACTCAGTGACGCCGAGATAGTTGGGTACCCAAGACTAAGACCGACGTTGCCACTGCGGGAGAATCATGGTTAGATCAGTTCTCCAGAGGGAGGGATAGACAGAGTGCATACTAGGCCGAGACTACTTCAAAGAAGATAGGGAAGACAGCAAACGCCTAATTGTGGTTAGCACTGGAACGTTCAAAAGGCGAAGTGTACGAACTGGATCATCATCATCCATAATGTGGCCCGCCTCAGCGATGCAGATGCAGAATATCCCAAGGAATATATACCACAAGTCAAAGCTGAGCTGATTCCGGATATGACTCAAGAGATAGGCCTTGCCTGTGTCTTCGTCGCACGGCTTCTCGGACTCATAGATGCCAAGCCCCCTTTCTTCGTACGTATTCGAGCTGCGGATGGCGAGAGCAATAGGAAAGACGGAGATATACATCATGACCAGGAGACTTATCTGGACAGCCGGGTTGACATCCGCCAAATTGAAGCTGGCCGTGCCAGTGTGTCGCGAAGATACCGCCTGGAAGATAGCGGCGGCCACGCGGAGGCCTGGTGATAGATTTGCAACAGCTTCGTTTTTCAAGTCCAAAACGATGATGAGTAGCGTGTCGACGAAGTTGAGCACTACCAAGATTCCACATAGAGCCCAGGTCGTACCGCTAGGGAACAGCAGCGTGTAGCAGCGTCGAGGATGGTTGAGGAGAAAGGATAGAGGCTCTTGGACGGATGAGTTTCTCGGCATAGTCTTGGACATTGTCCAGATAACGAGACGAAGGAAGACGGGATAGAATGTATTCCCAGCAAGCGCAATAAAGCTCATAGAGAGCATCGGCCAGACTGCATCATTGAAATGGATCATTGAATCTGGGGTCAGAGTGAAGCCGAGATTGTCAAGCATGGTCTGGGCGGAGTAAAAAGCCCTGGATTTTAACATCAGTAAGGTTCCCTTCTCTCGGTATTCTTTCGGTAACATTTAAGCACTCACCACCAGATCTTATCCTGTCCACACTCATTCAAATAATCGCGATACTTGGGGTTGGCATACTGGATCCAGCCAACCAGGCAGATAGCACCGAAAAGATGAAGGCCAAAGAAGTAGCCTAGGGCAGTTAGACCAGGCTCCCCACCAAAAAGGCGACAACTAGATACTTACCAACAACAATCTTAAGGAGGAGCTTCAAGCTTCGATACTCGATCCCGCCAAGCTCCTCGCGATCCCGCGATGTCTGGTTGAGGAAATTCGAGTTCCTCCCCACCGTCACCTGACGGGAAAGCTGGGGAAAGTCATCGGTCGCATGTGCCGGTCGTTGCGTGGATACGTTTGAACGCTCCTTGCGCAACTCTCGGCCAAAGACAAACATGGAGCTGGCGACGGTTGCGACACGCTCGAGGGATCGAGCACTGCCCAGACGCGGTCCGTCGAGACGACGATGGCGCATTTGGCTTGTGGATGAGGTGCTAAGACCAGGGATCTCGTCGATGGAAAGATCTGGGACTGTTAATATCGGGGATGGAGTTGTCTGGGGAGTGAACGTACCATCGCGGCTAACACGGGGGTCCTTGAGCTCGACAATAGGTTGTCCTAGCGAGGGTAAGTAACCGCACATGACTATCTCAGGAATAAACTCCAACCTTGATCACGATCACGAGGGCCAGGGATGTAGAGCGTTGTTTCTCGGCGGGGATGATGGCCTGCGGCGGGATCGAAAGTGATACGCGGCTGAGGCTCAGACTCTGCCGCCTTCTCGTCATCGCGTCCGACATCACGAGTTTGCTCCGGAGGGGCATCCACACCACTTGTAGCTACCTGCGACGGAGGCTGCTCGCTCCGCTTGGGAGCATAGGAGTCATGGCCCGTCGCAATCGCCGACGTCCTCGAGTCCTCGGCGTCAGTCGTCGAGGTGTCTTTGGCAGCAAATTCGAGATCCTTGTGAATTTCATCACTCTGATGACGCGGTCCTCTTAGAAGATAGGGAGCTTCAACAACGTAGGAAATATTAATGGATGTGCGAGAGCTCGTCAGAACAAGGTGTCGGCTTACCGACTTCCTCGAGATGCTTCCTGAACCATATTAGTCGCACCACCACGACAACAATATTGATGAAGCCGAGGTTCGTGAGGATAGGGATGAAATAGATGTAGAGCTGCTGGTATGTCTTGAGGAGATTGACATCGACACTATCGAGAATTCCGCGTCAGTCAGTCTTTTGGGTGAAAGCCACAGGGCGGGTGCCATCCACTAACGTATTGAGTCCGGACTCGGTCGAGGCGCTTGCACCGAAGAAGTAGGCGTCGATAGCCTTCAGGTTGCCATAGGGGTAGAGGATCGGGATGGATAGCAACCCCATGAAAATGATGTATGCATCTGTTTTGGATCGGTTTGGTTAGCGGAAATTCTCCTCGGTCAACCGGCAGCAGGGGAGGGACGGCGAACAATGTAGCGTGACGAAGTTGAGAGAAGGTCGCCACATGATTCCGATAGTACAGCGGACAGGCCAGAGTACAGAACACAGAGCGCAAAGCAGCAGGATGCTTCTGTCATTATAGGTAGCTGCAAAGCACCCCGGTCAAATTGATAGCCTGATAAGTGTGTGTATTGTGTGTCGTCATCTAGGCTGTCCCCGCAGCAGTCAGGGGTAATATATGCGGCCCTGACCGCCTTCCTATTCGGGCTGCTCTCGGCAAGCCCTTGGTAACCGGGAGATCAGAGGCTAGGTCACCTGATCGCGTGCAAGGCTGTGTACATGATCCAATCTAACAGCTTCAGCGACTGCTCTGAGTGCTATGTCACAGGAGTACAGAACGGGCAGAAAACAAACTATTAGGTACAATCAATCATTCCCGGAGACCTGTTTTATTCCTCCCTACCTGCCTTAGCCGCAGCGTGAGGGAATTATTTTCCTGGCCCTCATCATCTCTCTGGGTCTGGACTCAGCACAGCCACCAAAGTCACGGGCGAGTCCTGCATCACCAGGGCGGATAGGGTGTTCTAACAGGGAATCGGTACCTGGCCAGCGCCAAGCCCAGTGTTTGTGACTAGCCATTGTCATCGGTTCGCTAAGCGTAAACGATCGAGAAACTCCGATGCCTGTGCGAAAGATGAGGTCATGGCCCCGCCACTTTAGTCCTGAAGCGGCTAGACTAGAGCTGTTACCGCATGCGGCCTTACTTCTTGAATTCTGTGGAACAAGTCACCAAAGAGCACAATTTCATCTCAAGGAGGCCGCCAGACGCGCGCCATTAACTGGCCGCCCCATCGGGATACTGTCAAAACCTATGCCCCTTTTGGATTGCATAAGAATGTGATGATTATGTTGTTACTAGCTAAAGCGGTGGTCAGGCGGTCTCGGGAGAGATCGGCTGTGTCGCTAGTTGCCTTACATTTTAGGCGTGAATTGAGACGCCGCTTGAACATGCCATGCGACACCCTGGTCCCACTAACAGATACTCATTGGAGTCGACGGGGTTTGGCCAATCGGCGGTGATTGAATTAATATGAGTCCGACCGTGACCCGTGTAGGCTTGGCAGAAGCTTGACAGAGCCCCTGCCGCCTCCATGGGTTCCAACGTGTGTGATCCATCTCACCACATGGTGCCTCGGTCTGAAGCAACAGTCTGCCGTTAAGAAGACTCTCTTTTAGCAAGTTGTTGGAAGATTTTGGCAGCCTGTGTTTGATTTGCTATTGCAAATGGTGATAAAGCTAGCGTGTTGACCCGGGGTCTACTCAGTTGATATCTGTAACGAAACATAAGTTCTTGGCGAAATTGGGGCTCGACAGAATTGCATTGTAGGAGAGAGCTTATCAATGCTACTTAAAGAGCATTGACATCCGATACGCAATTCTGCCGTCTTATCATTTTCACCGCCTATCGTAGTGGGTGATCTGAGAGGCGCCGGCGTGGTTCATCATTGTTCCGGAGTTGCCCCGGTTTTTTTTTGGATCCCAACAACATCAATTGAAACAAAGCAAAACTCGGCATCATCGACCAACTTAACATGATGGCGCCGCCCGCTCTTCCGCTCCATCGTCATCAATCATCTCTCGAAGGCATCATAGACTTTTCATCCCGTCAACCTTTGTCTGAGTCACATCGAGCCTCTGCTATCCGTCGGTTTTATCACGTCATCAATCATTTTGACAGCAAAGATGTGAAACGAGGTCAAGACCAATACGACAGAGTGAAGCTTGTTCGCTTTACTTACGAGTATTCCACCAATCAGGAGTCCAAAGACAACGTGTTGATCGCTGTGTTTGAGTTTTTGAAACTATCTGCATCATCAGAAGAGGATATCGACTTTGAAGATGCCACATACCGAAAGCAGCTTAAGGCTCATCTGTATAAGTTCGCAGACTACCTAGTGGACAACTTCTTTCTTCCACGTATTTCTTCCTTCACGGCGACATCATGTCCGATAGCTAACATTTCAGCAGTCAAAGCATCCACCAAAAAGACACCACAACCCACACCAGCATCTCACTCAGCTGTCATGAAAACCCAACGCCAGGGCCATATCTTTTCTGGGACACCGGAGCGTCTAGCCAATCTAAGAGGTGCTTGTCTGATACGAGACCGCTATCGCTGTGTCATCTCACGTAGATTCGACTCAGCTGAGGCCTTAAAGCGTTCCCGCCGACCAGGTGGTTGGAATGAGGCTCTTGACCAGGACGGCGCTCCTCTGCTTGGCCAAAAATTCGCCCGTCTAGAGGTCGCACACATTATTCCACATTCTCTCACACAACTTAATTCCTCTAGAGAGCTAGTACGTGTTCTTGGCTCGATACCCTGCGCTCGCTAACTCTCCTTTAGAACCCTTCGAAAGTTGCCGCACTAGCGATACTTAATATGTTTGACAGTGGTGTGGCGTTCTTGATCGAGGGAGTTGGCATTGATCGCCCAGGCAATGCTTTGACGCTGAGCCATGATCTTCACATGTCCTTTGGTGACTTCCAGGTCTATTTCGAGGCTGTCGATGGTCAGCCACACACGTATCGTATAGATACATTTCTGCCACCTGGACTAGAAGAAAATGTTCCAGTCACTCGGACACTTTACCTCACTGAGGATAGGACGATTGATCCACCATTACCTCGGCTCCTTGCTGTTCATCGTGCCATCGCGCATATCCTACATCTTTCTGCAGCCGGCGAGTACATTGATCACATACTCTGGGATGCGGATGAGTATGGCATTCGCTCGGATGGCTCAACTGAGCTGGATCGATTGGTGAAACTTCGGCTGGATGATTGGGCCCTTGGAAAAGTTCACGGTTGAATGAGCTTTTGAATGGATTCTTGAGACTTTGTAATGATTTATGATTTAGCTGGCGTGTTACACAGATGCCTGAATTAGCAAGCAGTTCGACCTGGACCGCGAACGCGCACCTCTCTGAACACAGAATTCAGAAAAGAAATACCCAATGGATAGCATGCCGGACACCGATATGGAAATTAGCTGCATCAGGAACCTGATCTGCTGTCTTTTTCTCCATGCTCAGAACAAGTGGATGAACCTGTAGCCCGGGCGGAAGTTAATATCTATAATAACGTACTCCACAAGCGAGTCGGACGCACAAGCGAGTCGGAGTCTTGTACATCTTGAAAAGTGTGTCCATGAAGTATCGGCCCTCAAGACCACCAGGGCCCGGGCGGAACTCGATCATGCAGGGAAAGTCGGCGAAGGGATGGCGGGGCGTCAAGCTGGCGGAGAGCTTGCGGGCGAGGGACTCAAGTTTGCCCGTCTCGGAGCTGAGTTCATCGCGGGCGATAGCGGCGAGGTCGGCATCTTGATCAGGGTCGTCGAGCATGGACGTCCGCTCGGCGACTGACGACTGGGAAGTTTCCCACTCTTTGAGGGCTTCGGCGACGCGGGAGAGTTCGCCGACACGCTTGGCTGTGGAGGAGTCGAAGGACGAGTTAAGGGTTTTCTGGAGGCCATCGTGTTCGGTGGTTAGGGACTGGGCGCGTTGGAGGAGGGCGGGTGCGAGGAGTGGTGAGGCATCTGGAGGATGGTCAGTTGCTTGGAGGGGTTGGTTGAGGAGAGGAGAGCGGACGTACCATTGGAGGCGAAGCGGACGTACCATTGGAGGCGAAGCGCACGAATTGGCGCATGTGAGAGCGTGTTAATGCTCGGGTGCAGCTTCGGCATATCCATGGTGCCGGGGACATGCTTGTGAGGAGGAGGGGAGGTGGTGATGTGGGTTTGGGAGATGGAGTTTGGTGGTGATGAATTTTTAGAGGCCATGATGCCAGGGTCTAACGGGGATACAGTTGGCGCGGGCCGAGAAGACACAATATGACAATCTAAGTACGCTATGGGCCAAGGTCAATTGATACAAGCAATGGATTATTTATATCTTTAACATTCTAGTCTATATCTTTTGTCTAGCTTCAGCTCTTTTAGCAGCATACAGCAAACACATGCCCAATATCATAGACGAACCGCCCCATCGCTGGGCCGCTAAATAGCTCCCTCCCATGGCCTGCATCAACTTTCCTGCCAACGGCGACCCCGTCAACGCGGCAAAACTAATAATCGTAAAGATCATACCAATTCTCGTCCCTGCTTTACTCAAATCTGGAGTCAGGCTCGCACAACACGAGGGGAACAAGCTTTGGACTGCTGCACCGAAATATCCAAAGACGCTGACCCAGACGAAACCACCTGTTAGTGTGTCCACCTGCGACCACATGTAGAGGCACAGCGCAGCGGAGAATATTGTAGGGATGAAGACATTTATGGCGCCGAAGTAGCGGTCGGCCAAGAAGGCTGATATCATTCTGCCTGGGACGCCCACAGCGTTGATGGCGATGAGCATGAGGAATGAGTCTGAGGCTGAACCGCCCAGTTTGTTGGTTGAGTACTGTCGAGCCTGGAAGTGTCAACTTACTGTCACAGATGGCCATTGAATGGAGAGTACTCACGTAATTGTACGAGATCCAAGTAGGCCACAAGGTAAAGAACATGGCCACCGCAAACAAGACATACGCCGGCTCCTTGAACGCAGCCCATTCAACAAGCGGCCCAGCTTTCCTCGCCTTCATTCTCGTCTTGGCGATTATCATAATAATCATGGACGCCACAGTAACTACCAACCCCATCACGCGCACCGTCCATAGGAATCCAATCTTGGGGAGAAGCTGCTGGGCGATCAACGGAAACAAAATTCCCCCTGTCGCAACTCAGTGTGTCCATCAACCAAGTAAAGCAAAATTTGGACCCTCTACTTGACTTGGTTGACGGGACCCCCTTGCTTTACTTGGTTTACTCGGTAGAGAGGCTTGCTTTGCTTGGTTGGTTGACGTTACTCGACTATTTTCCATTCCTTATGTGGCTCCGGTGGTAGATCTATGCTAACATACCGCTTCGAAGCAGGTGCTTTTGGCATTCAATCGCTGCTACAGTGTCCGAATTAAGCCGATTTCGTTCATCTGTGATGACCTTCTTTGTCTGTGAGAAAACGCGTTCACACTCGGCGCTCATTGCTGGGCAACTGAACAAGTCAAACGCCATCTTGGACAGGATGGGGTAGTCAGATGTATGGCGAACCCACCACTCCAGAGGATCCTCAACATCCAGATCAGCCTTATTAGTCCTGGCCATAAACTCATCCAGCTCAGATGTCAGTTTTGTCCGCTTCCCTCGTGTGGCTGACGCCGCAATGGCAGCAAGCCTCTGACGACGCTTACGAGCTTGCTGGAGTGGATCAAGCCTCGCCCTGTTATCAGCAACAGCCTCCTCCTCCTCCTCCTCCTCCTCCTGCTGCTGCTGCTGCTGTCGTGCTCCTTCTCTTAGGTCCACTTCCGCAGCTGCTTCCTCGTATTGTGCATAAGCCTCCCGCACCACTCTCTTCGCCCCGCTGATCCATTGCTTGTTGTGACTCCATTCAAGCTCGAAGTAGGTAAATTTGTTTGCCGGATGCAGGGCAACTGCACATTGGTATGCAGGCGTGGCATCTGTGAGGCCAAAATATTCTTCAAGCTTGATGCGAGCAGCATCAATAGCATGGGAATAGTATGTTGACACCACGTCAGGGTGATCATCTGCAAACTTCCCAGCCTCCTGGAGCTTCTTGAAAAGGACATCAAGCGACTCGATCGTCTCGTGGAGAGAGCCATGCGATCCTTCTAGGCCAGCTTTGTTTGCCCGGCCTTCCATGCGCTTTGTTAGGTCTTTGAAGGGCTTTAAGATATTGAGGAAGTGGCTCAGATCGGTCCAATCTTGTGGAGTAAGGATATCCTGTGAGATATCATATTCTCCGTTGGTATCGTTGTAGTTGAGGAAGAATAGATCAATTGCGTGGCGGAGTTTCAGAGCTCTTTCAATCATGGAATATACAGAGTTCCAGCGGATCCCGCCATCGACCAGGACTCTAGTGTAGAGGTTCTCGATGCTGCCTTCGTCGTACGCCTGCAGAACGTACTGTTTCAGTCTCTCTCGTCGCTGGTCGCTTCTGTTGATCCACGTACAGAAGTTGTGGAGCTTGCCGATAAAGCTTTGCTTCCTCCATATCTCAAACCGCTCGTCATCAGATGCGCCACGGAGCCGTTGCTCCAGCTTGCTAACGCCCTGCCCAAAGAGGAGAGCTTTGACGATGAGATTCAGCATATGGCCGACGCACCGAAGGCGACTCTGACGGTTGATTGCAGGGTACTGCTTTGCTAGCTCCTGAATGCATGTGTCATTATTGCTAGCGTTGTCCATCATAAAGAAGCCAATGACTGGGGAGATATCGTAGAAATCGATGACTGTTGACAGCACCTTGGCAATATTCTCGCCGGAGTGAGGGCCTTTCAGAGGGGGAAGATCCAGAAGAGCTGTCTGTAGCTTATGTCATTCATCCAAGAAGTGAGCAACAACAGCTAGATAGTTTGTCCCTTCTTCAGATGTCCACGCATCCGTCGAGACGTGAATCTTGCTTGTGGTGAGATGGAGCTTTTCTCTCAGCCAAACACGTCTCCCAGCATCACCAAACCATTTCTCTTTGACCCAGCTACTAAGAGCTGACGGGCTCTTGGGCAGAATCTTGTCGCTGTCTTCCAGATAGTTGGTAAAAATCTCATAGGTGCGTTGATGGGTTGCTTGACGGAAGGTGAGATCAAGATCAATCACCCAGTCGGTAAAATCGTCTTTAAATTGCAGGTCGTTGAACACGAAGCGCCGGCCTCCGAGGTATGATGTGAGATTTGTTGCGCCCTTGGCTATGCTGAAGGGGTTGCATTCTGCTGCCTTGTAGCCAAATTCTTCCAGCCTGTGCTGATGTTTCAGATGGTATATAATGCTGGTCGTGCTCTCACTGGCAAAGAGCGCAGTATTGTGATGGCCACTAACGTGGCAGTATTTGCAGAGCCAGTACTTATTGTCTCCGTCCGTTGTAAGCTGTGCGCCGTGTCTGTAGATTGCTGAGGGTTGGGATTTGGAGTTGATGGTGCGCTTATGAGGCTGACGATATCGGATGGATGGCACTGGCTTCCCATCGTAACGGATTTTGTCCCACTCGACAGGGAAATGGCATTGAGAAGCTTTTGGCACCTCTCTTTCGTGGGAAACGGTTGCGGGAGAAGCGCCATGAAGTGGCACACTGGTTGGAGTTGAGACCGAGCTAGGGGTACTGGACTGAGCAGAATCGATCGGCTCAGAGGGAGTCCTAGGGGGTGTGGACTTTCCGAACCTTCCCCGAGGCTGAAACATTGGATATGAAGGCATTACCATGCACCACCACCCTTTCGACAACCCCACCCTTTCGTCAGGCAAAAAAAAATTCCCCCACCAAAACTCAACACTTTCATTTACACGCAGCTTGACCAGAATAAAAGTTATTTGAATGCGGTTGCCTCTATCAAGTATAGAATTGATTGAAATTTCTGTTTCCGTTCTCATACTGTTCAGTGGGGCACGTGATATATGTGGGTAGTGGTAAGGAAGTATCACCACTTCAACCCCCAATTTCTTCACCGCTCCTTCTCAACATTACTCCTGCTAGTCTCTCACAACACGATCAAAATGCCTTCATCTCGGCCTCGTTGGAAATATACAGAAGACGACATGGCCGAGGCTATATTGGATGTCACCGATAATGGCTTTTCACCCCCTCAGGCGGCTCAGCGACGCGGCGTGCCTCGAACCACTCTAATCGACAGACTTAACGGCCAGACACCCGTAAAAGAGCAAATCCAGCCTGGTCAACGGTTATCCAAGAATCAAGAAGACATATTGGCTTTCTGGATTCTTCGTCAGGAGTCTCTGGGATACGCTCCGTCCCACAATCAGATTCGCGCTTGCGTCATGGGCCTGCTAAGACAACAAGGTGACCAACCGGAATTAGGACGCAACTGGGTGACCAGATTCATTGAGCGCCGCTCAGACCTTAAGACTAAGATGGGTAGACGCCAAGAAGCCAATAGGTTTGACTCTTTTACGCCTAAAGCGGTTCATTGGTACTTCGATATCAGGGAGGGCCAGTACGGCTGGATTCAGCCTGAGAACACTGTTAACGTTGACGAAGGAGGCATCATGATTGGTTTTGGCAAGCCTCTATTTCTATTTTCTCTATAGTTTTGAAATTTGACTAACTAGACTCTCTCCGTTAGGGTTGGATAGCCTGGTGGTCGGAAGCGCGAACCTGAAGCGGAAAGCTCTTCTCAAGGGACCACAAACTCGAAGTTGGACCTCGTTCATCGAAGCTATCACTGCTGACGGCCGCGCTTTAACTCCTGGCATAATATTCAAGGGGAAGGAACTCCAAAAACAGTGGTTTCTTGACGAATTCAAGAAGACAGCCGACTGGCATTACATAACTTCACCTAATGGGTGGACTGACGACCACATTGGTGTTGAATGGCTTGAAAGAGTCTATTTGCCTCAGACCAAGCCTAACGACGAGTCTGATGCCAGATTAATCATTCTAGACGGCCATGGGAGTCATGCAACGGTACTTCCTTTGTTTCCTTAACCAAAGGTTACTGCTAACCGAGCCAAGGATGAATGGATGGCTACGTGCTTTCTGAACAACGTTTACTGTTGCTACCTTCCAGCACATTGCTCTCATGGACTTCAGCCATTAGATAATGGAGTATTTAACGCCTCCAAAGCTGCATATCGTCGAGAGCTGGAAAAATTCGCTTCCCTGACCGATTCTGCTCCGATGGATAAGGTCAATTTCATCAGAGCCTACGCCAAGGCTCGTGAAGTGGGAATGACGAAGAAGAATATACTCTCCGGCTGGAGAGTTACTGGTAATTGGCCAATTTCACGAGCCAAAGCTCTGCGGCATCCAGAAATCCAAGAGGATAGGCGGAATGACAGCCCGAAAAGGACTCCGGAGCGGGCGCCATATTTCGGCTCGGATGATACACCAAAAACCAGCCGCCACATTCGTGATCTTGGGCTGAACAAAACACCAAAGACGCGGAGAGGGTATAGCGTGATAGCAAAAGGGTTTGAGGCGCAGCAGCAGACGTTAGCGGCTCATGCAATGAGAATTGCTGGTCTGGAGGAGGAACTGGCTCGTTCGAAGAGAGGGAAGAAGAGGAAGGCTGTACCTAATCCCAATAAGCGTTTCGTGACTCTGGGCGAGGCTCTAGCGGCTGGAGAAGTCACTACCGAAAAAGGAAGTGAAAAGAAGCTTGCTGTGGTGGATGATAGCTCTTCGGAGGAGTCAGGGCCAGAATCGGAGGCTGCTTCGGTTATTGAAGTCAGAGAGGAAACCATACCACCCCAGCGCACCACTCGATCTGGGCGGGTAGTCCAAAGACCTAAATATCAATAGAAATATCAATTTCAAATTTACAGGAGGTAACCATTTGCAAATAACTTTTATTTTGGCCGAATTCTGTGTAAGTGAAATAGCTGAGTTTTGGTGGGGGAATTTTTTTTTTGCCTGACGAAAGGGTGGGGTTGTCGAAAGGGTGGTGGTGCATGGTATTGACTTGGGATTTGGACTGTGCAGCAAATGACATGGGACAAATTGATCGGGCTGCAGCCTCATGTCGTGACCTCAACCAAAAAAAAGGGGGTTTCGCAACGACCTTGCCTAAAACGGAAATGCAGTCGAGTAACCTCAAGTAAACCCGAGTAAGCGAAGGGGTCTTGCTTTGCTTGGTTGAAGACCGTCTTTACTTTACTTGGTTGTTACGTAATCAACCAATCCCAACCAACCAAGTCAAGTAGCTTGGTTGTTGGACACACTGGATCTGGTACTCGCGGCTCTCCCTCCACTTGGCGGCGAACTCTTCGGGCGTACGGGGCACCTTGTTCTCAAAGCCCGGGCGGACTACGCGCTCCGAGGGCGCTGTCATGGAGGTCAGGAAGTCGGGGGCGGTCTGACGGTCGGGACACTCGAAGCCGAGGTTGATGAAGTAGGCCTTTGCCTCGTCTGCGGGGCCGAAGAAGATCTGATATCCTTCGTAGATGACGAGGGCCTTGTCGAACAGATCGTATGCGGTCTGGGGTGCTTGATAGATAGAGACAGCACATGTCTGGCCAAAGAGCTCCGACTGTAGTCGAAGAGTCTTGCAAAATTCGACTGCGTTGGCTGAATCCAGACCACGAGTCGAGTTATCCCAGCATTGGAAGGGGGCGTTGGCAAGCGTGGCTTCGGCGATGGTGACTCGCTTTCTCTCGCCGCCGGAAACTCCGCGAATATAGTTGTCGCCAACTTGGGTGTTGACGGTGTGGCTGATGCCGTACATGGCCATGACGACGTCCCTCATGTGCTCGCTGTACTGGTTGTGGTCGATGCCGGCCGGCAAGTTCTGTGGGCATCGTGCGCGCGCGGCAAAAGTGAGTGTGTCTCCGACTGAAAGCATGGGGAAGTGCACGTCGACTTCAGCAGTGTAGATAGCCTCGCCCTTGTGGTGCTTGTGCATCTCATCCGCGGGGACACCGTTGTAGTTGAAGTACGTGCTATCATCGATGTAGATATCGTTGGTCTCGCCGGACACGGACTTGAGGAACGTCGAGCATCCTGAACCGGGAGGTCCAAGAACAACGAGCATCTCACCCGCGTTGACAACACCGTCGAAGCCACGAAGAATGTCGATTCTGCGCTTGCCCTGGTTGGGGGAGAAGATGTTTCGCGCCATGCTGGGGAAACCAAGCCAAACGTTGCCAACGTCCTTTTGATAGTCGGTCTCAGCACCGTAGCCAAAGACGTTCATGTCCTGGAAGCAGAGACCACTCTGTCGGAAGCCCGAGCCGTTCTCGCCCATGGCCTTCGACACGGCCTTTGCCCAGGCTCTAGCGTTGAAGTTCTCGTTGTGCGGGTTGAGAGGAGACTCGGGGTCCTCGGCGTTGAAGAGATCTGCGTGGCTTCCCTGGAAATGATGCGAGGTGTTTGTGTATTGCCGAGCGAGGTCTCGCACGATGGAGTGACGGCGCACCATCTCCTCGGTCTGCTGATGCTCGCCCTCGTCGTCGCTGCTTGAGCTCACTTTCTCGTCCATGTTAGGGCCTGGGGACGCCGGGGGCTTCTCGTTCGGGGTGGGTTCCATGTCGACGATTGTGTCGTGGCTGCTGTGCTCTGAGCGTGGAGCGCCCATGTTTGCCTCGTTGGGAGTTGCGTGAGAGGCAGCCATGTTTTAAGCAGACAATAGATGTCTAGCTTTGGCGCGTTGATCGAGCTTCAGTCTGTTGTTTACACCTGGTTAGATGCTGTATGATGGCTGTGAGGTGAGAGGTGAGTGACATACAGGTTCTGGTTCGAGTATTAAAGGGGTTATTAAAGTAATATACTGAAGAGGGTTATAGTAAAGAGGAAAACAAGTTAGTAGTAGCAAAGTAGAAGGAAAGGTCATGCCATCACATTGGACCACTTGGAGGTGCTCGCAGGTCTTAATACCATCAAAACGGGGGTGCTATCCAACCCGTCACACCGAAGGTGTGTGGACCCGGGTTATCAAGACACGGATCCCGTCGACTTCCCGACCCCGAGTGGAGATCGGGGTCCTCACGAGAGCCCGCTACCGACGAGTTATGGAGACGCTCAGCTCAAGACTCAAGATTATGGCTGAGGGCGTATGCAGCAAATATCCCGGCTTGTCCGCCGGATAGATTCTGCTCCTAGACCGAGATTCATAACTTTTGGGAATAACACCATCAACCTTCTTTTGGCATCGATTTTCGTATACTCGTACAGACAGCAAACATGGCACCCGAACAGCAACGCCCAACACGCATTCTGGCTTGTGTACTCTGCTAGCAATGTAAGAAGAAATGTGACCGCAAGAGTCCTTGTTCGTTTTGCGTCAAGGTAAGCAAGCATCAAAGCAGTCTGATGTAAGACATGCAACTAACTATGGCAAGGCCAAAATAGATTGTATCCCAAGCACACCGGCTCCCAAGCGAAGTCGTCGTAAGCCTACAAAGGAACTACTTGCACGTCTGGAGCGCTGCGAGGAGCTTCTGAAGAGATGCACTTGCGTTCAAAAGTCTTTGATGTACGACTCGCCCGAGACAGGGAGCGAGTCGAGCAGTCCGACAGATAGCAACTCGAGCCCGCCGCCTGAGAGTGAGAAGATGAGCTCTACGTCAGATGAGCAGCAGCAGCAGCAGCATCAGCATCAATCATTATACCATTAAACTGTTTGGCGGGTGATATCTTTTGGCGTTTGGGGGGATGGTTGGGTTATACGGAAGCTCATGGTCTTCATGGGTAGGACAGGACGGTGTAAGATGAATGGTGTAAGAGGATCGGGATAAGGCGTTCCAAGGCAAATGAAACATTAGCATAGGTACATAGTTGAAGATACAAAGCTTAATCTCATTACTTCTGCCTCGTAAGAAACAGAAAAGAGGGTATTTGGATGGAGGGGATGTGGTGGTCTTATGGCAGCTGTCAACCCGACGTGTCGTAGAGGAGAGAGCAGAACAAGACATGTCGTTGAAAAAAAGCTGGGGGATCAGAGGTTTCCGGTAAATTTTGAGCCCTAGTTGTCGACGGTAGTGGAGCCCTGCAGCCAGGGATGGTTTAGACTGAGTTACAGGGCCACGACTCTAATTGGTCTGTTCTTTGTTGATGCCCACCCCCTGCCGGGTCCATTGGGCATCCCGTTGGTGATTAATACTGTAAATCTCTACAGCCCCTGACCTGGGATTTACGTGTCTTGACTTAAGGTCATATCGTATGATGAAGGCTTTTGGTTACTGGATACTTGTGTAATAGATCTGAGATGTCCAATCTCTAACATCATGTCTATAATCTGGTAATCTGGTACAATTCTCAATTTGAGGGCTAAAAACAACGTCATCGTCAACTCGCCCCGCGTCACGCTATCGGAGTCCGTTACGGGCCCGCCATCGACCCCTCCCGGCTTTCTAATCATTCTCCACAATTCCCGGGCCTGACAGGCTCCAGGGACAAAAAAATTGTAATAACCAGATTGCAAAAACGTGGCCATGCCAGAGCCTCAACAGGCTAGTTGACCTGCTCCGGCAGCGGCGCCAGCGCCAGCGGCATCGTCAAAAGCGGTAAAAATCTAGCCAAAGGAGCGCTCGCGATAGCCTCAGGCAATACCATTTAATATTATCGTTTTACTTGTCGTTCCGAGCTGCTACGGCAATTTGCCTCATCTTTGCGGATTTCTAATCAAGTTCACACGGATTTGATTTGTAATGTGTGCTCTTCATTTTCCAGTCACTTGATTAAAATTAACTAACTTGGTTTTAGGCTTTTATGCTTAGTGACTGATTTCGACTCTGTTACTGAAAGACGCCTTGTCTAAGAAGGGCAAGACTAATTAGCATTGCACCCAGCCCTGACCCGCTTGTAGTGGAGGCTCAGGCTGTTTGCTACTCACACTTGTATCCATTTCTTAGAGTTTTCGGCTGTAAGCTCATAGCTGACAATTATCATCTCTCGCAAATTGCATAGAATTATCAACCTCGGATCAGCCGGTTTGTAGACCGAGACTCCTGTACGTCATCTCAACAAATATTGGCGCGGGTTGAGGTTTAAAAGGCTATGGAAGGTCTTCCGTAGACCGTGGTATAGCAAGGAGTAAGGTTGCATACTTCCATTTTTATGTTGCTGTGGACGGAATGCATCATCTTATTCTGATATCAACCGCTGTATTAGGCTGTTTGCCTTTGGTGCTGTCGTCCTCGGCAGGCCATGCTGCGCTGCCTACCGTCAATATCCACAATGGAACTCTAGTCGGAACCCGAATTTATTCATCTTACCAAGAGTCGTTTCTAGGAATTCCTTACGCTCAACCACCAGTCGGCCAACTTCGATTTGCACGTCCAGAACCGCTTGAATCTCGGTGGCCGTCTCCGAGAAATGCGACCGACTATGGGCCGTTTTGTCTCGGCAACGCTTTTCGTCTCGTCGGCTGCAGTCAGGAGTCCAACAGCTATCACCAAAACGAAGACTGTCTCACTATTAATGTAGTGCGGCCTATTACTGCGCCCGCTTCAAAACACCAGCCATCATCATCGGCGAAGGGTCCTCTACCAGTCCTAGTCTGGCTTTACGGAGGCGGCTTCCAAGAGGGCGGCAGTGGAGATGCTCGCTACGACATGTCAAATCTTGTTAAGAAATCTTTCGAAATCGGACGTCCTATTATTGGGGTGAGCTTCAATTACCGTGTCGGCGTCTTTGGCTTCGCCTCCGGAAGACCGTTTAAAGAAGCAGGGACCGCGAACCTTGGTATTCACGACCAGCGTTTGGCCCTACGATGGATTCAAGAAAACATCAAGGCATTTGGCGGTGATCCAACTCGCGTCACTATCGCAGGCGAATCAGCGGGTGCCGGTTCTGTTGGGTTGCATCTCATTGCAAACAATGGCCGCAATGACAGGTTATTTAACGGTGCGATCGCCCAGAGTGGTGGACCTCTGAATTACATCCCTCAGATGTCCGAGGTGGTTCAGGACGCACAGTTGGACGCCCTTATTAAAGAAGTGGATTGTCTGAATTCGACAGACAGTATCTCCTGTCTGCGACAGATTCCGGCTGAAGCTCTGAAGCAGGCGTCTATGGGAGTCCTTTGGAACCCTGTTACTGACCAGGATTTGTTCTTGGACCTGCCCTCGGTTGCGCTTGCGAAAGGAGCATTTGTACCTGTCCCCCTCCTGATAGGGTCGAATACCAACGAAGGCACGCCTTTCATGCCCCTCTTTTCAAATATTAGCGCGAGCGAGCCCAGGGACTTTTCCGCTACACTCCGATCATATTTCGGACCTACCAAAGAGTTGAACGAGACGATTCAACGACTCGACGAGTTCTATTCCGCGGCCATGGAGGATGACATCGAGTCGGCACTCGGCACTGTTCTTGCCAACCCGAAACATCCTTACGGACCCCTCTATGGCAAGATCTCCACGCTTCTAGGTGACCTACTTTTCACGGCTGGTCGACGCATCACGGCCGAAGCGTGGGCTGCCAAAGGGTTGCCTGCTTACAGCTACCGCTTTGACACCGTGCCCGCTGGCGTTGACCCGGAGACCCTGGGTGCTGCTCACTTCCAGGAAGTCGCTTTCGTGTTTGGAAACACAGAAGGCAACGGTTACGACATCAACCCATTCAGCATAACCGATCCGCGAATTCGTGCTAAGTATTTGGATATGAGTGAGCTGATGAGTCGGATGTGGATCAGTTTCACAGACTCAGGAACACCAAACAACCATCGAGGTTTGTATTAGGCATCGATCGTTCTGATTACACATTTGCTGAAAATTTCTTAGTTCGACATTTTAAAGTTCAATGGCCGGAATACGAGAAGCAGAATCCAAGAAATATAGTTTTCAATGCAACAGCAGGTGCAAAATTGGAGGCGGATGACTACAGAAGAGAAGCTATAGACTACATTCGCAACACAGCAGCCTCTTTTAACAGAAAACTTTAGATTCTATCCATCAGAACGAGCTGTTTTAGTTAAATGGAAAAGTCGGATTTTATTAATACAGTAATATCCGATCTCAAATCGTAATTAGCTTATCAATTCGTAACTATAACACTGTACGCGAGCCCAGTACGAGCGAGTCACTTAGACAGGCGACGAGCTATATTCTTTACATCTCGTACTGAATACTAGCCCGACTCGAGGGTCTTGAGTACGGCCAGAACTTTTTCAATTCCCATTAGAGCTCATTCGAAGGACGATGTGATAGATCTGGCTAGGACTAAAATTCGTTGTTAGGTAACGTGGTTGATAAGCGACTGTAGCAGACAAGCGAGTGTCGCACAAAACGCCGACCGCGACGCGACAACACAATCGGCCATTTTCCTTCCACAACAAACAATGGCGCCAACTAGTAATGAAGCTCACGTTCAGCTTGCCCTTCAAGCTCTGAGAAACAACCCAGAACTTAGTGCTCGGGCTGCAGCTAAGGTCTACTCGGTCTGTTCTAGAACATTGGATCGTCGATTGAAAGGCATCTCATCACGACGCGACACTATGCCGAACTCACGGAATTTGACGCCGCTTGAAGAGCAGACCTTAGTTGACTATATTCTCAATCTGGATGCCTGATTCTTTCCTCCCCGGATTAGTGGTGTGGAAGAAATGGCCAATCGACTGCTTGCCGACCGCGACGCGCCTCTAGTCGGGAAGCGTTAGGCTTCGAACTTCGTAAAGCGATAACTATAACTGCGGACGCGGTTTTTTTTGTAGGTATGACTATAAGAGAGCTTAATGTGAAGATCTAGAGGTTATTTGTGGCTGGTTTACCCTTGTAAGGAATACATTCGCAAAGCATGGTGTTGCAGAGGAAGAAGTTTAGTCACTGGGTGATATGGGGGGTAGACCCCGACGTTAGAAACCTTCCAATAATCCTTAATCTTCGGTTCTATATGCATTTGCATATAAATCACGATCGCGAGCCATGTGTAGATTTGGGCAACGGAGGTCGGCTTCCAGTTTGAAAGCCGAGACCGCGGCTTTAATCTGGGGCTGGCGGCTTCGTGCTGCTGCAATAGGTGACTGACCTAACTGTTGGTGTAGCTGAACCAGCTTTCTACTAGGGAAATAGGTATGAAGGCCTGGAAAAGCAACAGCGGCTGCTGGGGCAAAGCTGCTATCACAGGGGCCCGGTTTGGAAGGTCCATCGGCTCGAAGTGGTAACCGCGTTCCGGGTCCGGCTTTTCAATTGGCCGGCACGTATTATCCTCAGGGCGTTCACGGCGGCTGTGATAGTCAACGCGTATGAAGCGATTGTCGTCATACATGTTGACTGCTTGGCTAGGGGGCAGTTGGGAATCCATGGGGATACAAAGAACGCGTTGTACGAGGAATTAGGTGGAGTTGTTGTTTCTGAACGCGCTCTGGGTCACTCCCTTGTACCGCGGCCCGGCAAGGGGGGTTTGGGGCGCCAAGCCTAGGCGTAGACTTACCACAGTTAAAGGGATAACTCTTTACAGTGTAAGACAGTTACAGTAAAGCAAAGGTTTGTACCTGCAATTTCTGGGTTATAGTTGATAATGTCTTGTACTAACGTAATCGGCATATTTAAACATAAGGCCGACTAGTCGGCGCTCAGTCGTGTGGAGTATCTGTCCTTAAGTTTGCTTTGTAATGATGCCGGCCGAAATTATGTCATTTCTATAGCGCTGACAAATTGCTTTTACTGATTATTCTGACATTGGTAGTATAAAGCCAAGTGGGTAGGTTAATAATATTTCATCAAGCCATTATTGAATTCCTTGAGGCCAATACAATACCGGTATGTCACCTACCAAAACCCTCCTCATTGGTCTCATTCTATGTCTCTGTCAAGCAATTGTTTCGGCAAGGACAGTTACAAAAATCCCTTCCCAAAATCAAGCCCGTACGGTGTTTCAATTTTCCAACGGAACCTGGGTTGAGAACATAGCGGTTCGACGCAATGGAGATCTGCTTGTGACCTTAATCGACCGGCCGGAGTTGTACCAGATCGATCCTCTCCACAGCAGGGTTAAACTAGTTGAGAATTTCCAGCAAGCAAACGCTCTGAGTTTGTTAGGGATAACAGAGATGGCGCCTGACGTCTTCATCGTCATTGCCGGAAACTTCTCGGTTAGTCGAAGAATGTCGGACCCAAAGTCATACTCCATATGGAGGATCGACTTCAATCGAGGGGGGAAATGCGAGAAAATCTCAGAGATCGAACGGATTCCAGAAGCAAATTTTTTGAATGGCATGACCACGTTGAATCACCGGACTGATAGCGTCTTGGTCTCGGATTCAGCCAGGGGTGTGGTTTGGCGCGTGGATATAGCGACTACGGACTATGAGATTGTGCTGGAGGATGAGACAATGAAACCGCTCCAAGGGGTACCTCTCATTCTGGGCATCAATGGAATCCGAATCCTAGGGAACTATCTCTACTATGTCAATGCTCCTAGAGGGCTGTTCTGCAGAGTCGAGATTGATCTATCCACAGGGAAGGCGATTGGTCAGTACGAAATCATTGCTACCGAAGTTCCCGGGGACGATTTTGTTATCTCTGAAAAGGGTGTTGCATATGTTACGGAGAATGGACAAAACTTGTTGGAAAGAGTTTACCTGGATGGGAAGAAGGAGTTGGTTATAGGAGGACTGAATTCAACTGTAATCCCTGGAGCAACTTCGGCTGCCTTTGGACGTACACGGAAAGACCGCAACATCCTCTATGTCACAACAGCAGGAGGTCAGGCTGCTCCAGTTAATGGAACTTATGTAGAAGGTGGTAAGGTGGTTGCTGTCGCGATATAGAATTTAATTCTTCTATTGCAGCTAAGTGTAACGGGCTGTGCCCGTAGCCGTGCCATCAGCCCGGCAATCTCCTCTTCGGACTCCAGATATGACTGATATACCACGAGCATCCGCGCACACTTGACGACGGCCGAGTAGATGGGCGTGTAGTCGATCGCATCGATCCGCCCGTTGTCTTCCCGGATCCCTAGCACAGCCAATGCGCTGAGTACGACGTTGTCATAGTCGCCTCGCTTGAGCTGATGGTCCAAGAACCCCACCAGCATATCCAAGCATAGTCGTTCGACCTTCCCCGTCCCCTCCGTGTCTTTCACGGCTGCCTCGACGGCTTCTTCGAACGCGTCGTATAGCTCGCCTTGCCGCACCGTCAGCCGGAACGGCGGTCGGTCGCTGTCCTCCCACTGTTGCGTTCGCTGCCAGATGCACACCATCTTCCGCCACACGTCCTTGTACCGCGCCCACGTGTCGTCCTCGAGCCGGCTGTCGAACGGCCTGCTGGGCTTGACGTTGACCTCCTTGCGCTCGACCTCGAACAACGCGGGCCGCCCGACCTTCATGGGCACTGATGTGGCCCGCGCCTGGTCTAAGACGCAGTCGAGAATGTCGCACATCCCTTGCAGCACGGCTTCGTCCTCTCGGACCGCCCCGGCCGACTTGCGCAGTCGGTCGGGGTCCCGCCCGGACAAGTGGGCGGCCCAACCGACCCGCGTAACCCATCCGTTCGGCTCCGTCTTATCGTTGGCGACCCGTATCATCTCCCGCTTGTTGGCCTCTAATCGTTCGGCCTGCGCACGGTGGGCGCGCGTGAGCCGCTTGGTGAGATCCTCCGCCCGTCGGCCGTTGCGCTCTCTACCCGGCTGCCCGCTGCTCCGGCCGACTTCGAACCACCCACTTGCCGCGCGAGACCGGAAGAACCGCTGACAATGCACGCCCGTTCTCCATGGCACCCTTCGCCCCTGCTTGGCCCGGCTAGCCACATTGCCGCCCCTCTTCCAATCGTTCTCCCATCCGTGCTCGTTGCGGCAGTGCGCTTGTATTCGCTGTGTCTGTCGGCTGACGTACTGACACTGCTCGCACCCTAACCCATCCACCTTAGGCGGTGCAAGAAACGGGATCGGCTCTATGGTTGGTGGCGGGTATTGGAATGCTTGTAGACCGGCTTGGTCTTGAATGAGTCCTGGGATTTCCTGAATGGTCTGGAAGATCTTATGCCGGTCTTTTGCCTTAATTCCTGAACGTGATGTCTTTAAGTGACTGTATATTTCACCTGTTATATATGCTATTTGGTATGGTTTATAGATAATAACTGGATATTTAGGTAGATAAATGATGGCTCTCTAGTAGCAGTATTAAGATGACTTTAAACCTGCTTAAAGATATATCCACTAGCCAGTCCTTATAATGCCCTTTACTATATTAACTATTAAGTTAACTTAACAGCAGTAAATATATATCGCTGCGTCTACATAATATAACATAGCCCTGCCTACTATTAATATTCATTGGCTCTATAAACCACCCTTTATATCTGCCCTATCTCTCCCTAGAGCTCAGTCTACACCCTTGCACTACTTTATAAGACATAACATGCTATCCACTGGATTAGTTATTAAGACGTCGTAATACTACAGAAAGTGGGTTGCCAGCTTCTACCGCCCTCGCTCTCGAGCTCGGGCTGTGCTATATTCAACGCTCTGCTAGGAGCGCGGGCATCCCATCTACTTACTAACCTCAAAGCATCTACTTGCACGGCGCGATGGAAACAATCGTTGATAATGCACCCCAGTTGTCCACGGCAGACTCCGTTGCCTCGTAGCCCGCAGCTTCACATTGCCCCCTCTAGTCCAGTTATTACTCCAGCCATGTTCATCTCGGCAATGCGTCAGCATGTGACTCCTTGCTCGAAGTACATATCCACACTCATCACACCTTAACCCATCTGTTGCCGGAGGTGCAATATGTGGTAGTGACGGATCAGTTGGGGCGGGAAATCGAAAGTCGTCTAAGTCTTCCTGTCGCCTCAAAATTCGTGGGATTTCATAGATCCTATCCCTGATCTCCCGCCTTTGTCGCGCTGTGAATGCTCGGCGGTGCTTTTCTTGACCTAGATGCGATACCACTTCATCCGCCAATACTGCCCACTTGCATATAGAACACACAATCACATTGAGTTCAGCAAGGTGGATAAATGGGCTGATTGTTGGTGTGGTCTCGGCTTCTGGCGTCTCAATGGATGACCGATTGTCATGACATGGAGTAGGACTTGGTGTTGGTCTTCTCTGGTGTATTCCGTCGTGTTTCCAAGAGCTTCTCTACTCCCTTCATCATAGCAGCTCTCCTGATAATAGTTGCTCTCCTCAACACTAAGATGTGTTTGGATAGAGCTCCGGTCGATGCGTAGCCTCTTGGTCAATATATTGTCTTCTGATGGAAGCCCCGATTCTAGATGACGTTTTTGTGCTAGAGATAAGATACACCCGGCTCCAGTATTAGATGTTTGTGGACCTAGTTCATTCCCGTCACTTTCCTCATGCAGTTTTAGAAACCCGTGCCACTTCCCAGATGCCTTCATATATAGGTGCAAGAGCGCTGGCTGCATCTTATCCGGATATGCACCATTTAATCCATAAGTGCTATATCTCTGGGCCGGTCGGTGGCCGCTCTGCCATGCAAAAACAACGTCTGGGTCGCCCTCAATGGTACGATCGTCGAATCGGTTGAAATAGCTACCAGCGTGGCAAACGTGTCTTTCAGTGATGGCTATCGACAACTGCCGATAGAGTTGAACCCCGATACCACAAGGAACGCCTTGCGTAGCTTTGCTGAACTGTCGTAGCTGCCGGGTAAAGGTGATCGTGCTCCAGGCCGAATCGGTCGCTGCTGGAGCAAAGAGAATGCTATTCTCTATGTTCTTCTGGAAACAGGTGCGAAGGAGATATAGGTCATGCGCCTAATGTAGACGAGATACTGAAACACGATCAACGCGATTGGTCTCGGGAGGAATCGCGCGACTTGGAACTCGTTGTTTGTCGTATGGCGCGCTTTATGGTGTCTTGTAGTGGAGAACATCCGACCAGCGTAAAAGCCGATGCCTCGTAGCTGTGAGGAGGAATTGCAATGCTCAAGGGCCAGGAGTTCGGGGATCCTGCATCCTTGCCCATTGCCTAGCTGGAAAAGCAGCATGATCATTCGGAGAAGTTCATCATGGGTCTCGAGATACTTGCTGACTGCCTTGACATCCCAGTTACTTTCGCCCCTACCATCCTTCTGCAACAAGCCATCTATAGGCGATAGACAAGCCCTCGTTAACAACTCCAGGTAAGCATCTGTCAGGCCATTTGCTAGATCTGTAACGAAGGAATATCCGACTCAAGAAGTAGATAATCTGTCTCGGATCCTCTTGAAATCGGGTATCGAGGGTTCCCAGTCATACATGAGGCGCCTACACGTGCAGGTAGCAGCGTGGATGACATTGTGAATAATGCCTCGAAAGGCAGCCATAGTGAGGCGGAATTCCCCATCCCACGATATCTCTTCACCATCATCACTCCATTCAAAGAGAAAGGCTGGCCCTTCTGATCGACGCAAGGCATTACCATACGCTAAGAGACTTAAGAACTCGCCTAAAGGGGACATAGTTCCGTCGCACATCTTTTGGTGTCGAATGCTATTGAGCAATTCGAGCTGGCCGCTGCGTGGCCGAGCCTTGATACCGATATAGTCATGTGAGAAACGTGGCAATACTGCCTCAAGCATAACGAGGCGGGTACAGTAGATGAACCCAGATAGACATGTCGTATACTGGTGTGGGCGAAGGAACTCAGACCCGGTAGGTGGAGAAAGGCCATATACAGCACTGAAGTATACCAGCAATGTCGAACTGGATTTTCCGTCATGTACCTGGTAGGACGTTTCATTTCGAGGTCAAGCTACAGTGGCGCGAGGACCCTCAGAGTTGACGACGACGTCTTGGGGGCTAATGACGGGCAGGACAGCCACTTGATGCGAAAGCAGCAAATAGGCGAAGGAGGTGACGGCACACTGACGTCTCCTCACAGACGGTGGCACCACGACTGATACTTATGTCCCTGGATGCAGCTAGGAGACGCGGGCCCATGTACGATGTCCTGCTCTTCATCTCGCTGTTGTGGTTGCTTTGCAGCTCTGCTGGGATCATTGCGCAGTAGCCTTCGAAACCCCACGAACGGGAAGAGGAAAAAAGGAGGGCCCTCCCTTTCGATAGAAAAGTCCGTCGGGCCTTCGTCCTGTGTTGGGAAATGCGCTCCTCAACCGCTCCCGTCTCAGCATCCCGACGGAGAATATGACACAACTTGATTTATCAGCCGGTGGGGCGGGCGCCCGACCCTGATTCGCTTTGACCCTCAGCTTTAGCCTCGCCTCGCATCCGAGCTGAACTAGTGCGTAATCGCACAAGCTTTCTGTCTCTTTTTTACTTTTTCTTCTTCACGGTCGCCTGCCGTCGTCATTCATCCGAGGGCCCGCGGCGCCATCCGGCAGTGGCGGCTCGCCTTGCTTTATTCTGCCGAGGCCGACGGTAAAGCGAACCAGGCGCAAAGCCGGTGCGGGTGTGGGGGACGTACTACATACGCAGTATTCTATCGTGACGATGCGGTTGTCAATGCCTATGTCGTTGTGAGCGTCATACTACTTGTTGGGGCCTGTAGTTCGGCTACTGTTGAATAGTGGCAAAGGAAGCTCATGGAAGCAGCTTGAAAGGTGGATAAATATTGTCATCAAAGATGACAGTTGCCACCTATTGCCACAGGCTTAGCAAGCAGCTTCCAGCTGATTCCACATAGCACAGAAAAAGCATATAGAGCTTGCTCTAAAACCTCAAGTAGCAAGCTGGACAGACAACAAGATGAAGAACACACGATTCACCCCAATATCTGACAGCTACCCTCGTGGTCGCGTCCACTCCCACGGGGGGGACACTGATTGGGAAAAGGGGCCCTTGATTCGGAAAAAAAAATAAGATTTCTATATAAATAGCAAGTTAAAAAAAATCCATTCAGATTATAATCTAAAAACCATCTTTTATATAAAAAATTAATTTAAATATAAAAACTCTTATTTATTATTATGTTAATAATAGCTTGTTTATCTTCTAGGGTTATTAGTCAGGGTTAGGGTTGGGGTTAAGATACTTCTCTTCTTAATAAAATAGTTAAGGTTAGTAATAAATAAGAACCGAATTTCCCAAGTCAAGGGTACTTTTTCCCACTCAGTGGCCCCCCCGTAGGAGCGGACGCGACCATGGGGGTAGCCGAACTACAGGCCCCCACAAGTACTTCTTTGATCCCCAGATTTTACCTCGCGGTACCCCACGCCCCAGACCGACTTTCAAGGGCATGTGCTGATCGCCGAACCCTTCATTTGCATTCGACCATTGCCGGCGCCTTAATCAGGTACGCCAAAGAAAGCATTGATGAAACGACGGTAGCGCGCTGTCAGCACGCATAACAAGTGACCTCATTGACCTCGGTAAGGTCATGGACTGTTAAACTCCGTCGGAGTTGCGGGATTAGATCGCAGGGGTCGATCACTTAGTGGACTCTCTTGCAGGGTTTGGCTGAGACAGACTCGCAGCGTGTGATGAGCGCTGGTCGCACTCGCACTCGCATAGTCGCATCCTCTCACACTCGCACTCTCTCTCAATGTTAATTGCGCTGATTTGTAAATTATAAAGACCTCATCTTGTCCCTTGAGAACTACATATTCGATGGCAGTTAGTTTCTAATTGTAAGACATCGAACAACAAGCACACAAAAGCCATACTTTTCACGTCTTCTTCCCCCTTTACTTCACATACAACATAGTTGCATCATGGGTGTCAACCATCAATCCGAGAACCGTCAGTCCGAGATTCCCGGTGTCCTTGAGCCACCGCCTGGCTCCAACCCTTTATCATGGGGTTTCTACGCAACACGCGAGATTCAGGAGCCTACAGCGTTGCAAGTGGAGGGAAACATACCGACCTGGCTGACTGGTTCTCTCTACCGTGGTGGTGCAGGTACTTGGGATGTCGGCAACTATACAGCCGAGCACTGGTTCGACGGCTTCAGTCGCAACCACAGGTTTGAAATTGCCAACGGCACCGTGAAATATCGAAGCCGTAACTCCACGGACGAAATGATTAATTTTGCCCGGGAGACGGGGCGTATTCCTGATGGCTCGTTTGGATCGGATCCTTGCAAAATCATCTATGGGGCGATGGAGACCACGTTCAGGGATGGGAACAATACACGCGGCGACCCAGACACTTGCAACATCGGTGTGGTCTTCGTGCCGAACTTCGCTGGCCTCGATCGCAAGACCACTAATACCGGGGCACCTTTCGATACATTGGTCGTTGCAACGGATGCCACCAAGCTTCAACAGATCGATCCCGTCACGCTAGAGCCCATCGAAGTCTTCACCTACCAAGCTTCCAATCCGCTACTGACCAATGGTGGGCGAAGCGCGGCTCACCCCTACATCGCACATGACGGGGCCCTCTACAATTATCACCTCGACTTGACAGCCCAGCCTCCTGTCTATAGAATCTTCGGCATCCAGCCGCCAAGTGGAGAATGCAAGATCCTTGCCACCATCACCGACGCCCCAGCTGCCTACATTCATGCACTATTTGGGACGGAGGATCATCTCATACACGTTGTCTCGCAGGCTGACTATGTCAAACCTGGAAAGACGATATTGGATAGCATTGGTCCGTGGCGGCCGGAGCGAAAAACGTTGTTCTATGTCGTTGACCGCGTCAAGGGCGGAGTGGTGTCAAAGTACGAGTCAGAAGAAGCCTTTTTCGCATTTCATCAAATCAACGCCTTTGAGAATGATGCTGGAGATATCTACGTCGACATACCAGTCATGGAGGATACAACCTTCTTGAGCGCAGCCAAGGTCGCCAATCTAAGAGCCAATATCGGGGCTCACGACGGCTCGTCAAAGAACGATATTCCTGCCACTTTTACTCGGTTCCGTCTTCCATTCAAGGGAGAAGGCGCACGTGCTGCTGATGGATCCCTCGTCAAGCATACTGCTGAGGTAGACTTCACACTGCCCTATGCCCAAGCAAACATTGAACTCCCGCGAATCAACTGCAAGTTCCATGGACGGCCTTACAGATACACCTATGGAATCCACGTCCAAACGCCTGGTCACTTCAGCGACTCGATTATCAAAATTGACACTGAAACCAAGGAAGTCAAGACATGGTCCCCATCTATAAAACATGTAGCGTCTGAGCCGATTTTTGTGCCGACCCCAGGAGCCGAACGTGAGGACGACGGCGTCATCCTGACTGTGGCTATGGACTCTGCGCAGCGAGCTAGTTCTCTGGTGGTTATTGACGCGACAACCATGCAGGAGATTGGGCGAGCTCGGATGCCTATCGTTATGGGTTACGGATTCCACGGCACGTGGGGCTCGGTTTGATTACTTAGTTAGTTGGGAGAACTGAATCGCTAACCATTCATTATTGTGTTCGTCGACAGGGAAGGGATGGGGATATGCTTTGTCAAGACCCGTAGGTCGTTTTGCTCGGGTAGTATACACAATAAACATTCGCTGTCGTGGACTCCCTAGCATCAGCCATGAATACACTTTTTGATGTTCCTGCTTCCCGTTCTCATCGACTCCATCCATAAAACGTACTTTAAGGGGACCTGTTGTGGTGAATTCGGTACTGAGGTTTACCGGTAACGTACTCGATAAGCATGCGCCGCATCCAAGTATGCGCCGCACTCAGATTTACACCTTAAATCGCAATTTTAAAAAAGGTAACTACGTAGTTACTTGTTTTTTCGTGTTACGCGGTGTGTCAGGCATTTGTCTCAGTATGTCAGATGTTTGTATCAATAGGATATCCACGGCGGCCTCTTGGTGGCTGATTCTACGGTTGCACGGTAGGACATGAGGTGCATAACCCTTTTCGGATGACGCGACCATGTCCAAATACTGAGTCAGCAGTACCCCCATGCTGAATTACAGTGTAGCACACTATGATCCAAGTGCGCAAAGGCCCTCTGGAGAAATTGGCCTTCAAGCAGGCCTGTCACTGCATATACATCAGATTGGAACAGTCAGTAAAGTGAAATTGTGGGGCTTCGGGTGATTATGGAAGAACCGTACGAAACGAAAATAGCTTAGCGCAAAGGCCCTCTGGGGTGTGTCCCCCGGGCGAAATAAAATCCATCCATCCATCCTTCTCTGCTGTCTTTATCCAATCCTCTCGCTTCCACCACTTCTCCTTGAATCCACGAGACCTTTACTCGTCTGCCCACGCTCCTCTTGTCCCGTATGCGATACTGTATACCCTTGAGAATCGTGCCATCGAGCCGCCGAAGCACTCCCTAGTCAATTGGGAACGAGAGAGTGTGTGGAGGGCAGGTAGATCGATGGAGAGGTTGCTCTTCATCTGACGTTTGCTCGGTCGACGATATCGGCTCGTTTAGATCGGTAGATTGCCTCGAAGAAGACATCGAAGATAAGCTTCGAGTACTTGATGGCCGACTTTGGCCCCAGAACGCGTGTAGCGACATAATAACGCGTCGATTCGACACGTTGTTGATAGATATTTGATGGAGTAGGAGGAGGATTTTATTTTGTTTTTGGGGGGACACCACCCATAGGGCCATTGCGCTAAGCTGTTTACGTTTCCCTCTCCTAGCCTTCCTAAATAAGTAGTACCTAAAACCTGCCTACCCTATACTAAATCCAGCCTACCCTATAGCGGGTAATTATTGACGTCAAGTACTTGACAACTTGACACTCCTTTAACTTGATTGATTGACGACAACCCTTAAACTTGACTTGAGAACTTGACTTGACGAGAAGTCGAACTTGATTGAGAATTGTCAAGTTCGAGCTTGATTGTTAGCCACACTGGATTATTTGATTTCGTCCGTATACTCTCTTCTATCGCTAATTTCTACAGTAAGTTTATTCACCTCAATTGACCTTAGTCGTCCCTAATCGCGTGTCGAGCTGCCAGGCCATATGTGGACCACGAACTGCCCCGACATAGCGGGCTTACCATAAGGGCCATGACTATATTAGAGATTCCCACCCCGAGCCGTGTTGCTGTCCCTATTGTGGGGTACGCTAGCCCACGAGTATCACGATCTCTGACAGTTCTCCGATCTGGGCCTCAACAGAAGAGACAGTGGCGGAAATATCTACGCCCGCCTCGACGTCCACCAGCATCGCGGCGTCTAACCGAGGAACGTCCTCCTCAGGAAGAAGAGGAACACCATCTCGGACGATCTTCGCGTCTTCAGGAGATGGCCCTGGGCGTATCCTCGCCGGGTCTCAGCAGCCCGCGTACCGTGACGCGGCCCTTGCTCGCAGCGTATCGAGAAAGGTGTGTGGGCGAGCTCCGTGCAACTGACCGAGGCGGCGGCTAAGCAAGCCATCAAGAAGACCCAGCGGAAGATCTCCACGCGCCTAACGATCTTCCTTGCGAGACCTGAACCGTTGGAGATAGTAGAAGAAGGCTACAACCCTCTATGGATCCTGGCGAGGGAGGTACTGAAGGTAGCCCTGAGGCGCCACGTTATCTCCGAGCCGGCCATCTCTGTTGCCTTGTGGCTTAGCAAGATCGTATTTCCTCAATTCCAGGATAAGCCTGCGATAGCTCCTTACCTTGGGTTCGAGAACAGGCTCGTTCATCACGCCCATCTTAGTGATGGCATCACGGAGCTGGGCGACTTTAATTACAACCAGAAGACAGTTGGGGAGCTATTTGGAGAAGACTGTCCTTTTAGATACAGCAAAATTGAAGGGCAGTACCATGTATTCCTTGTCTTCTACGAGCCGCTACCCACGGCCACAGTCTCCAGTCACCCGCCGAGTCAGGACCTCAAAGTATGCTAGCGAGTCGGAGGAAGGGTAAGGAGATCATGCAAGAAAGAGGCGTCCGGCTAATAGCTCCCCTGGTCTCTCTCCTAAGCGAGGGAGGTCTGATCAGACGATGAGGTTAACGACGTCGTTGGTGAGCCTGCTTCGAGAGCTGTTGCCAACTGTAACTTCCGTCTTCTTGCTGGGCTGATGGATGAACTGGTGCCATCGTGTGGATGCCCACTCATAAGCCCGAAGAAGGGCAGGTTGGAGTTGATGTGGGAACGCCCCATCGAGACCATAGCTGATAGCGCGTTGTATTGGACGGTGGCCACTCTGCCATGCAAAGGAAACATTGATATCAGCATCGATACTATGGTCATCGTAACGATTGAAAGGTTGGTGGACCTCGCGAACGTGTTTCTCTGTGATGCCTACAGTAACTTGCCGGTACTGTTGAACATTTAGCTCCATTTTCCATACACAGGCCGTTGCTGCTCTTAAGACTGTAGTGATATGAGATGATGCCCATGTCTTGCCGTTTGAGGAGAGCAAGACATGCTTATCATAGCCGAGTTGGTCTTGACGATGGTTCCCATGCTGTTCTCGCCGTAAGAGCTGTGCAAGCCGGCGTATACAGGCCAGGTACCGAACCATGACCATTCCCAGCCGCGCTGGTAAGAAGCGAGCTACATAGAACTCTCGGTTTGTAGATCTTTTGGCTTTATGATGTCGAAGGAGGTAGATCACTGACCCGTTCCACAAGAAGATGCCTCGCGTCGTGGAAGGGCCGTTCCCCACTTCCAATGTGAGCAGCTCCCGAATCCGCGGCACCTGGCCACATACTATGTAAAGTCCGCCAGCAATCATATCCTCAAGGGCAGTAACCTTTTTCAGGTACGATGCAACCATTGCCCAACTCCACTGGCCGTTTCTCAAGAGCGGAAGCGTTCTTGATGTGCAAACTCGAAGGAATAACTCTTCATAAGCGCTATGGAGATTATTCTTAGCCTCCTGAATGAAAGGACCACAGACGCGAAGTTGGACTTCATTTATTGAGGCCATTACCGCTGACGGTCGTGCTTTGACTCTTGGCATCATATTCAAAGGAAAGGAACTCCAACAACAGTGGTTCCTTAAGGAATTCAAGAAGATAGCTGATTGGCACTATATAACTTCACCTAACGGTTGGACGGACGACCACATTGGTGTTGAGTGGCTTGAAAGAGTCTACTTGCCTCAAACTAAGCCTGCCGACGAGTCAGATGCTAGATTAATCATCCTAGACGGCCATGGGAGTCATGCAACGGTGCGTTGTTTGCTTATTCAATCAGGAATCACTGCTAACGGAAAGAAGGTTGAATGGATGGCTGCGTGCTTTTTAAACAACGTCTGTTGTTGCTACCTCCCTGCCTATTGTTCTCATGGCCTCCAGTCATTGGATAATGGGGTTTTTAATGCCTCCAAAGCTGCATATCGACGAGAGCTGGAAAAACTAGCCTCTCTGACTGACTCAACGCCGGTGGATAAAGTCAACTTCATCAGAGCCTACGCCAAGGCTCGTGAAGTTGGAATGACTGAGAAGAATATACTCTCCGGTTGGAGAACTACTGGCAATTGGCCAATCTCACGAGCCAAAGCTCTGCGGCATCCAGAAATTCAAGAGGACAGAGCAACGGGCAGTTCAAAGGGGACTCTAGAACGGACGCCTTATTTTGGCTCGGATGATACTCCAAAGACGAGCCGTCATATTCGTGATCTTGGCTTAAACAAAACACCAAAGACCTGGAGGCGATATACTGTGATAGCAAAAGGTTTTGAGACCCAGGAACAGACGCTGGCGGCGCATGCCGTGAGAATTGCCAGCCTGGAGGAGGAATTGGCTCGATTGAAGAGAGGGAAGAAGAGGAAGGCTATTCCTAATCCCAACAGACGTTTCATGAGTCTAAGCGAAGCTCTAGCTGCCGGTGAAGATATTGCTGAAAAAGGGAGCAAAATGAACTCTGTTGTGGTGGAATCTGACTCTTCGGAGGAGTCAGTCTCAGAGGAGGAGGCTGCTTCAGTTATTGTAGTCAGGGAGGAAATTGAGTCTCCTCAGCACACCACTCGATCGGGGCGGCTGGTCAAAAGACCTAAAAATACGTAAATTATTCAATTCTCTACCAGGTAATATTTCTTTTATATTTATATCATTAAAATTGATTATAATCCCTAAGGGTTGAAAAAACAGATTTTTGGTAGAGATAGCCTCAATTTGGTTAGCGAAAGGGTGATGCTAGCGAAAGGGTGATGCTAGCGAAAGGGTGATGCTAGCGAAAGGGTGATGCTAGCGAAAGGGTGATGCTAGCGAAAGGGTGATGCTAGCGAAAGGGTGATGCTAGCGAAAGGGTGATGCTAGCGAAAGGGTGGTGGGGCATGGTATTCTGTTCAGACTAATAGTGTAGATTACAGTTTGCACTGTAGTTTAGTTTGACCGTGACGGACAGACCAATAGTGCAGTATGCGAATCTCAGGCAAACTGGTAGTTTAGTCTGGCAAAGTCAAATGGACCGGTAGTTTAGTTTGGCCAAGTCAAACGGACTAAATGAGCAGTTTGAGGCTTTCACACGCACTGGTTACACTATTAGGAGCCCTGACTTGAAGGGAAAGCTGATCTACCTATCCATTAGGAAATACATTTCTAGCAATAGATAGTTACGTCTCGGTTAACTTAAGGTATGCGACTCAATAGACAACATTGCCCACGCTGTCAGTTGTCTTCTGAACAGCCGCTATCTCCAATTTCGGCGGAATCCCGCGCTCGTTATCGGGTTATGAGCGGGGATGCCAATGACATGGGTCATTGATATTGTCTAGCGCCGGAGCGGGGGAGAGCAATTCCGTGCTATACGAGAGATGCAGCAGGCGGTACTATTTTACTGAGCGATTCACCTCCAGAGTTGTTCAAAGCCACCTTCTTTTTCCTCCAAACAAATCCAGATTTTCTCACCGCTGTGCTTCCTCAACCACCATTCTCCCCCCGTTCGCTATGCGGCTGAGAGGATCACTCGTATTAGCCCTCGTAGGCTTCGTCGATTTTGCATCAGCGTCCCTGCTAGATCAAATCCGGATGTTTGTTCAGAACGGGACGTTTCTTCACTCATCTTCGCAGACGGACAGCCAAAAGACCACGCCATGCCCCTCTTCAGACGATTATTTATACAACATGCCCACCCGGGTTCTCATACCCGGGCGCCTGCCACGACGCTGAAGCAATACCCGAAGGCGCACAATGCAACAAGAAGGGCGATTTCCTCTCGGGCGATGGATGGGGAATTATCTATAACGGCATGCCGCAGGAAAACATCCAAGATTGCGCCTTCATCTGTCATGGCTGGTTGAGGTGCAACTCATACGGATGGAACTCTTCGGATCCCGATACGCCATGTCGCTTCTATGAGAAAGGTCTAGCTGAAGGTGGCTTTCTTGAGGAACCGGTATCTCCGACTTCTTGGTACGATGTTGGCTGTGCAAACTGTACTAGGTGCGGAATGGAAACGCCGTCCATTGTACCGGGGCTTCCACCCTCCGGATCACAATGTACCCTCAGCAAAAACATCGATCCTCAATACCATTGTAACCAAGCTGGTACTGTCAATGCCGGAGCTCGGTTCTACGTCGTCATGATTTACCCACACACTGTGGATGCTGAGAACTGCGCAACCATTTGCTCCAACCGAAGAGGCTGCCGTGCATCGGGCTACGATTTCAGTCGCGACCGGTACCAATGTCTGTTTAGTGGCTACTCTTTGAAAGATGCCAACTTCCAGAAGTCATCGGGGGGCCAGATATGGAGTGATAAGGCATGCTGGGAATGCACAACATCTGACGTAGACAAGGCTTGACATACGCCGAGATTCATATTCACAGATTATACCAGAGTCCTGATATGAGCTCTTCGAAAGTGCTTCCCACGTTAATAAATGCACCTTTGTATTTTGTCGTATTCAGCAGTGAAGAAGTGAATTTCCACTAATTCTAACCAACATTGGGCGTCCCAGACATGCCATGCTCGAACATTGTCGGAGGGCTTATCGGCTAGGGGGCTACCACAATGCGGACAGGAGACCCAAGAAGGGTTATCCCGTAAGATCGTGGCATGTTGAGTACGGACCCATGCTGGGCAGTACACGAGTATTGGAGGCATAACGAAAGGATAATAGATTTAGTGTATTGCGATGGAAACATAAACGTGCGCGGACGATGCTGTCCGGGAGCAAACGGGGGCAAACGTGGCCGTCCACGCCCGGGCCGTTCGCGCACATCATTTTTTATTTTCAATACGTAGTATGGTATATTTCGATATGAATTAATCCATATACCGAGGTGGGGTGGGCGACATGGGGTATGGGGTAGGGTCCCTGTATTGACTAAAATCGATGGAAAATGGGTTTTGACCCAGTCCTGGATATAGCCTTCCGTAGTCGTGCGCCGACCCCGCACCAAAAAAGACCTGTGACATCCACTTGATGTGAAGCTAGCTGTCGGCGGAGAGAAGCTGTCGAAGATAAACCAACATGGCTGAACAAAGCGATGAGGAGGGTCACCGAGATCTGAGCTCGGAAAGAGCGACGCGCCGAGTGAGAACTTGGCGTCCTTTGTCAGCCATCTGAAACTCTAGGGCATTGCGCGTGTGCTGGTGGCAAGGACAGGGAAGAAGAATCGGTGGGCTTGGTGGGACAATTTTGTTTGGGGGTAGTGTGAAACGGGGCTAGGGTTTGTCTCACTGTTGTCCGGCACCTCTCTCGGTCCCAATTGAATGCCTCGAGATCGTATTCCATCTACGGCGCCTCAGCAGCAGGTAGTGATAATCGTCGTTCGATTTCGAAGTCTTGGTTGAATTCCAATCCTGCGCTCACTAGCGTGGAAACAGGACAATTGCCACAGCGCTTATTTATATATGCCTCAGATATTACAATTTGAGTTGTGTTCTGATTGGTCTCCGGTGTATCAAGAGTCGATGCAGCCATTGGTGCCACTTGCGTGGCCTGGCCGGCTGCCTCCGTTAATCCGTGGGCTGATATAAGATTTTCCGGCCGAGTCTGGATCGTGAAATTTAGTCTCCGTGTGAAGCATCTGCAGGGTTCCAGACCCAGTTCTGTGCTAGGGTTGCCTTTTGCCCCATAAATCGATAAATCGGCAGCCTCCGCCAGGGTAGTTCGATCCGACCCTTCACAATGCCGAGCTTGCTTAGCCCTCTGGGGTGGCTGGCTTCCTCGTCAGCTTGGCTTTTGGAATCCAGCTTTTGATAAGATCCTCCAGATAGTCATAGTGGAGATGTTGAAACCTTCCAAGCTAAGGTCACCGGCAATATCCGCACAGGTTTTTTCCCTTCCGTATTCTGGCGTACCTTGGCGATGACTTGTTGTTTGGCCTCATCAGTCTGCTTGCTAGGACGGCCAGAGCGAGGAGCGTCTTGCACAAATTCATCCCGGATAGACAGGCCGGACCAAGGGGTCAATCCACGTTCAATAGCCCGGGCATAGATACGGTTGACCTGCCGAATATAAAGCCCAGTTAGGAAGGCAATCTCTGCAGAGGTCTTGCCGCCACAGGCCTTGAGCCCGACGACTAGACGTATTTGGTGCCATTGATCAAGAGAGACAGTAAGGAAGAAAGATGATCGGTGGCGCCGTTAGCGGCTTGGCACGGGACAGAACTTTTGAGATGCTCCTCCGTATAGAGACCATCGAGGCGTCGGGCAGGTCGTCATCAGCGTGTCAAGTCCTCCTCGGGATGCTCCTCGACGACGCTATCGGCCCACCGAATATGTCGTTCCTCAGGCTTCATAGCACCCCCCAACAATTGGGTAAACCAGTTCTCCTGATCTCTCAACACGCCAGAAAGTTCGAGCATCAGAGACTCGAGGAGGTTGGCATGCCCGACGAGTAGGCGGAGGTTCTGGTCGGGTCGGGCAGCTTCAGAGGAGAGCTTAGCTCGTGCGGTGTTGGCAATGTAGTACACCTGGGAGATGGACATGGCGTTCTTGCTTCGGGTTGCCACAAAAAAAAAAAAAAGGACACAGATTAGTTGCCACAAAGGTAAGATGGGATTAAGTAAAGAGCTCACCTCAAGTGTCACGACTCATTGATGGCATAGACCGTGAGGGTGGTCACGATAACGCGAGGGGATGTTTTTGGACAGCTCAGGCCATGTCATGATCATACAGTGAGTGGCAATAAGTTTGAATCAGTGTCAGGTACTTATCGTGTTGTTGTCGTGCCGCTTTTATATTTAGCCCTAATTAGTTGAGTTTTTTTCAGTTCTTTCCTCGCGAACGAGGGGCTGTTTTTAAAGGCGGCGAGGATTTACCTGCCTAATCTAGCTAGGCTAGCCGACGTATACCTGACAATGATTCAAACTTGTTGCCACCCACTGCATGTCACGATCGTGCAATACGCATTCCGTGCCAGCGCTGGGGGTCGACTGAGTTATGCAGGATCGGAAGGGTGGTAGCGAGTTTTGACTCTGATGCTAGGGATGACGTTCAGGACTGGGTGAGCAGACCATCATCGTATTGGACCTCGGCAAATAATGCAGCTATATTCCATTCCTGGGACCCCGCCATTCCTGGGACCCCGCCATTCCTGCCGCCACCTGTACCCATCAGAAATGGGTCTGCGCCTGTGGCATCCATCCATGACGCTCGCGCTTCTGGCTACGCTGGTCTTTGCCTAGACGGGGTCCCGTTCTGGGCACCCCGAAGGGACGACGATCACTTAGGTACCGGATTTAGGCCCCTCACACTCAAGGCAATCCGCCGTACTGCACCAATGGTACTTCGCTGCGATTGAATTTTCGCGGCTTCCTCGAACCTACAAACGGATGGCGCGGGGTAATCGGAATCCTACCTCAACTTAGTCCATGTATAGTAACAACAGAGTTCACAGGGCGTTCGCCTTCTGCACTCCCAATAGATATTCATGCCGTAATCGGGTCATTCAGAATCGACAGCTCTAATATACACCGAGACATCAATTAGCGGTGTCAACGACGTATCGAACAACGATTTTGCCCATGGCCATCAAATCAAACACCTCCGAGAGCCGGCTGAGGGAAACCATCGTGAACGGCACTTTGACGAGACCTGCGCGGAAGAACTCGATCGCCTCGTTTGCGTCCAGACGATTTTTCATAAGTTCCTAGGCTGGTCCGTATACCTGTACAATGCTTCTCATTGCGTCATGCGCGCGTAACTATCATATGAAGCCCATTAATCACATGTTAGCGCCTGTTCAAGCTGATCACACCACAAGTCAACTATGTTTTCTTCCAATCTAATCTCTAGACCCTTCATAAATCTTTTAGCGCTCGATTTATTTATAAAACTCAAGAATGAATTTTGAGTGAAGTGTGTGGGAAACCTGGTCATTCTCGTACACCCCAATTCCGCGCCATTTCGCTGCAAGCTCAGCCCACATCGCTAATATCCTACACTACCTCTGTTCTGTTATCTCGGATCCATTCGACCCAAGATCTATCTTCTTCATTTATTATTATCGAATATGGCCAGTGGCAGCAGAACACAAATCAGAAATACAGCCAGTGGCAAAAGTGAAACCATCGATCCATCATTCAACATAACCCATACGGACGAAAGGGTATTGTGTTTAAGTTGTCGTACATGTCGATGTCGCCAAGGAGGGTGTGTGCTGTCAGCGCACGCTGGGAGCAGTATCTGTCGGAGCCACTGCGCATTGAGATGGTGAACTTTGACTCGGAGCAGCCTGCACTGATGCCAGACTTTGTCGACTTTTGCGCAAATGAACGAGACGATAGCTTGAGACTGCCAACCGTAGCGTTCATAGACCCCGCGCTGTCGTTTCTAGAAGCTTTGCGTTTGGCAGCTCGGACCGTTGCATTAAGTGATGCGCTGATGCTGTAACATTTTGCGAGGTCCAACCCTCGAAAGGGACTAGACGTGGGCTTCACCACCGTGACATTATTGGGGACGCCATTACGTGACTGCAATGGAACAACCTGAACCAGGACATTGTCATCCCGCGGCAAAGTCTTCTTGAAGAAACAGACCTGAAAGTTGCGGCCAGAGTTGTTATCCCAATACTCTTGGCCATTGACGGCGTAGCGGACAGACAAGTGGGCAATTTTGGATTCGAGGTTGACAATGTCGGAGAGCTCAATGGTGAAGACGAAAAAGTCGTAGCCCGAAGGGGCTTCTCCTGAGGCGTTTCCATCGCTGTATGCTGCGGCGACGTTCGAGGTCGTCTTCCAGTTGTCAAACGTGAAGCGACAGGTAACCGACTTTTGAAATGCCACATTCCGGACAGCCACCAAGCCTTGCATGGAATTTTGGTCGTCCAATAACCTCAACTTCTTGATATACACAAATTGGGACTCGCGCGATCCGCTCTGCCGCGGGAAGTTGGGCGTAACCATCTCCCACTGACCCGCTGCATCTTGTCGGGACATGGGACGTTCCCTGCTGCTCTTATCGACTTGACCGGATCGTGACCCAGCGCTGATAGAAAGGGGACAATCCAATCGAAAAAAATTGAGAGTCTCTTCCAAGTGGCTGTGGAAGTGAACCGACTTTGTGGCGGTGGGACTGGTTGGCATGCTCGCAGGGCGCCGACGAGACGGCGGCGGGCGTAGTATGGGCCGGACCAACTCGCCAGACATTTTGCGAACTACCCGCTGTTTGCTTTGTCGCCAGTCCTCTGTTTCGTCTTCGGATTCGGTAAGGACTGCATCATCGGATTTGTGAGGGGCATCACAGGATGCTCTCAGATCTGCCACAATATCTGAAGGGGGCGGCGTCAAGGATGATTCATGAGTCCGAGAGTCCCTTAGCGCCTGGGGGAGATTCTTAGCGGATTGGTTCTCAGATTGTCGGGGTTTCGTTGGCAAAGACCATGGTACATCCAAATGGACTGTCTCAGATGACGGGGAGCATGGAGATGGTTTCAATGGACGAGTGTATGGCATTTTTGGATCAAGGACAAGGAGATGTGGGTAAGCGCTCAGTGGGAACGGTGTGAAGGCTGGAATAGTGTCGCCGAGTGGTGCCGACGTGACCGACGGTGGGAATGCGACAGCTGCAGAATCAAATGGTGCCAAGCGCTCAATTATAGCAATATTAGCCGTAAAGAGTTCGATTTTTTTGGATCTTAGAATGATATGATGAGGCTGAGTGGTAGGGAAGCGGTGCGAGCAAATATTCGCTGGTGGTGCGATGCCCTATATGCATGGTGGTGTTTAAGTGATGGGTGTTGGTGTTGGTGATAGCGATTGGTGATGTAACTGTGGAGGGTACGCTAAAACATCGAAAGTTTTCCATTCTTCCTCTTCTCTCGGTGTACATTCGCCAAGGAGAAAGACATGGTAGACGGCGCCACCGGCACTTTGTTGGAGGGCGCACACCAGGGCATCGGTCGTTCCACACGTACATAATAATGCAGTAAGTATACATACACGCACGCATGATTTATTCTCCCCTAATGCTTGCACAGGTCGAGACCCTGCATCAGGTCACCTGGTTTCTTTTTAGCTATCACAGCCACGAGGTAACTCGTACTATCGCGTGGTGGCGTGATGGAAGACTGGCACTTCCGTTGCATCCGTTGCATCGTGGGGGAATTGCATCAACAGGGCACCTTTAGTTAAAGACGGGAGTCGCTGTCAATTGCAATGGAAGTGAGGTAATTATTTATAACGTGTAAATACAGGTGAGCACTAGCTATCATTCTCGCAGCCATGGCTCAGTACGAAGTTCAAATCAAGTAGAGGACGCCCGGAGCCGTGGATAAAACAAGGGGAGAGAAGATCAGATACCTCGACTTTCTACATACGCGTATTTCGATCCGTAGATTTTTCTCTTGCAAATGTCACCATTCCTGAAGCCTCGACCGGCCACTCGTTGTTAGCATTGATAGCAGAGTCACCAAGTGTGATGGCCGATGCCACACGGCTTCCATCTCGCCCTGTAATTCGCCATGGAGAGCATCCGCGATCTGGATCCCAAGCCCCGCACACCCGACCGGCCCCCCTCAAAGCCTTATCGCCGAATTGCTGGTAAATGCTTACAGTACGCTAGTAGGTACAAAGCCTGTAGCTTAGTCCCTACAGGGTTTCCCTTGCCACATCCCCGAGTCTAGACCTACCGGCAGGATCCAAACCCTTGCAGTCCTTTTGTCATGCCAGCAGAGTCCACAGTCGCATCTGATTGATGGCCAAGTTAACTATGGTTCACAGTGACTTTTTGACTACTGCTCTAATCACCCACTAGCAAACTCATCAGGTCCTGCGGGGAAGAAATCATGACTCAAAACCATGAGATCAATCTTCAACAAGAAAAGCTCCCTTGTTGTGGTCTCCCTCTGCTGACAATAAGTTGCCGATGATTGGTTGAAATCCATGTGGCTTAAAGGGTCCAGGACTTGAGCCATCGTTCGATCCGCGATTCGGACCCCTGGCCGCAAATCGCCCGTAGGAGCCTCCCGCGCCCGTAATGCATCGGGGTGGGGATGGTGGGAAGAGCCTCGCACTGAGAATCTGCACTGCCATGAAGCTAACTGGCGCGCATCGCGGCAAAAGTGCTGCATGGTGAATACTACGTAAAACAGAGCAGCATCCGCCCACGAGCCGGGATCCCAACTTGTTGCCTCAGAATAAGCCACAAACGCCCAGATGGATCGACTTTGGGCCTACGCAATATTCCTCGTGACTCGGCGATGGCCTTTGGAATCAGCCCATACTTGCATCGAGGGGTGGCTACCACTAATTTGCTGCCACAGAGTGTTCTCCCCAACATCCAGAATGCTTCAACTCAAAGCTTATAATAAGTCCCAGCGAAATCAACGCATGACCACTTTTCTCGCCCATTAGAGCATACCAACCCAGACTCAATTCCATTATAACTCATTGCAAACAATCACTATAGAGGTCACTCCAACCTTTCTCCCGACAATGGACACTACAATATGTCCTTTGGACCTGGTCCTATCCCGTTACACAGCCGAAAATGTAGGTACCATGCATCCTCTTTATTTTGAATCCACTCGGGGATCTACCCCCAGCTACTCCGTACGAATCAGCCCTTCCCCGCCCCCCAAAAAAACATCCTTCACACTCCACAGAAATCGATATCCCTGTGGGTTTCCTGCATAATTTTCCGCGAGAACGAGCATAGGGTATCCAGATCGTTGGGACGAACCGTGGGGCATTGTCATCTCTGAAATTGAAGTACATGCTCATCGTTTGTTAGGTTACGGAGTCAGAAATCGGTTGCTTTACGCCTGCGTGGGAGCAATCCATCCCTAGATCCGACAATTACTCGAAAGGGTCAGCATTTTGCGAAAACTGCCATGGGATGGGATGGGCCCCGCGGGGCTTTGTTTTAAATGACTCTTCACTGTCGCCTTTCCAGAGCACAATCTTTTTCTCTCCAGAATCTGACTGCATCTCATCACCCATTATGAAAGAGATAAATATCGACAAGAGCTGCTGCGACAGCTGTAGTGTTACAAGTGTGAAGCGACAAAAGGTATGGTCAAGTGTAAAAGAAGGAAAAAGCGCGTCCTTTCAATTTCTCGGGCAGACTAGACGCCTTAAGTAGGGCCATAATGAGCTAGCTACTGGCCCCCACTGTATTAAAACTCCAGATGGACCGTTGGCTCCATCACAATAGAGCAGAAAGAGGATTGGAGATAGAGGGGCAGTCCGCACCTAATAGGGCCGGCTTCTGTTATCGTATCGTCTAGCCGGATGCTAGCTGACCTGCCTTCCGTAAAGGCACCGACAATCCGGACTAGCTGTCGCGACCAGCCTTGCTGGATCATCCGTAGCATCAACCTTCGTCGGAGGGTGGCATCATAGGCGCCTTTTACATCTAAAGTCGCTATTGCTGCTGTACGCCCGTTCTCCAGGGCATGTTCAATCTCGTGTATAACACAGGCTTATACAGGGTCCTTAGCGCTCAGCAAATTGGAGCCCTACCCAGCTGGTCAGCAATGGACCTGCACTGAACGGCGTTACCGCTTACCAGTGTACAGGCTGCTACTATTGCCTCGAGAATGGGCGTCAGAAACGCGGGTTATACCCCATCCTCTCACCGAACTAGGACGAATGCCAGTCTCATATCACACCGGAGCGGCATGAAAGGGAGTTGCAACGGAGATTCATCAACTCGGGATATAGTTGTACCCGTCGGGGCGGTGCATTAGACAGAAGAAAGTGATACGTGGCCATCGGGTGTAACCCTGCAATCGATGCCGGTGTCCTCTTCCAGTGCCTACGGTCGCGGACCCTGCCCCTGCTCTCAGTGGGGGCGTTTATGACCCCCTGTCGTTAGCTGGTAGACTACAAATTGACGACTCCATGTGGCGCGATCAAGTGTTGCCAAACATCTCGAGAAGGGGACTTGTTTAATGTGATGGAGAAAGACGGGAACACTGCCCGAAAACTGGTCCTAATGCGACAGGGCCAATGTCCCATGGTGAGAGTAGAGACGAACTCTGCAACTAAAAGCTTGCATTGCGTGCTGAATTATTGCATGCTGAATTGATGCGATAGCTTCTTCCGACCTCTGGTGCCCTCACATATCGCACCACACAATTTTCTCTACAATGTGGGATCATGGTCACCGTCGTCCAGGGTAGTGAGTTAAAGCCTGGCTTTTCGACGCCACACTCTGCAGCGGCTTGCTCCGTCTCCCACATGTGACGATATTGAGTTGTAATGTGGGTCGAGACCAGAGAGTGGTTGCAAACCTCAAGAATCCGGTAGCCGTGCAATCAGCCTTATTTCACTCCGTGGCTTGCGCTCATTGGTCGTGATCCTCGACAGGTCAGTGCACATTAGTGAGTGGCTTGATTGAGAAACCCTGCTCATTACGGTTATAAGGATCGGTGCCGCTGGAGCCTTGACACAGGGTACCAGCGGACGAAAGGGTCAAGACCTTGAGAATCTGATGATTCGATACCAGGATTACATCAACGAGCGGGGATTGGCCCTATTTCGTCCACTTCTACGTAGTAATAGCGTCATAATTTCGTGGTCCCTCCAAACCAAGGTCTGGACTCCACATTCTCCACTCCAACATGTTACCTCCCACTTCCCAATCCGACTTTCTGACACATGAATATTTTGCCCGTGCTGGTGGCCTTCACGGCTAACGCCGCTCGTGCGCACCTTGATCTTGGCCATTTTGATTGAGGGTGCCAGCCCCCTACGCGGCGGCTAGCTTTAGCCAGTATTTGACATATTTGTGGTCGAAATGCCCAAGAAGGGTCTAGCTCGACTCGCCCGCCAAACATGTCGATTTTACAGCCCCAGGCGTGGAATGGCAACACCACAAGTCATGCTGTAACACAGCCATGGATGGTCTAGACCCGACTAACCTACCCTGGATTAGAATTCGGGCGTAGTGGATAAAATCTCTTGGATCGGCGATCGCCCACCAGTGATAAGAGGTCGGCGAAGCCAACATTATGGGAAAGGACTTTTCCTGGTGCTTCTTTAGTGAGATTTGGCTGCCTGCAAATGCCATGTCACCAGATTCACAAGACTTTTTGTACCCAGCTTTCAGCCTTGAAGACTAGTATTTTGAGTCAATATGTCCTTGCCAAACTACTGCCAACGACTGTAGGCTTGAGAACAAAATGGACGAGGTAAGCTGACTTGATTTATTCTAGTAGCAATTCCATTCTAGTTATCGATGTCCAGATATAGGTGGATTTAGAGAGGATTGGCAATATGACTGCCCCTGCTACTAGCTGTCCGACATACTCGCTCGTCCAACCCTTGATAACATGATAACTGACAAATGCGATTATTCCGAGAGGGGAGTCGTATTCAAAGGTGTATGCAAGGAGAAGCCCAAATTCGGCATTCATACTAGCTAGTATTTAGTCTAATGCTTATTTGCTTAGATTCCGATATCCGATATTCATCAAATTTTTGATGGAAGTGCATACCCGAGCACCGGGATCCATTCCCCACTCCAGAATAGCACTGATGGCGAATTTACTAATCTGACCTCTCCATTTATAGAAGCGCCTGGAGACTGCCACGATCAGTTCTGGATATCACCCTCTATGACTGATTCGACGGATCCCTGGTCAACTAATACACCGATTTCTTCTATATCACCGTTTGCGATACCCGCTTATCTTCGATTTTGAGGTCGTTAATGCTTCCTGTAAGTCATTTTTGAGTCATTCTGCACATTGGCTAACCTCAATAATAAAGGGGATATACCACCTGTTCCCAACTTCTGGGGTAAAACTGACAGTGTACGCCTTCTGCAACACCTTCAACAACTACAGGGAAAGACTTATTATCTACCTACACTCTGAAAACCCAAGAAAATAAAATAAAGTCCGCGAAAGCGGCGATCGCGGATCAGCGCTTGGCAACCCGGCAAATAGCGACATTAATGACGGCGGACACACAGTGGTCTTCAACTACGGACTGCCTCAAGGAAGCCTAAAAGAGATCCCGAAAGAAAACCCGGAAGCATCTTTGCGATCATCACCCAAAGAGTGTACGCATCAGCGACGACTTGCTCTAGATTCTCACAACCAGGTCGAGAAGCAGTATCGTGAGAGACTGAACATGCAGTACATGAGCCTGCTCACATGCTACCTGCTGACCTTGACCGGAAATCTATAGTGGCTCACACTACTGAAGCATCCGATGACACCGGGGGCAGAGATACCGGAGGAAATGGAGATACCAGAGGAGGCAGGGTTTGCAGTGATAATAGTATCAGCAAGGGCGAGGTTTTGGATATGGCTAGGATGTACATCGAGAGAATGGAGAGGGAGGGGGAGCTGCTACTCCAGGAAAGGGATAGACTGTTGTCCAGCGCAGACTTGATAGTGATGTAATAATGATAAACGGCGGGGTCGCCCACCCTTGGGAATTAACGCCCTGGATCATAGTAGCCCATTCCCTATTTCCTTGTTGGGCCATTTTTGGTCTTCCACGTCGTTCAGCACTCGTAACGACCATCCCAGTTGAGATAATACCCATCATAAACCCAGTCTCATCAAAGTTATAGTAGATATCTGACTCCTGGATACCATATTTCGCGATTGTATTCCGCACAAGCTGAAACCAGCACCAAATGATATTCGGATCTTCGCATTGGGCCCCTTGATAGTCATATCTACGCGTAAAACGCGTCTTGATCTCTGGTTGTCGCTTGACAAAGTTCGTGGCCCAGCACTTGCCGACTGGAGGCGCGTCGCGGTCGGCAAGTAGTCGATTGGCCATATCTTCCACATCGCAAAGCCGGGGAGGAAATGATCGCGCATCTAGGTCGAGGACATATTCAATAATTGTCTTCTCCTCGAATTCCGTGAGCTTTCGCGAATTGGGCGTACTATCGCGTCGGGAAGCTCTCTCCTTAACTCGGCGTCTTAGCGTTGCTAGGCTGACTTCGTAGACCTTTGCAGCAGTCCGTATGTGTCACGGGCCAGGGCCCATATCCTTGCGGCTGTGCCGCAAGACGTACTTGGCTCGTGCGCGCCAGGGATGGGAAATCATTCCACAGCTCAGGGGCACTTAGGAATTTCTTTCTTTCTTCTTCATCTTTGATGTAAATAGCATCCTGGACTAGATAGCTGGAATACAGTTACTAGAGGCCGTTCACATACATCAAAGATCACTTATTCTTTTGTTTGAAGTTAGAACCGTTAGGATGGACAGCCCGACACTACCTGTAGCCCTCGAGGCCATCATGCAGGAACTCAGGCTTATGAGAGAGGAAAACGCTGAACTCAGGAAAGCCTCCGCAGAGAGGAATGAAGAGCTGAGAAGAAGCATTGCAGAGAAGGATGAAGAAATCAGATTGAAGATTCAGGCAGTTGCAGCTGCAGTCCAGGGGGACGGCACTCCCCTAACACCAAGCGGACTCAGCACCCCAATCCCGAAGATTAGTACCCCCGAGCCCGAAATCAAGCACGAGACCAAACCCGAACCCGAACCGAAGCCAGCCCATCGACCGCGCCCACGTCTACCCGACCCTGCCCTCTACGAAGGAAACAAACCCATATGGCCTGGGTGGAAGCTAGAGATGGAAAACAAGCTGCGGGAAGATGCCGACGCCCTAGGCAGCCCCAGGTTGCAGTTCACATATGTATACTCTCGGCTAGCAGGAAAGGCCAAGCAGAACGTCACCACATATGTACGGAATGAGACACGGCAAACCGATACGGAACCGGACCCAGCAGTACTCCTTACCCGTTTGGAGCTCTTATACGGAGATCACGACCTTGAGAGGAAGGCCATTCAAGCACTTCACTCCCTTAAGCAAGGAGAAAATGAGTCCTTTAACTCCTTCTACCCCCGCTTTGAGAAGGAGATCTCCAATGCTAATGCGGAGTCATGGCCGGATAATAGCAAGATTTCCTACCTGGTTAATGCCTTGAATGACAAGCTGAAGATGGCGCTTGTACCGGTAAACCAAGAAGAGCTGGTTACCTATGTGCAGCTGGCAACGAGGTGTCAGAAGCTGAGCAATGCTATGGAGCTCCTGGGTCAATGGAAGAAGTCAGGCAGCAAGGGGCAACCGAGCCCCCCCCCACCAACACCACAGACGGCAAAGAGAGAAGATATGATGGAATGGGAACCAACCCCCACGGGCACGACACAAGTGAACACCTTGAAACCTCGAAGGAATAACAGCAACCTCAATGGGTACCCATCGAAGCGGCCGCAGGATAGGGCACTACTAGGCAAGAGAGCCAAGTGGGTTAGCCAGGAAGAAATTGACGCACGACGCCTCGAGCACCGCTGCCTTCGTTGCGGAAGAGACGACTGCAGGATCCTCACATGCCCGTTAGCAGCGCCCATCCGTCCTGGGTCGCAACCACGCATCAAAATCTCATCGGCGCGCCCTCAGGTCACTGAGGCAGCAGTAGAGGAGGAAGAGAGCAGCCAGGAGGAGGGAGAGGATGAACAATAGGGGCACGCGGCAGCCCTAAGGGAATGGAAGACAGATGGCAAGGCGAAGATGGATGGAGACCCCTTTCTAGCTGATATTAGGCTTAATGGAACCGACTTCACTACAGCCCTTATCGACTATGGATGCCTTTGCTACGCTGCTATGGACGAACAACTCTTCCACTCCCTGGGACTGCCCCGGATTCCTATCACCCCCCGGAAGCTTGAGAATGCAACAGACACCCCGAATACAGTCATCGATACAGTGACATACGCATCAGTTGACATCGACGGGCACCAGCGACAGCGCGTCTTCTTCTATGTGATCCCGAAGCTGAACTATAGTATCATCCTCGGGAAACCATGGATGGAAGATGAGGACGTACATATCTCAGCAAGGAAAGGGCGCCTGACAATCAGATCCTCCGGTATCCAAGTGTGGAACCAAGCAAAACGGCCCCCAGTCTCAGAAACGAAGATCAAGCAGGTAATGGCCTCGGTATTTATGGCCGAGGTACGGCGGGATAGGAGACGTCACGGCACTGGAGTATTCGCGGTCACCATAAAAGACATCGACAAGGCCCTACGACCAAGGGCAAGGACAGATCCGAAGGAGAAGCTGCCAGAGCATTACCACCAATGGCTCCAGGCATTCAGCAGGAAACTGGCCGACAAACTCCCGCCCCTACGACCCGGCATCGACCTTCGAATCGAGATCATGAAGGACAAAGATGGAAACGAGAAGAACCTCCCTTGGAGCCCGTTGTACGGTATGAGAAGAGAAGAGCTCCTGGTCTTAAGGAAGACCCTCACTGAGCTGCTGGACAAGGAGTTCATCCGCGCGAGCAGCTCCCCGGCAGCTGCCCCAGTCCTATTGGTTAAGAAACCAGGTGGAGGAATTCGCTTTTGCGTCGACTACCGAGGGTTAAACAACATTACCAAGAAGGACCGATACCCTCTCCCGCTTCTGAGCGAAACCTTAAGGAACATCGCAAAGGCAAAGTGGTTCACAAAGCTCGACATTATCGCTGCCTTCAATAAGGTGCGGATAGCGGAGGAAGATGTACACAAAACGGCCTTTCGCACGAGATATGGTTCCTTTGAGTACCGAGTCATGCCATTTGGGTTGACTGGAGCCCCTGCCGCCTTCCAACGCTACATCAACAGCACCTTGCAAGAATACTTAGATGACTTTGTTTCCGCATACGTGGATGACGTTTTGGTGTATTCCTCAGGGTCCCTCAAGGACCACAGGAGGAAGGTCGGCCAAGTTCTACAGCGATTGATGGATGCTGGCCTCCAGATTGATATCGATAAGTGCGAATTCGAGGCCAAGACTGTGAAGTATTTAGGCTTTGTGATCGAGGCAGAGGTTGGCATCCGAGTCGACCCTGAGAAAGTCAAGGCAATCAGAGAATGGGCTACACCAACTTCAGTCAAAGGAGTTCGTGGGTTCATTGGCTTTGTAAACTTCTATCGAGTTTTTATCCAAGACTTCTCAGATGTAGCTCGACCGTTGACCGAGCTAACTAAGAAGGATGTTCAGTTCAAATGGGACGACCGATGTGAAGAGGCATTTGACAAGCTGAAGGAAATACTCATCACGGCCCCCATCCTCGCGCACTTCGACCCAGAGAGAGAGACTATGGTCGAGGCTGATTCATCTGGCTACGCTACAGGAGGACTGATGCTACAGAAGGATGACTATAGCATTTGGCGCCCTGTTGCTTATTTGTCGAAGAAGCACTCTCCTGCTGAAGCCAACTACCCCATCCATGATAAGGAACTCCTTGCCATTATACGCTGTCTTGAAGCATGGCAGCCCGAGTTGCAGGCAGTTAAGCACTTTACAGTTCTTACAGACCATAAGAACTTAAAGTACTTTTATTCTGAGAAGCAACTTACTGAGAGGCAAGTGCGTTGGTCCGAGTACCTCGCTAGGTTCAACTTCACTCTAGAGTGGAGGCCAGGCAAGAGCTTGGGGCGTCCTGATACCCTGTCTCGTAGGGAACAGGACCTCCCAGCAGATGGTAGCGACGAGCGGTTGAAGGCTAGATTCATGAAGATGTTCCAGTCCGAACACCTCAAAAGTGTGCACATTGCATCGATGGGGGTTCCGGCGAACCCTGAGGAGATCAACTTTGAGGAGGAAGTACGGCTTTTTGAAGACCAAGAACTACAGACCCTATGGCATGAAGCTCGAAAGGATGAACTCTACCGACAACTCACAATGTGTGTGGCTAGGGACGAAAGAAACTTGCCTACTCACCTTCAGAAGGAGAGAACTATTAGCATTACTGAGTGCACCGTGGATGAACGAGGTCTTCTTCGCTTCCGCGATCGAGTCTGGATTCCGAATTTAGAACCCCTTCGCACGAAGATCATTCAGGATATTCACGACTCCCATATCACTGGACATCCTGGTAGAGACCTTACCTATACTATTCTATCGAGACAGTTCTTCTGGCCTGGGGCTGCAGCAGATGTACGCCAGTTTGTGAGGAACTGTGAGGTCTGCGGCAGGAATACGATCTGGAGAGACACCAAGAAGGGGCTCCTCAAGCCAATGCCAGTCCCTGAGCGCATCTGGGGAGAGATCTCAATCGACTTCATTACAGACTTACCACCATCTGGAAGGGATAAAGCGACAAATTGCATGGTCATCACTGATCGCCTGACAAAGGGGGTAGAGCTAGAGGGAATGGATGACATCTCATCTGAAGCAGTTGCAAAGAGGCTCTTTGAGCGCCACTACCCAATTCATGGCATACCGACAGCAATAACTAGTGACAGAGGGCCACAGTTTGTGAGCGATTTGTGGAAGCACTTTTGCAAACTTCTTAAGGTTGAACAACGGCTCTCAACGGGATATCACCCTCAGACTGATGGCGCTACAGAGCGTATGAATCAGGAGATTGAGAAGATCATACGGATTTGGGCCACCTACACTCAGGATAACTGGCTGGACCTCTTGCCAATTGTAATGGCAAGCATAAACAACCGAGAAGCATCCTCAACAGGCCTGAGCCCATTCTTCTTTATGCATGGCTACCACAACGAACCGATCCGCCTGGTGGCAGACCGCATGACCGAGGGAAAGCAGAAGGAGGGCGAAACTCTCGCTGAGGACTTCATAAGACGATTGCAAGACGCTACAGAATGGGCACAGGCGGCCATCGCCATGGCCCAGGAGAAGCAGGAACGGTTCGCCAACAAGTCCCGTACAGCAGCCCCGAGGTATAAGCCAGGCGATTGGGTCTATCTGAGTTTGAAGAACGTAAAGACCACAAGACCATCGAAGAAGCTGGACTGGCTACATGCCAAGTACCAAGTGGTCCGGGAAGTTAACTCTCACTCCTATCAGTTGGACGTACCTGGTAGGATTCACCCAGTCTTTCACGTCGACCTATTACGCCCAGCGCCGACAGACTACTTGCCCTCACAGAGACCTGATAACACACAACCGGCACCCATTCTGGTTGATGGCGAGGAGGAGTGGCAGGTAGAACGCATTTTGGATGAGCAGTGGAAGACTGAGGAAGGCGTAAGGCGCAAGGAAGCTTTAGTGAAGTGGGTTGGTTACTCTGAGCCTACGTGGGAACCCATTGGCAACCTGCAAGCTACCGCTCAGTGGAAGCTCTGGCGCAAGAACCGCAAGAGGAGCCGCAGATAGCCCTCAACTTCTTCTCCCGGGAGGGAGGGGGGTAATGTCACGGGCCAGGGCCCATATCCTTGCGGCTGTGCCGCAAGACGTACTTGGCTCGTGCGCGCCAGGGATGGGAAATCATTCCACAGCTCAGGGGCACTTAGGAATTTCTTTCTTTCTTCTTCATCTTTGATGTAAATAGCATCCTGGACTAGATAGCTGGAATACAGTTACTAGAGGCCGTTCACAGTATGCTTTAAACTTGGGTCTTTCTGGATAGCTTGGACCGCTAAGACCACGCAGATTTCTTTAGGTGACCCCATTATTGTAGGTTGATGGAAGTTAGTTTGAATGTGGGTAGTCACACGATTGCAGTTAGGTGTTTCACTCACTTATGAACTACGTTAACTATGTTTAAAGAATCATAAAGTAGAGATTATCACTTATCCAATTATCATGATGATTTCCATTCCTATAAGTTATGAAAATTTGAAAGTAAAACAGACTTAACCCTCGATCAACTTGAATCCCCCCTCGGCCACCATCTTGAAGCCACCGTCGAGGTTAGTAACATCAAACCCTGCTTGTTTAAGGATTCGGTAGGCTAGGTAGCCGCGATAGCCCACCTGACAGTACACAACCACTGGTAGTGACTTATCCAGGACGGACAAGTGATGCCTCAAGCTGTCGACTGGTAGATTGATCGCTTCCGAAAGATGGCCACGCGCGAATTCCCCAGGCGAGCGGACATCCACAATCTGTAACTCACCGAGCTTCTCGGCGTTGAACTGTTCGGCGTGAATGATTTCACAGTCTCCACGGAGAACATTCGAAGCCACAAAGCCGGCCATGTTGACTGGGTCCTTCGCCGAGCCGTACGGTGGTGCGTAAACTAGTTCAAGATGCTCCAGATCAAAAACTGTCATGCCAAATTGCATGGCTGTCGCGAGCACGTCAATGCGTTTGTCGACACCAGCCTTGCCTACAATCTGTGCTCCCAAGATACGGCCCGTCTCTTTCTGAAAGGCGAGTTTGATCGTCATCGCTTGTGAGCCTGGATAATAGCTTGCATGGTCTGGGGGATGCACTGTGACCCAGAGAGGATCGTGGCCCAATCGACGAAGCGCTTTGATAGAAAGGCCCACGAAGCCAACGGTCAGGTCAAAGACTTGGCAGATAGCGGTGCCGACATTGCCGCGATATTGTACCTCCTTGCCGCATATATGATCGGCCGCAAGTCGCCCTTGTCGGTTTGCCGGACCGGCCAAGGCGAGCATGGCCGGTTGTCCCATGATGGTGTGTTGAGTCTCGACCATATCCCCAACTGCGTAGATGTCCGGGTCCGAAGTCTGCATGTGCGAGTTAACATTGACTCCGGTTCTTCCCAAATCCAAACCAGCCTGCTTTGCCAGACTTGTCCTGGCCCTCACTCCCGCTGCCAAAATTACCAAGTCTGCGGGTACCTCAGATCCACAAGTCAAGAGGACGCGCGACTTCTCGATCTTCTTAGACGTAGCGTTTAGAAACAACTTGATTCCCTTGCGTTTAAGCTCTGTGTGAAGAATCTCAGCCATATCGGCATCAATTGGTGGAAAGACATGTGACCCGTACTCGACCATCGAAACCTCGAGCCCGAGATTACGCATGTTCTCAGCTACTTCCACACCAATGAAGCCGGCTCCAATTATGCAAGCGTGCTTCACATCGCGGTCCGACATTAAGGCACGGACTTTTTGAAGATCGGAGATCGTCTGCATCGTGACGACATGGTCCAGTTCTGCCCCATCAGCCGGAGGCCGAAATGCTTCGGCACCTTGAGCCAGAATGAGTTTGTCGTAGTCAACTTGGCGAATGTCATCCGTTCCCACGGTCCGCACATTGACCAGGTGATTTTCACGATCAATGCCGACGACTTCCGTGTGAAGATGAACATCGATGTTAAAGCGCTCCTTGAAGTCGTTGGGTGTACGCAGGATCAGCGCATCATCATTCTTGATGACGTTCCCTAGAGCGTAGGGTATGCCGCAGTTGGCGAAGCCGGTGTAACCTCCCTGTTCGAATACAGTGATGGCAGCCGACTCATCGAGACGTCGAAGGCGGGTGGCCGCGGACATGCCACCCGCGACGCCGCCAACAATAATGATTTTCTTAGTCATGTTCGAATGTTGTGTTCTTAATGATGAGTGGTAATTCACAAGAAGTAAAATTGTTGAAAATGATATGGCTACGCGACTCTTGCGGATACAAGAAACTATTTAAATACAACTTGCAAGACTTAAACTGTAACCTTTTCGATCATATCATATAACTTAATCAAATTCCAGCTAGCAAAATGTTGTGACGGAGAGTACGCCGAATGGGGTGATGTGGTTGTAAGCTGCGCCGCTAGTGTTTATTAAGCATGGGGTGACTATGTGAGCAAGCAGTCCGCGGTGCCACTGGTCCCCGAGTCGCCGACCAACGCCGCAGTCCCCGAAATCACGGGTTGATGTATCCTGTTTGAGACAGTATTTGAGATTCATACAGCCCTGCAAATAAGTACGGAGGACCATTTCAAAAGTCTTTGCCCGCGCTACGGACGCCACACCCCTTAATCCTTGTTAAGTACCTGACGGTACATTAGACATTATGTAACTGCAGGTAATCATCCGCTAAACGCACTACAGCTTTAGTGGTGTTAGAGCCATGTCATGCACAGCCAGTGGACTAAGTGCGCCATAATATAGGGCTTCTTATGGCGCTAACACTCGTACAATGTACTCAATGTTCTTCTAACAAGAAAAAGCAATATGTGGCTTGTACGCGAGCAAAGACTTTTGAAATGGTCCTCCGTATGCGGGATAGAAGATGGGGACAGAATCGCCGATGGGTTCCAACGACCTCACCCGATGACTACAACTATTTTTTAGAGGAAATTTAACTGATGGCTGTGGAATTTTTTTTTTAAAGTTAGCTATCTCACGATTTCTAAACTACAACTGCTACAGAGCCGGCTCTTCCCCCTCAAAGCTCCCCATCGCCACATCACGACTGGCGCTGTCAAACACAGCGCGATAGCAGTACCCGCCAGCACTCCATTCCCCTAAGCCATTCCAAATCTGTCGTATAGCGCCGGAGCAAAGAGCGGGATGTAGGCGTCAACGATGTATGTCTGCGCGCATTGAAATGAAAGAACGAGCCCGGCGGCAAAGATGGCGGCTCCTACGTTCGGGATGATCCAGTGGAGCTTGTGATGGGCAGAAATTCCATACAGCAGTAGCCCCGTCGGCGTAACTACTGCTGTCGGAATCATCAAAGAAGAAAGGCAAGACCAAAAGGGACAGCGAGGACGACAGCAGGACCGACAGCGAGGAAGCTTCTGCTGGACTGCCCCCAGGAGAAGACAACGAGCAAACCAAACGGATTCAAGATTGAATCGCATCCAAAAAGTTCCTTCCGAGTCCAGAGGAAGGAAGACGCATTGAAACTAAAGTCCGAAGAGGAAGACATGAAACTAGCCAACCGCGACTTGTCGAGCCAGGTGACCGACCTGAGGCACAAGCTCTACGAGCTTAAGATGCAGTTTCTTCAACACACTGCAGCTGCTCTTTGATCCAAAACTACATCGCCAACGAAGCCGAACGATACATCCGGGAGATCCAGAAGGATTCATCTCAGTGTGAAGTCCACTATGGCCACCAACATGAACTTCGAGTCTGGGCATAGAGGAAGAAAAGAGGTGACAGCACTGACGAAGCACACGAACACGACGCAAATACCACGGCGGTATGGCAACGCAACAACACTCAACACTTCGGACGTTGGCAAAGCGCCATTGTTGGGTGTTGGCATCGGGTCTGGAGATTTTGGATGAAGGCAGCTTCGAATCAATTTGCAATACACGACCAAGACCTTTCTTGACACAAAGTTGACTGAGATTCTAGATATTGTGAAGTTCGCCTCAACCTAGCCAACGAGGTAATAATCTTGATCGTGTGGGCTAGGGGATAGTTATTGTCTGCATCCCCACACCCGTTCTCGAGGAAGCGGTCCATATCTGTTGCTGCGGCCTAAACGCAAGCGTCCTCACTGGCTGTGTATGGACTACATCGACGTCTAAGAACGCCACCGGACCGAGCCAGCGCGTTGGTTGGCACCTGTTCCCCGTCACATCACAGAGGAGGCTTGCAAGCGGGAATGCTTCATGCTCAATAGAAGCCTGCTGCAGCGTCGTATCTGGGCAGACACACCGACGACGATACCAGTGCTGCGGGATCCGTCTCTGGGACATCCCTGCCTTGCTTGGTTCTGCGGCTTCAACCCAGCCAACCATTGTTTGACTGCGCATCCTATTTGCGGCCGCTGTTACATGGTGGTAGCATTCGGGCTCTTTCGACCCGCGACCCGTTACCCACTTACCTGTACTCTCACTGCTCAGAAGGCGGTGGATTGAGGCTTCGATATAAGGCAAGGAGGTAAGGGGGTTTCTGCATAACCATCATGCCGGCATATGAAGTGCGGACTAATGATGGGCCCCTGGAGGCAGGACAGCAGTGAACCAGAAACCACCGACCAGGGTCTGGATGCCCGTATGTTCTTGGCCCACTTTGGCCTTCTTCAATTGATAGGACTTTGAGGCGGCATCACTTCTCCGTTTCAAGCTATTGTGAGGTTTATTTCGATTTTACTTGTTCCGATGACGGAGCGTGTTACATGTGGACCTCCAATAACCTGTCATATCACATGTTATGACAATAACAATGTTTGTATGTTGACCCCCATTCATGCACAATGACAAGACACGAGGCATGAAATGTAATACTACGAGATGAGCGTGGCGTGATTTGTGCAAAGCAATTCTAGCCATTTATTGGCCCCATCATCATCAAATGGCCCCTCAAGTCAAATAGGTATCCCCGGGGACAGCTCAAGTTCAGTCCGGTGCTCAGCGCCCCTGTCGTCAGTATCATCATACTTCACTCGTCACGCGACTCGCCACAAGCAACCAACCCGAGGACAGAAGTGGGTCATGACACCATCCGGCCCATCCACCCAAACAGAGGGCGCGTAGCATGCCATTGCAACAAATATTCAAAATCGGAGACATCGTCGTCGCAAGAATAGCCGCCCACTTCTTTGGTATTGCCGGGCGGGGTAGCGACGGCGGAACGAGACGGCGTGATGGTAGTACTTTCATGGGCTGATGGGGCGTTCCAGCATGTTCTGCTGCTGCAGGTGTCTGGGTTTAATAAAGAGCATGAAGGGACTCCACTTGACCGCTGTAAGCCGAACATAGAAAGCAAGCATCAACAAAGGTATGCCCCCGGTTGATTGAGCATGCGCAGAGGTAGGATGGGATTAGACTGCTAATGGTTCTCTAGCGAAACCACCAACCTACTTACTATACTCTCTTCTATAAACACTCGGATAGCTGCTAAATCCAACTACCGATACAGATGACATACATTCTGTACACTCGAGACACCACTTTGACTGTCCAGACCATCACCGCAGAGCCTGGTTCCTATACTACCAATACCTCTCCAACCATCTCCAACACCACCAGCCCGTCCATTTTACAAAGTACATTTCTCAACATCCCCACATCTATCTCTGCATTGTGAATCTGCAGCCGTTGACACCGATCCTCCATCTTAGATAACCCCCACCGTCGTCTTAGCGCCCACGCGCAAGCTGACGCTGCCCGCGCCATGCGTCACACTGACAGCTGGACGCCTATCGAGCGCCGCCAGAGCTGGAGTAGAGAGGATCAGAAGCACGAATTGCAAATGACGGGGATTAAAGATACCGAAATGGGACCAGGGTTCACGGAAAGTGGAGGCTGAAGACTCACGCGAGAGAAAATCACCCATGGGCCGGCTATGCTAAAGACTGGTTCAAGCAGGTGCACCCTTGAGAATGGTGATTTGATGGGAATTGTATGAAGGTAGGAGTAAAATTGGTATGGCGGCATTGGAAAATTTGCATACCCTCTGGCAAATACGCAGAGCAGAAGAAAATTCTTACGGTAAAAGGGGAGCAAAATTGAAGCTCGATACACTACTTGCTAAGAGAGTATAGGAGATCATGATGGCGTGGTAAGGGAGGTAAATTCGAATCTCCAGCTTACGAGAGGCGCTCTGGTGCTTCCTACAGTAGATCTGCCCGTTGGAACGTTCGGGATGGAATTAAAGCTGAGTGCGGGGTAGGTCTTGTTGAGGATCTTGCTGACCAAGGGGTTTTTTGAAGGTGGTACAAAGCTAGCATGGTACAGATTACATAGAGGGCAACTACCCGTTGGTTCATGTGTGAGGCAAGCCTCAAGGCGAACCAACTCAGCAAGCTTAGTTGGCCACAAAATTGCGAGACAGTCACAAAAATGCGAGACAATATCAGATTTGCTTGCAATTTGGTATGTCAATGTTAACCGAAGAGGAACCGGGCAAAATTTTGGAACTTGATCTTTGATGCGAAAGAGGTACTTCCCGCACTAACGGTTTTACACAATAATCCCTTGGATTGAATGTGCCGTACGCTATCCAACATCAGGCGGTAAAGTTACACCCTCCCTATACACCAACAGCCATGCTTAGGATCAACGCCATACTAATTATCAGAAAGTTTCCCAAACCCAGCCTGTGTCGAGTTCCGTCGTTTGTTTCCGTAGGAGCAATATCCGGAAGTGAAATACTTGGTGTCCCGTAAAACGTTACAGTATAAGGCTCATGAGAAGCGGTCGTGTAACTCAAGTCAACAGTGAATGATGAAGTCGATGTCGATGTTGGATCTGGCTCTGGAACGGAGACAGTCTGATTACGCTCCCGTTGCTCAGACACGATGCTCGACGGCATCGGCGCAACACCAAAGCCTTCTTCGCTGCAGACATCGGAATAATCGTTCGGATCGATTACCATCACCTGGCCCATGGCATCCACACAATATCGACAGCTGGAGCAAATGCGTAAGCGCGTCTTCGCGAAGTCTGGCCGCAGGAACTTACGCCCTGTTCGTGGGAATCCATCCAGATTCGCAGATGCATTCATAGTATTTAGCGCCGTCCTGGTCTTTGCAGTCTCGGTCTAGGTCGTTGAAGGCGCTACAGATGGAGTCTTTGCCCATGCAGTACTCGTATGGCGATAGGTCCGAGGATGCCGATTCTTGGGCGAACAGAGCCAAGGTTACGTCCATTTTCGATTTTTGGCCTCCCCAGCTTCTCTTCTTGGGGCACTTTGACGAAACGCTTGAGATATCCGTCCGGAGGGCAGTCAGGGTAGACGGTTGCGATGATTCAAGAACAATCAACCTCTCACTCCTCAACGAAAGCCCAGCAGGCGGAGCTCATTCAAATGCATGGGTTTCAAGTGCCGAAATAAACGCAAATCTGTGCCTTCGGGTTCCATGCCTATTTGAGAAAACCTTGTCCAGCCTTGACACTAGACCGGAGCAAAATTGCGCCGTCTGATGCTCTCGCTTGAGCAACTTTGGTTGACGGCTGGCCTGGCCGACAAAGCTAATACGGAAACAGGAAATGGCTCGCACTCAAGCACAAGTTCGCAATTGGCTGCTTGGATCTGATTGGGTCACACTCGGGACAGCGACGATCAAGGACCCCTGTCATCAAACAAATGGCGGGATTAATGAAATGCGTTACAGGGGGCACATGAACGGGTTGGCAGCGAGATTTGAGTGGGCCAAGGCCTAGCCACGGTTACACAGCCCCATTGCAGGCTGAGGACATGGACAGAAAAACCAGTTGCGTCCCACAAGTCGTTCAAGTCAACTCAACGACCAACACTCATTTTCACCATGGTTGACCTGACGATCGGACAAGTTGCAGCCATCATTGCATTTGGTACCGTGATTGGTGAGTGAATTTCTGAAACATGTTTTTAGCATGACATTTGGTTGACGAAGCGATCATAGCCCGTGTGTGGTGTCCGACGATAGGAACTTTTATCCTTGCCGGACAGCTTCGCGATCGTGAAACGGCAGCTACATGGTGAGTGCAGACTCTCTTCTTTGCTGCAACGCTATTTCTAACCTTTGGCCGACCAAGGACTGTTGCAGCACAACACATACAAAGCTCATATTGGCCGCTTTTGCTTCGATCTGATGCAATCAAAGACCGCGGAGTCCGTAGACCCGTCGTTGCCATCACATTAATACTGCCACTGCTAAGCCTCCTCATCGCAATAGCCGGTGTCGTAACTCCCCTTGGTCTTTACGAGTCGAATGATCCCAAATCCGAGGCCGTTACGGCTGACTTTGCGTACGTTCCGGATTCAAGCACTTTCTATGCCGCCACATCCACACGAGATGACAAACCTTTCACACGAACGTGTAGTCGTGACAACTGCTATTTCCCATGCCCATACACCTCGGATGTGACTATCATTGTAGAAGATGGTCTATCAAGAAACTGTACTTTTGTCGGGGGTATTAACGCGACTGTCCCCGATATTCTCCATGATATCTACACGAGCGGTACGCAATACGAGAGAACCACTATCTCCAACTACTTCGACATAGAGTGGCGCCAAACCACGACGCAGTACGATCGCCTTCTCGACGATGGCGCGCCGATCGCTGCTGGGATCTTCCGGCACCTCGAGACCATTGCGCTTATCGATGATGTGCGCGCTGTTGAAGGATTGGTTGTTGATGGAAAGAACGGCGGCATTGGATTCAGAAACCATACTCTTCCGTCTGGCTATCCTAGAGGCGTAACATGGACGGAGGACCTTCTGTTCTGGGAGCCCGACGTGGAGTGCGTTGACACAAACACCACTTTCGACTTTGAGGTCACGACGAGATCTCAGACTACTTCCGGTCTTTCAGTTTCCAAGTTACGCCTTACAGACAGGGGCGGTTTCGTCGATCTCAACACAACAGATCCACTGGACGATCAGCGTAATGGTGTGAACAAACCTGATCTGAGGACGAGGGCGTATCAGGCGGCATGGGCTACTAATGCCTTCTCCATGCTTTTCATGAACATTTCCAACGCCATAGATCCGCGAAAGAAGAATAAGCCTTTTGAATGGATCAACTCGGAGATTGGGAAACACTTCAGGATCCCTAGCTTGGGGGATGACGCGAGCTACTTCACGCTCGAGTTTATCGACGACTTTGGCTACCATCTTGGGGTCTCGGCGATAATCAGCGACACTGACGGATACACTGAAGGATTGTACGAGAATCCTTATAACATTACTAGTGACTCGTTTGATGCCGCAAGTGAGACTCGATATATTCCCTTGGTGTACGGACACAGCTAAAACCCTCTTTAGGAGATTTATGCCAGGGCACTCTACATGATGCACCCACCAAGCTGAACAACACTTTCGTTCTCTGCAACCTTATTAGAGGTGTCCCGGAACGAATAGATGATGGCCCGAAGATGATATTCGAGGATCAAAGTCAATGGTCCTCTCCTTTATACGCTTGCGCTTCAGCTGTCAAGGCAACAGTCAAGACCGTCACGTTCTTCCACAATGGCACAGATGCAGCCATTGATAACCTCGTGATCAAGGAGATCAAGGACAAGGATTACGGTACACAGGAAGAAATGCCGCTGTGGGGTGTCGAAGACTCGTCCCTCAGACTTGACGAATTCCAACCGATCTGGGGGCTTTTGCACTCAGCGTACGAAACGTTTCGCAATATCTCGACGATCCGTGCCCCGTCTCTCTACTTCCTAGGAACCGCGATGAATGGCTGGATCCAACAGGACCTTGACCCCCAATTCACACGCATGAACCTCCCCGCGTCGATTGTTCCTACCGGTGCTTTTCTTACAATTCTTTCAGCTACGACTTCTACCCCGCCAGATTACGATCTGACGGGTCAAACAACCTTGAGTTTGTGGCTGAAGTGGCGGGAACTGTCGAGATCTGCATCGACTATCTTGAAGTTGCTCTGGACCGATCTTGCGGCTTCCGCTGTAGTCGGGACGAAAGGCGTCATGGGTCAAAGGAATGCCCAGCCGGACGAAGCAGTGGACATATCTGTCATCCCACTGGTGCATAGAGTCCGATATCGCTGGGTATACGGCATACCTGCCTTTCTCGTGCTTGCGTGCACGGCACTCATTGCGGCGGCGGCGATTGTGTCAGCGGTGACTGGACAGTCCAGTCTAGGGAAGCTGAATTACCGCCTGAAACAAACGTCACTCGGTCGTGTCCTGACGACGCTGTTTGACCCGGCAGCGAGTAGCTTTGCGATGACCGCGGCACAGTGGAACAAGTTCAACGCAAGAAAAGAACTGGATTTCGGGTCAAGACAGCCGATACTCGCCCCGGAACCAGACTCGCAGCCGCCATCGATTCGACACGAGAGAATTCTCGTGGCAGCTGAAGGCCAAAGTTTAACACAGGAGTGCCAGCCCTCGGAGAACCAGCAGGTTCACGAAACGAAGTATAATGCACAGAGTGGATAAGACGGAAGTGTATCCGGCAAAAGTATGATAGTTGGTGTTTCGTTGCTGAACCACTTACTACGTGAGAGGGATCAATGGAGACAAGTTTTCGAGTTAATGCCCCTTTATCACGCTTTGATGACTGCTTCCACAATCCCGATCCGAGTCCTCGTCGTTGATCCAAAACTTGACAACCTCGGATCCCGCTTCCGACAAAGCGCGGCCCACTGATGCGCGAGCGTTCCAAAGAACGGTTGAAAGTCATCCAGAATCATGCCAAACCCAACTAGGCCAGCGTGAAATACACCTCTCTGTTTCCTTAAACGAGACAGCCGCGCTGTATATAATGCCGTGTATGTAGCAGTCGCCGATTAAGGCGTGGTTCCTATTGTCGTTGGCGACAAGGACGAATGGCACTGATAAGCCGTGTAAGACGGCAATCTGCTGGCCGGGCCGGGATGCATCGAGGTAAATTACCAGGAGGTAAATTACCAAAACCCCTAGGTAAATGACTGTCATAAACCCGAGGTTTATGACCGTCATTTATCACGTGCTTCCAAGCACTATTTGGTGACTACGGAAATATTCGTCAATGCCATGAAGTTTAGGACGGCCTCCCCGATTGGTCATATTGACTCAGTAATGACCATAAATAGTTGTTGTCGGTGAAGAAATCTCAACAGCAAAGCATCGGGGGGTGATGAAGCCTCCTCAGGGGTCGCAACAACTCATGGTCTTCCCCCGCTCCAACCCCTTTTGGGATACTCACTAAACCCAGTTAGGAAGGAGGTTTATGACGGTAAATTACCCGTCAGTTGGGGTTTATGACGTCAATTGGTAACTTGGGGTTTATGACGTCAAAAACGCATCCCTATGGCCGGCATGGGCGTCCGGCGGTATGAGACTAGCGTACCCTCGCCTCGTGACGCAGAAGCGTCCGCAAGAGAGTCTTTTAGCTAGTGAGACGGCCGTGTGCTAGTCAGGGCTCCGATCAAATACACCAGATATACCTCCGTACACGTTGATCAATTTGGTTGATCAACCGTCCACATACACCCATTACACCGAGCCCCTGCTTAAGGGATTTTCCGGTGATCCGCCGGATCCGGTGATCTGCCGGACTTACACCCACCTGCATTCCTGACATCAATCAAGAATAATTCCACAACCACAATGCCAAATCGTCTGAAATTAAACAAATGACGAAATTGCACCAGTTAGATTCGTCTCAATCTATCTCATAGTCATGAAGCCATCGTGGCCGCTTGCTATTCCGCTGCGGCCGCCCTGAGCTCCGAAATCCAACTACCATCTCCCGGTCACTCTCAACAACTAAAGAGGGCCTTTTCGGATGAGCTGTGAGGATTGGGGTGGTCGTTGCCTTCCCTTTTGTGTTGTCCTTTGGTAGGTCTGGTGCCTGCGATGCTACCGACGGCCCTGGTGTGGGCGGAAGAGCGACGATTATTTCGTCTCGAAAGCCTGGACTCTTCTCGCGAGCTTCAGAAGCCACCCGTCGTTCATGCTGTATTTGATGTGCCATTTCCTGACTGCGACGTTTCATTTCTTGTCGGATTTGCCGATTGGTCTCCTCTTGCCGCCGGGCTTCCTTTATCTGCCGCTTTCTCTGTGACGGTACAAGGGCACGAACGAGGTCGAGTGCGACTTGGGCAAAATGATTGTTTACAAGGAGAGAAAGAGATTCCTAAGGAAAGCTCTGACTTAAGCTATTTATACAATGTTCATAAAATGAGACTATTCATAAAGTATGAAAGTCACATGATCGTTCCCTCACATTCTCTCCATTTCCGCCCCCCGTTCCCTCCTCTTCTCCAACGCGAGAGCTTTTTGCTCTGCCGCCTGCTGCCGTCGTTGAACTTTTTGCGTTTCCTTCTGCAAAGCTTCCTCTTTCTTTTGAGTGTCTATCGCTACTTTCTTCAGACCAGCTTGAGCGACTTTTACTGGGCTAAATACCTGAGATGAATTAGGATCTATGCGATCAAAAAGATAATCTTTCAGAGCTTTACCACGCTATCTGCGCTGCTTCTCATGAATAATTGTCTCGCGCAGTCCCTTATTTTGAAGGCTTTCGATCAAACGGCATGAGACCTGCCCATTTCCACCCACTCGCAGTCTTCTACGGAGAGAAGGAAGTCTCAAATGCATTCTAAAATAAGGTCCAGAACTCAGATTTAATAGACCAATAATGCCCTGTGTTTTTGCCATTCAGTGGATAAGCTGATTTGTAGATGTGGTTGAGAGGGGGCTGAATAACAATGTCTAAGGGGTGCAGCTAATGCGTGGAATGAGGGGGAAACACCGCAACGATAATCCGGTGCTGGTCACACCACTCTATAAAGTCCATATGAATATGGTTAGAGTGCCCATCGGTAATGAGAAGGCGATAATCACGACTGTTTCGAGCTTTCGCCTTGGTAAAGCGATTGAAAATACTTATCAGCCACTCCTTTCCAAGCTCGTGATTCGTCCACCCCGTTTCTAAGGTTGTAAAGAAGTCGGATTGATGCTCCGGGTCAAATTACGTGAGCCAGGAATACTGGACTTGCCCTGGATTGCCTTCGAGATGAGGAATGGAGGCAGCGACGTCACGTCCTGGTAGACGCACGCCAGGAACGTAATCTAGGATCGGTTGCCATCTTGTGCTACGCCGAGCAATTTGCCTTACTTTTGACACTAAGGGTAAATAATCTTTTCGTTCGATTGATTATTCCCAAGAGAAATCCTTTCTTGTCCACATTATACGTGTTGCAGAGCCGTATGTCATATTTCTCGATTTTCGCGCGGATCTTCCATCATCAGCACCGAAATAGATGCTTTGCACATTAACTTATAGGCTCAAAGTAAGCTTTATACCTGGATACATTATCATCTCTCTTCCTTGCGATGTCCAGCACATCGAACCAGGTGTAACCGAGCTCATCACGATTGCGTTGAACGAAGCTGTACGGCCAGCTCTTTCCGACCTCGATTTTCGCGATATCCTGAGCGAAGTTCTTTATCATAGGTAGGGTAGCGGGGATACCATGTGATGAAAGCTTATGAATATAGGCAATAAGATCCCGTTCTTATTGTTTTGATAGACGTGACTTATACAATCTGTCAGCATACCGTGTTGACCGTTGTTTGCTTTGATGTCGGCGTCGCAAGGTAGTCTCGTCGCAATTGAAAAGCCGTGCACTCTCAGCATAATTAACTGATTCCGACAACTTCAGGAAAGCAAGTGGCTCATCAATCGGCGCCATGGTTGCTGAGTTATTGCCGATTGGTGTCGAGTACCGGTAGATATCGCTATGAACTCTCACGTTGGGTTTATCATTATAGAGAGAATGATGACCTGGAGCAGTCTGCTTGGGCCTCCTTTAAGACGCAGGACCCTGGATATATATGTTACTGATGCGGTTGTTGAACAACTAATACCCTGACTCGCTGCAAGCAGTCAATCTATATTGTCCTTTTCTTCCCGTATCTCTTCACTTCAGCGCCGGCGCTGTTTATTTTATAAAATTCCCCCCCAAAACGCAGTCCAAGTCGAGCAGATGGCCTCTCTCCGGATGCCTCCAGCCAAACCCGGCATTTTTCGAACCACCTTGACTCGACTAGGCATTTCTCACGACTCCTCTGAGAAAGTCCAGGCTTCTATTGAGGCCGAAAGCCTCTCGGACGATGGGTCCATGTGGTCCAACGGGCCAGACAGGATCGAAGACGAGAAAGACTTGGTGACAAAGGTGATCCATGCCGACGACGACCCTTCGCTCAATCCATGGACCTTCCGGATGTGGTTCATCGGTGAGTCCACTCCCAAATCGTCGGCGGCGTTACTGATATTCATTTTCGTAGGTATTGGCCTGGGCATCTTCGGTGCCATTATGGAGACGATCTACTTCTTTCGCCCCGTCACACTGGACGTGTCCAACATCTTCCTCGCCCTCTTGAGCTACATTTTCGGCACCTTCCTGGAGTGGTTTATTCCGAAAACAGGTTTCATCGGGCGGTGGTTCAATCCTCACCCGTTCAATATGAAGGAACACGCAGCCATGGTCGTAATCGCCTCGTCGGGGGCCCAGACTGCCCTAGCCGTCGAGGTCATTGCCGTCCAGAGGCTGTTCTACGACAGAGCGCCAAACGTCCTCATCTCCATCCTGCTCGTTGTCTCCTCGCAGTGTGTCGGGTATGGCTTTGCCGGACTACTTCGCCGAGTCTTAGTGTATCCCACCAAGATGGTATGGCCCAGCCTCCTGCCGATGAACACCTTGCTGGAGACACTCCATCGCGACCGCAGGGAGACAAGGAACCGCCTCCGCTTCTTTTGGTGGATCCTCATTGCCGCCTTCGTCTGGGAGGTCCTACCCGAGTACGTCATGCCGATTCTGACCGGTGTCAGCGTCTTTTGCTTGGCGAAGCAGGATAGTATGATCTTCACCAACATCTTTGGTGGATCTAACGGCAACGAAACCGCCGCTCGCGACCTTGACAAACAGCCTGGCTGGGTATATCATCTGCATCTTCCTGTTCCTCGGCGTCTACTACGGGAATGTATGGCAAGCTCGAGACTTTCCATTCCTTTCCCAGCTTCTGTTCTCTCAAAATTCGACGAGTTCCAACTACGTCGTGTATAACCAGACGGAAATACTCAATGACGAGAATGTGCTGCTGCCGTCTGCACTGGAAACCGAGGGCATTCCTTTCTTTGCGGGGACTTATGCCATGTTCCTCTTTACGACCAACCTTGCTGTCACTGCAACCGTTAGTCATCTCTTGCTCTGGAACTGGGATGATCTCAAGACTGGGTACTCGTTCCTCTCGCCCAGCAGCCTTCGGCAGCTGCTCTCCCCACGGTCATGGAACCTAAGATTCTAGCAATCTCAAGACAACAGCAGCCGAGATATCGATGAGGAAAAAGATCCCCATTACCAACTAATGCTGGCATATCCTGAATGCCCTAGCTGGTGGTACGCCTGTATTCTCATTCTATCCGTCATCATGGGTGTCGTTGCCATATACGCGGCAAAGTCGACTCTTCCCTGGTACGGGTTCTTCACCAGCCTCGGTGTGGCTGGAACCTTTATCCTCTTTTTCGGCGCGCAGGTCGCACTTACGGGATACCAGGGGAACGTGCAGCCGATCGTGCAGATGATTGGGGGTTACCTCCATCCTGGCCAGCCGCTTGCAAACATGTACTTTACCCTCTTTGGGTACAACTCGGTCATTCAGGGCATCAGTATGGTGCAGGACTTGAAGTTTGGGCAGTACGCAAAGCTCCCGCCGAAAGCGACGTTCTGCGCCCAGGTCGTTGGTACTCTGGTTGGCGCTGTTAATTATATCATGATGGTCGAAATCACCACCAACCAGAGAGACATTCTCTTGTCCATCCAGGGTACTAATATCTGGTCCGGTCAAAACATTCAGCAGTTCAATTCCCAAGTACGTCACCCACCCCTGCTGCTTATCATGGACTGAAACTAATCGCTTAGGCAATTGCATGGGGAGCTCTAGCCGAGGAAATGTTCTCCCCAGGCTCTCGCTATGGACTCATACCCATTGGTCTGCTCCTCGGCTTCCTCCCGCCGCTCATCTTCCATACACTTCATCGGGCATATCCGAGAATCGGCTTCTCCAAGATTAACACGCCCATTATCCTCGCCTACGCGGGAATTCTCAGCGTTGGGATCTCGTCCTCCATGCTTTCGTACTTTGCCATCGGCTTCGCGAGCCAATTCTGGCTCCGTCGATGGAAGCCAGACTGGTTCATAAAGTACAACTATGTCTTGGCGGCCGCGCTCGATGGTGGCACGCAGATTCTTGTATTTCTCCTCACGTACACCGTTTTGGGTGGCGTTGGTCCAGAAATCAAGTTTCCCAAGTACCGGGGCAACAATGCGGATGGAAATTTCGACTACTGCATGAGAGACCCGGGGGCTGGTTCTGTGGCCGCGGGCCCGATAGATCTGGACGGATAACTGAGCGGCACGAGAGGGGTATTACAAGTCCAGGGAGCTACTACGAGGAAAAAAGAGCATGCTACCGGTAGGAGCGAGTTGAGAACGAGAACAACCCGGACGAAACGGATTCTCAAGCTTATTATTACTCAGCAGCAGTGAGGAAGCGAGGATATCGCGGCGCGGCGTGGGCGGCGTGGCGCTGCGTCATTCTGGCAGGATCCAAGCACATTCATGGAACGGCCTTGTATCGATCTAGATCATCCTTAGCTAAGCATACCGTAGTTCCTACCTCTTCTAGCAACTTGTTAACCCAGATTCGAAGGACTTGTATCCGGGAGGTGCTTCCGGTGACTCAAGCCTTGCGAGTTCGTCTACTGTAACACCCTCAGCCGCAGTGCAACTTTGGAGGCAGAAAAATTAGAGTACGACCACTAAAAGTGGTTAGCCGAATCTAGCAGAGGTGCTTGAGGCGTTGAGAGCTGGCACAGTGGAATGTCCTTACGGCTTTGAAGTTCACTCGAGCATGGATAAGGCTAGTCAATGCTGCGATAGCCTCATGTTGCAGTCGCCTGAAGCTTCTACCAGGACCCTGGCTGTTTTTGTTGCCTCCTGACCAGTTCCGAGATTATTTTCTTCGATTGTTGCCTCATTGAGAAGTTCCAACCTTTCCTCTACAGCGACTACGTAGTAGAGCACCGTATTCGAGATGTCCTGAGCGATTAGCCGCTCAGTTGGCGGCAATACTACCTCGGTTAGGATTAGTTGTTTGATGTCCTTGATGTTTCGCGGGGTCAAACGACGGTGCGACGAGTACTACCCCTTTGTTAGCTTGATGGGTAGTCTGAGCGCCATCGTTTCGGCACTTGACTAGCGCAAGCGATACGTTTTAGAATTAGTCAACGGAGTGAAAGGCTTGTGCTAGCGCAGTTAAAAAGAAAAAAAAAAAGATCAGGGGCTCCGACGCTCTAGCACTCTTTCAGCGAGGAGGCTCATGATACACTATCTCAAACGTCAGGGGATGACGGAACAGAATGGTGTAGTGGCTGACTCATGCCTCGACGACAATTGGTAGCTCCTACTATCTATCCTCTGTGCGACTACAGTTGACTCTGGGTATTTTTAGACGTTGTATCGTTTCAAGCCTTGAAATAGCTCAAACATTACCGACAAGGCCGGGGCCCTTGTCAACTAGTAATATGATTTAGGCTGGTTACTATTGGCTAGTTGGGATTTTCGAACGGTGGCATGTCCCAAGGGCTGTTAACTTTCATACATGTTGGGTTGAGTATAAAAGGATGGAGTTTCTCTCGAGTTGGTACCCTCGATATCACAATCAACTCAGATCAATCAACAGTCCGAGTCTTATCAACACTCCACCATATTCTTTTCCCAATGCATCCCACATATCTTCTCGCTGGCCTGGCTGCAGTCATTCCTGCTGCCTTGGCAGAAGAGCTCCGTGCAGACGATGTACCATCAGCATGCACGACTATCTGCCAGCCCATTGTCGATCTTACCAATACATGCGATATCGACCCCAACGAGACCGACAACGATGATGACAAAAGAAGGAAATTGCGCCTCCGCGAAAGCAACGAGTCTGATGAAGAGGCTATCGAGGCAAACTGTATTTGTACGAATACCAGCTTCGACATTGCTGCCGTGATGGCGCTCTGCGCGAGCTGCATGTCCCAAAATAGCCAGTCGACAGAAGGTATGGACTCCTAAAATAGCACGTTCGAGTATGGCTACATGTAGATAGCTAACAGTCAAGTAATAGATGTCGATAAGATCATGTCGCAATGCTCTTTCACATCCACTTCGTACGTGGCCTCAGCCACGGCCATAGTCTCAGGCATTCAGGTCGAGGCTACAAAGCCAGCCACGACTGGGGCTTCTGAATCTACTTCCACGAGTGGTGCGTCGTCGTCCACCGACTCCGCTACCGGTGGCGCTGGGAAGATGGCTGTGTCCATCATAGCTGCTGCAGGGGCCGGGTTAATATTCATGTTGCAATTGTAAAGAAGCTCCAGTAGGGTGTTAGGAATAGTGTCTTAGTGATGAATCAAATTGAATATGTTAGCGAGCCAACAGTATCTCTTTTCTAGTGGTAACGGTGTCGTAGGAAGGGCCGTGCCGATTTAAATGACATCACTAGTCACTAGCTCTCATCGACCTCTGTGTCTCGAGTCTTAAATAGTGCACCGGTTGCATTCTAGTAGCGCTGTTGTGGCCCCCTGAGTCGGAAGTTATTTATTACAGTAATTCACTCAAGCACAAGCTGTTCGCTGTCGATTCCGATAATGGCCTCTTGCGGGTCCCTAAGGCCGCCGCGAACCAGGCAGGTTGCGGTGAGGGTATATCTATCCCTTTGAAGAAGGATGGCTTGTGAGTCCAGACCCTACTGTACTGGCGTTTTCTAACCCTCTCCACAGAACCATCCAGATGGTCGAACCTTAAGTCACATTCGCGCGTGGCAAACCGATGGCGGCGACATTTGCTCCAAATGAGTTCCTTAGAAAATGGCATTGGAACAAAAGAGTGCTCTCAACCACAGAAGAGATGGAACGAAAGCTGAAGGCCAGCGAAAACGAGAGGTTCAGGCTGTACATCGAGTTTGCGAGAGCTGCTGCATCCGCCGCGGACCGACAACCACAAATTCATGATTGCCTGTTACAAGTGCGAGGACTGGTTGTCCTAGAGGCCGGAAGAGAGAGCCCTGACGCCTTGCGAAGACCGACCACCTGCTTCGAAGGCGCCATGGTCTCCCTTCGCCATGTAACCATGGCCGCAGCACAGACCTCAAGAGTTCCGCCGAGCACGCGATGGGTGTCTTTCGACGGTTGGGACTACAACGGCATGAAGGAGCGTTTGCAGGGACTGCTCGCAAAGATCGACAAGTCTGTACTTGTGCGCCACGCCGAGCTCATCAAGGGCCAGGAAGTTACCATGAGCCAGCCCTTCTCGGCGGGCCAGTACTGGATCCGTTTCGAGATGATTGCCGAGGACGGCAGTCTGGTCATTGCCGAGTTCGCTTGCCTCGGCATCCTGACACCCCGCCTACGGTCAGTGAGGGAGATGAACTATACGCCATTGCCTGCGAGGTCGCAACGATGAAATTTGTGAGGCAAAACCTCCCCGCCGTTACTATTCCTCGTGTATACGCCTATGAGGGCCCAGGGTCGCAGCTTGCTGCCGATGCCGGTGCCATATACATGCTTTTGGAAGGCTTCTATGGGAATACCTTGCAAGATGTTGAGTTCGATATGTGCAACCTATCGGTAGGTGGTTCTCTAATTATACCACCCCAGCTCTGCCTTGCTTCCTCTTGTTTCTGCCCTGATTCGTTTATTTTGCCTCAAGTATCCACACAGGCAACATCAAAGGCATAAAGTCTGCTGCGAAACTTCTAACTAGATGCAGGTTGCAGCTCAAGAACATATTATGACCCAATGGACAAGGTACAAGCAGAACTGGCGACCTTGGCGTATCCTTGGATCGGTTCCATCTCTTCCGTATCAAAAACGGGAGAGCCTATTATTGACAGGTTGGCCACCGCCTCGGCCGAAGAGCTTAGGGACGAGGGGCCTTTCTCTAGTGCGGCTGAGTATTTCACTGCCGTTGGAGACGCCGCAATCAGCAAGCTGGATCTGTCCGATACGGATTTAAAAGGCAGTTCAATGTCCTTTACCAGGCTGGGTGCCTTTGTCTTTCGCGACATCGTACATAACACTGCATTATTCGAGGACAGTGACACTGATGGGCGATTTCCCCTCAATCATATGGATCTTGGCACACGGAACATCCGTGTCGACAAGAACTTCAACTTCCTGGCTATCATCGACTGGGAGTTCGCCCAAACCGCCTCCTGGCAGGTCAACCACTACCCCATGCCCTTTCCGTTGCTGGGGTCAGAGGCGGAGATTGAAGGCATTCTTCAGGATCCCAATCACCTTGCGCACAGAAACGTGTCGCGGCAGGAGTCTGCTCGAAGAATGTACACCCAGAAGTTCCGAGACGCCGAGATGGAACTTCGGCAGAAGGGACCGTCCCTCGGAGGGTCATTCGCCAAAGTGTTGGACAGCCCGGCATCAAGAATATATGCTTGTTTCACCAAGCTCGGCGGCTTGCCGGAGGCGGATGCGAGCCTCGTCTACGAGATGGTGCGGCTTGCCTTTGGGTTGGATGCCAAGGAGACGGAACGGTATCTTCATAAGATAGACTGTAAGGCGAGAAGATCAGAGGGCTGTCGAGGGCAAGGCAAGTAACTGCTTGAGGGACTGTGAAGCTTAAAAGCATATATCGACTTGTGAAATCACAAACCTGCACCAATTTGAATGGGAGAAGATGGGTACCGTATATTCGGGACAGCCGTACCATCGTCCTTGCCGTCCTGCCTTGTACCGTTGATATTGCAACTCAAGAAATTCTGGCCTTTGCAGAAGAAGCCGACAAGATGGGCGAACGTACCCTTGGCATTCTCACCAAACCTGACTTGGTGAGAGAGTGCAGTGCTAAAGCTGTTGTCTGCAATTTAGTACAGGGAACGAAGCGGCCTCTTACATTGGGCTACTACGTTGTTCGAAATCGAGGTGGCGATGACGACCAAGTTGAAGACTACAATGTACATGAACGAGAGGAGATGTTCAAAGAAGACCCCTGGCACTTATGGCCGGATGACCGTGTGGGCATCGACGCGTTGCGTGAGAGGTTGCAGGAGCTGTTGGGCCAAATCATGGACAAGGCTTTCCTGAAACTTCGAGCGGAAACACGCCACATTCTTACACATACTCAAGAGAGTTTGGCAAAACTTGGACCTCCGCGACAAACGGAGCGAGAGCAGCAACAGTATCTGGCGGCTGTGGCAGGCAAGTTCCAGGCTATCGTTCGAGCCGCGCTCGATGCCGATTACTCGGTCTGCTGTGATCAATATCTCGGAGCAATTCAGCCTTCAATTTCAGGCCTGTTCTCATGCCTATCGCTTTGGCGGGTCCTCAGTCGAAGAAGGCGCCCTGGCATTCCCAAATGACGATCGCCAATCCTATGACAGCGAAGGCTACGATGGCAATCACAGCGAAGCCGCAGCACTCCCAGATGAGGATTTCCAAGGCTATAATAGCGAAGTTGATTCATCTGATCAGTTTAAAACTGAAGAGTTCCCGGATTGGATGCTATTATCGTAAGAGAAGGATCAACACCCGAACCTAAAGCAGGCATCATGGCCTGGATTTCTCGCATGCATCGGCGTTTGCGAGGCCCGGAGCTGGGAACATTCGGGCTGCGCTTGCTCTCTAATGCCTTCTGCGAGCAATCTGTGAGGTGGGGTTCTATGACAAAACAGTATCTCAGCAAGATTGTTTTAGTCACCCACAAGTTTATCCTCAAGACTCTGAAGGAGGTCTGTACGGATTCCAAGGTTCGCGAGGAACTCATTTCTATTATTCTAGGCGAACTTCTCGACAGGTACGCCAAAGGCATCGATCATGCCATGTATTTGGTGGATGTCGAAAGAGACAAATGGTGATACGTGAAGAACCAGTCTTGGGCCTGGTGCTTAAGACTGGCATTATATGTAACATCACGTGAGAAAGGAGACCTTATGCTCCCGTCCTCAATTGTAGTCTTAGCTCGTCATCCATCTTTCTGCATCTACATGACAACCTCACTTTATGTGACCTCCGCGATATATTCGCATCACTCTGGCTCAGCGCTCCTAATAGTGCAATCAGTCCGTCTGGACGCCTCAGACTGGCCATTTAGTCCGTTTGACTAGGCTAGACTAAACTAGCAGTCCGTCTGACTTTGGTCGGACTGGACTAGCAGTCTGACTGAGATGTGCAGACTGGACTGGCAGTCTAACCGAGATGTGCAGACTGAACTATCGGTCCGTCCGTCACCGTCAGACCAGACTGCAGTGCAAACTGCGGTCTAGACTAATAGTCCAGACACGTGACTTGTGGCCCTTCTCCCTGCCTGCCTCCAATGTTGAAGGCACCACGCTGGACTTGGCTTAATCTGGGCTTTGGGTCGTTCTCTCGCATTGACGGTAACCGTAGGCTCACTGCGCCACGTCACTGATATCGGTCTTTCGACGGTCTTTCGACGGTCTTTCGACGATTCGGGAATATATCTCTGATCATGATGGAATTGATACCAGACGGAAGCTCTCAGCACGGTAGATTAGGTGACTATATCGTAACTAGTATGAAATATGATTTTTACGCAGAGACCAGCGTGTTTACTAGCATCTCAATGGGCTTGCTGAGGTACGTGTTACTGCGAGCGAACCTACCCTACACGCGCTGGATAGGGGATACTGTGCATGCCACCTACCTATAATGGCGGGGCTGGTATCTCTTAACGCCACTGGGCGGGTTTCGCCGCTCAGATAACATGCACTTCATCATCTCTCACGTTGCAGATATTCTTCCTGGAAATCGGCCAGGTAGCCCATTCAAAGCTATAAAGTAGGTTGCTGTTGAACAGGTCGAAATATGTAATTCTGGGATCTTGTTAGGCCGATGGTTTCAGTTGCATGATACTTGGTTTGCCATAGATTAACGCAGTGCTGGGCTGTACCGGCTAACATATCTTAGCAGTGCATCGAAATTTTTACCAAACGCGTGTCACGCGTTGGACGCGTTGGATCGCGTAGTTGTTGAATTGGCACTCTGCAGCAGGCCACAGATTTGGAAAGACGCTGCCTGAGTCACCCCGAATCTTGGACAGACTATTAGTCAGACTGTTAGTCTGCGATCCTCGGACTGGACTACTGGTCGGTCTGGTAGAAGTCAGACTGAACCATCAGTCCAGTCCGAGAGACGTAGACTGGACCGTCAGTCTAGTCCAAGAGACGCGGACTGGACCGTCAGTCCAATCCGAGAGACGCAGACTGGACCAATAGTCCACGGACTATTGGTCTGGACTGCAGTTTGGACTAATAGTCCAGTTTTTGGTCTGGACTATTAGGAGCGCTGCTCTGGCTATGATATTGACCTTGACCTTGACAATCCTCGTATATCCTGCCGGGAAATGGGGCTTTCTTTGCGACAAGCGAAGTCGAATAGATGATGGAATTTGTACGAGAAGCTCTAGCTCATGATTCTAAATGAGTTGATGCTAGAGCCCCTCAGCAAATATCCTGCCTTAAGACCTTATTTTACCAGCTAATGCTTTAAAGCCTGAAATCGACGAGCAATCATTAGAAAAGCGGTCGTCAAGGTCGGTCATGTTGCTAGTATTGAGGCTGGGCGGAAAGTGGATTGTCGAAACTGGTCAACACTATCTAGCCTTTTTTACGCCTGATGGACGACATGTAGGATTTGTCTCAAAATACTCGGAGTTAGTTACAACCTTCCGCAGTTCGCTACCCATTTTAATTCCCACCAATCGTCTCCATCAAGTTGTGCCCGGACATGGCATTGATCGTTCTTCATTTCGCGCACAAGCCCTTCGGGAGCGAGGTCTTGCAAGAATTGCACTTGAAGTTGTTGTTCTTGCTGGTCGTGTTGAAAAAGACATCTAAGTCGTTATCCCTGAAAGTATTCCGGAGGAAGATGTTGTCCGAAGGGACAGACTTGCGCTTGAGAGTCAGGCAAGTCAGGCCGAATAGGGGACTGGTGGGGAGGCATTCCTCGTCAATGACCACCAGGCCTACAGCCGTGCCCTTGTTCTTCTGTCCTTCAACAAGGTTGTCGCTAACTTTAGAACCGACCGCGCCGTCAATAGTGATACCCCAAGCGATCTGGCAGGCAGGGTTACTCGGGCCGACGTGATTATGACGGATCTTGGCGCCGGTAACGCCGGGATCAACAAAGATGCCAAAGCAGGACTGCGAGACCTTATTGTGGTGCACGTCTGCGCCATTTGTCTGGACGCAGAGACCGACGCCATAGTCGGTGACCTCGTTATTCTTGATCTGGACATCAGAGAAGTTATCCATGCAGATAGCGATCCCCTGAACTCCTAGGCCCGTGTGTGAGACCTTGTTGCCCTCGACTAGCGTCTTAGTCGAGCCAGCCGTGAGAGTACCATACTTGGCACCATCGGTGAGCGTGTTCTTGCTTATGCGGGTATTCTTAGCACCAAGGATAGCAATGTTAATGCCAGAGAACTTGCGGACCTCGAAGCCGGTGATGGAAACGTCTTCGACGGGCCTCTCCACTGACAGAACCTTGCGGTGCTCGATAACGAACTTGTCCAGCTTGATGCCCTTCCCTTGCACACAGATGCCAGCCTCCGTCTGGGGACCACTCAGGCCCGAGCACATGTTCTTGACAGCCTTCTTGGCAGGAACCAGGACGGCGCCCTTGCCGATGAGCTCGATGCCATCTTTAGAGATGGTGAGCTGCTCGGCGTAGATACCGGCGGTAACGACGATTTTATCACCGCGAGAGGCCTTGTTGATAGCGCGCTGGATACTCTCGTGGGCGCGGACGTAGATGGTGTGACGGTGGCCGTAGTGTTCGCCATTTCCATAGTCGGGGGTATAGTAGTCCTTGTAGTTACAGCAAAGCTTATCCTTATACTGGCACTTGGGCTTATTCCGGGCTGCGGAAGTTAGTAGGATGGCTTGAACGGGTTACCGGAATACAGACCTTCTAGCCTTTCTTCATCAGAGAGAGGTGAAGCGGCAACGCTGCCGACGAGGAAGAGCCCCGCAAGGGTGGATGTGAACTTCATGATGGTCAGTCAATAGGTAGAAGCGAGTGTGTGTTCTCAAGGGCGGATCAGACACGGTACCCGTACGATGAAACCGCTTGGGTTCAAGAGGGGGATTATGTACTTACGACGTCTTCGGCTGCCCGTCAAAGTCACCCAGCCAACCTGCAGCCCTGCAGGGAGGCCCGAGGGGCCGAGACTCCACTTACCAACGCTAGCCCAAGCTGCTAAGCTCCAAACTCGCTGCTTCCCTCGAACCAGGAAACCGAGGTCGATCGTTGCCAGCAGATTAAAGCCCTAGCGTCGTATCCCGTCCTAACGGCCTAGATGTGGTGTGCGGGCGTGGATGGTCAGGGGCGAGCAACAAGACATCATGAAGTCATGTTGACGAAGGACAGTAGAGAACAAGCCTCTTTCGGCAATCGAGGACGTTGATTCGTGATACCAGGGTTAAGGGCCAGATTCCGGGATGGGCTCAGACTCGAGGTTGTCCCTATAACCGCACAACCCCGGCTTCAAAGGAAGCTATCCGATGTTGACCATAACACCATCGTTGTGAGGCGTTCTAGCAGGTATCGCGCTTATGTACTGTGTACATCGGGTGGCCCTGCTGATCCCTTGTAGCGAGGTTGATGAATTCACATGCTGAATCTATCCCGGCATCTGGCCCCAGTTAGGGTTGAGTGGTGTTTTGGCACAGGCCCCATGGCTGAAGAAGCTCGGGGCTAGACTCACCGGTACCCACGATGCAGAACCTGAAGGGATCATAGGACAACACGTTATCAGCTGATACAATGACACGTAGAGATGAAGCAAGACATAAGGGGCTTATTGGCTTCAGTTTTGTTATCAATTCAGCGTGAAACTACAAGACATAGGAGTCGAAGGCAAGGGGCAATCTCCCTTCAGTGCAGCAAATTAGGTTGTGTATAAATGAGGGGAAGCCTGGGGGACACAGGGCGTCGAGAGGAATAAAATTTGTTTGATTGGTCAGCCAATACAAAGATCAAAGAGGGGTAACAGAGCAATGTCCAGTTACGGCAACGGAGCAAATGATTCTTGGCGGGACACGCTACTACACGTTATTGCGTATTAGCTACACTCGGGCCTAATCGACAATCATCTCCCACTTCCCGATACCCGGCAGCGACCATCCGAGATAGGGTTGTAGCCACCAGCCGGTAGCCAATTCATGCGCGCCACGTCACTTCGATAATTTTTTGCTAGATTGGCTTTGGCCATTGATGACGCCTCTTATTAATTAACCGCTCCTCGACTTCGCCTAGTCTCAATAACCTTAAATTCTTCTTCCCCGACTTATCCTCTTACGGTTAGAATAAATTACCTATCGATCCTTACGTATCCTCCGCCTTTCCTAAAGCCTACGTACACTTCACCTCATAATTACGTCATGAGCTCAAAGCGTAGGATACCACTCTGCAAAATGCTAACTTTATATCGTCGTCACGATGAGAGCAGCGGTGCTTAGATGCCGGAATAACTCAGTTCGTCTTTGTCTCGACATGTGCTTAGCTTGCCTACTTAAGTATAAAAGACAGACACGGGGCCCGTTTCCACTTTTGGACCAATCACAGCTTTTAGAATCCTACCCCGATTTCGTCCTTGGAAACGGGCCCCGGTTCTGATCAGGGCATGTTTAGCAAAAACGCGAAACGCGCCCCGTTTCTGGGACGGAGGTCCATGCCATACCAGTAGTGTCACGGGCCAGGGCCCATATCCTTGCGGCTGTGCCGCAAGACGTACTAGGCTCGTGCGTGCCAGGGACGAGAAATCGTTCCACAGCTCAGGGGCACTTGGGAACTTCTTTCTTTCTTCTTCATCTTTGATGTAAATAGCATCCTGGACTAGATAGCTGGAATCCAGCTACTAGAGGCCGTTCACAAATATAGCTATTTTAGAGTTTTTATAGCTTTTTAAAAACATTATATCTATTTTCTATAATTAGATATAGTAATTTTAAATAATAGCATTTTGGCTGATTTTAGTGGGAAAAGCTGGTCGGGTAAGGGGTCGGTTGGTTAATGGGGTAGTTGACTTACCAGGATTCCGGAACCGAAGCTAATATCCCCGCGCTTGCCGCCCATCGATAGTCCGGTGCCCGTAAGGCCAAGCGACTGCAGTGTCGGCAGCGATCGGCCAGACCATGTCACGATCCCGGCGAAAACCGTTTATTGGGGAGAAAGAACCGCAGGCTGAAGCTCGTGAGACTAAGCGAAGATAGGCCGATGGGAGACTAATATTGAACCAAGTTACCGCCGTCGTAAGAGCGGAAGTAGATGGCCGAAATACTTTTGCAGGAAATAATTGATTGGTGCAGAGTTGAAACCGGTGGGGGAAATCAAGGAAGGGCTAATATTTGGTCTAAGCAACATCAACGATTCAAATGCGAATTATCATCTGACCTTCAGATGCAGCCACTTGATATTAAACCCAAAATAATATTTGAAGGCAACTAATGCAGTTAAGTAAACAAATCTATCTAGGATAAGAAACATAAACAAAGGCCAGCATATTGCCCATGAGTCACCTATATAACTTATTCTTAACCTCTATAATGACAACACCAGAATTTGGGTCACACATATATGGTTCTATGTCTCATGGGTATCACTGATACTGGTGCTTCGTGCATGACAGCAAGCGTGACATGATTGGGGGGAAAAGTGGATACCGATTACTGCCTGAGCAGACCGCCCGGTCTCCTGAACCGGCCGTGACACGCAGGTTTCATTCCATTCCGCCTTTTCTAACCTTCAGCCTCGCCATCCATTTTCAACCTCGCATCCATTTTCGATGCCGCGCTCAACTCGCACCCACCTCGCGCCTTTGACCTTAGTTCTTCGACCTTACAGTAATGTAACAATACCTGTATAACAGAACCACCTTATAGCCCTTAACATTATATCCGCCCTTACACATGCTCAAAAAGAGATCTCAGAATCCAAGAATGGAGACAGAACTAGAAGAACCTAGTGCAATCTCATCGGAAAAAGAATGGTGGGAGAATCTCCCAGCATCTGAACTGTCATACTATCCTACACCCGTCACATCTCTTGACTCGGCCTCAATGCTGGGTATAGGGCTCCCAAACCAAACGATATTCCACCTCATACCAAAGAACACAACCAACAGTATTTCGCACCCTAGAAATAAGAATCATGAGTCCAGTTCAATCTCTACCTTCAAAATCGGGTTCCTCGGTGCTGCTGGTGTTGGGAAGACCTGCCTGATCATTACACACTCCTTCCAGTACTTCCCAAGCGAATACATCCCATCAACCGTCGATCCGCCCGCAATATCCACCTTCTCTAATCCTTCGGAAAATACTGAACTAAGGCTTGAAATCCACGATACAGCTGGCCTCCGGAAATGGGATATTGTGCCCGACATTCCAGATTGGTACTCTAGCGTCGATGTATTCTGTCTATTGTTCAGTCTTACGGATGAACAGAGCCTGAACTCGTTGAGGAGGAGCCATAGGCCGTATATTCAGCGCCATGCAATGGGACGGCCGTTTATAGTTGTTGGGACGAAGGCAGATGAGAGGGAGGGGTGGTGGGAGGAGAAATGTAGTGGGTTGTGGAAATATTATGAGAAAGAGAAGAAGTTTGTGCCGTTTGTAGATGGGGTGAAGGTTGCAAGGGAGATGGGAGCAGCTGCCTACCTTGAGTGTTCAGCATTAAAGGGAGAGGGGGTAGAGGAAGTTTTCAGAATACTAGTGGAAGTAGCGATGGAACATCGCCAGCGGGAGAAGAAAGTTGGGAAGAAGGGGTGCTGTACGTTAATGTGATGTAGGGTTATAGTATTGTAAAAGAAAATGAATGCGAATGTGCAGAGGGTAGAAGAAGGGAGGTCAACAGTGCGAGGTTAAAAATGCATGCAAGGGAGAGTTTTATGGATAAAGTAAGCGAGCTATAGAAGGGCTTACCGCTACGTGTGGCTTGGCAGGCTGAAAGACGTCTTCTGAGAGCATAATACTCTGGGAAGCATCTACATTCGGAACGCATCCTTTGACCTGATTTTGAAGGTCGAAAAGGTTAAATCGGAAAGTTTGTCATTGTGGCTTGCGATACGAAATAATGTAACTATTCGTATCCCTGGACTGCTCGGCAAACTCCGCCGGTTTATCTATGCATACATTAGTTAGACATCGGCCGCTACAACGTTGTGCTCACGCATATGCTGGGTATAAGAAAGCCAACGCGGCGGCTGTCGCCGCTACTTGTCAGGCAAGTTTCTCAAACGTCAAGCTTGCCCTCATGTGGGCATCAGGCGGTGCTATCCATTTCGGCCCCACGGCCGGCTCTGCCGAAGCCATCAAAATGGGCTGGTTCGCTACGATGTGTGGACAACGAGGACAGCCATCTCTCCCTGAGGCCAGCTGAAAGTGTCTGTCACTACCTTGATCCTATTCGTTTTGATAAGAGAAAGACACCAGTGGCTTGACAAACCCAGCCTCGATTTCGTAATGCTGGCATGATTACGCTCAGCTCTCTGCGGTGGGAAGATAAAAGCCGTTGATATTTCAGCCACGAGCGGCAACGGGCTGCACTACGGTAGTCAGCTGATATTTTGTTGGTACGGCATTCACCGCGAGAATCAATAGCGCAAGCGCCATGCATGTAGCTAGGCTAGGTAGTAATCAACCTAACCCGACCGACTGGCAGGCTTGGGGTAAAGAAATTGTCAGATGATATTCCTTTGGTACGGTATTTACGGCGAGAATCAATAGCGCAAACGCCATGCGTGTAGCTAGGTTAGGTAGTAATCTACCTAACCCGACCGACTGGCAGGCTTGGGGTAAAGAAATGGTTAGATGATATTCCTTTGGTACGGCATTTACCGCGAGAATTAATAACGCAAACGCCATGCGGTAGCTAGGCCAGGGCTAGTGGTTAACCTAACCCGACCGACTGCCCGGCTTGGGGCAAAACAATAGTTTGTAAAACTCGGCCAATCAATGCCGGGTATGGATTCGGACAGAGGACATCGGCGAGCGGAACATCGGACTGTCGGCAGCTTCGACGTGGATGTGCCGTCTTGTCGCTGGCAGACCCACTCAGCCGCTAGTCTGACCAACCTATCCAGGGCTTGGGGTGATGTGCAACCCCAACGTTGACTCTGGCTGGAGGAGCAAATCTAAAAAGAACTCATCACCCCATGTACTACGTAGGGAACGGATGACCTGGTACTACGTAGTTCGAACAGTGTCTGTGTGACTTCCGTCCACCGACGAATTTTCAATATACATTGACACTTAGCTATCAAAACTTAAGATGACCTCAATCAGCCCGATGGACTACTATCAGCTTCAGCAACAACCACGTCACCAGTCACTGCAGGAGTGTCGGCCGCCTTTTCTGAGGTTCTGGTTTAGCCAGCTGAAGCGAACATGGGTCCAGATCAATCCCAGCGCCATGATCCGGCACTCCATCGCGAGACTAAGACATAGGCTTGACCGACTCGAAGCCCGCTATTGTCCGAATGGGGTACAAGGTAGTAACTTAGAATGTCCAACTCGTGCTGAATTGGTAATCCCTGCTTGTTCATGCGACAGCTCGACGAATGGCTTGCTGCAGGCAGCGAAAATAACAACGCCACAGCGCGTGAGTACTCTCCTAAGGTTAATCCAGACCGACTCTGGTCTCCCAGTCACAGCTCATGCCTACTAAGTGGTGGCCAATAAATGATACAAAATCTCAGCTGAAAGGTAGGTGGTTTGGAAAGGTGGTCTGATGTGGAGTAGAAAAGCGCTGTTAGCAAGCCGAACTGCCGGCTTGACGAATGGCTTGCTACAGGCAGAGAAAATAACAACGTCACAGAGCATTAGTCCTCTCCTAAGGGTAGTCCAGACCGACTCTGGTCTCCTAGTTACAGCTCACCTACTAAGTGGCGGCGAAAAAATGATACAAAATCTCAGCTGAAAGGTAGGTGGCTTGGAAAGGTGGTCTGATTTAGAGTAGAAAAGTCCTGTTGGCAAGCCGAACTGTCGGCCTATGTCCATGGGCGGGGAAGCAGGAGTCTCTCTGGGAGTCGGCGGTCCAGTACTCAGACCACGGTCCGGAGATGCCCAACCCAACATTGTCCTGTCTCTTACTTAAGGGGTTGGGGCCCTTGTCCCAGCTTTGGCCGGAGAGGAAACGCACCCTCGTCCTCGAAATAGCAGCAGGTCTGGGCTGGACTACTAACACACCCCCTTCAATCAGAGTCCTTGTTGCGAACTAATCTCCTCTCACCTCTCCTCGTCGACGGCTTGACGTACCCAACGACAGTCATCAACATGAAGTCTCGCCTCTCGGGCTCGGGCTTGGGCTTGGGCTTGGCAGCCCTTGCCTCCTTTCTGTGTACGGCTTCGGCTACGACCTGCATCAACCCAACCACTGCCTTCGATCAAAACACATTGAACCCTGGCTGCTGTACCTCATGGATCACCAAGCGCGATGTTGGCGCGATGCCAGTGCCATCTCTCATGGAACGAGAGGACTGCCCCACTGCTACGTGTTGCGAAGGGAAGAAGACATTGTTCACCCTTACCCCCAAGGGATCTGATATTCAATGCGGCAGCAAATTCATCATCGGCGACCAAGACGGAGACACTACCGGTGGGATCCAATACAGTTTCGGACCCTGCGCAGGGGCGCCCACGAAGACTTGCTTGATCATCACTGTCACGCCGGTGAAAAGTGGTGGTGGCTGCTACACACTGGCTAACGGAATCTCTATCTTCGTCGACGATGGAAGCGTGGCACCAACCACCAACTCCGGGGGTTGGAACTTCTGCAACGCCGAACAGGGCAGCGCCCCGTATTGCACCAAAAAGACAAGCCCATCTGGTTGCCAGTACTGGTACTGCGAGTTCGAGCAGTCACTATGGGAGAGCAAAGTTCAGAACGAGGGCACCGACGGGCTCTGCGGCAACACCATCTCCGTGGGTGTCCACTTCGGCATTGGCTCGGCCACTTGCACCCAGGGAAACACAAACCTGAATTACGGCAGCAACTTCTTCCAGTATGAGAAGATCAAATTCACCTGCTCGGAGGTATGCGATACCGCTTCCCTCTGCTGCTGCCCCTGCAACTCGGCTACCCATTGCTGTCCGGGTGATACCTACTGCGGTGGGAACGGGAAACCACCAAATCCCCTATGCGAGCCGGAGTGCTGTCCAGGCCAGACGAGATGCGATAGCCCCTTATGTACTAACGACCCAACTCCGAACTGTTGCCCGAGCACGGAGAACTATTGCGGTACTGATGACCACACGGTTAATCATGAATGCCCGGCGGAATGTTGTCCGGGCGAGACGAGGTGCGACTCGCCGGCGTGTACCAACAACCCAACTCCGAACTGTTGCCAGCTCACGGAGAACTACTGCGGCAACGATGGCCACACCCTCAATACAAAGTGTCCGCCAACATGCTGTGGCGGACAGTGCTGCGATGATAAGCTCTGCTGCAACCCCCCAAGCGATTATGACTACTGTCCTCAGCCGCAATGCCAGTACGGCACAGGATGGGGCTGGATGCTGCCGGAGGTCGACGATAGAAGCCACTTCGTCAACAAGCTTAAGTTATGCAGCGCAAATCGCTGGGGCGAGTGGTTCGACATCGCCGGTCTCCCATACACAGGCAACCTGGTTGTCGGGCGAGGAGACAATAACGTCGCCAATGGAGACATTGTTGGCACCGTCTCGCTCAGCGCTGACAGCACTACAGCCAAGGCCTGCTTCGACCTCACCCGGGCGAACGCGCACATCACCAGCGTGCACGTCGAAGTGTCCTGCAACCCCTTCGACAGCACAGCATACATCAACAGCAAGAAGAAGTCGTTCAACATATGCGCACCTGGCCAGTGGACTTATAAGTTCCCGCCGTCGGGCTGCCTCGACTGGGTACACTCGCAGCACGATATATGCATCACGGGTATTCCGAAGTGCAGTGGTCATTACTACGCCATTTTCCATGCTGCTGTGACGAAGAACTCGGATGGGGCTTGCAGCCCGATCTCAACTTGCTGGACAGATACTTGAAGGCGGGTCTAATCATTTGCAGAGGGTTCCAGGGAGTTTCTCTTTCCTTGCTCTTACATAGCTTGTTTGTCGTTAGGTTGACGCTTCGCCGCTCACACGCAGCCGGATAATTGAACCACTCTAAAACCACTCTCGGGCCTCCTGGGGCACTCGTTTACCGAAGGTGTTTGGACCAAATCTGGCCTCCCTATACTCACGGAGGTGCAAGATTTGGACCCTGTTGGCGATGTGGTAAAGTATCTCGTTTTGGGACTGAGCCTAGAACTGGGGCGAAGGAGCACAACCTAAAACAGGAACCAAATTCCTTGGGCTCCACGTTTGGGATCAGTCCTCTCTTGAAGATCTGGGCACGCTGATGGAGGACGACGGGATTGCTTTAAAAGTAATCCTGTAGCGATATCTTCACTGACAGCCTATAGCTAATAAACTTGACTTAATGTTAACACTCTGCTTTCACCTGTTCTTTGCAAATACTTAGCATTGATATACTCAGTTCTAAATTAAAATAGGTTTTGCGCCAAAAAGATAGGGATATACAGCTTCAATTTAGCTAGATCAAGCAATCTGGGGATTCTGGGCCTCCCAGTATAATTCCATAAACCCAGCTATCCCCATTGACAGCACCCTTCTCTCTCTCTCATCAACAAACCAAAATACCATAAGCCATGCTGAATATTCCAAACTCACCTTAGGACTCCTCCAGCGCCGATCCCAAAGTACCCCAGAGGCTTGGCGGTTTGGCCTCACCAAGGTCTACTCCAACTGTCGAAATGGAGAATTGTAGCCAATAAGGCGAGGACACCCGCAAAGCTGCGTCAAGTCCTCGAAACATCCTCTGTATTTGACGGTTATAACCCAAGGTCGTATCAAAGAGCCGATTAAAGTGCGCGGCTTTTAGGTGTCGCCCACTGAGCTAGAAGGCGCGCTCCTCGACCATTCGGATGTTGTTGATTCCGGCGTGATTGGTGTTGTGATCCAGGGAGAGGAGGTCCCTAGACTCCCTCCGACGACCTGATGAGCTAACAAGGCACCAGTCTGGCAAGATCCTCCGCTGGGTTCTGCAGGAGAGGACTCGGGAGGAGATTGGGAGCATCAAGGCAAAACTTGCTTGAGATGGGAGAGTAAGGGCATAGAGCGGAGCAAGGAGGGGACAGTAGCTGGAGGGGATAGGTGACCGACCAGCTGGAAGCTTCCGCACGACACAGGAAAATCGTGCCATGTGTGGGATTCGTGTTGGATTGGCGAATGAGAAGAAGCAAGTGTGTCAGCAGTCATTTAAATACTCCGTACTAAGGGCCGCCACCAGGCTTTGGCTATTGATATCCCCTGACTACTGTAGACTACTGCAGGCTACTCAAAAGCCATCGCCGTGCTTACGGCTATCGGTCTAGAACAGTTGACCGCAAAAAGCGAAGTCAAGAATGTCAGCCTTTGCATTTACCCGGAGTATCGGACTATCGGCAGTCGCACGTCACTCCCGACCCTGGATAGGCCGGTGGGGACTTGGGCTGGGTCAGTCACCAGAAGCCCTGCCCTAGTTCACAGTTGTGGCGTTCGCCCTCTCCTTTCTTGTGACCCATGGCTGAATACTGCCAGACTGGGCATGTCAATGCTAAAAAACACAGCACCAATTTCGCTAAGCGCCTATCTTTTTCTGGTTGTAGCCAATGAAAGCTAAAATGACATCCACGCTCAGCCAGCTTCACGGAGAGGAGACTGCTCACATCGTGAAGCCTCGAGGAGAGACCGGGAGATTGCCGTGGCTTAGATGCACAGAGGCGGAGATCTCGCTTCGTCGTCTCACTTCGTCCAAAGAACATATAAACGGCCAATGCTTCCATCAGTCTCATGTCTTAAGACTCTTCTCCACACCACATTCTTTCCAGCCCAGAACCAACAGCTAGCGTGCGTCTCCTTGCTTTGCTTTGCGAACCCACATTCCTTCCCCGGACCGTATCACCCATATACGCCACCGCCAAGATGAAGTTCAACGCTTTGTCTGGCTTGGCGTGTCTCCTCCTCGCCGGCCAGTGCCACGGTCTCGTTTCCGAGAACTTCGATACCTGCCCAGTTGACGAATCTGCGACCTGCCAATGCCCGCCCATCAGCAGATGCCGACCCGCAAACTACTTGCCGGAGCGATTCTTCCCCCGGACGGACGACACATGTCCGAATGGTTCGCCTCCTTGCTGTGTCGAGAGAGGACCTGGACCTTTGAAAATGTCATCCTCTACGAGCCAAACCAACCTTCAGTGCGGCCAAGGTTTCAGCGATAGTGATCCGCAAGACGTTCCAAATGGAGTTACCTACTCCGTCGAAGACTGCCCCACGAGCGGAAAATGCCTCCACATCGTCCTCAGCCCGACCAGTACTGTTACCGTCACAGACATCCACCTGCAGGTCGACGACGATCCCATCACCGTCAACACTGGGCTTGGGAACTGGGCTTTCAATAGTTATTGCACTGAGAGCCCCAGTGAGTGCTGGGTCCCGGTCAGCGCTGTTCTTGACACATTCGAAAACCCATCGGCGAGCTCCTTGTGCGGCAAGTCTGTCTACGTTGCAGCTGGAATCTCCATCTCTGGTGATGGCGGCGGTGCCACCTGTTTCAACCAAGGACCGAGGATCAGCGACACTGGTAACTGGTTCATGTACTATGCACTGAAACTTGAGTGCGAGGAGGATGTTTGCCAGCGCAAATGCTGCTGCGCATCTGGCCCGCTGCGCAGAAGAAGCCATGTGTAGATAACTGTGGATGGGGGAGTGGTGACGGTGGATTTTCTTTCGAAGAGTGATGTGAATAACTTAATAGATAGACTCCTTTAATGGAAGATCATCTTCTCCAAGATTTCAATCCTTTGCGGGACCATGGCGAGACATTGAACAACCAAGGGCTACTCGCCTGTTCGCGTGGCCTAATCCGGAGTCGAACCCTGTGTTGCCATCCAAGAGAAAGAACGTGATTAATGTACGCCACGCAATTAACCGACATCAGAGTTGAGTTATATACGAAAACAGAGAAGAACGCCAGGACGATAAGTGCGGCGGCAATAAGTGGCCCCAGAACGGAGAAGACAGTAAAGCCGTATGACGCGGCGAAGAAGGCATCGTTATCACGAAGCTTGGTACCGAGCCCAACCTGCATCGCGGTGAGCACAATAGCGATGTAAACCGTCGAGCTAGCTAACAAGGCGAAGTTGTTGCAAATGAAGTCGCTATATTGGTTCCAGCGCGGCATATACCCGTGTAGCAGGTTCCGCCGGAGACGGTAAATCTTGCTTAGCCGGCTTAGACGTAGCTCGCCGTGCTGGAAACGCGGGTCGATATGCGGGTAGATGCGCTCCGTATCCAGCTGCTCAACAAATATTTTCCACGCAGGCCACGATACTTCTAGTAGGAGCAAGTGATTCTCCCTGGCGATGTGGAAGTTGCTCTCGTGGGATATCAGCGCAGCATAGGAGAACAGGAAGCCGAGCACACGCTCCGAAGCTCTCGATTGCACTCCAGGGTGCATCCATGGGCGCCGACCTTGTCGCGAGAGCAGCCGCATTCCACTCCACAGGAGAGATATTTGGTCCAGAAGCGAGGCTCAAGTAAGAAGCGCGGGAGGGGCTTGAGGAACATCCGGCCCGTCATCCAGAGGAGATGCATGTCCGTACGCTCTGTGGCGACGATCTCCCGACCGACGAGCTGGTGGTGCAGCGGTCTCGGCGGCATCGGCCGCGCGGCGACCCAGACGTCCGCGCCATGCTCGTTCTCGTGCTCGAGGAGCTACATGTCAGATCCGGTCACGAATGGTCTACAGTACATCGCTGGCCATGTGCGATTCTCCGTATGCGCGGACCGAAAGGAGTGGCCGGGGGGACGCCGGCATTAGGCTCCCACCCACATACTTTGGGCCACAAATACAGCATGACGCAAGAGGCGCATCAGCGGACCACTGGGCAGTCCCTAACCCTCCGAGTGGACCAACTCGACGTCGCCCGTACTGCACACGCACGGGGCGTATAGACTGGCGCTCTTGGGGCAATGATGGAAAGACTATTGTGACTGCATTTATACAGGCAAGGCAACGATCCGTTAAGACCACAGATGGGAGCTTGGCATTGCAGGTTTCATAAAGAGATTGAAGTCGCTCTAAGGCCCAGATGTAATCTTCCTCTTGCTCGCCACTGAGAAATGCAAATGCGATACAAAAGGACCGCTGACAAGCATCAACCCCAACCATGTCAAGAAGTGGCATCCGATATTTATTGGTCTTGTATGTGCAATCAAGTAGCAAGAGGTCAGAATAAGCTTGAAGATATTGAATAGAACCAGGATGGGCAAATAAGATTGCCGTGACCCGCTGGTTCTCATCAATTCGCACACGGCTCCAGAACCCTTCACGGTCCAATTGGTTGATCAGAGCATGAATAGAGCTTTGACCCTCATGCATATCATCCTTCAGCTCGGCAATCCGATTGTAGATATCCTTTCTAGTTGCTAAGGAATCTGGATCCTGCTGGCGTAAAAATGTCTGGATATCTCTAGGGGAGATACCAGCAGACACAAGCTCTGATAGTGTTGCTTTGCCGGAGGCATCCAATCGGCGATGCACTGGATGAGCTGATGGATGGTGACTTGGAGGATGATTATGCTTTGAGAATTGTTCATCTGGCCGGTGGTGTAAAGACCATGTGGTTTTATCGAGTGATTCCTTGGCTAAGATTGAGAACAAGCAGCCAGTGCCTCGAGTTGTTGTCTTGCGCTTGGTTCCCTTTTCAACGGAAGCCTTGGGCTTCCAAGATTTATCGCATGCATGAGTAACGATTTTGCGGCCGCTAGTCTTTGTGGTTGACTTTCGTGTAATAAACGCGTAGCCTCGTGTGACAGCCCAGGTGTTAATTGCTGTAACCAACTGATCGCGAGATTGGTATTCAGCTTCTGGAGGAAGACAATCGTCGGGAAAAGAAACAGCTTCAGTAAGAGTTGGAGGAGTAGAAGTCATAAACAGCGGCTGCGAGGTACTCATAATGACTAGTCACACTAGGAAAAAGGGAATAACGTTAATTCATGAACTGCTAACTACTAAAAAAGAGATGCAAGCACAATAGGCCACGTTGAACGCGCTGAACGCGTTGACAGCTCTGACCAATGGATGATGCCTTGACCCATAAAAACGCTATCGCAGCGCCCGGGCGCCGTTCCAGTGGGAGCCCTAGATATGACTAGAAGGTTCGACAATTGTAGTTGAGAAAATGATAAATTTCTTTAATCCCCTACGACCCCCGGAGAACGAAGATAGAAAAATGATATGAAGAGTATAGTTTGTTACACCGCAGTGTCTGGACGTTAATAAGGCTTGTGACCCAGCGGATAATGAGCGTATGTTATTGATCCTCAGATGTAACTAGTCAAGGAGCTAGAGATCAACATATCTCATAATAATCACTCTCCCCGAGCTACAGCCAATAATAACAGACAATCCAGATACCTTGGAACAGGTAGGACGAAATGGCGCTGGTAACCAAAGAAGTCGCTTTTTCTGCCACATAATCCAGCACTTATCTTCACTAATCCCAACGCCAGAGAGACCGTTAGTAAAAGGTATAGTGATGTTGCCAGGTGATAAAACAGGACTCTTAGTAGAGATAGCGCCAGCATCAGTCAAGAGGCGTGAGCTGTTAGGGTCAAATTGCAGTTGAGAGGAAGAAATGCCAGCTACTTCTTGGATGCAGGTGCCATCATCAACGCGCCAGAGCCGGATGGTCTGATCGCGAGAGGCCGAGGCCACCAAGGTCGAGTCGGGCGAGAAGGCTACTGACCATACCCAGTCCGTATGGCCCTTGAGCTCTTGCATGCAGGTGCCATCATTAACGCGCCAGAGCCGGATGGTCTCATCGCGAGAGGCTGAGGCCACGAGGGTCGAGTCGGGTGAGAAAGCTACTGACAATACCCAGCCCGTATGGCCCTTGAGCTCTTGGATGCATGTGCCATCGTCAACGCGCCAAAGCCGGATGGTCCGATCGTCAGCGGCCGAGGCCACCAAGGTCGAGTCGTGCGAGAAGGCTACTGACGATACCGAGGCCGTATGGCCTTCTAGGATCTGTTGACATTGGTCCCAATTGTCTTCTGGTTCTGGTGCAAGTGATATCCACTTTGGAATCTGATGATCTTGGAAAAAGGCTTTTCGTATAGCACTATTTTTTGGCGTAAAAGTAAGAACTGAGGAGTAGATCTGAAGAGGCACAGAGTCGATTGTTGATATGTTAGTGAGGACGAATCGCTGCGCGTCTTGGAGAAATTCCACTAGCATTCCACTCCCTTCCAACTGAAATGCCATTAGTATACCTAGTCCTTTACTTCCTAATACCTACTTACCTTATGAACGGCTTGTAAGTCCTTAATAATAGTAAGGCTTTCTGAAGCCCTTCCGATTAGGCTTAATACTTCTAACCAGTGGAGAAAATGCTGCAATAAGAATTCGTAGACGGGTCCATTATCATCAACACACATATTGGCTTGTTGTATATGATAAACCCAGTAGAGGCAAGCGTATTGAACCTCTGGAAGGATAGAAGAATTGATCTCTTGAGGGCTGATAGATGCACGGTTTGTTCCTGGCTGTATGAGTTTGCACATATCCGTTTCCAGGTATTTGTTCATAACATCAAGGCAGTGCATCACCAACTGATCATGAACATGTTTCTCGTCTACCCAGAATAGATGCTCGCCACACTTCTTAGGGTCTACCAAGAAGTCGCGGAAGGAGAGATGTAGCATCCTAACAGGAGATTGTTCTGAAGGAGGGATGCTCAGGACGGAGTGAAGTAGGTCCAATTGGTCATCGATCATCTCTTTCTGTATGTTAAGAAGCCGTCCGAGGGCAGATATGGGGAGGGGATTCCCTAAAACCACAATAGAGCCAACGATATGTCGAAACCGCTCAATGAGATTGTCCCGCTCCCAGTTCTCCAAGCCATCAATCAGCCTGTTGAGAACAGGTAGATATGTAGCGCTGAGTTGTGATATCTGGCTTTCTCTTTGAAGTTGCAAAACTTCCCTTAATTGCTTGTTGGGATTACCAAATCTGCGATCGGAAAGAAAACGGCAGACTGTGGTAGCAAAAATAAAGAGAGGAACAGCCATTTTCACTAGAACTTGAACGCTTTCTTCTCCAGGCCAGTCGAGTGGCAGGTGTCGATCTTTAGACACAGATGAGTTGTACTCAGTCTTGATTTTCGCAAGCTCATGGTTGAAAAACGCAGAGATATCATGCTCAACAATACCAGATGGTATTTCATGAAGTACAAGATCTTGGTATGTGCCTTTCACAGCGTCAAAGCCCAGTCGAATTGGCAGATCTGGCCTGCTCGTGACGAGGATCCTTAGTTTTGGAAACTTCGTGCAAGAGAAAAGATTGATAAGAAGTTTAACATCCTCATCCCGGTCGCATTCATCAAGGGCATCAACAAGAACCACCAAAGGGGTTAATCTCCGAGCATCCTGAGGAATGTTTTGCAGCGGCTGCATAATGAGCTTCTCAAACTGCTCTCGTACTGCCTTTCCAGCAATATGAGGGTCAGAATCAATAGCAGCCTTGATATGCGGCACAATAGCAGGCTCGCTTTCGGCCAAGTGGATGGCGATGGTCGTGAAGAACTTAGCCAAGCTCCCTCGATCAGCCTCTCCTCTCTTGAAGAAGAAGCTGGCACCTAGGCGGCCTGAGCTTGCAAAAGCACGAGCAACCGTGCGGGATATAGTCGACTTTCCCGTGCCAGCCATGCCATTAAGCCAGAAAATAGACTTGGAGTTGGGATCTAGGGCCCATTCATCAATGCTGAGGAGGAGGTCGATGTGACGGGACAAGAGCACGAACGAGGTCGAGTGCGACTTGGGCAAAATGATTGTTTACAAGGAGAGAAAGAGATTCCTAAGGAAAGCTCTGACTTAAGCTATTTACACAATATTCATAAAGTGAGACTATTCATAAAGTATGAAAGTCACATGATCGTTCCCTCACAGTTTTCTGTATTGTGCTATGTTTTCTACCGTTGATCCAAAATGAAGCCGAAAAAGTGCCTTTTTACATCATGATCGTCATTTTTTGGTGTTTTGCTTTGGCTTACACGAGCCGGCCCGTGGCCCGGGCGCTGCCCGGCTGAACCTGCTAGCCACGCTCGCACCCATGAAGGCTTCAACTCCCAAACACCACCGTCCGGCGTCCGTCGCCCCGGCTATCTCTCATGACGGGCTCTGGGGGACCATCTGTGTCTAAGATATCCTCAGTTTGTTGAGGTCACCATCGGGGCATTTGGGGTGAAACGCATCACCCCTAGGCCTCGCCTGGCGGATTACACGACTCCTCCATCGACCTCTGGCTGGACTACCGAGCACGGTTCTGGTTATGTCAAATGCATGCACAAGCATGAAGGTGGTGAACGTCAATGATGCTACCCACGATCTTAGGCACCAACAATTGGACGTGTTGTTTGGTCGTTAATTTATCTGATTGGAGCAGTTCCAAGGCTGCTGCCTGGGTGATCTGTTGTTCACGTGGACGATGGGGAGTAATCCAGGACGAACGCGTAACGCCCCATCTTTTTGCATGTCTTGAGCAGTTTCATCTCAATAACTGTTCAACCACAATTAAGACAACATGCAACTTCTGGAACTACCAACAGAGCTTATTGAGTCAATCGCGCAGAATGTCGACTCCAGCGCTGACCTAAATGCCCTCTGCCGCACAAGTCGCCGCTTCTACCGAATTCTCGACAAACATCTCTACTCCCGGGATGCGAGGCAGGGTTGCAGAGCACTTCGCTGGAGCGCGAAAATAGGAATAACCACGACTTTAAGAAAGTCTTTAAAGCACGGCGTCGATGTAAACTACCTCGACAGCAAGACCTCATACACCACCCCACTCCTCCTGGCGGCGCAAGGGGGCCATGTTGACATTGTACGGCTACTACTAGCACATGGTGGCAATCCAGATATCCCCACGACGTGGTATGACACGCCGTTGCTCTCAGCCATTCACGGAGGGTATTATGAAGTTGTCAAAGCTCTTCTAGAAAAGGGGGCAGATATGTACGCCAAGGACGAATGGTTCGACACACCCTTACAAGCGGCGGTGAGTAGAGGTCAAGACAACATCGTCGAATTGCTCCTCAAAAAGGGTGTCCTTGCCGATGACCCTCAAAGACTTTAGGGTCTAGACGCACTTGAAACGGCGATACACAAGCGCCATATGTCTACACTCAAGCTGCTTCTCAAGGCAGGTGCCAACCCAGCGATTCAGCCTCATACATTATGCGCTGTGCCCCTGTAACTCCATCTCCGTCCATTCCCAGAGCCTTTTCCCGAACTCCTCACTCTTTGAAAAAGCACTTCCTTTTCCAGCCACTCCAACAGGCACATAGTACTCTCCACTCACCACTTCCTTTGCGCTTGCGGCCCAGAGCTGGTTCCTAGCGCCTTCCTGGGGAGTTACGCCAATGATCGGGACCACAAACGCTTGGAATAAGCGAAGTACGATGCTCCCGCCGTTAGACTGATTGAGGTCTGTCTTGACAGCTCCAGGGTGAACCGATACTGTGGTGAACTGTGGACACCTCCTTGCCAACTCCCGAGCGTACGCTGCATTCGCCAACTTGCTCTGCCCATACCGGTGGGTCGTGGATATGCCCTCGGCCTTGGTCTTGACGGTGGCGAAGTCGATGCCGCTTGACACAGTGAACTTGTGTGCCAACGAGCTCAGGAAGACAACCCGGACCTCGGGTGCCGATGAATGGTTGGTGGCGGTGTCGATCAGGAGAGGCGTGAGAAACTTGAGAAACAAGGCATGTCCGACATGATTGGTCCCAAACTGGATTTCGTATCCTTCTTTGGTAAGCCCGGGTGGAACAGCCATGATGCCGGCGTTGAGTAGAAGGAGGTCAAGGCGGGAGACAGAGGCGAGGAAGGTCCTTGCCGCTTTCTTGATCGAATCAAAAGAGCCGAGGTCGAGTTCCAAGAAGTGCACGGAGACGCCAGGAGCTTGTTTTTTGATGTCGGCAATCGTTGCGTCTGCCTTTTGGGCGTTGCGGGCTGCAATCCAAAGCTGGGATGGCTTGTGTTTCGAGAGAGCCAAGGCGCTCTCCCTCCCAAGGCCAATGTTGCCGCCAGTGATAAGAATCACCTTGCCCTCAAGGGACGGAATGTCCCTGTCTGGGTTAAAGTCGGACGCGCGACCCATTGTCTTGTATGTGGAAGTTTGTGGTTGAGCAAGAAAAGAAAAAAAAGTTGTTGAGAACTCGAGGTTTTCCAGGAGTAGACCTCGAAGAAGCTTTATAATATATGGTGGTTTCGGTCTCGGGAAGCTCCGGGGTTCGACAAGTCCGGGCATCGAACCCCTCACGGCGGGAGGATCAGAAATATCAGCTATGGGGTGAGTAAACTCTAATGCCTCTTGGTTTGATGCTCAAACTTACAGATCTAAATGCTGGAAAATTTCCGCGTAAGATGATATGATTCCAATCGCTCCATGCAGCCACATGCTCCGGATTCGGCATCTAGACATCTAGTTTTAGGTCTGCCTAATTCGTCATTCTGATTTGGGATATGGTTCTTTAAGCAAAATGTCCTCCTTTTTTTTATTGTTTTTAGAAAGAATCAAATAAAGTAGCAAAGCAAACCCGTTTGCGCGTGTTTCCTTGTTTTGCACTAAGGTGACCTCCCTGTATGCCCTGGAAAGAATCCTGGCCACACCTGACAGCACTGCCAAAGGACCAATTGGTTGCAGACGGACACCGCCTTGTGACAATGCGTGATCATAGAACAGAACCCTTAGGTCGCAACCAAAGTTGCAACGATATGGCACCCTTTCGCAACTCGACAAGAGTTAAAAAGCATCAAACTACAAGTCCATTGGATGAAATTGCCGCTGCTATTCAGAGACCACGGCGAGGTGGCTCGAACTTTCCGACCGGTCTGAGTTAAAACCTGATATTCGCAATTGTTGGCATGTGAAGAGGGTTTGAATGGTGGCGCGGCCGTCCGCTTCAGATTACCACAACAGGGCTAATGCCATGACCGCAATCTTCCAAGCGAAAGGGCAGCCTGGATTCGAGGGACGGCTGGCACTTGCTTCCCCACCGCAGCCCTGCATCGCTGTTGCTGCCACTCGTCGTCACCGTTGTTTGGCCTTGACGGCTCCTTGAGCCGTCATCAAGATGCTGCAGCTGGTGTGTGTGTGTGTGTGTGTGTGTGTGTGTGTGTGTGTGTGCGTGTGTGTGATTTGGCATGCCCCACCGCCAGCGGTCGTTGATACGACAGATGACGGCGAACTTCATCACAATGGCCAGCGACGTGGCGTTGTCATGCCACAATAGATGCGTTAACAGGTGGCGTCAAGCTTGGCAGTTGGGTGGACAAATGAGACCTTTTGGTGAATGAGAATAGCCTTATTTAGCGGTATGTAGGTCCTCCATATAGTTGATTGACAGCTGTCAATCAAATCAAACAATTCAACTTTGGTCCGGAGAGCTATCAATCAATTCAGATTTGACCCGTAAGTTGATTTGATTGATTTATGACGAGGGTTGCGCTGCTGGCGCCGTCCGCCGCCACCAGGAGGTCACATCCTTCTTGGTGATTTGTACGGGGCTGCAAATAGGCCGACCCTTATTGGCTCTCTGGGAGCTTGTCCGTCTATAATTGGGAAGCGGTATGGCAAACTGTTGGAGGCATGAAGTGATCGACAGTAGCCATAGGTTCGGGAGTTACCGGTGCGAGACGGGCGCAAGACGCAGTTGCCTTGAAAGAAGATGAGAAATCGTGATGGGGCAGTCGGGGGAGAAACTGTCGACTCGGCAGCAAGTGCCACCGGATTAGGAATCAGTGCGGTATCTTGGCTCAGTTTGAGGTGACACAGAAGGTTGCAGCAGTCAGTAGCTGAAATTGTGTCGCTTGCCCACACCCTGTCAGCATCAAATCGTGTAGGGCAGACCGGTTCGCTCCGCGCAGATGTTTTCTCAGCCAACATTGCCGAAAATGCATTGACCTATTGCTGCCTGATGCTCATACCTGCAGTAACACCAAAACAGTCATGTACTTTGCCGTCCGAACTGCAAGTTGCCTTGGTCGAGCTTAGGTGGCTTACTGGGGGGTTGCGGGGGCGCGTGATCGGCCGTGCTACGTTTGAGGGAGGCCCGAGCGGTGGTCAGTGATCAAACGACCCTCTTTCTGTTGTTCAAGACGTGCATTCTGACGAGACATTGGGTCCGGGAGTGGACGCCATTCAGTTATTATTGCAGTCTGATAGGTCTTGGTGTTGTGGGCCACTGTTGTAGACCACTCTTCGTGGACCGGGGTAGTGAGGCCGGGACCGCCGAAATGGAGAAGTGGGGTTCCGATCAAAACAGCGTGTCCGTGATTACGGTAAAAAACGGCGAGTAATTTTGTACAGTGCAGAAGGACATCTGGGGGAGAGTAAGCTGCCACTCGGATGACGTCTGTATTTTGCTCTTGAGGGCCGAGCACGTAATGACGCTGCGACAACCTGTGACCAATTAGCGAAGAAACTCTTCCCAGCCATCAATGGTCCTCCAGGATTCTCGGATCGCCGTGCTTGAAGGCGCTGCCTTGGCAGAAAAGGGAGGTGGGGATTGGGTACTCTGCAGTCACGCCGACAGACTAGCAGACGCAAAAGTTATCATGGTGCCTCAAGCTAACCAAGTCATGCCATCATACTACCCCGAATGTGACCATTCCGGGATCGTGCGTATCTGCTGCCACATGTACTTCTCCAGCTTGTTGGTACACTTCACATACAGCGAATTCTCGCCATTGAATTGCCGACAGTTGTCGAAGATGAGCTGGGCGTCTTTAATGAAATCCTCAAGTGTCATGTACCGCTCCGCTTCCAGCCTGGCCTCCATAGTACTGAGGTCCATTGGTTCCTTGATGACTTCATAATAGTCGGCGACGTGGTCCTCGCTGACAGGCTGGCAGAATGGCCACGATGATTGATGGTCCTGGAGGCCATTTAGGAGATGTAGCAGCTGCTTGTAGTACGGACCGTGACGCGATTGTCTGGCCAGCTCGTCCATATCAGGTGACCAACCCGACGCCCGGATTGCGTCGATGGATAGGGGGTCAATGGGAACAACGCCGTTCTCCCACTGTTTCGGAGGTTGATGGACCACGTGGCTCTTACTAAGAGCCCGTATCTTGGCATGGACGCATTCCTTCTGCTTGAGAAGCATGCGGCCCAGCTCCAGGTAGCGAATCCTTGGGAGCATAGAGCACTGCATGAGAGTTCCGCCCTCATAGTCCTTTATACACCCCTTCCAAATCGAGTCATCTAACGTGATCTCCTTTGTAAACCCCTGTTTCTTGAAATAGCCGATGGCTAAGTTGTCGGCGTAGGTCAGGAAATGTATCATGTTCGATGATGCCTTGACGCAGTCCTTCAGATGTGACATGAGGTGCGCCCCGTACCCCTTGACCTGCTCATCTGACAAGACGGCGCAGAAGACAATCTCGGCGAACTTGCGGTGCTTGAACGGTCGGTACGTGATGCCTCCCACTACTGCCAGCGGCTTCTTCACGATGGCCATGGACATGTGAGCTCTATCGTAGACGAGACGCGCGATGTAGCTCTTGGGCATCTCCGGCAGCTGCTTTTGGAAGACGCATTTCAACCCGCTCAGGATGATGAGACTCTCCCGCTCACCATCATTGTTGACGACACGAAATTCTATCTCGCCGTTGCGTTCCTCAATAACTGTGGGCTACATGGCACGTTAGTCACATACACAGGCAGGGTATAGCGTTTCAGGAAGGCAATACCTTCTCGGGAAGTGGAATGGGCCTCATCACCCATCCCTCCTCCGCCGGGAACGATGATGCGAGGTCAGTGCGCTTGTCGCAGCTCGTGGCAGTCGGCGAGGAAGCATACTCCATCGCGTTACGTTTCGAGCCTTAATCAACGCCAAAAAATATTAGCAAAAGAGCTACCAAGCGAGAAGGCAGACTGCAGAATTACCTCGATCGGCCGGGTTACGTGTTCGACAGTTGTTGCAAGGAGCTGGGATATGATTGGTTGTAGCAGACCCACAATAGGGGCTCCGCTCCAACATACGAAACGGCTGACCGCCACGCTTCCCTTTGTAGAAAAATAAGGCTCTTTCAATCTCTCTACCGTATGCGCTTATTGGGCCTAGCTAACTACCTGTTAGATCGTGGCTGGTTAATGCACTGAGAGAGGCCTTTTGATATATGAATATCAGGTATCTGCATCTGTGGCTGAGGGGGGCAAGATGACGATAAAACCCCGCTCCAGAGAAAAGAGGAGACAAGAGTCAAGAACAGGAGACCGGTCCCCTACGGGGTCCGCCAATGCCTTTTCGGAACGAGTTGATAGCTTGAGAAGTAAGGCGCTTACAAGGGCTGGTGGCGTCTGTGTGTGACCAGTTGCTTTTTGCCTTTTGCGCGCACAGGCGCTGGCTTCCTACTCAGACCCCACATTCGGCAGCATTGTAGTTTAATTAACGCTGCTTTATGTCTTATACTTTATTTACCTTTGGCATATTTACCTTTGGCATCCAATTTATTCATTCATATATTCAATCTGAATCTTCCTCAACCTCAAGAGATAGCATTGAATGATTCTCCATGACTATTGATTACTCGAAATGGGATAACATGGACACGGATTCAGAACCAGAAATTTCGCCTCCGTTAGTCCCTACGCCCCAAGCTCCTACTCCAGCAGCCCCACAATCAGGTGCATCAGCTACAGCAGCGCCAGTCACAAGCAGTATTCACCAGGATCCATCCAAGCCGTCATCGTCGATGCGATGTTGAGAGAATCAGATTCGCACCTTGGTCCTTGACAATGATCCAGGTAGATCATCCCGTCTTCTCTAATTAAATTACATCCCCCCCGTCTCGAGACTCATCGAGGTTCCGCTGGTCTTTCACCGTGTCGGCACTCAGTCTGCAAACCGGGCCGACCTCGACAACCAAATGATCACGTATCTCAACAAACAATCGACGATGAATCCGGGTTTGCGCCCTCGGAGTGGCGTTCCTACCTTGCCGCGAGGATTTGGTGACTTTCAAATAAGCGTCTCGTTTCTGCTGCCAGATCCGTCAACCTCTGCATGGCATCAATTATGCCTTGGTCTGGCTTATTCCCGATGAAATCCTGCGGCCGTATGGAACTAAGAAGCTTGATTCCTTGTAGCGTTCTGCATCTGGATAGTTGTACATAGAGGCTGGTAAAGTCGCATTTGGAAGGCTGACCATTCGTCATACGGTTTCCTCGCAGCTCCAACAGTACAGCCTCAAACGTCTTGCCTTGAGCTTTATAGTCAGTAAGGACAAATGCCGGGACAACTGGCAACCCCCGCCGAGAGCATTTCCCCGACAGGAACTTGTAGTGTGAGTTGGCTGGATCTAGGGTATGCGTGATAGGCCGGATGAGCACGGTGCCCGTTGGGAGGGCCGGGATTGCTAAATCCTTTGTTTCTTGCGACTCTAACAATATGCCCAGTGGCGGTCCAAAATGGATGGTAACGTCGTCCGCAAGATGGTAGCCCGGGGATTTCGGATCGAGAATGACGTCAGCAGCGGTAAACTCCGCCCCATTCACAACTTTCAAGCCGGGGTATGTATTTTTGTTGACAACTACAGGCATCCCCTGGGCGTAAAAGAAGACCCCAGGGATCTTGCAGTTGGAGTTGTCGCCTTGTTCGATGGTCTGGGCCACCTCCTGCTGTGATAAGGCTCGACTGCGCCAGGTGTGGGTCGAGAGGAAGAGCGAGATGTGTCTCCTGTGAAAGCGGGCCCAGTCTACCACGGCTTCCATGTTGAGGCTCCATCGGTTGCGATTGAGCGGTGTTATGGCACGCAAGCCATCCTTGAAGGTGACTTGGGAGCGGTCCACGAGCTTGGTGTTGAGTAGGTCAAGGTCCTCCGTTGTCTGGGTTCCAGCCCGTACTCTGTCCAGAAGAGCGCCTAGCTGAGGATCGTCTCGCGCGCGGACTTGCTCTTCAAGGAGGATAACTGTCTTGAACAACAGCCACAGACTGTGGCCACGGTGGTGAGCGATGGTCGCTTGTCCTAGGGAGGCCGTGTAAGCGAGATCCACCATCCGGTCCACCAGGAGACTTGTCTCGAGCACCGGGGCGAACTGATAGAAATCACCCATCAAGAGAACAACGGGAATGCCTCCAAATGGCTTATCGGCACAGTCACGGAGGGCCTGGAGGTGGCAGCTGGCGTTGAATAGAGTGGCTCCCCCGAGCATGCTCACTTCGTCAACTACGAGGGCCAGTTTCTGCTTCCACATCCATTTTTTCGCTTCCGAGAATATCGGAGGCTTTTGCTTGCTGTGAGAACGGTGGGTGTCTAGTCCCAAGGCCGAGTGGAGTGTCGTGCCTCCGATCTGAGCAGCAGCACTGCCGGATGTACCGGTAACCTGGAGGTGATGTGGCTGACCTCTAGCCGTGAATACGTCCCGCAAAGCATCGACGATTCTAGACTTCCCAGTACCGCCTGGCCCTCCGATGTACTGAAGATGTTGACCAGCGGAGTCAGGATTGGCAATATACCTGTCCAAGAACCTGCACACAAGTTGAAGTGCCATGCTCTGCAGATAGTTGAGCGTATAGCTAGACGCGGCAACAAGCCCCAGCTCCACGAACCCTCTGGTGGGACCTATGTCAACAAGCATTCGAGGATTTTGTACGGTCGAATCTTCCAGTTGTCTCGGGATGGGAACTTCCGCGTCACACTGCCGAACAAGCAGATCGTCGATATCGGCATTACCAATGGAGGTTGTACCACCTTGGACACCGCCCTCCATCTCATCGAGCATCCGGAGATGCAGCATATCCTGGGCCTTTGCCGCAGCTTGAAGGTCTTGTGCAGAAGGAATAGGACACTGGGATAATGGACTATTCTGGTTATGGCGGATTTGCTGATAAAAACTGTCGTGACGTTGGACGAACGGCCGATCCTCTTCGGCAGGGTTCTCATAGCACAGATCCTGGATCAGGCTCTGCAGGACTGGGGACTCCCTCGTTGCATCAGAGTCCCGCACGGCACTTCGAAGAGTCTGGAGGAGAGCTGTATAGGTTTGGTGATGCTCTGCCATGGTTGGTTCTGCTGAGGTGGGCTCGTCGCTATAATCACCCTCATCCAGAGGAAAGTCCACATCCACTGTGTCGTCGCCTTCCGACCGGCTGGCCCAAAGCTTCGCGTCTTTACGAGCATCCTCGGCCGACTTCCTGAGGAGGGAGATGTTTGAGACATGGGATCGCAGGCGAGGACAGAGCATAGCTGCATAGTTCTGCCATATGCCGGTAACATCACCACGCGTCTTGGAGAGGAAGTTTTCCCATGGCACAAATAAGGCCAGATGGAGAACCGAGTTGCTGTACAGATTGTCAGAGCTGGCTCGCGGGCAAATGGGGCAGCAACCGGAGCGTACCGTTTGAAATACACCGGGTGCTCGTCCATGTGGTCATCGCTAATGAATCCCTGAAAGATTGGCACCGCGTACTCGGGGGGTTCGCGAAGCTTTTGGATCCATCCGTAGCACTCTGGAGGTCCCTCCAGAGCTATGTGGGTTTCATCCTCATCTCGACCGCGGCGACGCTCCAGGGTAATCATAGACATATAGTCATAGAGGCACACATCTCTCAGAACGGGGCCCCGGTAGGTGTAGGCATCCAGGTACAATAAAGTCCGGCCACTTTCCCGAAATTGCACCGTCTCTGATGGCTCTTCGTCATCTGTTTGTGTGCTGGCCTGGCGACGGAGGTGTATCCAACGCCGGAAAATGGTCCAATAGAGTGCGGTCAAGTTTATGTAGGACCAGTGCGGTACGTTAGTAAAGTCCGTTTGATAGCCAAGCAAGAAGTAACAGACTTCCACAGCCGAAAGCTGTCTCTCGGAAAAGATTCGATTAGCGGCCCTCATCAAAAACTGACGGCTCTCGTTCACTACGGCCTGGCGCTGGGCATCCTGTTCGGCAAGATTCGGCCCCGGATGCCTCAGCGCTGCCGATTCACGAAGCTGTCGAAGCACATCAGCGGCGAAGACAAGGCGTTTCCACATCGGCGTGTCCAATTTGGTGGCGTAGTTCGTGATGTAGAATACCATGGCGAGTCCCTTGGTTCTCGTCAAGATCATCGAGATGTCGTGGTTGTGACGGAGGCCGACTGCCATTGCTTTGTTATACCGGTTGACGAGCGGGTGGTTCCGCTGGATCCTGAGCAGGCCGTCCTCCGTGAATCCGGTGTCGTCGACGATCTTCCAAGGCGCTTTGAACCGACAAGCTGTCCGTTTGTGCTTACCTGCACCCTCTCCGACGAGTCCTTTGAGAGAATACTTGATACAGGTGTAGGTGTGCGAGTGCACCTGGCAACAGTACGCAATGTAGTTAGACTCGTTGTCGAAAGCCGCTGCGAGAGCCTCGGTGTCGTGCATGATTCCCTCGATCGGATCGATTGGTTTTCGCTCCTTTCGGACAGCTTTTCCAGCTTCCTCATCTAAACATTCGTAAAATACCGAGTCTAGATACCGAACCACTTGGGCACGGTATTCTTCCTTCTCGGGCTTCGCCATATCATCGATCAGGGAAGGCAACTGCATATTACCCTCCAACCAGAGTAGACCATGCAAGTGCAGACTGCCTCGGTCGTTCGTCTCGACTGTTGCGTAGTAATGGCTGATCTTTCCGAAAACTGATTCTTGGCCCGTCCTGACATATTTCTCAAAGAACAGTGAGACTTCTCGATGGAAGAAGATGGCCGCGCTAACTGGGTCCATGGTGCTGAGAGCAATCCTGTCATACCTTCCCCGGAGATCGGCTAGCAGTTCCTTTGCCGTGTCATAGTCGTGGAGCCTGTGTATGGAGAGCCACATCTTGACCGGATTGTTGATATCGTTGGGGTTGACCGTGATCCAAATGGCAGGCATACCGGTCCAAATGTTCACTGCTTGTATCTTCCTCCGCATCAAGAGTCGAGTTTCGTTGGAGAGCGGCTGTGCGTGGCCAAAGATGGACAATTCGCGAAGCAAGAACGATATGTCCGGATCCGTCGTGGTCCTTGTCTCTCGCATCTCCTCCTCGGCTCTTTTTAGGCGATCCGCCGTCAGGCTTCCATAGACCCGTTCCAGTCTGTCGAAGGAGCCCCTTGCCATACGGACCATGCTGATACGGCGGTTCGTGGATCGCAGGAGGATGTTGAAGACCAAGAAACAAAAGACCGGATGGGTGGCAAACCGACCCCCATGTCGTCGCAACACATATTTGGCCCAATAATTGAGCGAGTGATTTGCACTGCGCCTTGCTGGCTCCGAAGCGTCGTGTAAATTGCCGTCCGGCTCGCTCAGCGTCTTAGGGCCGCCCCTCCCCCACGGGAAAAGTATGGGAAAGGTCCGCGGAAAGAAGTCATCGTGCAGGTTATCCGCAAAATCCGCGCCACGCTCGACCCGAATGAACGGTTGGTCTCCCGCCGTGTGGATCATCATAGCGGAAGGTTCAGCATCATCGCCGTGTCTGGTCTGACTCGTCCGCATAGCCTCGGCTAGGAAGGACAGCTTGTCAACCTCAGCGAAAGCGGCAGGCCCGTCCAGAGGAAACATGCCGGACGTTGACGTCTCGTATAGGAAATCATCGCCACGGTAAACACTCCCTGGATCAGGAGCAGATATATGGAGATCCTCAGGTGGTGGGTGAGGCTGTTCCATCGACGCATTGTCAACTGAGATAGGGGTGTCGTCGCTTGGCTCTGCTCGTAGCGAGGTGAGGAGTTCTTCAATGCTTGTGAAACGGTTCTCCTCTAATCCGCGATCGGTATTCGGGACGATTGGGTCAGTGTATGTCTTTTCCACCGCCGAGGGTTCCTCCCTCTACATCCGGTCCATGAGAACGGCGGGAACTGTCGACCCCTCCGCGTACTGCCAGCCCTGTATTTCATCCAGGTTGATTTCGATGTCCCTGTAGAGGGGATTGTTCCTCTGTAGCCACAAGAGGGCAGCGGTTACTCGAGACTTGCGCACCTGAAGAAGCGTCCCCACTTCCGCTGGGCTGGGTCTGTTGGCGCCGCTCTAAGACACGTGGATGTTCTCGATTGTCTGAAGAAGCGGGTGAGGGAGCACCGTGGCAACTAGGTCATCTACATTGTTCGGAAATACGACAATGTGACCCTTCACGTGTTTCCGGTAACTGACACCTGACGGCGTTTTGTTATCAACAGTGAACTTCGTGATATAGCCGAAAGGAGCCTGAAGAGCGATCAGCCTCTCCTCGACAGGGGAGAGGCCATCGAGTTCACGAGGATAACGATGCTCACATCCGATGTCCATGTTGTTGACCGAACATGCCTTCGGCAGCTTTCCGTTTTCGATGACGCCGCGGCACTCGAGGCAAATATCGACCCCCATGTCACCGTCCTGTGGGAGACACTTTTTGCATTTCTGAAGAGCCGTCGTAGCCTGCAGCAACGCGGGGGTCAAGTACGTCCTCCAATGGATAGTAGTAATGTTGGCTGGCGGGCATTTTCTATAGCAGAAAATGCAGTGGGAAATGGGTAACGTCCTTCCATCTGTGAAATCCTCGTAGAACGACTTCGAAGTATCGACTTGAAGGGCAACGGGGACCTCTTTGCACCAGGATCTTCCTACCGATGCGTCCTTCTTGGCGCGAAAGCACGACTCTCGGTATTGTAGAAATGCATCCAGGGATTGCTGCTGGAGTTGGACGGTCTCATGCAACAGCCTAGGCCTTTTCCGGGAGCTGCCTGCCCCCGAGGGCGGTGGAGTCAGAAGTTCTTCTTGCTGTGTTCGATGGCGCTTGCGGGAACGCGGCGTCTGTGGAGGAGGGAAGGCCGGCTCAGGGGTGGCTGGTCGCTTCACAAGTTCGGTAGCATCCGCCCCTTGGGGGGCCTGGTGGGGCCGACTGGCCTGGTGTTGGGCACGTTGTCTGTCCAGATCGTCAGATGCACGAACGATCTCCTCAAGAGGCACTCTGAACTTTCCACCTTGCGGCTGCGGCTCCATGGACTCTGGTGGATGAGCTCCTTGCCTTCGGCGAGGTCGGCCTTCGGCATGCTGGTGGTCTAGGTTGCCCATTGTACAGGCGACCTCTTCGAGGGGTAATAAGATGTTTCCACCTTGGACCTGTGGCTCTAGGTCCTCCTGCGAAGAGCTTGCTTGTCTCCGAAGGGTTGTTTCTTCCGTTTGCTGGCGGTCTAAGTTGCTCAACGCACGGCTGATAATCTCTGGAGGTAATATGACCTTCTCACCACGGAATTGTCGCTCCATGGCTCCCTGCGGATGACGGCCTTCAGTCCAACGGGCTTTTCTCTCGGCATTCTGGCGGTCCAGGTCGTCTATTGTACGAGCGACTTCTTCGAGGGGTAATAAGACCTTGGCACTTCGAAGAGATGAGCGCCTACCCTCCTGTGGACGAGGTACTTGCCTCCGACGAGCTGTTTCTTCGGCGTGCTGGTGGTCCAGGTCGCTCATAGTACGAGAAACCTCCTCGGGAGGTAATATGATGTTCCCGCCTCGGATCTGTGACTCCATGACCTCCTGCGGACGAGATACCTCTCTCTGGCGGGCTCTTTCTTCGGCATGCTGGCGCTCTAGGTCGCTCAACGTGCGGGAGATCTCCTCAGGAGGTAACATGACCTTCTCGCCTTGTGGCTTCGATGCTTCTTGCTGGCGACCCCCTTCTCTCCGTCGGGCTGTTCGTTCGGCATGCTGGCAGTCCAGGCCATCTAATGTGCGAGTGACCTCCTCGAGGGGGACTCTGAGCTTCCTATTTCGGGTCTCTGACTCCATGACCTCCTGCGGCCGAGCTGCTCGTCTTCGACGAGCCATTTCTTCGGCATGCCAGTGGTCTAGATCGCGAATAGTACAAGCGACCTCCTCGGGAGATAACATGACCTTCCCGCCCCTGAACTGTGGATCCGAGGAATTTTGCGGGAGACCCCCTCTCCGCCAGGCTCTTTCTTCGGCATTCTGACGGCCCAGGTCCCTCAGTGTGCGCTGGTTCTCGTCAAACGGGACTCTAACCGGCTCCTTAGGGGGCTCTCGGAAAGCCTGAAGGGCTGTCTCGTCAAGAACGAGACCAGCCGGCTCGTTTCGTGGACGCGCGGCTTTGGGATTCCGTCGGGCCTGGTCTCGAGCGTGTTGCCGGCCTAGATCTTCCAGCGTTCGGTGGATCTCTTCAAGCGGAACCTTGACTGGTTCTGCTCGAGGCATGGTGTAAGCGGTAACGGCACGGACTGGCGTACCCAGAGGGGACAAGAGTAGGCTAAACAGAAAGACGCCATGCTTGACCGATATAGGGGTCGAACGAATGAAATAAGCGCGTCCATTATCGAAGGAATGGACCATGAGAGCGCAAAAAGAGCCACGAGGGAAAAATCAATGCATAGTTGTCCTTTGGGTCAGCGGAGCAGAGTGTCGCATATCACCACCATCGTGCGACCAGATGCGAAACGCGGCCCATACCTCGCGGTCGTGCATCCGGTTTCAGACATGAACTTAAATAGCTGTGCCCGAGCACATGGCTGTTCAATTTCTTTTATTTATTCTTTAAATAATTCTCATCAATGTTGTTGGATTTCGCAGTGATGCTGAGTGCACTTGATAAAAGGTTGTTATTATTGTTATTAACTCCTTGCAGTCGAAGGACCTTTGAGGCCTTATATCTTCGACTGATTCCTTTTAGGACTTGAGTCCTATAGAGTCCTAGATGACAGTCCTACAATCTGAGTTTTAGGACATCAAACTCTAACTTTAATCTTGAACCTTGATCCTGAAGTTGAGGGGGAACCATCAGTTCTTCCAACAATCAATTGACTGGTGCCATCAATGATCCCTGTAATTGTCTGACACAGGCTTTCGGGAGCTAACAACTTCGCAAAGAGGGGCCTAAGCCGCTTCAAGATCGCGAGCTCTCCACCCGAGACATAGATATTCACTGCTCGTGGAGCCCCGAAAGCCTTGGTACAGTGGACGAGTCCAACGAAGCGAGGCGCTATTTCTAGCATAGACATAACACGGGTGAAAGGAGGGCGGTACGGAAGCAGGAAAGTGTGCAGTAGGGGAACCACTGTTTGTTTATGTTTGTACAGGCACGATCTCTTGGAGAATGTTCCTCCTTCTTCCACACCTTGCCACCGACTTGGTCGCCTCACACTTATGATCTCTAACAAAATGAGCATACTCGGTTGAGAGGCGAGGTACATTCCCCAGGGCAATTACAGTGAATAGTAAGAAAGGTGGGTGAGTACGCAGCCGGGAACCGAACCGAGAGGCGGCGTTTACGCCGTGTGACGTAGCTGGCCCTGCTGGGTTTATAAAAGGCTTACAGAACCGGCACCCTTGGCTCGACAGGCATAGTGGCGCAGTAGCGTTCGATTGGAGTGGTGGCGCAGTGTCTGTGGTGAAGTGGATTTGGCGCGGTCGAGTGGCGCGAGGATCCAGGCGAAGTTTGGTGGCACAGGTGTTTGTGGTGCAGGCGTCTAGCACGGATCGTTTAGGGGCCCGAGTTTACGAAAGGAGGGCGCGGAAGAAAGAACCTTTTCGTTCCTCAAAGGCATAGGAAGCACCGTTGGCTGTATTAATTTGTGTAGACAGTATCTACTTATCACGCGTCGGCGACGGGGAAGCACGAACTCGAGCACTCAACTCTGCTGCCTTGGAGGATTTGCCCATGAGCAGGTCCCTAACTTGAAGAGACGTAGCGTTGTTGTGGCGGCGGGCCGGACATAATAATAACGCATGATTGGTGAACAGCGTGTGATACCGCCGTACCGTATTTGCATGAGAACGATATTATTGGGTGAGAGGTGGTCATTCAGCTGCGAGTAAGCGCCCGCGGTCAGGGGGGTGGCCTCAGCAGATAACTGATCACGGATTTCTCACCAACTTGCTTCTGCCAATGCTGCCCAATCGCTTTTTGTTTTAGCGATGATCGTGGTGCCGTGACTTCTTTCATAATCGTTGCACTTTTTCAGGTACTGTACGTTCTGTCGATTGAACTTCGGCGCAGATCTTAAAAATCCCACTGAACCCTCGCGATTGGAGGGGACAAGTTGCGCTGCCAGGTTGGTTGTTGTGCTTGGCGATCACAGCGGTCTGCAGGCGGATCTAACTTGTCCAGGAAGAGGCAAGTGATCTTTCTGAGAAACCTCGGCAAAGCCCCAACAACTTTTTTCCTCTCGCGCTGCTCCAACGTGCTCGTCTGCCCAAGGCTTCCTTGATGCTCGCTACTCAGCTTGGAGAAACAGCTTTCCCATGCGCTGTAGTCTTTTTCTCTCGAAACTGAAAGGACCTGTTGACCACTTCAGAAACAGCGGCCTGAGCCGAATGTAAGTACCTTCAAGCTTGACTGAACGCGGAAACTGATGCCCAGATGCCCAGATGTCAACCACGTCTTCCGCCGTCCCGCCGACTTGTTCCCCTTCGAACGACGACTATACCGTGGGATGGATCTGCGCCATAAGCATTGAGTACCTTGCCGCACAGCTCTGTCTCGATGAAGAGCACGAAAGACCGGAATATGTGTCCCGCCACGACAACAATGATTACACATTAGGCAGAGTTGGGAAGCACAATGTCGTTGTCGCCGTTTTACCCGACGGGGAGTACGGCACATCGTCCGCGGCAAGCGTCGCAAGAGATATGCTGCACAGCTTCCCAAACGTCAGAATCGGCTTGATGGTCGGCATCGGCGGCGGGGCGCCAAGCCCCAATCATGATGTCCGTTTAGGCGACATCGTGGTCAGCGCTCCTCGCGATGGGGAGGGTGGCGTGTTGCAGTATGACTTCGGCAAAACGATACAAGATCAGAGCTTCCAACCAACAGCGTTCTTGAACCGGCCACCGACAGTCTTGCTGACAGCAGTGAGCGGGCTTAAGACCCAGTACCAGAGGAAACGGCATCAGCTTGAAGAAGCCATCAACCTCATTCTCGAGAAGGAAGAGGACCTACGGGACGAACTTAGTCGGCCAGGCGCAAGTAGCGACAGACTATATCGAAGCGATTTCGTCCATCCTCCAGACAAGAAAAATAGTTGCATGGAAATCTGTGGGGTTGATCCATCGAACTTAATAACGAGACCCGAACGGATAAAACAACCACAGAGTCCAGTAGTCCACTACGGCCTGATTGCTTCAGCGAATCAGTTGATGAAGGATGCTTTGGTTCGCGACAGACTTACGGCAGAAATGAACGTTCTGTGCTTCGAGATGGAAGCAGCGGGGCTGATAAACCACTTCCCTTGCCTAGTTATCCGCGGTATATGCGACTACTCAGATTCCCACAAGAACAAGGAGTGGCAGGGCTATGCAGCAATGGTGGCTGCTGCATATGCGAAGGATCTTCTCTGTCGAATACCTCCAAATAGGGTTGAAGCTGAAAAGAAGATCGGTGATATTCTATCCGGTAATTCCAAGGTTTAGAATCATACTATTAATACATATTAATCCTATGTACAGGCCTCCAAGAAGTTGCAGAACAGAACCGGGACATTGCAAAGGAGCAGCTCCAAGCCCAGAAAGATCTAGCCAAGGAGAGGCTGTCCAAAGAAGAACAAAAGTGTCACCAGCTATTCCGCCTCACAACTGGCAGCAGGGACGCCACATACGAGTGGTATAAAGACCGAGTGGAAGAAAGGGTTGAAGACACGTGCCTGTGGTTCCTCAAGCACGAGCACTTCCAGATGTGGTTGAAACAGGACTCTGGCCCCCTGCTAGTCACGGCGGATCCTGGCTGTGGAAAGTCGGTGTTGGCCAAGTATCTGATCGACCACGGTCTGTCACAATCGGCAACTATCTGCTACTTCTTCTTTAAAGACCAAGACCAGAACACCGTCCGGCAAGCACTTTGTGCGCTGCTCCACCAGCTCTTCTCTCAGAAGCCGTCTCTGATTGAACATGCCATGCCACAATTCCGCAAGGATGGGTCAGGTTTAATCAACTCTACAGCATCGCTCTGGAAGGTTCTGCGGAACGCCATAAAAGATCCCCGGGCAGGACCTGTAACAATTGTCCTTGATGCCCTAGACGAATGCGACAAAGCAGAGTTTCCGCACCTGATGCAGAATGTCGGCAGCGACCAGTCGGGCCTAAGCAGGGTGAAGTATCTTCTAACGAGCCGCCCGTATGAGCAGGTCGTGTCCAAGTTCCACAGCCTGTTGAAAGCTTTTCCAAATATCCGTATACCAGGAGAGGAAGAGTCGGAAACCATCAGCCAGGAAGTGAATCGCGTTATTGCGCACCGGGTCAATCAACTGTCGGAGATGAAGGCTCTCTCACCTCAAGTCAAGAGTCAGCTGGAGAAAAGTCTACGGGGAACTCCTCACCGCACCTATCTCTGGGTATTCCTCGTGTTCAACTACCTGGAGGAAGACGACTTTGTAAAAACACAAACGGGGGTCCAGTCTGCCATTACAACGCCTCCGAGGAGTATCAATGAGGCATATGAGCAAATTCTTAATAAGTCTAAAGAACATCCGATGGTTCGGAAGGCTTTGAGTATCATCCTGGCCGCGAGTCGGCCGCTAACACTCCCGGAAATGAAGATTGCGGTGAATATAGACTACACATTACAGTCTATTCACGAGCTCGACTTGGAGGATGACGAGCACTTCAAGATGCGTCTCAGATCTTGGTGCGGATTGTTCATCTCAATCCATCATAACAAGATTTATTTTCTTCATCAAACTGCTCGCGAGTTTCTCCTCGCAGATTTGGTATCGCCTACAACTGTCCCGTCAGAGCTACGCTGGCATCACTCGATCACTACTAACCACGCACACGCCGTTCTTGCAAAGGTCTGCGTGCTCTATCTGAACTTCTTTAACTCTGACGCTTGTCTTCCAACGGGTGCGAAGAGAGAAGCCGGCCACTCCGTCGGTAGCCACGCCTTCTTAGATTACTCGGCCCAAACTTGGGGCGCTCACTTCCGGGAGGCCAGTATCATGGATGATGATGCCGTTGTACCTTTCGCTCTGAGAATTTGTAATCCGGATTCAAACAGCTACTCGGTATGGTTTAGAATTTATTGGAAGACTACACGTATGATGACTACCGATTATTTTACGGATCTCATGCTAGCGTCGTACTATGGCCATCGTGTCGTTGTTAAGCTACTTCTCAAAAAAGGCGCCGAGATCGAGGCGAAAGACAGCACGTATGGTCGGACGCCGCTATCGTGGGCCGCCGGTAATGGGCACAAGGCCATCGCCAAGCTGCTGCTCGAGAAGTGCGCCGACGTCGAGTCCAAGGACAAACATGGTCGGACGCCGCTCTCGCGGGCCGCCGAGAATGGGCGCGAGGCCATCGTCAAGCTGCTGCTCGAGAAGGGCGCCGACGTCGAGTCCAAGGACAAAGATGGTCGGACGCCGCTCTCGTGGGCCGCCGAGGATGGGCGCGAGGCCATCGTCAAGCTGCTGCTCGAAATGGGCGCCGACGTTGAGTCCAAGGACAAAGATGGTCGGACGCCGCTATGGCTGGCCGCCAAGAATGGGCGCGAGGTCATCGTCAAGCTGCTGCTCGAGAAGGGCGCCGACGTCGAGTCCAAAGATGAATTTGGTCGGACGCCACTATCGTGGGCCGCCAAGAATGGGCGCGAGGCCATCGTCAAGCTGCTGCTCGAAATGGGCGCCGGCGTCGAGTCCCAAGATAAAGATGGTCGGACGCCGCTATCGTTGGCCGCCCGTAATTGGCGCGAGGCCATCGTCAAGCTGCTGCTCGAGAAGGGCGCCGACGTCGAGTCCAGGGACGAAGATGGTCGGACGCCGCTATCGTGGGCCGCCGAGGATGGGCGCGAGGCCATCGTCAAGCTGCTGCTCGAGAAGGGCGCCGACGTCGAGTCCAAGGACAAACATGGTCGGACGCCGCTATCGTGGGCCGCCGAGAATGGGCGTAAGGCCATCGTCAAGCTGCTGCTCGAGAAGGGCGCCGACGTCGAGTCCAAGGACAAAGATGGTCTGACGCCGCTATCGTGGGCCGCCGAGGATGGGCACGAGGCCATCGTCAAGCTGCTGCTCGAGAAGGGCGCCGACGTCGAGTCCAGGGACTTTTTTGGTTGGACGCCGCTGTCGTGCGCCGCCGAGAACGGGCACGAGGCCATCGCCAATCTGCTGCTCGAGAAGGGCGCCGACGTCGAGTCCAAGGACAAAGATGGTCGGACGCCGCTATCGTTAGCCACCCGTAATTGGCACGTGGCCATCGTCAAGCTGCGGCTCGAGAAGGGCGCCGACGTCGAGTCCAAGGACAAACATGGTCGGACGCCGCTATCGTGGGCCGCCAAGAATGGGCGCGAGGCCATCATCAAGCTGCTGCTCGAGAAGGGCGCCGACGTCGAGTCCAAGGACGAAGTTCGTCGGACGCCGCTGTCGCGGGCCGCCCGTAATGGGCGCAAGGCCATCGCCAAGCTGCTTCAACGAAAATCTCGATAACTACGAGACTATACTCTTCCCTCTTTCGGAAAATGGTACTTGCATAACCTGTTACAAGCGATAAGAGCCTTCAATACCTTGATCTTGCCTTCCCGAACCTATTTCTATCATGGATGGCGAAGCAGTGCTTGCTCTCTTCCCTACCTTATGCAGGACTATCTGGGCTTGGACTTGGCAGCCATGGTAGTTATAACAGCGTACTGTCTAATTTTAATAACTTTGTTAAGTGGCAGGTCAAAGGGGTCCAGGTTCATTTATAGCTGTAATTTCTTAGCTTCACGTTTGCAGATTGTTGCCATTTAAGCCGGTTCTAATAAGTTTAATGTCCACAGGCATCGGGCTGGTTTTTGCAGCGCGTGATATGCGTGCATAAAGTCACCTGCAAATTAAGCCAGGTACTACAGACGACTGCGATCACGACATTATAGACGCAGACGCTGATCCTTCATTCGAAGTCAAGAATATCCGGGTTCAGTCTAAGGAAACTAAAGAAGTATTTATGGTCTCTTGGAGGTGGAGAGACGGCATATGGATTGACCCAGTCTCAAAAAATGAATTTGAAGATGATACTCTGCTAGAGTCCTTCGATTTTCTTTTAATTGAGGGTCTCCGTACTGGTTGGGCTTCGATAACGCTGGAACTCGACAACGGCTGGTGGCGTGGTTCTGATTCCTTGAATAAATGGACCATCAACGTTGAGGCTAATTTGGTTGAATTTGCAATTGCAATAGCTGAAAAGAGATCATGTATGAAAGTACATTAAGATCTAAATTAGTTCTTTGTAATAATACCAAATGTTTACTGAGTTTCGATCTCTATCCGGTTCTGTGCCTTACGGCGAGATGATAGGGCCAAGGCTCGAACCAACTACACTGCATATCCACGTGGATGGATGGATGGATTTTATTTCGCCCGGGGGGACACACCCCAGAGGGCCTTTGCGCTAAGCTATTTTCGTTTCGTACGGTTCTTCCATAATCACCCGAAGCCCCACAATTTCACTTTACTGATTGGTCCAATCTGATGTATATGCAGTGACAGGCCTGCTTGAAGGCCAATTTCTCCAAGTGTTCAGCATCCTATCCTCAGCAGCTGAAGCACGGTCTGCCAAAATGAGACTGTATGATGTTAGTAGGATTCAATCTGAATAGTTAGTGTGCCTGAGGCTTCTGGTCCATGTCAAGCCTCCCCGTTGCAATGGCAAATTTGATCGTCGCCCGTACTGCCCGCATGTCTGGCGCCCATTTGTCACCGTCAGACGCCGCCTTTCCTCCCAGGAAGTATGATAGGTTTCCCATCTTTGTCTGTGAGCATCGCAACATGCCTTCCCGTTGCCCGGTCCATTTTGCGCAGCGGAATAGGAAGTGTTCCACTGTCTCTGATGCTAGCCAGCATTCGCAAGTGTCCAATTCCATCGTTCCTATCTTGCACAGAAAGCTGTTAAGTCTCACCATTCCGGTGCGGAGCTGTGATAGTACGTCTGCTTCCTTCCTCTTCAGCGGGTCATATAGAGTACGGGTATGCTTGCCTGGCAGTGCCGTATCTATCTGCTTCGAGTATTTCCCGACTCTTTCTGGTAGTGTTCTTGTTTGCCGCTGCTTGGTTATCGCTAGTCTTATTCTTGTGGATCTTGCTAGATGCGGTGGCACATCTGGTCTGCATTCTCCTTCTGTGGCCTTCCGCGCTGCTGCTTTGGCTTTTGGTCCCAGCGCGAAATCCTCTTCTCCTGCTGGAACCCACAACATCCGGAGAGAGTGGCCCTCGTCTTCGAGACGCTTGATATGGTCGTATATTTGCCGTATGATCTGTTGACCGGATTGTTGTCGTGGCCGCCGTATGGCTTCTAGTGCGGAGCGGCTGCTCGTCATGACGGTCATATCCCGCCGGGAGAGTCCAGACGGCATACATCTCAATACCATCTCTATAGCTCCCAGCTCGGCGATGTATAGGTTCAGCTCCTCCGTCAACCCAAAAGTGATGGAGTAGCTAACCACTACCTCGTCATCGTTGTTGATCGTCGTATCTCGTACGACGCCTCCCATGCCTACCATGCCCCTTCTCTGCGAGGAGCAGGTGGCAATGACTATGCCATCCACCCTCTTTGCTTCTTCCACCGCTCTCTCCCGGTCAGGGTCGCACGACCAGTGCTGGATAGACACGCGTGTTGTTTCATACTGTTTCATATGAAACTGAAACAGTCCATGGACCCGGGTTCATATGAAACCGTAGCTCTCCCAGTTTCATATGTTTCAGTCGGTTTCATATGTTTCATATACCCCTGATGAGTCCCAAACATCTTAGTACTTAACCAGGAAAATTTCCCAAACCAAATGCCTTCAACACAGCGAGAAACTTGTCAACAGTAAATATGTCATCAACTTCGCCCGCTCCCCTGTTATCGGAGCCTTCCGATGAGCTCTTGGGGCCTGCTTCGCTTGACTCACCCGTTCCCGCGAAGCGCGCTTTCGATCTCTCTCCCTCTGATCGGGCTGGCAAGCGCGCCAAAGGCCGTACAAACAAAAGCACTTGGGACGAGGCGCGTGACCCTTATGAAGAAAGAGGAGAGAAGGCTCGTGATACCTCATACCACGAAATTTGGTACTGCAAGCACTGCGACTCCACGAAAAAGCCTAATTCGGTAACGACGAACCTGAGCCGAGCCCGCAAGCACCTGCGGGACTTTCATGGCATCCGCGTAATAGAGCAGGCCGAAAAGTCGGATCTGAAAAAGCAGCAACATGGCACCATCACGGATTTATTTGGAAGGCAGGAGGAACGTCAAGCCAATCGAGACCTCAACGAGGAAAAATATTTGGCAAACGCCATTAACATTCCTGTATTCGAGGAAGCTCTCGCCAGGCTTCTTGCGGTTCGCAATATCGCCCACACATTCATCGAGTACCCCGAGTTTCACGCTGTTATACTCTCCTGCAACTACATGGCCCGGGACGTCCTCCTACGCAGTCGCAGAGCGGTACCGAAGCCAGTGCTGGATAGACACGCTATGAAACTGAAACTGAGGTGAGTTTCAGTTTCATGAAACCGGACACCAGTATAGTTTCGGTTTCATATGAAACCGGTTTCAGTTTCATATCAATCAACCTCGAATTTTTTTTTCTTTTTTCCCCTCTCTTTGGCAAGCTCGGAGCCGATATACCTACGCCTTACAAGTTAACACTAGCCACCCCAAAGATGTTTGCCATTGTCTGCCTAACTTACCTATACTACCAATTCCCTAGCCTCACAATCGCTTTCTTCCCCCCTGTCCATCTCTATATCTTCTTGGAGAATCCTTACAGCTGCGTCGATATCCTCCGCCCTCCTAAACACCCCTGCAAGAACTGGCCTGCTTTTCCCCTTTGGAACACTTATCCAGCTTTTAATGCACTCACATGCCTCTACCATTTTGGCAGACATGCTACTTCTATCCCATGTAACCTGCCGTCTTGCGCCAGAGAAAATTCGCTCCGCTTCCGTAGACATCGGAGGAATGCAGAATATGTCAATAGCCATACGGCAGAGGAGCGGGAAATTCTCTCGTTGCGTCGGTTCAAGCCACCACTGTAAGGCCGTTTGTTGTCCAATCCCAACTTGTGAACCCTGCGAACTATCGTCAAAACCCGGCCATTAGAAGGCTTCAAAATTACTTACATAAATAAAGCGGTCAAATTCATCCTTCACTTCGCTCGCTGTGCTGTACACCTTCTGCCTCCAGCGATCAAACTCGTCCAGTTCTTGCCCTTTCTCCTGTTGTTTATCTGGGATCTGGTAGCTCTTGTACTCTGTCGACCAAATCTTTCTTACACACTTCACTGCATTGCTAACCCACGCTGGGTTTCTCTTCCACTGCTCACTCAGATAGCTCTTTCGGAGGGCTGGGTGGAGGAGAACACCGGCTACGTACACGGGGGCTTGTTCAGTAAGCTGGTAATACTTCTCAAACTTTAGCCAAGCTACGTGAAATCGTGCGTAGAAGTGTGGGTTACTGGAAGCTTGGTCTTTAACCTGCGTGAAGTGATGATGGAGGAAATCCATATGGGAGAGAACTTCATCGAGTGTATTCTCCCGGCCTTGGCGTACCGAGATCTGGTGGAATGGTTGTAGAAACGCATGGATATCTCGGAGCTCGTTCCAGTCGCTGTGGTCCAGTGCATCTTTCTCGATTTTGGCGTGATTTTCTTGAATCCAGTCCATGAACTTTGCCCGCCTCTCAGTTGCCACATCAATAAGGCGATACCATGAATTCCAACGTGTGTCGTTGTCCCTCGGCAAGGCCCTGCCAATCTTGGCCTTGAAGTCGTTGTAAATGCAGGTAGAGCTCCTTGAATACATGCACAAGTTGTGGAGCTTGCCCAGGACACTAAACTCCCGCCATTCCTCGGTAGCTTGCGCCTTCGTAATAATGCCCCCTTCTTCTTTTTCGGATAGTCTGCACAGTTGCTCATACGCCTCGTCAATCCCCTCTTGCTCATCCTCCTGGATCTTCTTTGCCTTACTCCGAAAAAGGAAGGCTTGAACGATGAGGTTCATGATGTGGCCACTGCAGCGTAGTCGCCTGGCAACCGGGTCAAACCCATCAATCTCTTTTGCGACATCGTCAAGCATAGTATCGTTAGCATCGTGATTATCCATCGTGAAGTAGCCAATCTTTCCGTTGAGGCCGTACTCTTCGACAACCTCCAGGAAAGCCTTGGCTTGCAATTTCCCACTGTGGCTTCCTTTGAACTCGCGCAGTGACAATAACGCTTGAGCGACTTCTCTCGTCTCCGCATCTACAAAATGGACCACGATTGCCTGATATGCTGCTTTCTGTTCCGACGAGGTCCACATGTCAATGGTGAAGTGGACCATGGAAGAGAGAGAATTATAAAGCTTGTTGATGAGGCCTTGTTTGTGTTGAGCGAAAGTCTTTTCGAGAAGCTTCGGTACCGCTCTGCGACTGCGTAGGAGGACGTCCCGGGCCATGTAGTTGCAGGAGAGTATAACAGCGTGAAACTCGGGGTACTCGATGAATGTGTGGGCGATATTGCGAACCGCAAGAAGCCTGGCGAGAGCTTCCTCGAATACAGGAATGTTAATGGCGTTTGCCAAATATTTTTCCTCGTTGAGGTCTCGATTGGCTTGACGTTCCTCCTGCCTTCCAAATAAATCCGTGATGGTGCCATGTTGCTGCTTTTTCAGATCCGACTTTTCGGCCTGCTCTATTACGCGGATGCCATGAAAGTCCCGCAGGTGCTTGCGGGCTCGGCTCAGGTTCGTCGTTACCGAATTAGGCTTTTTCGTGGAGTCGCAGTGCTTGCAGTACCAAATTTCGTGGTATGAGGTATCACGAGCCTTCTCTCCTCTTTCTTCATAAGGGTCACGCGCCTCGTCCCAAGTGCTTTTGTTTGTACGGCCTTTGGCGCGCTTGCCAGCCCGATCAGAGGGAGAGAGATCGAAAGCGCGCTTCGCGGGAACGGGTGAGTCAAGCGAAGCAGGCCCCAAGAGCTCATCGGAAGGCTCCGATAACAGGGGAGCGGGCGAAGTTGATGACATATTTACTGTTGGCAAGTTTCTCGCTGTGTTGAAGGCATTTGGTTTGGGAAATTTTCCTGGTTAAGTACTAAGATGTTTGGGACTCATCAGGGGTATATGAAACATATGAAACCGACTGAAACATATGAAACTGGGAGAGCTACGGTTTCATATGAACCCGGGTCCATGGACTGTTTCAGTTTCATATGAAACAGTATGAAACAACACGCGTGTCTATCCAGCACTGGTCCCAGGCACTGCACCCAGCACTGCACCTTTAGAAGAAAGAAGGCATGATCACACTGCCTATAAGAATTAACGTTATAGTCCCCTCCAAGTAGAAAACTCGATTAAGTATCGTGGCATTGGGCTTGGTTCTCACTGAAGGTCATAACGTTGCTATCTGCGTCACTTGAGCATATCGACCGGTGCCGAAGGAGGCAGACGATTGGGGGAATAGGGTCGACCGTGACGGGCTGTGGGGAGAACAAACATGATGTACTGCCAATACAGTGTTGGGCGCAGTGCTGGGCGTAGTGCCTGAGCGTGGATACGCGAGAATCCAAGGGCGTCCGTCGTGCTGCTAGTCTATATGTATGATCTGAATGTCGTAGAAGCTTTAATGGGAAACCTGTACGGAGGGCGGGGCATCTTCGATGTGGGCTTATTGCTCGACCTAATTTTGTCCACGGTTAATGACGATAGCTCGGTCTTTCCTGCCACAGCAGGTCTGGGCTATAAAAGCGCGACAAGTGCCATGCAATGTACATCCCGTGTTGTCACTCGTGTGTGCATCTCTGCTGCTGTTAGCTGGCCTCTTCAAAGACGATGTTGACATGATGTACAGAGGGTGTGGAAAACGCGACGGTGTAGGGCGCGTTTCGCGTCACAAACACACCCTGCTCGCGATACGTTCACACTCACTATCCCGTTCGTGAAAGTTGCAATCCCCGCGGACTCAAACCTGGTGGGAGCCGGATTCGCATGTCCTATGGCTTGATGCCTGAGGCACGACTGCGGCAGTTCAGTCGTGCGGCTGAAGTTAACTGCAATTTTCAGCCAAGCCTCTGGTCAATCTGACCCTTTGGGCTTCTTCTTCTTTCTTTACATCACTCTAACTACCTGTCTTCATCCTAGGTTGATGTCGGGTCATCCAATTCCGACATCTCCTCTAGTTGCATTCCTCGACATACTCTCTGCGATTCCTTCCGATCGGCGGTTTTACAGTAGGGCCCACGGTAGACCACAAGTTACCCCGCTTTTGCTCCCTCGACCAGGCTACCCGACATCCTCTTCCGATCGTTCGACGATGACCCAAGCTGGCCTCCATGTCATCTTCGACAGCGCCTGCGATGACCACCTTCCCCGCGTGGCAGAGCTAGAGTATGTTCTACGGTCCCCGTAGCCGTGCAATGCTAACAGATCATTCCACTAGCGTTGTCGCAGTCCACGGCCTCAACTTTAAGAACAGCGACGATCACGCTCGAAAGACATGGACGATGGGCGACAAGCTCTGGCTTAAAGACTTCCTCCCGAAGACCCTTTCAAGACCCGCTCGGATGATGCTCTTTGAATACAACTCGAGCCCTGCCATAGGTGCAACGGCTATCAAACTCGACGACCACGCGAACAACTTGCTACAATGGCTCAAACTGAAGCGGAAGGTATACCCCAAGCGACTAGCCGTATTTAATTAGAGCCCCATCCTGATCAACGCAGAGTGACCCACAGAAGCCTCTTGTGTTTATATGCCATAGCTTAGGTGGATTGGTTGTCAAAGAGGTGAGTGCTTGCTTGTATAAGCAATGACCAATGTTAATGCCCTATAGGCACTCGTCGCAGCCACATTAGATGTTACATATAAATCTATCGTCGAGGCGACCCGTCTTCTCGTTTTCTTTGCTACACCACACCAAGGCGGGAACTATGCTAGTTTTGGTGATATCGTGGCCAAAATAGTCAGAAGGGGTATGTCAAAGCCAAGGAATGACCTCCTTGATGCCTTGAAGGAAAACTCGGACCAAGCGACGAAACGATTTGAACAAGCTCGCCATTTGCCCGAGAAATGTCTTGTCGTCAGCTTCTTCGAGGGAGACCCGTATGGCAAGATGGGTCTTGTGCGTCAACCAAATGAACCCACAAAAGCAATCTTGCTAACTTCCGATAGATTGTCGACAAGAAATCTGCTACATTGAATCTGCCGGGTACGCGTGAGAAGCAGATAGCCATGCACGCTGATCATAGTACTATTTGCAAATTCGAGTCCGCCGACAGCCTCGCATGCGAGTTGGTTTTAGGGACTATCACTGAAGAGGTCGAGCGCGCTCTGAAGATGGATTGGACTGGTTAGTCTTAGCTTTTCTCTAGCTTCAATCATATGCTCTATCCTGTTCTAGTCACGAATACTGACTATCGTCCTCTCCTCTAGCCCCTTGTCGCATGCCGAGCTATCCTTTGAGCTCAATGGCACCAGTGAAGACATTCGTTCAGCGACCAGCTCTTCGTGACAGCATCCGAGATCAGCTCGTGAAACCCCTCGAGGCTAATAGACAAGGGGAGGTAAAGAAGGTGGGTGTATGGGGTATGGGCGGGGCGGGAAAGTCACAGCTAGCTCTAAGCTACCTGCAGCATTATCGAACCAAGTATGATGCCACATTCTGGATTCAAGCGGACCAGACGGCCTCTATCGACCGAGATTTCCTAGCCATCTACCGACTGCTAGCAGAGGCTACGTCTTTACTATCCGACCCGAACCCCGAAGATGTGAAGCGAGAAGTACTCGGCTGGTTTGCTAGAGCATCTGGAAAGTGTCTTGTCATCTTCGACGGTGCCGATTATTTGCACCAAACAGACAAAAACTTTGTGGCGCTGTCCGAATACTTTCCGGGATCCCCCAACATACACATCATCATCACGAGTCGGACATCCGTCGCAAAATCTATGTCGACGTTCGAGGGAGTTTCTGTTGGGGAACTTGAAGAGTCACAAAGCGTTGAACTCTTCCTGAACTGTGCAGAGGTACAACCATCGCCGGTTAATGTGGTGGCTGAAGCCAAACTCATTGTGAATGAGCTGGGTTACCTTGCCCTGGCAATCAGCATGGCGGGAAAGTATGTGTCACAGACCCCGCGGCTATCATCCAATTTATCTGCATATCTCGAGGAATTCCGTCGCCGTCGACGGGATCTGCTCTCAGAAACGCCGGATGAACTTGTTGCAAGGTATCACCACAGCGTCATGACTGTGTGGGAGACGTCTTACTCTGCGGTATACGAGCATGTTCCGGAGGCATGCCGACTTCTAACGTTGTTGTGTTTTATTCACTATGATGACATCTTCCTTGAGCTGTTCGGCTTAGACATTGATTCAGGTTCAACAGCGGTCGCATCATGGACATCAGTTTTAGGGTGTCAAATTAGGGTTGACTTATATCACTTGGAAAAATGGTTTGGGGTTCTGGAGAAATACTCACTGTGCCAGCACAAGATGACGCAAACATCATACTCGATTCATCCCCTTGTTCATGCCTGGGGCTACGATCGACTACAGGGCGACGGAGACGGAGTGAACCGCTTTTGGTACGCAGCATCACAGTTCCTTGGTGATTACCTGAAGGTTATTCGTGATCGCCAGGCTGGGCCAGCGTCAAAGCTGCGAGTTATGCCACATCTGACAGACAACATCCAAAGCTTTAGGAGGGCCTCAACAGTCGTTGACTGGAACCAAATTGATTCGCTGGAGACTCTGGAAAGCTTCGGTCTATTTTTTAGGGAAATTGGACGCTGGAACGAAGCAGCATTATCACAAAGGGAGGTTCTTGAGAAAAGGCAGCGGATTCTTGGCGATGAGCATCCAGATACCATCACGGCGATGAACAACCTTGCATCTACGCTAGGCTACCAAGGCAAACGGGATGAAGCAGCATTGATGAAGAGGGAGGTTCTTGAGAAAAGGCAAGGGATTCTTGGCGATGAGCATCCAGATACCATCTCGGCGATGAACAACCTTGCACTTACGCTAGGCGACCAAGGCAAACGGGATGAAGCAGCATTGATGAAGAGGGAGGTGCTTGAGAAAATGCAGCGGATTCTTGGCGATGAGCACCGATATACCATCACGGCGATGAACAACCTTGCATCTACGCTAGGCGATCAAGGGAAACTGGATGAAGCAGCATTGATGAGGAGGGAGGTTCTTGAGAAAATGCAGCGGATTCTTGGCGATGAGCATCCAGATACCATCTCGGCGATGAACAACCTTGCACTTACGCTAGGCGATCAAGGGAAACTGGATGAAGCAGCATTGATGATGAGGGAGGTTCTTGAGAAAATGCAGCGGATTCTTGGCGATGAGCATCCAGATACCATCTCGGCTATGAACAACCTTGCATCTAAGCTAGGCGATCAAGGGAAACTGGATGAAGCAGCATTGATGATGAGGGAGGTTCTTGAGAAAAGGCAGCGGATTCTTGGCGATGAGCATCCTTCTACAATTCGGGCGGCAGGATATCTGCGTCTTATTCGATCTGCCCTCAATACTGAGCCATCCGATACTTCGACAACAAAAAAACAACCGCTTCTCAAGAAGGTAACTGGGAAGTTGCGAAGGTTTCGAGATTCGTTTCGATTCCCCCAATCGTAATGATGTAATCAAAACACCTCAATGGAAACAGGAGTCAGTGGAGAGATACATGTGCTACCTTGTCCACAAGCGCGAATCAAGTGAATAAACTGCATCTATCAGAGCAAGTCTCGCGGTTTCGCTGGAGAGAGCGATGCACAAATTGAGCCTCAAAGGCAGCCGGAAAGATTGAGAGTAGGCGATGGAGACCGCAGGAAACCGGATTTCTTGCCATGGAATCCAGGAGCCGTCTTTACTAATCCGAACACTATCGTGGCAATCAGGAAAGGGTCCAGAGGTCATTCCATTGGATTAAGCACAGGCCCAAATAGAGATACCGCCAAAGTTAGTTGGAAGGCATGACTTCATATGTCAAAGTGAAGGTGGGAAGCCCAAATGCTGCGTATTTCCCGAACACAGTCGTCGCTATCGACTTGCCGGAAACGCACGGTCTGGTCTTGCGAGGCTGACGCCACAAGTGTTGAATCGTGCGAGATTTCGATTGAATTCAATGAGTCATCTTGGCTCATGAGGGCTCGCATGCACTCACCATCATCGCTGCGCCAGAGCCGTACGGTCTTGTCATAAGATGACGGGCGACCAGTTTTGAGTTGGGCGAGAAGGTCACATAATTCATGAATGGCGACAATACTGCAATGCTACGGGTCAGCCAAAAGCACACAACATGCGAAGGACATCCGTCGAGACACTCATTTCAACAATAGGACGAACCCCTTCAAAGGCGACGTCCAAATCTTGTGGATGCTCAACCGCTGTGGTTGGCGTAGCGGAATGTGGGTTTTGGGTGGATACCATTGGCCTGGCGCCGGTTCTGGATCAGCCGGTGGGGGGCCACGCCTCGCCGCAGTGAAATCAGCGAGGGCTCAGCGGCGCCGCGGATACCAACGGGTAGTTCTTTGCGTTATGTTAAGAATAAAAACCCCACACTCCTTAGATATTTGATCATTAGATAATCGTATCTCGCCAATCTCTTCGACAGCGTCAATCATCGCAATTCGTCTGTCTTTCCAAGCAGTACATTTGCCTTCACCGACGAATTCCCGGATCAAAGCTCGTTGAAGGCTGAATTGACCCTTCTAGGTATCTCCCAATAGATATCTGCTCTCGTAAGGTTTAGAATTGTGGTTTTCGCTACTGATCCAACAAGCGGCGGGGCCTCGGGCAACAACCTAGGAGGGACCCCAGGTCTGAGGCGGATCGGGCTGTTGAAAGGGCTCAGATGGTCTCCATGCTCGATCTAGTCCCGGATCGATCGTCATATAGACTCTGCCTCCGGGCGACCCGAATATACTTGCACTTCTCGTTTGAGTTCCGCTCGGTCGTTCTCTCAGCTTTGCATCGACTATCTGAAAGGCATATTTCCCATTGAGTGCATCCCGGCAGCATCGAATCGGACAAGTCATTGCATGTCCATGCGACTTCGTTTCGATGGTGGACCATCCGTGACCTCACGTTTGCCATCCAGCGCCCGCAAGATGTTAAGAATCTCTCGGCAGCCTGGCCTTTGGCTCCTCTGTTCCTCTGTGCGGGCGAACGGGTGCCGAATCATCTGGAGTATCGCTTTACCCAGTGCTGCAATCTCTTGTCTTAACATCATGACTCTACCACCCAGAGATTGTAGACTTACCTTTGGGATTGGAATTGGCTATCCATCCAGTGACATCCTCATACTGACGGTGAAACAGCTGGCGCTTATTTTCAAATTCTTGCCCTTGACGCCAGGGATTAATACTCAATTGCCAGGGGTGCCTGCCATATAGCATCCACAAGGCGGTAACGCCAACGGCCCAGACATCCGTTGAGAAGTTGAATTGTTGGAGTTCTCTCTCTGGGGAGAGCCAGCCAACTGTTCCAGTGCATCCTGGTAAGGGTAAAGCATAGCCTTGGGGAGCGTGGATGGCATCCTCGATGTCGAGGAGAACGACCGATGCTTTTTCTGGGTCCCAGTGATGTACACCGATGTTTGTGGGTTTGATATCGCCATGTATCCAACCGTTGGAGTGGAGGAAATCGAGCGCCTCCAGTAGCGATACTATCATCGTCAGAACTAAACGTGGCCTGGACAGTCAAGTTAGCTCAGTCATCTCTCAATGGACCTTGGACGGACTTCGCGGGACTGATACACTGGGCCAGTGTCTTTGGCGCAAAAGGAGTCAGAACAAACCACATATCGGCAGACGCATTGTTCGCTTTAGGGTCATCGGTGATGACCTCGCGAAGACGGACAATGCGATCGTTGTTAGCCATATCGGCCAGATGCGTCAGCCTTTCCAGTGTGTTCTGGCGTCGTTTGGGAGCAAAGCCGTTTTTTGACACCGAGATTCTCTTCAAAGCGACAACCTCTCCCGCATTGTTCACGCCGACGCTCACGCGGCCCTCGCCGCCTGTACCGACAGTTCCCGCAGTAGTCAGGGTCCATTGACCGACTTGAATGGTGTTTCCCGCTGCTGGAGTTGGCGTGAAGCTGAGGTCCGGGGGACTCGGCTGACGATAGAGTGTCTGTATGTATCGGCCAAGTATTGCTGTGTGTTCCTCAGCCATGCTGAAGCGTGAGTATGCGATCTCATACTTCAACTGACCGAGACGAACAAATGATGAGTGCTTGTTCAGGACACGGACTTCTCTTGGTTGCAGCGCATCGCCGTCAACTTCTACGATACCCCGGTCTGAGAGCTTCCTCAGCGCAATTCTGCCGGTTTGATGGACCTGGAACAGAGCATGATGTTGTCGAATGCCAAGAAGAGCAGTATTCTCGAGACACAGGACGAATTCATCAGGCGACCCGCTTGAGGTTCGCCGACCGGCTATCCATCCGCGGAAGACGTTGGTCGGCGGATGAGTAAGATCAACGAAGTAACACCCCGTCCGGATGTATTTCCCGACGGCAGATTGCGCCTCGGCGGTGTCTGCTGGGCTGGAGACAGTCTTTGGATTGTCATACAGGCTGAAGGAGGAACTCGGAGATGAGGATGACAGATACCCAGTCCTGATCTGCGCTATGAGTGTTCCAACCTCTGCATCGCGGATGTGCCTGGGCGAAGTCCACATGAAGTTGCTCGCTTGCGTCCTTGCTTGGTCCTTTTCGTCGTCTTGGCTTCCTTGAGATCTTTCAATCACCCAGTCGGCAACTTCAGAGAAGGCTAGTCTCGCCTCGGCATTCTGAGGTGTTATAGTCAATGTGGCCTGGGAGGCAGATGAGAGTGGCCCAGTGGGGTCTTCATTCGTAGCCTGGCTGCTGGCAGGACTGGAGGCCATCTTGAAATTGGGTGATCAGGTTGTACGACAGATCAAGAATCGCCCTTTGGTAGGGGTGTGGTTCTATGCTGGGTAGTGGCCTCGTGGCTGTTGTGCGATGGTGGTAAGTGGGGGCACATGATAGCAATACGAGGAGCAACATACACTTCAAACAACAATTAGGTTAGGAGGCTGGACTCGGATGAATTCTGTTCCGAGCCGGATTGCGGTTCCTCCGTGCCGATGTAATCTGAAACCCGACCGCCAAATGCCGTTCACGCTGGACTTGACCGAAACACTATCCACACGATGATAATTCATCGGCCGCTGTCGCGCAAACACCACCAAAAAAGACCAGCGCAATGTCTGTGACCTGATTTCAATTACCCAAGCGCCCTCAGATCGACCCGCATGACGCGACATGCCCACACAACAAGGATGCGACTCCCCAATGACTCAGCCTCGCCATCCGGCGCCATGGCGACAGATTGAAGCGACCCTGTACGAGCGCGCAAACGAACTGGTATGTCCTCCTGCTTCCATCTCATGATCTGGAAACTGACGCGCTTGATAGACTCTACCTGGTGTCGTTGAAACTGCTGGCTCAAAGCTCATCAATGCGCCATCGACGCCGACTCGACCGCATGACCCCACATTCGTCCAAGACCTTCGCCAGCGTCTCGAACTCGCTCTCCTCCAACAAGGCCTTCGCCGCAGGATGTATGGAAATGATTTGGCTGATGATATCCGTCCGGGACACACGCCGCCGGGGCTGAGGGAGCACATGCGCATGGATGCATTTGCGGGCTACGAGTCGGACAGCAGCAGATTGTCGGAGGAGTCTTCGACATCCGTGGAGCCTGGAACTCCTCTGAGTTGCGATGTGAAGCACAGTGTAGGCAAGGCGCATGAGGCTGGCGACGGAGAGGCATCCATGCGACTGCCTGCGAGTCCCCTCACACTGTATCCAAAGCATGTCTCACTCGATGGATCGACCGGCCGCTCGAGCAGGAAGAGGAAACGGGAAGATGTAGACGATGGCCTGGACAATGTGAAGAGGCGGCGTTAATCTATTGTAGGTAGCCCTGAAGATTCCCTCTCGCAACCCGTGACTTCGCACGTGCCTCTTACTTTACCTCTGATACCTTTTTGTCAGACAGTTGGGTGAGAAGCATCCTCGGCGGTGCCCGTTAATTGATGAGAATTTCGTTCCTCAAGGCTCTATGCGCAAGCCGCGACTGGCTTGCCTCTCCTGTTGACCGGGATACTGTTGCCTTAAAGCCTGGATGGCATTGGTCATCTCGAGCAAGGATCGGTGCAAATTTAACAGGGGCGCTGACGAGATTGCATAAACATCATCACGGTGCACGGTCTCCAATCTCACTTTTGACATCACTTTACGACTTTGATTGAGCATAAAGTGCGCACCAACGTTTGCAAACAAAAATGAATTGGTGAGTTGGATTAAGTACAGTTTCGTCTACTGCGTAATGCTATTTTTGCTACTGTTGTTGTTGTGGTTGACCGTTGCTGCGCTGAAATGTCTATTTGGAACCGCACTTGAAATTTCACTAAGTCCCGCGCGACACAACTAAACCCGGCCGCAATTTGGATAACTGATTTGTAAGGCAACAGCCGACATCGCAGACCGTAACGTAATCTACCACCTTCTCGGTCACACCCCCTACTCGGTCACCCGCAAAATACTAAGAAATTAAATTTAGCATATTTCTATAGTCTTTTCTTAAAAACTAATAAAAATCTACATATACTATCTCCAGACTATAGAAAATCTTAATATAATTTTTATATAATTTTATCTATTTTACTTACTATTAAAATAAAAATATAATTAAGCAAAAAATAAAAATATAAAAAAATATATAAATAAGATAAAGAGAATTATATAAAAATTATATTTAGGTTTTCTATATTCTAAAGACGAGGTATATAAATTTTTATGAACTTTTATAAAAAGACCATAGAGATATATAATTTCTATTTTATTAGTATTTGCGGGTGACCGAGTAGGGGGTGTGACCGAGAAGGTGGTAGATTACGTTAAAGCCGACAGCGGCGTCTCCCCCTTTCTAGTTAGTCAGATCAATCATAACACACGTTTCCTATGCTTTCCGCCGCGGCCTTGCTTTCAATAGATGGGTTCGCTTGATTGCCCCGGCAGCTCTCAGGTCGGCGGGGTTGCTCGAGAATCACTTAGTGTTGAAATGAGAAGATTCATATTTCTTGGTTCATCCTGAATGTACAGTAAGGGAACCACTGTTTATATACAGGCACGATCTCTTGTGGAAAGTTCCACCTTCTTCCACACCTTGCCACCGACTTGGTCGCCACACACTTGTGATCTCCAACACTCCCACTCGAGCAAGACGGTGGGTACTTAGACTATCTAAGATCTCAACAATCTCATTAAAACCTTAAAACACCTTCGTGGGTGAAAGAGGAAAGAGTATTGCTGGACCTGTCAAGGCTTGACACAGTCCTGGGCGCGTGGGGAATATTGTCTTAGATATGACAAGGCTCCCACTGCCGCCCATCTTTGTATCGTCCTCAATCAGCGCTGTATGCGCTTCTCATACTTCCCGGCTTCGGTCCACTCGATACAGCCCCCGAGCCCCTGAACTCGTCTTTTGCCGGATCCATTACGCCGTGTTAGCAGCGCTCCCGGCCGTGTTAGCAGCCTCGGGTCCTTGGTGCTCGTTGGCAGTGACTGCGGCTGCTTCGCAGTACCAAGGTTCCATGGTCCAGTTCGGGACTTGCAACCCATGCAGCTTTAAGTCGTCTTTTGCCGGATTCATCACGCCGTGTTAGCAGCGCTCTCGGCCGTGTTAGCAGCCTCTGGTCCTTGGTGCTCGTTGGCGATAACTGCGGCTGCTCGCAGTACCAAGGTTCCATGGTCCAGTTCGGGACTTGCAACCCAAGCAGCTTTTTACTTCCCGGTCTCGATCCACTGAGTACAGCCCCCGAGCCTTCGAGTTCGTCTTTTGCCGGATCCATCACGCCGTGTTAGCAGCCTCTGGTCCTTGGTGCTCGTTGGCAATAACTGCGGCTGCTCGCAGTACCAAGGTTCCATGGTCCAGTTCGGGACTTGCAACCCATGCAGCTTTTGCTTCCCGGCCTCGGTCCACTGGATACAGCCCCCGAGCCTTCGAGTTCGTCTTTTGCCGGATTTGTTGAGTTTCTAATCCGGTCGGGAATTGCAACCGGTGCGGCCGGGTCACTTATTACCCTTCTAGCGGAAGTTGGAGTGGGTTGGACGAGCTCTCATTGTATGTGATAATCGGGCAGTAGACTCCCACTGGATCCTCGCGTAGTGAGCTACGGGTAACGTGTGTTGAGTGTGTTCCAGAAATCGCACAGCTTCGTAGCGTGGATTCCCTTTCTGGCCCGAATAGCTTCACTCGTCCGGTCCGACAACTCCCAGAGCATTCCGGAACAACTTAAAGCGATCCTTTGGAAGTGCTTTTGTGAGTCCATCAGCCACTTGTTTGTCGGTCGGGATATATTTCATCTCGACCTCACCGCTGGCCGTCTTTTCTCGCACAAAGTGCTCCTGAATCGCAATGTGCTTTGTGCGGGAGTGGTATTGGGGGTTTTTGGCCATTGCTATTGCCCCTTGGTTGTCCCCGTAGATAATTGTCGCTGCGATTTGGTCTGTGGCGCTTAGGCCTCCCAGGAGTTCTTGTAACAAGGTTCGCAACCAGATGGCTTCCTTGGTTGCCTGTGTCTGTCCCATGTATTCAGCCTCGCAGGTAGACAGCGCCACTGATTGTTGTCGCTTCGCAGCCCAGCTTATCGCGCCGCTGCCAACGTTGAAGATGTATCCCGCAGTGGACTTTCGAGTCTCGGTATCTCCAGCCCAGTCCGAGTCCGTGTAGCCTGTCAACGGGCGAAGGTCTCCTCGGAACTCGAGCTTGAAGTCGCAGGTTCCTCGTAAGTACCTCAAGATGCGTTTCACCGCCTCTTCGTGGGCCTTGGTAGGTTTTGCGAGATAGCGGCTGCATAGTGAGACGCCGAATGCAATGTCTGGTCTGGTCCCTAGCATCGCGTACATCAGACATCCGATTGCCTTGGCGTACCAGTGCTTCCGGTCTGAGTGAGTTTCGCTATCGTCGAGGGCAGGTTCTAGCTTCGCTGTTGCCACTGGGGTCGCAGTCGGTTTGGAGTACCATAGTCCGAATTCCTTCAGGACTTTCTCAATGTACCCCTTTTGCGAGAGGCTCAGTCTCCGCTGTCTGCGGTTCCGAGTAATCGACATTCCTAGGTAGAAATGGCAGGGCCCCAGGTCTGTCATGCTGAACCGCTGGTTGAGGCTTTGTTTGATCATCTCGATGTCCCCTTTTGATGGTCCTGCAATGAGTAGGTCGTCTACGTAAACGGCAATATAGGTTTGGCCTTTGACGAAGACACCCATGTCGGAAACCAGGGGCTGGAATCCCTGTTCTTGGAGGAATAACGAAAGAGTCTGGTACCATATTCTAGGTGATTGCTTCAACCCATATAGGGCTTTTTGCAGTTTCCAGACTCTTCCGGTCCCGTCATTGAAGCACTCTGGCTGCCCAACGTAGATTTCTTCGTCGATATTCCCGTAGAGAAAAGCAGTTTTGACATCCATTTGTTCGAGTTCAAGGTCAAGCGCTGCGGCTATAGCGAATATTGCCTTGTAGGTCATAGGCTTGACGACTGAGGCAAACGTTTCGTTGTAGTCGATTCCTTCTTGTTGCTCGAAGCCTCGGACCACGTAGCGTGCTTTAAACCGCAGGATTTCTCCATTAGCTCCCCTCTTGAGTTTGAATACCCACTTCCCCCTCAGTGCCTTCCGGTTTGGTGGCAGCTTTGATAAGGTGTAGACTCCGTTCTCCTTAATGGAGTCCATCTCGGCAGTCATTCCCCTGAACCAGTTCTCCCACTGAAGGGAATCTTGGGCTTCCTTTATCGTTCGAGGTTCCGCCTCGTCTTCCAAGGAAGCCGCAAGATTGACGTGAGCGCACACGAGGTTTGTGAGAGTATTGGTTCCTAAGAGCAGGTACCTTGAAGGAAGCTTTGCCTTGGTCGATCTCTGCGAGACTCGGAGCTCTTCGTCCCGGTCTATCGCCTCGGTCGGGTCATGTTGAGGCTCGGATGTTCGTACATGAATAGTGTCTGCTTCATCCTCCGACATAATTTCCTCAACCTGTGGCGTGGCATCGTGTCGTGACAGAGCTGCTTTCTTGGGTGAAAGTTTTAACTCTGGATACAAGGTAGGTCCATCGCTTCTCGTTCTCTTTGATCCAGTAGGTGTTCCTGTTGCCTCGTGAAAGCTGGATTCGTCGAAAATGACATTGTTGGCGACGAAGACTCGATTGTTGTTGTCTACGACAATGTAGTTACTGGAGCCTTGATATCCAAGAAGCCGACACTGAATCGTCTTTGCACACAGCTTTTGTCTTTTGACGGATGGCAATATTGCCCATCCATTCGCTCCAATAACGCGGAGGTGAGAGAGGTCTGGCTTGTCTCCGAACCATGCCTCATAGGGTGTCTTGTTCAGGGCCTTGCTAGGGCTCCTGTTCCGTATATACACGGCCGCGTAGAGGATATAGGGCCAGAGCTTTCGCGGCAGGTTTGATCGCTCGAGTGTAGGTGTAACCTTTTCTTGAAGCACTCGATTAAAGGCCTCTGCAATCCCATTCTGCTCATGCTGATCGGTCGCGGTATAGTAAATGCTGATGCCCTTGTTGTCGCAGAGGATGCATAGCTGGTCACTGCGGTTTTCGCCACCTTGGTCGACATGGAGGTAATGGCACCGACGTTCCGGCCTCTCGTACGTATCGAGGAGATATTTGAAACACCTTGTGAACTCGGACTTTTCTTTGACTGCGTATGCCCAGCCCATGCGGGTAAAGTCGTCCACGAAGACAACCCAATATCGTGAGCCGTCATAGGCTGTGTCTGGAAATGGTCCTGCGATGTCCGCGTGGACGCATTCCAGCGGGTACGTTCCTTTCCGGATTGACTTTCGGTGTGGTTGTTCTTTCTGTCTTCCGACTATGCAAGGTTCGCACTTTTGTCCACGTAGAATCGGATGAATGCCATGCGCCATTTCCTTCAGGGCCTTGATTCCGTTCTCGCTTAGGTGTCCAAGTCTTTCGTGCCATATTTGAAGTTCGGGGTCGCTAATGGTGAGTGACGCCAAGGCAGCATTGATCGCTTCGTCTGGCTGGTCCACAACATAGATCCCTGATCGTACGGTTGCTGTCAGGATTACTCGGTTGTCGTGCGTCACCTTGGCTTGGTTGTTGGCGAAAGAAATTTTGGCCCCCTTCCTGGTTAAAGCAGATATCGAGACAAGGTTGACACGTCCTTCTGGGGAATATATTGAGTTGTCGAGCGCCAGGTGTCGCGGGCCATCCAGTCCTTTTAGCGGCAGAATATAGTTTCCCAGTCCCTGAGGAGTGATTTGTGTCTCTCCGATTCCGACGGTCTGTCCGCCGCTCCAAGGGCGAAGGGTGCTGAAGTTTTCCCTTTTGCAAAAGGTATGCATTGAAGCCCCGCTATCCAGTACGTGTACTTGTTCAAGTAAATCGCTCAACCTCTGACCCTGGTATGCCATGAGCTGTATGACAGGTTCGGTGTGGATGGCAAGAGCATTCGTAACCTCGTCCTGGTCCGCGTTCCTGGTTCGGTCCTTGGTTCTTGGATGGTCTTGGCGCTGCCTTCTTCTAGATCGCTTGTCGTTCAGGCGTTTCTTGAGCTCTGGGTGAAGTAACCAGCATGCATCTGAAGTGTGCCCAAGCCTCTTGCAGTGGCTGCAGGTAGTGAAATTTTGTTCCTTGATGGCAGCGACCATAGCAGCGTGCTTGATTGCCTCTTGGTCCTGGTCTTGTTGTTGCATCCGCTGGCTATGTTCCTCCTGCTCAGCAGCTCTAGTAGCTTCTTCGATAGTAGTGGCTGCCTTGATGATGATGCCTTCGAGGTTCCGTTCAGGTAGCAAGCTATGGCTTTGAAGGAATGCAGTGAGGAACACTTGATACTTGGGTCCAAGTCCATTGAGGAACTTGTCCATCAGTTGTGGTTCTCCAATCTGACTGGTTTCATCTAGTTGAAGGATTTGGTCTCGGGTCTTCCGTAATTGTCGAGAAAAGTCGGATACACCTTCGCAGTTGTCTAGAGTAAGTCGACCAAACTTTTGCTGGAGGTCGTGGAATACACTGCTACCCTTGGGTTTGAAGTGTTCTTCCAGTGTTTTGAGGATGTCCGTTAATTTGTTGAGACCTTGGACTTCCTGTTTGGGACGGAAACCAAGTCGATATCGAACTGCTCCACACGCTCGTGCTTGTCTCTGGTGCCAAGCATCTAGCTTTTCTTCGAAGTCAACTTCTGAGAGATTGCCTTGTACCGGTGGGTCCCGTTTTCTTTCCAGGAGATCGTCGTAGCCGGACAGGGCCAGTAGGTCTCGGATTTCCTCGTTCCAGTTGATCCAGCCTTCAGAGGATTCAAGCTTGGCGACTCCGGAAAGGTTTCCGCTCAGGTTCGGTTCTTTGCCTTCTGACATGTTGAAATAGTATAATGGGTTGATGTTGGTTTTTTTTTTTTTTTTTTTTGAGGTAGAGGTAAGTCAAGAGGTCTAAGACATGCTTCTTGTAGATAGCACCTTGAGGTACGCAAGGTAGTGGGGACCTTCTCGAGGCGGAGAAAATGTTCAGCGAGAAGCTGGTGGAATCAGCGAGAAGCTGGTGGAATCAGCGAGGAGCTGGTGGAATCAGCGAGGAGCTGGTGGAATCAGCGAGGAGCTGGTGGAATCAGCGAGGAGCTAGTGGAATCAGCGAGGAGCTAGTGGAATCAGCGAGGAGCGGATTATCCGTTTGAGTAACGGGAAGATGAAAGGCCGTAATTTTGGCGCGGTCCAAGACCGCTGTTGAGTCTCCGCTGCAGTGGAAGAGGACTGTGAGGTCCTGGTAAGTAAGGGGACGGGTGATTAAGTAGGAGACTCAGCTTTAGGTTTAATTTAGCCTTCCGGGCTCATAACCTGTTGAAATGAGAAGATTCATATTTCTTAGTTCATCCTGAATGTACAGTAAGGGAACCACTGTTTATATACAGGCACGATCTCTTGTGGAAAGTTCCACCTTCTTCCACACCTTGCCACCGACTTGGTCGCCACACACTTGTGATCTCCAACAGTTTCTGCCCACAGCCGCGTACCGGCAACTCAAAACGCGCCGCGTTTTCTCCTTTTTCTTAGCCCGTGCCACCCTTGTAGAGTGAAATTACATCAAATCGAATCGAAAGCCCTCCAGGCAAAGGAGGATGACAGTACACGTTCATCCTCACTCTTCCAACATCACAATAGATTTGCACTGCTCTCTCTATATGGAATACTCTGGTACTGCTTGTACTTAGCCCGACAGATAGCAATGCCTACTGATGAACAACATCGCACCCACACTAGGCCTGGCACGCAACTCTCGTCGAGCCAAGTTGCAAAGCTCGACCGACTTGGCTTATACTTCAACTCGCCTGAGCCTGCTATCATCTGCAAAGAATGCAGGTACGCGATAACAGCAGATAAAGATCGTGTGTCCCGGCACCTCGGCGAGATCCACCAGGTCGACAAACCAGCCCGCCGAGGCCTGAACAAGCTCATTCGCTCGCTGAATCTTCCCGACCCCAAGGATCTTGGTCCGCGGCTCGATGGTAGTATTCCTCATCCTCATCTGAAAGACATACATGGCTCAGCATGCAAGTTCTGCGGTCTCCGATCTACTAGCGACGTTGTTCTGGAAAGTCATCTCAGAAAGAGTCACGCAGCAGCGATCAAGCTCGCTGGGAAATCGGGCCATCGTTGGTTACGAGATCACATTCAAAGAGGACTTATCTTGCAGAGTTGGGTGGCTCAGGGAATACATAGGTCTTGGATTGTTAGACGCGAGGATGCTCAGACGCCTGCGAGGCAGGTAAATACCAGCCTCCTGCTGCAAGCCAGCCCCGACCCCATCAAGAACTTCACGCAGCAACTCCTCACGGAAGAACGCGAGCGCCTAGACAGGCAGTCCGACCGAGGAGCGCTACGTGGTGCCAGCGGGTCCATGTCCTCTACCCTTTTCACCAATTGGATGCGGCGCACGGGTTGGCAGACTACAGTGGGCGAAGCTCGCCGCGATATCCTGGTTTCGCTTTCGGCATTACCCTGCAATCCGGATCGGCCTCTGCAGCTTAGGGCTCTTGGTGAAGAAACGCTCTGGAGCCCGGCGAGGCAAGAACGCAGGCTCGCGCTGATGGTGGCCGCACTGGACCGTCTCTTTGACCGATGTGCCGACAGAGTACGGTGTTCTGACGTATGCTTGAGAAGGTGGCTTCGTGGGATCTTTCCGGATCGGCCATATAAGTCGCCCTTTGAGCTTGTCTCTAGACCCTCGTCCGAACGAACGTACAGGGCAGAGCTGAAACGATTCCTCTGCTTTTGGCTTCGGGTTTTCCAGTTGTCGCCCTCGGTAGCTAAGGCGGTTCTAGGCAGACGACTTCCCAGACCTCAACGTCAGGTGCTGAGCCAGCTTTGGACAGACCCAATATGGGAGGTAGAGAGCTCGAGGAATCCTCACAGTGACGAAGGCGGGGATGGCGACGGCAGCCTCGAAGATGTGGAGCAAGGTGAAGAGAGTGAAGATGATGATGAGGTTGACGAGGATGATGAGAATGACGATGATGACGATGATGACGATGACGAAGACGAAGAAGAGGAAGAGGTCGAATCCGAGGTCGAATCCGATGGCAACACGATCGAACAGGATACAGATGACGAATACGAGTCTGATGCCACCTCGTCTATAGACCGACGCTCTAACGAGCAGGAAGCGAGACTGAACGATCCGGCCGTCGATGTTCTACTCCGCTTCTGCAAATACGCAATGAATGAAAACTTTACGGATGGTACAGCTAGCTCTACCATGCTTGTGTATTTCAGCGCTGTACGTGGCCTGTCTCCCCCCAACGGCGATGAGTATCTTCAACCCAACCGCTTCACCCCGATCCTAGCAAGGTTGATTTATTGTACGCGATTGATCTTGCTTGAATCGGTACTTCCTTGCCGTCCACATCACTATGTGGATATACCATCTCGTCCGCGGTATGGTCAACTGAAGGCGCTTAATGCTGTCCGCACTGAAAGCATGTGTGATGGTACACTGTCACCGATGGGCGAGTTCTTGAGCCTTTGTCCTATGGAAATGCCCTTCGGCGTTCACAGGGACCAGCGATACATTTCCATTGGAGTGACGATGGCGAGGTACTTTCCTGGGATGGCATACATCAACTGTCGATGGAGAACTTCCGCGGCCTAGCACGCACAGCACTGGAAGCGGCCATCGCTCGCTGCAAACGCTTGATGTATGAATGGGAGCCTGATGAGATTGACCTGAGACATATCCGAGACAGAATCTCTACGACGACACAGGGATACTCCTTTGTTACAGACCCAGCGAATGGTCTAGAGGGCCTACATCTGGACCTCTTTATGAGGGCATGTATCTCCCCTATCGATGGCCTATTGAAGACGCAGTCCAAGCGTGAAAGCACGTGGGACTTTCCATCGGCCCAGGCATATCTTGTTGCACATGATGATCTTCTCAGAACACTGATGGTACTTATGAACCTCGATGGTGGCCAGCAGTGTGTCCATCAACCAAGTAAAGCAAAATTTGGACCCTCTACTTGACTTGGTTGATGGGACCCCCTTGCTTTACTTGGTTTACTCGGTAGAGAGGCTTGCTTTGCTTGGTTGGTTGACGTTACTCGACTATTTTCCATTCCTCATGTGGCTCCGGTGGTAGATCTATGCTAACATACCGCTTCGAAGCAGGTGCTTTTGGCATTCAATCGCTGCTACAGTGTCCGAATTAAGTCGATTTCGTTCATCTGTGATGACCTTCTTTGTCTGTGAGAAAACGCGTTCACACTCGGCGCTCATTGCTGGGCAACTGAACAAGTCAAACGCCATCTTGGACAGGATGGGGTAGTCAGATGTATGGCGAACCCACCACTCCAGAGGATCCTCAACATCCAGATCAGCCTTATTAGTCCTGGCCATAAACTCATCCAGCTCAGATGTCAGTTTTGTCCGCTTCCCTCGAGTGGCTGACGCCGCAATGGCAGCAAGCCTCTGACGACGCTTACGAGCTTGCTGGAGTGGATCAAGCCTCGCCCCGTTATCAGCAACAGCCTCCTCCTCCTCCTCCTCCTCCTCCTGCTTCTGTCGTGCTCCTTCTATTAGGTCCACTTCCGCAGCTGCTTCCTCGTATTGTGCATAGGCCTCCCGCACCACTCTCTTCGCCCCGCTGATCCATTGCTTGTTGTGGCTCCATTCAAGCTCGAAGTAGGTAAATTTGTTTGCCGGATGCAGAGCAACTGCACATCGGTATGCAGGCGTGGCATCTGTGAGGCCAAAATATTCTTCAAGCTTGATGCGAGCAGCATCAATAGCATGGGCATAGTATGTTGACACCACGTCAGGGTGATCATCTGCAAACTTCCCAGCCTCCTGGAGCTTCTTGAAAAGGACATCAAGCGACTCGATCGTCTCGTGGAGGGAGCCATGCGATCCTTCTAGGCCAGCTTTGTTTGCCCGGCCTTCCATGCGCTTTGTTAGATCTTTGAAGGGCTTTAAGATATCGAGGAAGTGGCCCAGATCGGTCCAATCTTGTGGAGTAAGGATATCATGTGAGATATCATATTCTCCGTTGGTATGGTTGTAGTTGAGGAAGAATAGATCAATGGCGTGGCGGAGTTTCAGAGCTCTTTCAATCATGGAATATACAGAGTTCCAGCGGATCCCGCCATCGACCAGGACTCTAGTGTAGAGGTTCTCGATGCTGCCTTCGTCGTACGCCTGCAGAACGTACTGTTTCAGTCTCTCTCGTCGCTGGTCGCTTCTGTTGATCCACGTACAGAAGTTGTGGAGCTTGCCGATAAAGCTTTGCTTCCTCCATATCTCAAACCGCTCGTCATCAGATGCGCCACGGAGCCGTTGCTCCAGCTTGCTAACGCCCTGCCCAAAGAGGAGAGCTTTGACGATGAGATTCAGCATATGGCCGACGCACCGAAGGCGACTCTGGCGGTTGATTGCAGGGTACTGCTTTGCTAGCTCCTGAATGCATGTGTCATTATTGCTAGCGTTGTCCATCATAAAGAAGCCAATGACTTGGGAGATATCGTAGAAATCGATGACTGTTGACAGCACCTTGGCAATATTCTCGCCGGAGTGAGGGCCTTTCAGAGGGGGAAGATCCAGAAGAGCTGTCTGTAGCTTATGTCCTTCATCCAAGAAGTGAGCAACAACAGCTAGATAGTTTGTCCCTTCTTCAGATGTCCACGCATCCGTCGAGACGTGAATCTTGCTTGTGGTGAGATGGAGCTTTTCCCTCAGCCAAACACGTCTCCCAGCATCACCAAACCATTTCTCTTTGACCCAGCTACTAAGCGCTGACGGGCTCTTGGGCAGAATCTTGCCGCTGTCTTCCAGATAGTTGGTGAAAATCTCATAGGTGCGTTGATGGGTTGCTTGACGAAAGGTGAGATCAAGATCAATCACCCAGTCGGTAAAGTCGTCTTTAAATTGCAGGTCGTTGAACACCAACCGCCGCCCTCCGAGGTATGATGTGAGATTTGTTGCGCCCTTGGCTATGCTGAAGGGGTTGCATTCTGCTGCCTTGTAGCCAAATTCTTCCAGCCTGTGCTGATGTTTCAGATGGTATATAATGCTGGTCGTGCTCTCACTGGCAAAGAGTGCAGTATTGTGATGGCCACTAACGTGGCAGTATTTGCAGAGCCAGTACTTATTGTCTCCGTCCGTTGTAAGCTGTGCGCCGTGTCTGTAGATTGCTGAGGGTTGGGATTTGGAGTTGATGGTGCGCTTATGAGGCTGACGATATCGGATGGATGGCACTGGCTTCCCATCGTAACGGATTTTATCCCACTCGATAGGGAAATGACATTGAGACGCTTTTGGCACCTCTCTTTCGTGGGAAACGGTTGCGGGAGAAGCACCATGAAGTGGCACACTCGTTGGAGTTGAGACGGAGCTAGGGGTACTGGACTGAGCAGAATCGATCGGCTCAGAGGGAGTCCTAGGGGGTGTAGCCTTTACGAACCTTCCCCGAGGCTGAAACATTGGATATGAAGGCATTATTGACTTGGGATTGGACTGTGCGAGACTTTCTGGCAGCAAAAAGACATGGACAAATTGATCGGGCTGCAGCCTCCTGTCGCGACCAACAGAAAAAGGGGGTTTCGCAACGCCTTGCCTAAAACGGAAATGTAGTCGAGTAAGTCAAGTAACCCCGAGTAAGCGAAAGGGTCTTGCTTTGCTTGGTTGAAGACCATCTTTACTTTACTTGGTTGTTACGTAATCAACCAATCCCAACCAACCAAGTCAAGTAACTTGGTTGTTGGACACACTGGCAGCGACAATAGGGTTGAGCCTTTTACACTGCTATGGAAAAGTGATTGCCATCAACACCTACATCAGAGACTTTCTGCAATTGCCCCTGCAACGCCTCTTGCAGCAAGTCACTTCCGCTCGTTTCTCCTTCGAGATATCGGAACGTACCACTCTCGAATCAAGGCGACGGGAGCCGTCACCCCAGGCTGCCCCAGGAGCCGTGAGCCTGCCGTTATCCGTGCCAAGGCATATAACTGCAATAAAGAACTCTTCTCGGTTATGTACAGCAACTATCGTCTTTTCGGGTCTGGATACCTTCCTTTACTAGCGTTCGATGACGAGATGATCGACGATCTCTCTTCTTCTAGTCAGAGTCGCGAACGGGGCACCAGAACGCAGCTGTCCCGTGCCGCAATTCTGAAGGCCTGGAATGCGAATAAGCGACACCTGAGGTCTGTATCAGATCCAAAGATGCTGTCAAATTATGGAGTTCGAAAAGAGGTCACCTTGCGCTTCGACATCATACTGATGATGTGGGCCAACGGCTATTTCCAGGCTACACGTGAAAGCCACACCGGGCCACTCGATCGGACAGCCCCTCTTCTAGCGGAACCCAGTGTTCATTTGCCCTTTTGGACGATTCCTACTGAGGACATAAATGCAATGATCTTTACGCAGGCCGCTCGCTTTGTTCTTCCCCTGGACCACTTATTCTTCGAGGCCGGTACCGGCTTGACAGATCAGCCAGCACACTCCAACGTAGCAGAGCGTTACGTCCAGAGGATTCTCGGCTTTTACACAGCTCAGATGCTTTGTCGACTCTTAGTTCACAGCTTCATTGGCGAGAAAATGCTGAACTACGATCAGTGGATCTGGCTTTCGTGCTGGACGGTTCCCAACAGACCCTCCCACCGTCGCGAGGAGCTACTTGAACGGCAGGGTCTGGGACTAGAAGGTACTGTCATGACTTCTGGGATGCTATGGATCCCTCCCGCCAAGATGGACTGGCAGCGTGGCCATCTCGCACTCGATGTACTCGTTTACTTGTACATTCCGCGAAGCCCTTTACATCCTCGACTCGCCTCACAGGTTAATGTTCAAACCCTCACTGTGTCCAAAATCACGGTTGATATTTTTTTTCAGCAATGGCTCAAGGAAGCTCGGGCGGCATTCGACAGTGATCAGAATCAGAAAGCAGAGGAACTAGTGGAACGGGCGTTCTCTCTCGCAACGGAAGAAATTGCACGAGCATACCACCAACACATTTTGTTGAAGTTGCAATCGTACTGGGAACGAGATCGGCTAAGAATCGGTCAAGACAAACTGCCCTCCCTTTTACGGTTGCAAGAAGGTGTAGAGGAGTCGGCAACTGATGGCAGTCAGATTGTGACCGCTCAAACAATATGGGAGGTTTATGCCGAGGCATGGGCTCTCTATGCTCAACTCTACGCAGATACCGACCCAAATAAGTTACCGCGGGAGTTACCCTATTGGATGACTACACGAACGTACGTGCCGCCTCATGATGGTTGGTCGTCTTTCGTATTCCATCATCTCTTTCACCGAGCTAGCCCACCATCGTGGAATCATCTTTACTTCCTCCGACTCTATCGGACGTTCGAAGAGTCTTGGAAGGGAATTCAGCAATATGCAGGGCCATTCGATCGCCGGTTTCGTCATGTAGTTGGAAATTATATCATGGTTGCTTTCAACAGTAGTCAGAGAAACGAGGTCGGCACCTATCAGCACGACAAGTCTTGGTACCGGGGAAAACCAACATTCTTCAAGATCCAATTTTGGGCGCCATACTTTTCTCCACCAGAAGACAACGTTCGCATTCCATGGCAATGGGTCAGTGATCATGGAACCCGGCACCCAGACATTGCGCCAGACACTAAGTCCGAGTACATGACAGTGGAATACTTTCACTCCTTGGAAGGTGTGCTTTGCAGATTATGGTGGAAATGCATGTATGAGACGGACCAGCTGTGTGATACTGGACCAACGCGGCGGAATTTGATCTGCTCGTCTGTCCTTGAACACTTTTCGAGACTTGTAGGCCCACAATGGTATGCGGAACGTGGAAGTGGACGGCCCTATCTGCTACCTTGGCACCTGCCACGTTGGGAGGACAGGGAACGCGAGAGAGAGGATTTCTTACTTCTCCCCATTTCAGCCGGCACTGTGTTGAAGGAGTACGAAGAGACCAAGCACTCGCGACCGACAATGCTGCTACCTACCCGACATAACATGATGTGGTTGCTCAATGTCGTCGAATCCATCCCCGATCTCTCTGAATATACTCAGAAGCAAATCCAATGGATGGACAAGGTTCTCGACAATAATGTAGGCCAATTTGCCCTTCGCAGTCATCTGAGTGCCAAAGCTACAGCTACGGCTGAAGGCGATCAAGCCAATCCACTTCTGAGATCTTTCCTATCACAGACCAGGGCTCCTAATAGTGCAGACCATTTACACTATTAGTGCAGACTACAATCCAAGATCAATAATCAATCCACGACGGGCGTTCGTGGATTGACGACTAGGATGATGCGCCCCTTGAAACGAGCCTTGTTGATCCGGATCGCACCAGTGAATTGATCAGAAATATCCAAAACAAAGTGGTTGGCACAGCAACAATCATGGGTACCCTGGTTTTGTAACACCATGCCAACAACCTAGCGTACTTAGCGTCCACACCGGGCGTCCGTATTCCCTGCCCTGATCTGCAGTCTGCACTAATAGTCTAAATGGTCTGCACTATTAGGAGCCCTGTCACAGACAGAGCCTCCACAAAGGGTAGTTCGAAGTGATGAGCGCGCCTACAACACGGATGAAGGTGAAGAGGATGATGGCTTCATAGTACTCGATGAGGATGGTCGTTGTAGTGGTGAATCTTGTGATGAGGTCGATTGAGAGCTTCATATGTTGTCTAGAGTACGCTCCTAATCTCCTACCGGTATGATGTCGAATCGCCCTAGACCACGGGAGCAAGAAGACAGGATCGAAAGCGGCGAGCGAAGACGATGCATACTACCCTGTTTTCCGACTCGACTTCGTCAGTATCGTCGGCCGGCCACGTCGACCGATCTGTCGGTCCAGTCATTTCTTCGACAACATCACCATATCCCTACGGCACTGGCACGCGCCATATAGTGCGAAGCACGTACAGGGGATCCATTTCGACCTAGGCAGCCGTACCTTCCGCATCGCCACCGGCGCTACTCGAGAGGCCTGGTTCATTGTGATGCACCCGATTCAGAGGGTTTCCGGTGATGGCCCAAATAGTAATCCACATCGACGGCCTGACGCGACACAAAAAAGGACTGCTCTCACACACGGTCGTGCTGTAGTGCTTGCATCATACATCAAAGACATCTTCCTCCGCGGAGAGCTTCTCGGCGAAGGGATCGAGCCGAGATGGGCCCTCGGAGGAACAGATACACAAATGATCGCGTTTGATAAATGGGTCATATTTCAGACTCGCTTCATGGAAGGCTGGGATGGACTTGTCGAAAAGCTTTCCGACGCTGGCGACAGTTTCTGGCTGGACCATCAACCTGCCTTCCATGCGTATGACTATGGCGCGAACATCGAGATCGAAGTCACTGAAGAAATAGCGAATCTCGAGCAGGAAACTCTCATCACACCGATGTATCACGACGACATAGAAGATGACAGCGACCGGTCCAACAACGGAGATGACGATGATTGGGGGATGCAGGGACAGGGGCCAGAGGAGGGAGAGGAACACCCCAACGCTGCAGAGGGCAGTCTATTCCTGCCGATAGAGGCTAGCAACGCCGCTCTACCATCACCATCTCTTCGCCTCAGCCACAGCGAGGAAGGTCATGGCGAGGAGTTCGAGTCATCTGTTGCCGTCGAGACTAGCCGTGTGACTACATCACACCCACCGGGAGGCGATCATCATTATGAGGGCGAGGAAGGGGAAAGGGAGGACGAAGGTGACGAGGACGAGGACGAGGAGCGGCGGCAAGAGGAGAAGTTCGAAAGGTGGATGAGTGGGGCTGAGAACGCCGACATATCCCTTTTGTCTGACGTTGATGAAGAACAGCCGCAACAGGAAAGGGAGGAAGAGGACGAGCTGTCCCGCCAGCATTCGGAAAGGGACGGAGATGTCGAAGATGAACAAGGAGACACATCGTCGCCGAGCACCCCTCCGCCGTCAGCATCATCATCAGGCTACCATGGAGAGCACGATGCTTTGTATGGTGCTGGCTTGAGGCGACTTCGTGAGGCCCTCGAGGCCAAGTACAACCTCGACAACATCAGTTATGTCTCCTATGCTCTAGCGGTCGACGTCCACTGCACCGCAGCAAGGACGCATCCAGGTGAAGGAGCTGGTCCTGCAGTATGCCTGCTTGCTGATCGCAATCGGGTGGCCGGTGAATTCTACGGAAGCAACTACACCTTCTATCCGCTTGGCTTTCATCCTGCGTATGGGAACTTTAGCTCGGATCGTCCACCCGCCTTCTTGGACAGTAACCTATTCACTGTCATGAAGGAGAACATGAGCCACCAGAATCAAGGCGCCGATGTGCTTTCTTTCGGTTTCTTCCAAGGGTATTCAAACCTCAAGCGGTCAATCCGCCACCGACCCGATGACCTGCTCGCCAGCCACGGTCTCGCAACAGGTGCACTCACCATTCCGTCAACAGAAGCTCAACGCACAGCTCGCCTTAAAGGCAAACAGCAACGCTTGCTAGCTCAGCTACGGGGGCAGCTTACACCCGACAACCCTGGTGCGTCGACACCCTTCGCACGGGAACGCCAGAGAATCGAGGCGGCCGTGCAGGCAAAGGAGTATGCATTCCGGTTCGAGCAGGTGATATCAATCGACGCTCCACGGCTCGTGCGCCAGCGCAGGAACTTTCACACTGTGCTGCAGCCCATCTTCCAGCTCATGCGACTCTTCCTCAAAGAGAAGCAGCTCTATGCCGGTGTTATGCGACGGTTCCCTCCGGAGATCTTTCCGGGTATGCTCGTAGCCTTTGCCAAGGTCCTGGAGGCGGCTATGGCTGAGATGGACTGTCGTTTCCGGGAGGGAGGGTCGAAAGGATTGGGCATGGCCCTCTCAGAAGGCGTCGCTGCTCTCGATCGGCTAGGAAATTTTTGCTTCACGGGCGATCCGAGAGTACTGCCCTCCAAAGTCATGAGGCTCCTAGGGACGATGGATAGCCTACGGACGTGCGGGTGGCCATTCATATCGCCGCGGATGCTCGACATCCGGGAAGGACGAGGGCTTGTCAACCTGGTAGGGTGGCCTCAGCTGAGCAACGGGCGGCCTGTTCTGATGCATGTTGCATCGCTTGAGTATCACTACAACCGCTCTGTGGCAGCCAACCGCCACAGTCAACTCTGGTTCGCCGAGCTTGGAGGCCGATCGATAGATGGGGTGCATAGAATGACCTCGTTCCTGAACGAGGTATTCCGAGACCTGTGGGTACCGGAGACGGTCGCCTTTATCTGTCAACAAGTTCGTCGTGGTCTTAACCGCGGCCTCCGCAGTGGTGGTGGTGGTGGGTCACGAAACGACGGCGATCTGAACAATGCTGGTAGCCGGGCGATGGTGGCGTTGGTAGCATGGGAAGAGGGGGACACTCCATTCAAATTATCGTATGTCTATCATTCTGCACCCCTGCTATCCCCTTCACTTCCTTCCGATGATGATCGGGCGAGAGCTATGCTGACCATAGGCGCGATTTTACGTTTTCTGATCGCAGACGTTTTGAGAAGCTTTCGGCTGAAGTTCTCAAATTCGATGATCGGTCGATCGACGATTCCAAGATAGTGTTGAAGACACGACGAGACTTTGCTGAGGAGGTGTACGTAGCATTGATGGAAGGCGGTAAGAAAGGCCACGCAGGAGTAGAATCCATTGCACCGACTCGTTCAACTTGGCCTTCTATCCTTCGGGCCGCCATCGAGCACACTAGAGGAGGCTTCGCAACGAGGGCGCAGTGGGTTTCAGGCATCGCGGCCGCCATGGTGTCTACGAAGATTGAGTGGGTTCCTGGTTCTCATCGTCGAAGGTTGACACATCAGCAAGTGGTACAGCTTGTCGGAGCGGCAACACCAGCAACTGTGCTTGCAGCACGGCCTAATAGTCTTAAGCGACGAGCATTAGAGGCAGAGGCTCGCATGGCAGCCGAGCCAGTCGACGGCAAGCGAGCGAGAATACGGCAGCGGATTGACCTTGGCTACGAGATCCCGTTCAAACAGGTCCCCGATATCGTGCACAGGGGCTTCAACGAGCTGCAACGTCTGTTCGCCAAAGGAGATCAGCGTGTGCTATCTCACTATTGCGTGGCGTACTGCTGTCTAGCAGACTGTCTCGGGGACCCGTTATGTGATCTCATGCTCATCCTGACCTTGACTATCACGGCATCGAGTGCAACCCCAGAGGTTCAACCCAATACAAAGGTCTTTAGCGTGACGACCAAGCGGAGAGATCCGGCTCTTTTGGCAGCAAACATGGTCACGAGAATGCTCTGGTTTCTGCGGCCGAAGGAATTTCCGTGGGAGAAAGATGACGGGCAAGTGCTACGAGTCTCTGAGATGACAAAGAAGATTGGTAAGCTATTTCACAATCAGATCACACCCGAAAGATATTGCCTCTACGACGTGGTCCGCATACTGAAGCTGATCGTTCTGTGAATTGCAGAGCACAAGGGAGTCAATAATCGACTGCTTCGAGAATTAGGGTGGATCCAGGTCAAGGGCAGTCGAGATAGCCCGCGAAATTGTGAATCGCGTCTCGCGCCAGAAGAGGAGCTCTATAAGCTTCGTAGAGACCTCCTGTTTCTTAGGAAGGAACCGAGAAACTTTATTGGGTGTATCTTCAAGAGTAACCAGCAAGAATGGGTGGATAGGTGCTCGGCTATCATTCGAGACAGGTAGTTGAACCAGAAATAAAATTCTCAATGAACTAGATGGGATATACTTCGGTGATAATGTACCAGTCAAAACGTACAATACCCAACCCAGCGGCGCTTACATACATGCCTTGCGAAACCCTAGAAGAGACTAGCGAGCGGCCCTATGCCGCCGACTTTACACTTCTTATGAGTGAAAAAAACCCCCAATGCCCGAGTCCCGCCTCTTTCTCTGTGTCTGTCGAGGATCATTGCCATCATTCTGTCGGATAGTCTTTCTAACCCTGCGAGAAGCCTCCTCCTCGGCAGTCCTTTCTTGCTCCGCCCCCTTAGCTTGTGCTTTTGTGAGAACATACCCACGATGGATTGAAACCCATGATGATGAGTTTGCGCCGTCGCCGTCTTGGGCTTGCTCAGGATTTGTGGCTAGAAATGCCGGCCACGCGACTTCTTTGAACTCTTCCTTCGTCAGCACTTCAGGACGGGGTTTAGGTTGCTGTTGAGTTTGGCGGCCGTTTTTCTGTTGCTGTGTCGTCGACTGAGTAGACGGCGATGGGTTGGGCTTTGTGGAGGTTTGGGGCCCTGACGACGGCAGCGGCTGCCACTCCTCGGCAAAATCGAAAGAGAAGCTGGGCCTGACTCTCTCCTCCAGCTGCTGGACCTGCGACCAACCGTGGCATATTTCGTCAGAGACTAACTTTAGGCGTGATTCGAACTCCCCTCGTCGCGAAGAGGGCATTAAAACGCCTAAGACATCTGACACGTGTGTAACGACGGACTTGACTGCAGCTTCTTGATTTTTTCTCTGCCTGTCGGGAAGAACCCTCAGCAAGGCAGCACGGACATACATCTCCTGAAGATAATTCTGGGTACCGAGACGACCTAAAACATCGTCGAGCTCGCTGTCCTGGGCGGTGTGAGTCGGTCTAAAGATGTAGTCGGCAAGTGCTTCACCAAAGATGACAAGGCCGGCGACGATCCTCATCCGCTTGGCACCTGGCGAGTTGGAAGCCGGGAGCGGAATTCGTTGCTGGCTTGATACCCGCATCCGGAGCTCTATCCATGTTGCGGAGTCTGCAAGGCAAGCATCGTCGAGGTCGCCACGGAGGAAAACCTCCATGTGTTTTAAGGCAAGGTCGAAGAAATTGGCCAACAGATTCTGGCTACGGGTTGAATTTAGCAATAGGCACGAATTATGAAATACAGAAAGACGGCCTCTTCATATCTGCGATGCTCAGATTGCCACTTGTTCTCGGACCTTGTCAGTGCTTGGATGTTTTGATCGTAGGCAGATTCGAGCTGATTGATCTTTGCGTTGAGTTCTTTATTCTCCTGGCACATTGCCTTGAGGCGGCTGAAGTCGCCTCCAGCACAGAACTCTTGGATAAGCGAGAGGAAGCTGTCTACAGGGTTTTCCGGGCCTTCAGAAGGGGACGAAACGTTATTGGGTTCCGGGGGTGGCTTGTCAGCTGCCGACGGCATCACCATAATTGGGACAGAAGTCGGAGACTTTTGCGGTTTCATTGTATGGCTGCAATTTTGACAAGAGCTGCGATAGATGGATGGATGGGGAAGGTTTTAGGCAGCAGAAAGCGCGACCGCGTGACAATTTATACGTCAAGTCGGCCAACTCATCAGGCCGCATAAGTGGGTTCACATCATACATATGATTGACTGTATTTTCGAAGACTGTTGGTCGGACAGGCAGTTCGACAGCCTCGTTTTACGGAGGGTGCAGGTGCAGCAGAGGTTAAGAAGACGAAATGGGAGCTTAGAGGGTGGAGGGGGGATCGCGCTGGTTGGCTGCGACAGTGGGCGGGTTGGGATGACCGTGCAGGGGGGTCAGTCGGAAGAACCAGGCCAAGCGCTTGCCAGCACATCAAGTTCGTTCCCCATCGTCAATACTGGACGGACGATGAGCGGAATACCTCTGTGTGAATCCAGCCCTAAGTATTCCTAATAGAGGGTTGGGGGTGGTAGCATTCCATCTGGCCTCTACGAGAGATATCCTTTATAGGAACTTTAGCAGGGTAGCCTACTTTACCCTATAGTAGGTTAAGTTAATTGTATTCAGTTTGCCTTTGTGATGATAATAATTGTCTTAGGCTTTTATTTTGTTAACTCCAGTAAGTAATTGCAGCTTAGGTCTTCAGGGCCACAACCAAGATCTCATATCTTCTGTAGCTTCATCAGGTCCTCAGATACTTAATGGTATAGGAGCGCTTTTTTTTTCTTCAAGTTGAATCTGTATTCCTGATACAGCTCATGGTTATACAAGAAGGATTCATGGTAAATCAGTACCAGAGCACGGTCCAGCGTTACACTTTCCTCTTTTGTATTAGTACAGCGTTACACCTTCCTAATCAAGTTAGTGGGCTCTCAGAAGTCTAAACTTCCATTGCTGAGGAGAGTCATTAAATGTTACCGGTAGTTATGAAAACAACAATGAACGTTCGATTTGTCGACGATCCGGAACGAGACCCGGCCGTGCTGCACCGACGTCGTTTGCAAGCAAAGCGCACGCAGAGCTACCGGCGGCGCAAAAAGGCGAACCGACACATCCAGGTCACCTATGATCAGGCCGAGTTGTTGCCCGAAACAGTGGAGTCAGAATCGGAGAGCGAGCAAACGGGACCAGACGTCGGGGAGTTTAGACAAGATGAAATACCTTCTGATGTCATTTCTATTGGCCCTAGCCCGAGCGACGACAATCTCGACCTGGATGATATTGAGCCGGCCTATTACGAAGAGGAATCAGTCAGCGTCCCCTATGCTGAGGAGCATACAGAGTGTCAGAATTCGGAATGCTATGCTGACGTGCAAGCGGATCCTTCCGATGACAACATGTGGACAGATGTGCAATATGTTACACAGAAGTTTATCCAGCAGTTTCTGGTTGGAATCCGTGGTTGCAGCGCTCAGGAGCATCGAGAAGCTCTTGCTACGCACATCAAAGCTCAGGGCACGTACAATCATCATGGCCTTGATCAACTATTTCCCCGCGATATGCCTCATACACTCGATAAAGAGCATTTTTTTACCCACGAAACTTCTAACGAGGGAGTGAGTATGAGTGTTCCTCGATGGCAGGAGTTATTCTCTGGCTACACGGCCCAGCAGTCAGACGGCAAGCCCAAGCAGGCTTGCCTCCACACTCATCACACGAACCATACTCCTCCAACCCTGTCCTTCGATATCGATAGCTTGTTGGGCTTCGTGACATCTCCTGGAGCAGCCACTCACGGTATCAGGTTTTATTCTGCGCCTCAATATCGTCAGAATATTTCTACGGATGTTCACCTGACTTTAGATCGCATGAATCCAGATCCAGAGCGACCCCGACTGATTCCGTCACGACTAAGAGACGTGCCGCATTTCATATTCGCGAAGGTTGAAGGAGCTGATTTCATCAACTTACACCTATTCTTTCCACATTTGCCATGCTCCTATAACTTCAATCGGTTGACTGACGAGCAGTTCTCGCGGTGGTTTGATGATATCTTCTATCCCGCTGTTCGTCAAGTTTATGACGTTGATCAACTCCAGCACCTGCCGGCAAGTTATCGTCATGCATTAGCTACCTGCCGTGCTCCCCGGGTGGAGGATCGTCTGCTCGAGACCCCTAGTTATCGGACCCAACTACAGATGTCCTATTTCCTGTCACCGCAAGGCTTGAATCAACTATGGGACCATGTTCTCACCGCGGTACGCTAACTAGGATTGTAAGACTTTCGCGATCCAGAGCTCTTCATTGAGGCAAAAGGCACCAAACTTCTGTTCAAATACCCGGATGCGCCATCTGATCTACTTGCGGTCATGGAGAACTTTGACTGTAAACTCCACCGCGTTCTGGACTTCTCTTACATATGCAGTGACCGGTTGTACATCGATGTGGGCAAAGAGACCTGCCCACCGCGCAGCGGCCTAATAGCACGAGACAGCAATGTTTCGGCACGAGAAGCTCAGACGTACCTCTGGCGACGTTGTTGCATCCGCCATCACCTCAGCCAGCTTTACGACGGGAATGTTCCAAAGTCTGGCCAAAACTTCTACCATGAGTCAATGCTTCGCGATGCAGGTAGCATGACTACATTGACGCCTCCAAGCTCTCGACTTCGTCGCGGAGGCATCCTGTATGGCCAAATGTACAGTCTCACCAAGGAGATCATAGACGCCGCTCGCACGTTTCCATTTCAGAATCCAGATCTACGACACTTGGCATTGGATCCTCAGCTCCGCAATGGTGTGCAGAGCATTTGCGGCAAGCCAACATTGAGCAAGAGTATCACAGATCGAGCGTATATGGCCAGCAAGCGCCGTTGTCACTATGGCCTAACAGATTCTAAGCAACGATCCTTCGGTGTCCGGGAGGAATATCGTATTTCGTGGGTCTTGTTCCAAAGCGTCCTGACAGTCCTACGCTCTCTGACCCCCGAAATCCGCTCCATCAAGCCACCAGGGCCTCTACCTTATTTGTGGGCAGTTCGCAGTCATGTTTTTGTTGATTTCGTCTGGCACAACATCAACAAGTTTACGACCGGGTTTGAGCTGGTCCGAGCCCAGTGTTCCCCAGGCCTGACGACATGGGAACAGACTAAAATAATGGACATGTTTCTCCGATGTCTCCGAGTTGCAGTTGGGGGACATGATTACTCCCGAGAAGAGGCGCTATGGTGGAGTAGACGGGAACTGCCACAACCAGTGGGATCGCCACAAGTGCGTCACGGCCTTGGCTTTAGTCAAACATTAGAGCAGTATGGCTACTGCTGGATTGAGCCTCGTATAGACTGGGCTCTATTGAGGTTCCTTCCGAGCATTACCGATTCAGTCTTATTCGGGAATGGCACGCTCCAACAGCGATATCTAAAAAGCGGTGGCCATGTTAAGCATTTTTTTGACCTCAGTCGCCGTGCTGACTTGGGCCTCGAGTGGCTCCGGAGGTATCCTAAGGAAGATGTTATCACCGATCAGATTGTGTCATGGCTTTGTCACATTTGTCTACGGCAAATGAGGGTTGACGTTCTGCATTCTATTCAGCGCGACCTCCGCCCTAAGGCTCGTACTGCGATCCTGGACGATCATGTCCATTTCTGTCGCAAAGGTCTTTCAGCTGCCTTGATCAATGGTATGACTGCCGTATCAGGTAATCGTGCGAATTTCAAGAGCCCTCATGAGGCTGCTCAAGCGTTATTCGGGTTTAATGATGGTCGGCTGCGAGACCATTGGGAAAATAAGCCATTTCGGAAGCTTCATCAGTGGATATGTGCCGCATTGCAGCAGATTCCAGCGGAGCGTAGGCTATCACAGGTATTCGCACGTCGACTTCAATGCTACCTTTTTGCTTACCATTGGGTGTTGCCATATCCTTCGCCAGGAGGACTAGCGCCGAGGACTAAAGATGGCAATCGCCGGTGGTTTTCGATAGATATCCAAGGCGAAATCGGACTCACTGTAGAGAACGCTTCTTCGGAAAGCTGGTGCTGGGCGAGGAACCGCTGGCGGCCGGGATACCCTGCACCCGTCCCTCAATACCTCGATTGGAGCCAGGATCAATGGCAGTCTTGGATTGATCGTCAGATCGGCCAAGCGTTGCCATACGAGGCATTGAAAGTCCGCCTCGATCAGGAGAACCCTGTCTCCGGCACATCAGAGAAATCAACCAGCATACGGCGGAATCCTTTACGGAGTACTCGTCACTCTGTTATTCAGGATTCAGGGAATAGTCATGATATCAACTCCTCGATCTCAGATCCATGTGGTGTTGAAAGCGAAGGGCACATATTGACGAGTACCCGAGTAGTAATTCCAAGCCAACTGCCACCTGAATCTGACTTTCAATTATATCAACAGGTCGAGCGGCACATAACAAGTTTTCGGAAACATATTGCATATGGATGTGGACAAGCTTTTAAGTCGCAACAAGTCGCTATGCCTCGGTCGATACGTGAAGATATGATAAGCTACCGTGCACCGCCACCGACTTTACAACCGCGACTTGCCCCGAGGCCACTACTACCTAAACAAGTGCCCCTTGTTCCGGAATCACAAATTACCTCAAGACTACCCCGACCAACTTTGCAAATACATCAGATGACTTACACCAACCAACAACCTCGCCGCACAGAAAATAGACATCTACCAGCTCGCAAACGAGGCCGACCTGCAAAGTATGCAAATCGAGAAGAAAAGGCGGCGGTTGATGTTGTCCGAAGACGAGCCAGAAAACGAGCCCAGCGGCAAATGGCTCTTGATCAATGCGCAGAGGAGATTCCTCGATTCTACCAAGTCACCTGGGTTGAATATGATATAAATGACAGGAACTCTAGAGGCGACAATCAACCAATACGTGTAAGAAATTAGGTAGATGTCGTAAAGAGAAGGAAACGACGTCAGCGTGGTAGGCCTCGAAAATATCCCACATCTGAAGCCAAGGCCGCGGTGGATGCAGAGCGGAGACGGGTGAGGCGGCAGCATGCGGCCCCTGTGCAACGCGATACGGTACATGCCAACTTGTATAACTCAGTTTTTCCCCTAGAACCAGTGGGAGGTGCCGGGTGGGTGAACGTATTCAGCGGCTCCTATTCTCTGGCTAATCCCACTGGTGCGCCGGGACCGGACAACACGGATATCTCACAGTTCCTACCCACGGTCGATTCTCAACCATTAGAAGATATTGAAGAGCAGGCTATGCCCGATGTTGGTATTGATACATATGCTGGAGAGTCGGTATCCATTTCAAATCATAATAGCCCTGATCCAGACCCAGCCATTACCTTCGACACGACCTCGTATACCTCACCCGAGGCAGAGGATGACGAGCAAGATCCGGTCAGACACCTTGCGCACGAGTTGACAGAGCAACTGGCAAAATTCCGAGGATGCTGCAATGACTGCCACCAAGAAGCAGATTGTGAACGATCGGATGACCCAAACGAACACATCAGTCTCGCAATGTATCTGGAATTTGCACCTGAGCTGGGTCCTGACATTCTTGGCTCTTCAACTATAGCACACCAAAAAGATGACCTAGCTGGAAAGCTCGATGCTGCAACCCGAAGAGAGATGTTCTGTGGTATCGGCCCCAGAGACGAGATACCTCGTATTTGCTTAAGAGAAGACGATGGGGTTACAGATGATGCCGGGGTTTCCTTTGATGTGGATAGCATCATAGCCTTCCCAAGTTGCCTCGCGGTTGCCAAGCAGGGCATTCGATGGTCTCCTACCCAGATGACTGTCTCTGATCTTCAGTCTGATCTTCACCTCCGTTCAAGGCCGGTCACTTACCTCGATGCAACTGGAATACAACATCAAGTACACCGACCTGTCCACCAGATTCCTCATTATACCTTCGGCCGTGTCGTTGGATTGGAGGATGTATCTCTGTACTTTCTATTTCCCAACCTGTATCGAGAGGAGCAGAAGTGCAGCCGGCTTCGAGATGAAGACTTTCAGTTATGGACGGACGGCATTCTCTTCCCGGCAATATACAAATGCTACAGCAGCGCCCATGTCCAGCATTATCCGTCGAGCTATGACCACAGTCGCTATAACTCTACCGCTCGTGGAGTGGAAACCCTTGCTCAGCGTGTACATCCAGTAGCACGGGAACAACAATTAGTGTACTTTCTACCACCAGAGGCACTAGCCGAAGTTTGGGCCAATATCCTCGCCACTGTTCAAGAACCAGGGTTCCAACAGTTCCAGGATGTGACTATCCTCCTTCAAGCAAAGAACCTCAAGGTCCTCACAAAAGACGTCACTTGGGAGAAAATGGTATCACGCTTCAAGGGGTATTGGGTCAAAGCTATTGACGAGAGCTACATTACCCCAGACTTCTATCTTGATATCGGAAAAGAAACTTGCCCTCGACAGGCATCGCAAGTTGTACCTTGGAGCCAACTGGCGGCTGAGGCTATGGATGATCTAAGAGACAAACGAGCCGAATCGCTGATATACAGGCGATGCTGCTTGGAGTCATATGCCTTCCAGGCCCAGCACGGGTCGGCTGATGAAGCGAGCCAGAAACAAGTCTTTTATCCCTTCAGTATGCTTCAAGATACCGGAAGCTTGACTATTGAGACTGGAAAGCGTTCTTCACGCCGTCTTGCTGGCCTTCTCTACTCTCAATTCTATCCCAGTGTCAAGGAAGTTTTCGCGGCAGGGAATGTGTATCCATTCACAAATACAGCCATTGAGACGCTTGCCCTTGACAAGAAGTTAAGAAAGACATGGGAACTCGTTGGAGGTGGTCTCAGCCATCAGCCAGCTGCATTGATCAAGGCATATCTATACACAAAGCTCCGATGCCACTATGCGTTGTTGGGATCTATGCAGAAGTCCTTTGGCATCAGAGAAGAGCACCGTGTTTCCAAGGAGCTATTCTACGCGATTGATAGCCGAATGCGCTCCCGAGAGCTCCACAACATGCGCTTTGTCGTACCCACCAACGATAATTCCCCATACTATAGTTTCACGACCGATACTTTGCTTCGATGGCTGCGGTGGAATATCAACAAGTTCTGTGTCGGGTTCGAGATGGTATACAGCTTTCAGGACCCGCATTTTGTGACTTGGGAGCACACAAGAATCATGCTTATGTTTCTTCGCTGTCTCCAATTCTCTTACTCGGGTGGATTGATACAGAAAGTCGGCGGTTGCTGGCAAGATATACGACAGCGACCCGATCCAAGTCAGCCAAACGGACTTCGCCGATACGAAGGTCTCGGGTTCAAACGCACAATGGAGGTGTACGGCTATGCTTGGTTTCTTGACAAGATCGACTGGAACACGCTCACTTTCCGGCAACCCCATGCGGCCTATATGATGTTCAACAACCCATCCATGCAGACAGTTTACCGCGCTCGGTACCACCAAGTACGAGATGTACGGATCGACTTCATTCGAGTGGATAAGGCTTACCAATGGATGCTCGAGTTCAGTGCTATACCTATGTGCCTCAACCTCTTGGAGAATTACCTTCGAGAGCTCTGCTTGTGTGCCTTTCGAAAGGACGTCTTCTTTCACGTCAAGTCAGCTCTGAAGCCAGAGTATATGGAGGCTGCATTAGCAGGAGACATTCCCCTCTGCTATGATAGTGTCAACAATGCCATGCTCAAAGATTACCAGCCACTTCAGCTTGCGCAAGGAAACAGGTTGGCAGTGAAGGATGTTCACGTGTTATTTGCTTGGCTTTGGAAATCGAAGGATGACCATTTTGAACGGCAGGGGTGGAATGAGAAGCCATACCGTATGCTATTCCAGCAGAGCTTCCATGCCATCAGGACCGCACGAGGTAAATCTGGCGCACGGAGGTGGCGGCAAGAGCTGAAAAGGTCATTCCTTGGAAGCCATTGGATTCTCCCATATCCACATAGCCGGGGATTCATGCGTAAGGAGAAGGAGGAAAAACAGTTCACATGGTGGCCCAGTTTGCATCAAGGACTCATCAGACACTACGCCAAGTCCCGACAGACTGGAACACTTGCCCATCCACTGCCAGCATCCAACATCGCAAATCATCCTATTGACGGCTGGCAACTAGCAGGTTCTCGGTTTTCCAGGAGCTATATGCCCTATGTCATACAACCTGAACAGGAGCTAATTCGAATGCCTGAGAATGAGCTTTATGCCCAATTAGTTGATCTTCGGGAGCAAGCATCAGCTGGGCTGCCTCGAAGGCCTTCTACAACACCTATGCTGGAATTGGATAACTCCCCTGAGAGATATTACTTTCCTAAGAAATGGTGCCAGATACGGCAAATAGAGGTCGCGAAAACATTCGAGGAATGTGACGCGGTTAATGAGTGTGTCTGGTTTTTGGAAAAGGGGTTAGAGACATACGAACATCTCCGACACCGTCAACCAAACCGACGCAAAAGGCGTCGAAATCGCGCTACAACCCAACTAGATAGTGATTCGGATTCGGTCTCAGGAGGGGATGAAACCGAGGCTACCTCGGACGAGGAGAGCCTTGTTGTCATGCGAAAGAAGCAAGCACAGATCGTGCGCAATATGGAGTCCCGAGTACATGAGCTCATTGGAGAGTTCAAACGAAAGTATCCGCAATGGCAGAAGGCTTATAACCCTGTTTTAAGAGAGCTTAATTACCGTCTAGACAGAGTTGAATAATGGATAGTAGGGTAGTAAATATGTAAAGTGTTCACTTAGTAAATCTATGATACTATTTATAGCTAATTGCAGGTTATTAGGCTAGCGCCAGCTAATCAGGAGTTCTGCTCCCTATTATTCGCCCGCCTCTGGAGTAGAAATCCCTCCCGAGAATGACCCGGCCGATACTTCTCAAAGCAGCGCAGCCGCCCGTATCTAAGGCGGCTGAAGGGCGGTTGTGGAACGAGGAGGAGGCCAAGGCAAACCGGCGGCAGCGGCAGCTCTCCGCGAGCTTCTCCCGGGTCATGACCAAGTGCAGGGAGCGATTAGACGGCGTGCCAGACGAAACGCTTGAATGGCTGGCCAGCATCGATCCAACCAAGGCAAATACGGACCCGTTTGGCGAGAAACTAATGTGATTGGTACTCTGGTTTATTCTGGGTCAAGTCTGGTTTAATTTATTTATCGACACGCGCCTGCTCCAACCTATCCAGCTAACCATCTGCTTTTCTAAAATAAACTTGTTTGTAGAGCAGTAAGGGTTAGTGTTATTATTTATTTGGCACATCATCATATATTATCTTATTATAGCAAATACACGGCCACACAGAGCTTTACTGCCAGCACACCAGTAGCCGTATTAACAGTAGCTACACTAACAGCATTATCTGCACCAACCACTATCACCATTGCGTCTAAAAACCTAATCCGAACTGCCCAAGCTCTTGCCCGGACAGAAGAGATCGGTAATATAGATCAAGTCATCCGGATTATCCAGCCGTATCAGATCTTGCTTTGCCAGGAATGCCCCGGCGGTGCGGTCGGCATCCGACCCGACGCTTGCGCAGTCGAATCTCATTTCCGCAAGCAGCACAAGTTCCGGAGAAAGCCACTGGAGCAAGTGCTCGGCTTCGTTGCATCACACGCGGCAAAACACCCACTCAATGACCCGCACACGGCCGAGCTCCCCAACGATCACAGCATTCCCATTGAGGGGCTCCCAGTCTTAGCAGGGTTCAGGTGTATGGAACCACAGTGTCGGTTCTTGACGACCAATAAGAAGAAGATGCTCGCGCATCCAGCTAAGGCTGGCCACCAGCTACGAGGAGGTGTTAGTGGGGGTGGGAGTAGGGCAGGCTGGGAACTAGTGACTCTGCAGTCGTTCTGCCGGGGCCGATATGCAAGGTACTGGATTGTGGACGACAGCAACGGCAGCGAAAGCAACAAAAGCAGCGACACGGCAGCATCTACGCTACAGAGCCAATTATTGACACAACAAGGCCACCGCACCGGCCGCAGTGCAGTATTGCAGATGGTCCAGGGCTGCGAGGTAGAGATCAAGAGGCTCGTGACGGCATGGACAGTGGGCAACAAGCTGGCGGCGGGGGAGAAGGGCATCATATACTGCACCAGCCACGCCAAGTGCAGGGCGCTGGCTCAGCAGCTGCAGTGCCACTACTACCACGGGATGCGCGAGGACAGTGATGCTCACTTTGCTGCCCAGCGCAGTGCCGGCTTCCGGGCCTGGGCCGAGGGCACGATGCTGTACATTGTAGCTACGGCGGCGCTGGGGACGGGCATTGACATCCCGGGTATCACGCATGTGATCCACCTCGAGGCGCCGCACAGCATCATCGACTACGCTCAGGAGGCCGGGCGGGCCGGGCGGGCCGGGGAGCGCGTTACGGCCGAGATCATCATCGAGGACAAGGACTGGCCAGTCGAGGACCCATCCAAGGACGGCTGCCTCGAGCTGAAAGTGCGCGAAGTGAACAGCCTGATCCGGACGCAGGGCTGCCGGCGCCGCATCCTCGGGCAGTGCCTGGACGGCGATGTGCGGGACTGCAAAGGGATCGGCGCCGCGGCTCTGTGTGACAACTGCGAGGCGGCCGAGCTGGTTTGGAAGAGCGAGCTGTCCTCGCAGGGCATCGTGATGATGCAGGCCCGCGGCAGGATCATTTCCCGCGCCATGCAACAGATGCAGGCGGCGCTGGAGGAGGTCGAGGAGCTGGGCGGCAAGCTGAGGCTGCCGGATATGCTGGATGTTCGACGGGGCCAAGGAGGCACGGCATCAGTGGACGGCGTGTGACGACATCGAGGACTGCCTGTCCTTCCTCAGCTGCATGGACTTCCAACGGAAGATCAACTACCGCAGGGACCAGCAGGCCAGCTTCCTGAGCTGCTTCTACTGCCATGTATCACAGAAGCTCTGCGAGGACGGGTATCAGAGCGGCGGCGCCACATGCCGATGGAAACACGTAGTGATTCCGTTGGCCTATGCGGCTACAACCGAGCCAGCTCTATGGAGCCGCATCCAGGGGCTCGCAGGGCGTACCTTTAAGGGGCTGGATGATTATGCAAGCTGGCTTGGGCGGAAGCATCTGAAGCTGGTATGTGGGCAGGAAATGACGAATGCGATGGCGGTATTTACGTTAATTATAGAGTGGCGGATAGAAGAGAAGATTTGAGAGAGCACGCATACATGGTATATTGAGCTTTAGGTTTATAGAGCAGAGATATAGAGAAGCCGGAGGCAGGGGTTGGTGGGGTGTAATATATAGTGCAGACGACACCTGAGACGAAGGCTTGTCCTAATGGACCTAGAGAAATAAGATATAACCGCCAGATTGACGGGATAAATAGAGATAAAAGAGATGTTGGGTACTGGTAAAGCATTTAATTAAGTGCTTCTCTATACGCTCGGACTTAAGAGGGGGGGGGGGGGGGGCGAGAGAGGCAATAGGGGCAGCTGTAACTACTTGGCCAGGGGAGGAAGGCCAGAGGGAAGATGTCTCGAATAAGTCGGAAGTGGAAAAATGCAATAGCAGTTAGCAAGCATCTAGTTAGTAGAGCTGCTCTGCTAAGTAGCTACTATATACAGAGACCGAAAGAAAGAAGAGGGAATAGAAATACAGAAGAAACAGAGGTAGAAGGAAAAAAGGGGAAAAAGAAATAGAAGGGGTGGTCCAGGGTAGGCAAAAACTATATCATTGTGAAGATCCGGATGGGTCTGACGGTGCAAAGTGGTCTGGGCCAGTATCTGTAGGTTGGGGACGGGAATGCTGGATTGGTAAGGACTGCTGTATTAGGTAGGGAATGCTGGGTTCAGTAGGGAAAGCTGGGCTGAGTAGGGAACGCTGGGTTGAGTAGGAAACGCTGGGTTGGAAACGCTGGGGTTGGAGTAGGAAACGCTAGATTAGAAACGCTGGGTTAGGTAAGGAACGCTGGGGTTGAGTAGGAAACGCTGGGGTTAGAGAGAAGACGCTGGGTTAGGTAGGAAGCGCTGGGTTAGAAAGGAAACGCTAGGTTATGGAGGAAACGCTGGGATCAGGGAAGGAAACGCTAGGTTAGAAAGGGAAAACGCTGGATTGAGTAGGAAACGCTGGGTTGAGTAGGGAAAACGCTGGGATCAGGAAGGTAAACGCTAGGTTAGAAAGGAAACGCTGGACTTATAGAGGGAACGCTGGGTTAGAAAGGGGAAACGCTGGGGTTAGGGGAGGAAACGCTGGGTTGAGTAGGAAACGCGGGGTTGAGTAGGAGTAAGTAAGAGAGAGTGAGAGGTTTGTTTGTTAGGGTGAGAAAGGTGGGGAGCGGTTGTTGTGAGGTTGTAAGAGTGTTAGTATTGAGAAGGTTTAGTTTTAGGTGGTAGTTAGGTGTTGGTAGGTAGGGTTGGTTTAAATGAGGGTTAAGAAACAAAAAAGGCAGTTAAAGAGGCAGAAGTAGTAAGTCGTAAGGGTAAAGGAAAAAGAACAGAAGCAGAGAAAAGTAGGGGAAAAGAAGATAAGCAAAAGTAAGACAGTAAAAGCAAAGGAAAGTAACAAATAAAAGTAGTTAAGAGTAGGGTAGTAGGAAGCAGAAAGAAGAGGGAACAGAGCAGGACGGAAGAAAGAGAAGGTTACAGTAAGGCAGAGAGAAAGGGAGTTAGGTTGGGAAAGACAGTATAGAGAGGAGGTTGTTACAGTGAAGGGTCAGAAGGGTTAGGTTTTGTAAGGATAAGAAGAGAAGGAGGAGTGTGGGGGGTCACAGGTGAAAGGAAACAGGGTTCAAGTAGAGTAATAAAAAAAAAGGAAAACGGGGGGGGGGCGAGGAGTGTAATGTTGAGTTTAGTCGTTTTGTATTGGAAGGGAAGGTAGTAAAGGTGTAGTTAGTAGAAGTAAGAGTTCAGAGTTTAGGTGGGGGTTTGTAAGGTAAAGCGAGCAAGTGTAAAGAAGGTGAGAAGAGAGAGTTTACAGAGGGTGGTCAAGTGTTAAGTAGTGGCAAGAGCAGCAAGAGAGGGAGTAAGTAACGGGACGGAAAGATAGCAAAGCAAGGAAGTTGGGGGGCGAGTCAAGAAGCAAGTGGCGAAGAAAAGGGTTGTTAAGTGTAGGGTAGGAGGATTAGTAAGGTAGGGTTGTTTTAGGACAAGTTATTAGTAGTAAGTCAACGGCGCGAGGTTAGAAAAAGGAGAAGTTGAAGTGTTAGTAAGTAGAGACAAAGTAGAGGAAAGGAGGAAGACAAAGGTTGAGTTAAGTAGCAAGTAGTCGAGGGTAATACGAAGCAAGAAGAAGTCAGTACAGGAAAAGTAGTTTGCAGGAGTTTTACGGGTGTGTTACGTAGAAGGGAGAAGTGGTGTGTTTGGAGAGAATTTGAAGGGCAAAGGGAGGTGGAAAGGACAGCGTCAGGAGGGTAACAAGGGGGGGGGGGGGTTGGAGGAAGCAAAAGTAAGTTAGTAGGCAGCAAGGAGTTTGAGGGTGTAAACGGAACAAGAGACAAAATGAGGAGTGGTTGTAAAGGTGAACAGGGGAAGCAAAGTAGGGAGGAAGTAAGTAACGAAGGGTTGCAAAAGGGGTTATATTCAGTAAGTGCAGAGAAGGAAAGGGAGGGAGAGAGTAAGGAAAAGTAAAGGCACAGTAGTAAAGGCAGCAGAAGCAGCAAAGGCAGCAACGAGAAGCAAGAGCAAAGGGGAGATTAACAAGAAGGTTAACGTATATGATAAGTATGCGGCGCATCCAAGTATGCGGCGCACTTTTCCTAACCTTTAATTTAAGAACTTAAATAAAAACATAACAAAGCATCTAATTAATTAAAACTAAGTGCTATACTCTTCCTCAGAAGTCTCAATAACAACCTGACATGTTCTTATATTATGACCAGTCTTGCCGCACGCTCCACAATGCCTTTCCTTCGGTCGCGCTGACCCTCCTTGACCACCACTTTTCGATGATTCAGCCTGTATCTGCGTATTAACATCCATCTGATCAATTGCTTCCCTTCCCTCTTCTACAGTCATCTTCCCTCTATTCTGTAGACGGGTTCTTTTCGCTCTGCGCCGCTTACTAAGAGTCTCATTTGCCTGTCGAAGGATCTGGTTCTCAGACTTTAATAATGCTATCTGATGTATTATTGCCTTTGTTCCCTTAGAAAATGACTCAAGCGCCTCGAGAATAGATGCTGGAGAGCTGCTTTGATGCCTTCTGACTTGTCTTTTGAGGTATTTGGACTGCGAGCTGGCCTTAAGCACGGTCTTTGAGGTTTTTGATACCTAAGGGTTAGGGAGGCCGACCTCCTCCTTAACCGGTATTGGAGTCCGTAGCTGTATATCAAGCTTTGATATGACATTTTCTGGGTTTAAAGGAGCAAGTCCGGCCCCTCGAAAAGCCCCTTTAATATTGCTTTCTATTATGGCAGCTTGGTGGGCGGTATAAAAGGCTGGAAAAAACTCAGTCTTCAAAACATAGGTTATAGAGCATCTAATTAATTGCTCAATTTCTTAACCGTAGGCTTTTTTAAGCAGCCCAAAGCACCTAACATCAAGAGGCTGAAGTAGATGAGATAAATGAGGCGGCATACAAAGCGTAATGATGTCGTTCTCTTTACAATATTTCTTAAAGTCGACGGAGTGGTGACTTTTATGCCCATTGAGGATTAGAAGATAATAGCGACCGATTGATCGGGCTTTTGTGTGCCGGTTAAAGTGCTTAAGCTACTTAAGACCTGTCTTATTGTCGGTCCAGCCGTTTTAAGTCGTCGCAATAGCCCAATTGCCCGGGAGGTTGCTTTCCCGGTACCAGTTGGCGAGGTGATATTGGCCCGCAACCACGATGAACGGCTGGATCGCCCAGCCATCTGTATTAATCGCCTGAATGACTGTAACCTATTCCCGGTTTCCAGGCTGGACTGATTTCGGATTTCCACGCCTCTCTGCGCCTGTGACGACCATTCTACTTGCGATGATGCCTATTATAAAGCCAGTCTCATCAAAGTTGTAGATATCAGCTAGGTCGATGCTATATTTTGTGATTGTATTCTTTATAAGCTGGAACTAATTGCGAATAATAGTCGGATCTTTATATTTAGCCCTCTGATAGTTGTATTTACGAAAAAAATGTGTCTTAAGTTCTGGTTGTCGCCTGACGAAGTTAGAAGCCCAGTGCTTGCCGACAGTTATGGTGAGCTGTTAGGGTTGGGGTTGAAGCTTGTCTCTATATTTATATGTGGTTGAGGCTCCGCCCCACTATCGCATATGTGATCCAAGCCCCACTATTATCATCACATATGTGATCAAGTCCCATCCCACTCTTGTCAAATATCAGAATCCCCTCTTGAACTCTTGATCATATATATTAATAATCCTCCTCTTCTTCCCCTCCGCTGTCTTCACTGTTATTATCATCAATATATATTGTCGTCATTCTCGTCATCGTCATGCTCATAGGGAATAGACTGGCGTCTAACCAGTCCCGTCTCGGGATGCTTGTCATCATCTTCCTCTGTTGCATTCTCCAATTCCTCTACAGAACCTGTTGGAGGTATATAAACACCGAGTAGTTCTGAGATGGACGTCTTTCGCAACTTGGACAAATCGTCGCCTATAGCCATCTGAATGCCGGGCACCCTGAGGTCCGTAATAAGATTTTGCATCCTGTAACTGTCCGAAGCAGCGGCCTTCAGGGCGGGCTGGACGATATGCGTGTATGATGCCTTGCAGATCTCCAAAAGGTCTGGAAGCTCGTCTGCAACAGCAAGCGCCATCACACGGAACTTATCCTCCTTTTTAATGCCATCGGTCGGACGAATCTTGTTGTAGCAGGTGAAGAGGCTCCGAGAGACGAAGACATAACTGCCGGCTCCAAAGACGTCTGCCATCACGGTCAGCGGTCGCCAGGCATAGATCTTCTTGGGCAAGGCGCCTTCAGGAAGGCCGAGCTTCCTGCTGAGATACTTTGATATCCTCGTCGCGAGTGCCAAGCCCGTGTTGGCGCCTATCCCGTTCCTGGCGAGGAAGTCTTCGATGTCTCCATTTGACTCTGTCGCGGCCGGGCTCGACCAGCGGTCCCATTCACGGACAAGTGACACCTTCATGTCAATCAGTCGAATGTCATCAATCGTCGACATGTTAGGGCCTTCGTGCTGGACGGCCTGGGCCCAACGTCGGGTGAAGTTGGATAGTGTCACCGGGCCTTGCTTGCGGATCTCGTCTGCCACCCTGCCTGCGTTCCGGTCGAGGTCGGCGAGATGCTGTCGCGGGTGGCGGCCGTAAAGGTGCATCAGTGCATCGGCGAGGCGTCTCTGACCTCGGCTGCCGAATACCTCGTGTAGGACCGCCATACCTATGACGCAGATCTCTTGCGAGGACAGCCTGCCCCCAAAGTCCCTTTCTTGCAGCCGTCTGGCAACGGCTAGTGTATCGAATGATTTGCCTCCCTCCTCGTAATGATGACTCTTACGTCCGCCGTGGCTGAGCTTGGCCCGGAGGGCCTCCACCAGAGTGGCTGGTTTGTGATCCCCGCCAAGTCCCTGCTTCGATGCTCGCCCACCCGCGCCCAGCTGTATCACAACGAGCTCGTCATTGGTCTGAGGGGCCTGTGTAAGGATAAGGTTGGGAGATGGTCGTGACGGGGTGTCATCGTTGTCGTTGTTGCCATCTTCGTCGCCATCTTTATCGTCGAGCACACCCGGCGAAACCTGGGTTGATGCCTGGAAGAGCTGGGTGCCTCCTAAGAGGGCGTCTGTTGAGGGAGGGAGAAGTGGCTTCACGCGACTCGTGTGGCTGTCCGTCCCCGGAGCGCCCTCTTCGTCGTTGATCTGGACACAACGCTTGGCAATCGTGCAGACGAGGTGCTCTGGTATGCCCTGCTTGACTAGGGATGCGTGCCACTGGCCGAAAAACTTCTTGAGCTTCCTCTCGTACTTGGAGAGGGTCGTGGGCAGATCCGCTCGACCCTGTTCATCCGGCGCGTCGGACGGCGCTGTGTCTTGTGTCAACAAGCTAACAGTACCCGTCCTTGAGGCGACCTGGAAGGTAGAATGCGGCAGGAAACTGGACGGCAAGCTGCTGTGCCACTTGGCGTCGGGACTCCGCGGAGAGCTGACTGTCCTCTTCGAAAGAGGCTGACCCGACCTGGCCCCTGACGCGTCAGGGTCATCGGCAACTAATAAGCCCGCGTCCGGGAACCCTCGCGAACCCCTGTCACTCCTGACAGCCGTAGTGCCGCTGTTGTCCAGACCGTGGCGTACAGGCGATCCGAGCCTCCCGGGTCGAGGTCTAGACGTGCTGGAAGAGCCGCCGGCGTAGTCGGGCAAGCGGACACGTTTTGCAGGCCTCGCCGTCACGGCCGCGGCCGGGGCCGTCGTTCTTTTTCTGCCTGCTGGTGACATTACTGTTGATCTGCCTCTTGATGGTGATGATGATTTCTTTCCGCGGCCTCCTCCTTTCTCTTCCCATTGCAGACGAGGGAGGAAAGGGGGTTGCTTATAATGAACCGATGAATACATCAGTAATTTCCCACGGCTGCCAGGGTATGTCACGCTAAGGTCCCTGCTCAAACGATCTAGTCTGGTCTTCTTGTCGAAAACGTCTAGGTTGGGACCGGTATGTTGATCCTTTACATGGAAACCCCTATCACATATGTGATAGCATGCTGATCTGATACGCATAGAAGGAAATGATCGATTTATATCTAATCAAACAATAGACTTGGTGCATGTTTAGAATGCAGCTTGCTGCTTGATATATATCTAGAAATTTAAGGGGGTCTCTAAGACCTCTGTTGTTTGTAGTGGTTCTATTGTTGATTACCCTAGACCTATCCCGCAGCATCTTCATAATAAGCCCAGGTAATGTACTCAGACTAGGTCGACGCCATCTTTACACGTCACACATTTGCATCATCATCATCATCATGGCCCCAGAGCGTCAGAAGGCCAAGGGCACGTCAAAAATGCGCTCTAAGCCCAGGGATCGCAGGGGAGGTATTTCCTCCTCGTCGTCATCTTCATCCAATATGCGTGCAACCAGACCCCAGAACACCATTTTGCGATACCTGCAGTCAAGTTCGCCGTTGCCCGTGGTGTCCGGAAGAAGAACGGCGTCAACACCGGCAAGCTCCGGCACGCTGCGGTCGGACTTCTCCTCTGCCACCAGCAGCAGTACCTCTGCCAGCAGACTAGGCAATGACACTGGCATAGGCTCTGTCGCAACAAAACCTGCCTTCCCCGAGCCATCTTGTCTGAGCTCAGACATTTCTTCATCACCTAACGACTCCTCAGTGAATGCCAGGTTGCAACGATGCAGAAATTTGGATGAGCCGGCCTCACCTAGACCTCTAGTCAGATGGCAATACGGCCGAAAGGAATGTATACCAGGTATGCTCTCCCAGGCCCCAGACCTTTACATACTAATACCTAGATGGCATTAATAGATTCCATGGAGGACAGTATGACAGACGCAGCTGCTCTGGACAGTGACGTGCTGCCGAATGACCATTCACCAGTATTCGGCTCCGATATGCAGATCGACCTGGCGGAGGAGGACGAGAGCGCGTGGTATATCCCTTCGACAACTTCACGCAGTCACGGGTCCTACCCATGTATAACACTCATCGCTATACGAAACACAGGTCAACTAACAAACTATCCTAGATGATGATGGCATGAACGGCGACGAAGACCTACGCGACAATAACATTATGACGGACGAGCATCCTCCCGACGAAGCGCACAATGAAGAACGAGCCGAGCCCCTCGCTGGCGAGCTGCCTAGCCGCCAGGAAATTTACAATTGGGTCGAAGAGGAAGGCTTGGACGAAGGAGAGAAGCTGGCTCGACGTATCGTCTATATCCTCACCGCCGGCCTGGTGTCATGCCCGGCGAATCAACACAAGGACCAAGACGCATTGCACCTCGCGAACTGCCGCCGCCATCTGCACCTACGTGAGACATGGGCTGGGTCCAGCGCAAGAGTCAGCGGCTTGTCCTTCGCCGAGCGAGAGGAACAGTCACGACAGTTCGGCCTGGACCGGACCGTCCGGCCCCTTGATGCGTCCGTCACGGGTCTTCGTCGCGACCAGCTGCCGCCGGCCAGCCGGCTAGAGGCCCAATTCGCGGGCTGGCACGAGGACCAAGACTGGTTGGACGCCGAGGTCTGCCTCCACAGAGACGACGTGGCGGAGCGGAAGTTGGCGCCCGCCATCCACGACATCGACAGCTTCCTACACGTCACGAAAGACCCGCACAGCCTGAGAGGGCCGCTGAACATATGCATCACGGCCCAACCGAGCCTCCTCCTCACCAAGTCCATTCACGTTCGCGTGCCCATACGGGTGGGAGAGAAGATCAAGCAGGTCCCGATCTATCAGATCCCGCACACCGTCCTTGCGCACCAGAGGCCACGAACGGTCTATATGTTCTTCCCGCGGCTCTACGATGAGAAGCGCCGCAAGAAGGGCCCCGTGCCTCTGCGAGAGGATCAGAGCCGGTTATTCTTCGACGGCTTCATCAGGCCGAGCATCGAGAAGATCGGGCCGCACTTTGCGCACCATTTGCCCGGAAGCTATGACTCCGCCCGGGCAGCGTCACGTATCGCCAAGGAGTCCACGGGCTCGGCAGCTGTGCGCGCGGCGCGGCCGTTGAAGTGCCATATAGCGAGGAGAACCTCCCCAGGCTGTGGAGCGTCATGCAGGAGGCGCTCGCTCGGGCGGAGCGCGACATGGCAGCAGACGGGCTCCAGCCCGGCGGTGGGAGCGTGCGGGAGACGGACGATGCCAGTGGATTGTGGCAGTTTGGCGATGCCATCTTCCTCTGCAGCTACAAGGACACCAAGCTGTGGCACCAGTCTTCCGGCAGCAGCATCGCGGGGGTGCTGGGAGACTTCCGCGCCAGGTGCGGCGTTGTCAGACTCGAACCGGAGCCGACAGCCAGCAGTTGCAGTGATAGCCCTGCTCAACGCTGCAATAGGACAGAACCGACGCCGTGGAGGCAAACCCAACTTGTCGATGTGGCGTCCGAGTTCCTGCCAACGAGAGGTGGGCATAACGTTCTGGCTCGGCGGTGCTGCCAGTACAACACCTTGCGTTTTCTCTACGGGCAGTCCAGTGAGGCTCTGCTCGGGAGGGCAGTCCCGCGGGTGGAGGACGTGACTGGCGGCAGCGAGGACGAAGATGACAGTGACTGGGATGGTGAGGCAGGTAGAAGCCAGGAAGATGAGGGGGGTGAGGGTGAACATGGCTACGACGGAGACGACGGCCGGGCCCCATGTGAAAGGGGGAGCGAGGAGGAGCAGGCTACAGCAGAGGGTTGGAAGCCTCCCCGGATCCCGCGCGCCGTGACGACTGAGTACCCGGTACATATGCTGCGAGACTCCATTTCGATCACCTCGGAGCCCAGGAGGACCAGTCCTATCTTTAGGCGCGGCGTCTCGTACATACAGTCCTACACAGTGGAGGAGGGCAACTTCAACGTGGCCGCCGTCTGGGCCTTCTCGCACCCTAATATCTTCAACCTCGCCCATAGCGATGAGGCCTGGGCGGCAGTGGCCAGAGAGGGTAACATCAAGGCTAGCCGCCAGGACGCGGAGCGGGCACTATCGCAGTCGATCCAGCGCATGTCCAGCAACCTCGAGGACCCGTCACGGGGGTACGGCTGGCGGGTCGAGCTGCGCATCACGACAACACTCGCGGCTCAGTTGTGGCCAGCGGAGGAGGCTTGGTGGCGACTGGTCAAGCGGGCAAACCGATTATCTGACGAGCCGGGCGCTGTTGCCGTGACACCGGACCGGGATGCCTTCTACGTGCTCGCGGCTGGGGACTTCAACGCGTTCGTGCGGCAGAATATCGACAAGCACCTGCGGCTCATGGACTACATCATGTCGTACTGGGCGCGAGACCCCTCGACCCCGCAGTCGGCGGCATCGCTCTATGCCATCGTGACGCTTGCACTCCGGCAGTTCATCAATCATCAGCCTTATGCACTCGCCAGGATACTGTCTGCGCCCCTTACGGCCGCTGCCGGGGGCAGGATCGGTCTTGATATGGCCCGCTCTAGAGAGCGACGGGGGTTCGCCTTCTTCCCGAAAGACGTGGTGGACTGGCACGAGCTTCGGCTCTACGACTGGGCGACGGACCTGCTGCAGGTGCCGCAACTCGTCATCAAGGCACACTGGCTGGAAGAGGCATCGCTGCGGCAGTCCCGGCACCTCATCGACCAGGTGATCAGCCTCGCCATCAGTAAGGACATGCGCACGCGGGAGCAGGCCGAAGATGTGCTCGGCATCCTCTCACAGCTCCTGATTCGCAGCTACAGGACTACTAGTCTCGCATCCTTTTTCCGTCAAAAAGCCGTCCCCTGCTCAGCCTGCCCAATCATTATCTTGTCTCGTCCTTTTTCACGTCAATCCCGCTCGGCCCCACACAAGGGCCCGCGTGTGACGGTAGCGTCCGGAGTGCTGGACCCAGGGTGGGGCCGATACGTAACTAGGGCGCACGGGGCAGGCCACAGGGACTATCAACGCGTCTACGCGTCTACGCGCCTGCCCGCTTTCTCTCTTTCCTCTCCATCGTAGTATCCTCGCAATACAGTGGCATTACCTCTTGAGTTGATCTCATCTGGCCCGTGACACCGCGAACCGGGGGACATTCTATCGCCTACGGCCTTTTTCATTAAAAAAAGACCCCTTAATTTTACTCCGTTTACCGAGTGCCGGACGCCAATAGGAGTAGGCCCTATCTATCCTTGTACGGGAGGAGGAGCGATTTCTCTCCTTTTCATCATAACACCACTTCAAACCCTGAGGACACTATCATCATCGTCATGTCCCTCCCTGCGTTACGGCCAGAGTCCGATATAGGCAAGCACTCGCCCCTGCAACTGGCAACGCCACCGGCTACGAGCTCCCCTCCTCCTTCTTATAAGCCGCTTAGAGACGGTCCGCTCGAGCTATGGATGTCGCCACCCCAGCCCGCACGGGAACTCTATGACCATATCCTCCACGTCCAGGAGATTGCCGAGGATAAACGTATACGATTAAGGGAGCTGCGTATGCAGCGAGAGGGCCAGGAGCACTCCTGTACCGAGGATAGCGAGACGACGCCCTGGTTGAAGCATACGGGGTGGCCGCAACGGTTTTGTAACCGACCGCTTGATATCATCACCGCATCTGCGAGACTGCCTGTTCGAGGCCCCAATACGTATAAGGAGGATCTTGTGCTTGGGAGGTGGAGGGGAGAATTGCTACGCAGCACAGCAGCAAGCGAAGCCCGGATGCGAGTGCTGATGCACGCCGTGGACGACATGTTTGACCGGGCCGAGGATACACTCACATGCACTCCCTACCAATTGCGTTGCTGGCTCACGAGCTACCAGCAGGACATGTTCCGACATCGCCCCCTACGTGTCATGTCAGCTGCTACAGCTCGAGGGTATAAGTCGAAGTGGAAGAAGTTCATCTGCTACATATTCCGGGCTTTCGAGATGAGCCCATCATTACGCCGGGATATACATAACGTGCCGCTGCGTGGCGATGACGTGCAGATGATGAGGCACATATTGAACTTGGCATCGGATATGGTGAGAGCTAGAGAAAACGGCGACCAAGCTACGGGCGAGAGCGGTGAACCTCGCGATCCCGATAACAATGATGACGAGGAGGAGGACAGCCAAAGCTATAGTGGCAGTGATTCAGACAGCCAAAGCGAAAGCGACAGCGAAAATGATAGCGACAGCGACTACACAGATGATCGCAGCGATAACGACAGAAAGAAGGATGAGGATAGAGGCGATAGGTCTCAGGACGATGACGATGACGAGGTGATGCAATCTGGCTATATCCCGGACCTTAGGGCGAGTCAGGCCACCTTCCGCCTTCCCCAAGGTATCCGTCTGGAGTTGTCAGAGGCTTTATTGCAGCTCTCGATGATGTTCTGGACCTACCAGAGCCAAGATGGAGCCATGACGTGCTCCACTATCGTACACTTTGTAGCCGTTTTGGGTATTCACCCATCGTCCTTGGCGTACCGCAACGCATACGACTACACCCCGGATCTCGCAGCCCTGGTCTGGGTTGGCCGGCTGTTGTTCCTCGAGTACAGCCTACCGAGGTTCAGCTACGATACGCTTGTATACCGCTGGCCGTGCCGAGCTGCGTACCCGTCACACCCTGAGCGCCTAGAGGCGATTCGGACCAAGTATATGCTTAGGGGATGCTACTCACCGCTGGCCGAGCTGATCGAGCTCAAAGCTTTCGGCAAGAGCATAGCGCGGAAGGAGGGGGCGCGCGCGACGCTTACCTGGGCACCGGATGGGGGCTCGTTCACGATTGGCAATCACAAAGTGATACGATTGTCCGAGTTCTGTACGACATATCGGGCAGCAATCGCACAGGTAAAGGAGTTAGTTGCCGAGCTGATGCTGGGCTGGGACCCTGTAATCGATCTTTCTGCAATTCGCGACGACCTGACTTGTCAGACGCCTGGATGGAGTTTCCTTGATCACTCGGAAAACCGACTGTCAGGGACATACAAGGCGATGGCACGTCGTGCTTGGTCATCCACATTCCGCGGCAAAGCACTGGCTAAGTCAGGTCACTGGCTACCAGAGCCGTGCTTAGCTTACCTAGAGGCAGGAGCCAAGATGTCCAAACAGGGCTTCTCTGCATTCCACATCACGTCTGGGCTTCCGGGTCGGGCTACGGAGACCACGGGCATCCGCTTCCGCAATACCAGGCTGGCCATCAGAAATATGTGCATCCGCGAAGGGCAGGTCATGATCATCATCAGCTACAACAAAGCTCGCGCCTCAACCAATCACGCGTTCTACGTTGTCCGTTACCTGCCAGATGAGCTCGGCATATCCTTTGTGACCTATGTCGCATACATCCGCCCCTTTCTGGACTTCCTCGCCACTCAACTCGAGCTGCCGCACTATCATAGCAACGAATTTCTCTTCTCAGACCCCAGGCACAAGAGGAGGCACATGTCTCCCTCGCAGGCGACAGAGGCTCTCAAGGAACTAACTCAAACTTTGCAGACACCATGGACCATTTCGCTCTACCGCCAGGCGGCGATCGCTATTGCGAAGCGTCATATCCGCGACCTGATCAAGAAGAGGAACTGCTACCACCCGAGCGAAGGGAGCGATCCGATTCGGGTCCTGGCGGCCGGAGTCGGACACCGGCCAAGGATGCTTCTGACAGGCTACGCCATCGACACAGCCCTCCCGAGTCGACTCCAGGCCGAGCTCCTCGAGATGTACCGCCAGCTATCGACTCTATGGCAAAGCTGGAACCAGGAATACTATAACCGTCATTGTATAGCAAAGGAGAGCGCAGAATCTGAGGGTATATCACAATGTAGCCCAGCAGGTGTATGGACACCCAATCCAGAGCGTCGAAAGAAAGGACGAGGGACAGTTGTCAGATATGAAGCGCTACGAGAAGAAGTGAAAGGAACTAGTGCGAGCTGTGTCACCTGCGATATCCAATCAAGCTCTGAAGTCATGACGGCGCAACTGCCCCCAGGCTTTATCTACAACGCGGAGCATCAGATCCTTATATGCGTCGCGTGTAAGTCTGCCATTAGCCCGGGGAAAAAGCCACTTTACAGCCACCTCAACCGCACCCACCGTATCCTAGGCCCTACCTGCAAGGCTTATATCCAGCGCTTTAGTACCCTCCAGCTCTTGCCGCTGAACGATCTTGTTCTTCCACGCGAGAAGATCCCGGCTATTCCCGGCCTCCGGATTTTTATAGTATTTCGATGTAACGTCTGCCAACATTTGACGTCCCGTTGGGACTCTATTCTTGATCATATATCAACACATAAGCTTGGCATGCGTCCTTTACTAGCTTGGGAGAGGGGACTGATCAGCAGATGCTATGCACAGACTTTCTCGTCTGCCAAAGGGCGAATCGTCTACTTTGAGATCATGGCACCTTCATTGGCTACTGACTATAGCGGCAGCAGGCAGCACGCGATCTAGAGGATAAGGCAGCGGTGGTCGAGGATGCTGTCGGGGACAGGGCAGATCGGGAGCCGTGGCCGGTCTACAACGGATTTCCAGCGCACCTACGGGGGCTCCGAGACTGTTGGAGATCACAAGTGTGAGGCGACCAAGTCGGTGGCAAAGGTGTGGAAGAAGGTGGAACATTCCACAGAGATCGTGCCTGTACATAAATAGTAGTTCTCCTACTATTTATTTAGTATGAATTAAGCAACTTAAATCTTCTCATTTCAATACCACCATGGGCAGCAGTGCGAATTCGGGCCGTGGTTGATCGATGCAGGGCTTAGGAGGATGCTTGGAGAGAGCGCTAGCTGGAAGTCCCAACAGCAGCAGGAAGGTATGTATCGAATTATGGCAATGCACAATGACGGGGTGCGGAGCGAAATGCTTACCATTGTGCTGCCCACCGGCGGTGGTAAGAGCATATTCTTTCTGCTGCCGGCGCTGCTCGAGGAGGACCGCGGACCGGGTGGGCCAATGAACATTGTGGTCGTGCCGTTTGTGGCACTTGCCAAAGACTTAGCCTCAAGAGCGCAGGACTTAGGCATCGACTGCATGCAGTGGCGCAACGACGTCGACGACAACCGCGAGGAGCGACAGCGAGATGCTCGCCTGGCTACTATTCTAGGGGCCAATTTGGTAGTAGATCTTCAGAGCCACAACCAAGGTTTTTCTTTGATTTAGTCACCTTGGGAATTTTAATGCCCAAAGAACATGAAAATGCAATTTTTAAAATGATTAGATCTATATTGCTGTTGTAGTTGCCGTGTCAAACTCGGTAATACGGACCGCTATCGCTAGACCGTGACGATTTCCTCCTTTGGACTAGTACAATTCTTGGTGAGCGTGACGATTTCCTGATTAGGTTAGTTGGGATTCTCTGACGAGAATGATGTAAGGCTACCTCCTTCATTTATGTGAAACCGCACCTCTACAGGCAAATAAGGGGCGGAGGTGTCCTCGAGGAACTGCAGAGTTATCTAAAACTCTATCACAATCCCCAGAGCCTTCTATCTATTTTTTGCCTACCACCCTTTCGAACTTTACAATACTAATTGCTTCGGTAATTAACAGTCGGTCATGTCACTCGTCGAGGAAACAACTGCTCGATTCAAATTTGTTGACCCTCAAGAACACGACCCAGCTGTGGTACGTCGGCGTCGCCTAGAGGCAAAACGGGCACAGGACTACCGGCGATGTCGAAAAGCGAAACAAAACATTCATACCGCAGACCATCAAACTGAGTCGCCGTGTCAAGTTGTTGAGCCAGGGACGGAGACTCGGCAGTCGGGGCCCAGTAGTGCGTCAGACGACATTGAGGAGTTTGGACAAGGTGATATCCCTGCCGAGAACATATCCGTTACATCTAGCCAAGAGGATGGTGACCCCAATGCTATTCGCATTGGGAAGGATACCTATGGCGATGAGACCCCCGTTAACGTTCACTATATTGAAGAGCATGAAGCTCAGACAGAATCTCAAATTCCAGAGTTCTATGCTGAACAGGAAGCGGGTTTTCCCGACGGCAACACCTGGTCTGACGTGGAATATTCCACAGAGAAGTTTATTCAGCAGTTTCTGGTCGGGATCCATGGTTGTGGCACCGAGAAGCATCGAAAAGACCTGGCAACGCATATCGAAGAGGAGGGGGCGCATAACCATTATCGGCTGGATCAACTGTTCCCGCGTAATGTGCCTCACACACTTGATAAAAATTACATCCTGTCCCCTCAAACTAATCACGAGACAATGCGTCTGAGCCCTAGCCAATGGCAAGCTTTGTTCTCTGGTGATACGAACCAACATTTCGATGGTAGACCCAAGCAGGCTTGCCTGCATGCTGAGAGGACTCTTTGCAATGCTCCTGTCATTTCGTTTGACATCGACAGCATCTTAGGCTTCGTGGATTCTCCAGCAGCGGCGGTTCACGGTATTCGATTTTATTCTGCTCCTCAGTATCATCAGAATATTGGCACAGACGTTCACTTGACCCTGGATCGCGTGGATCCAGACTCAGGGCGGCCCCGACTGATTCCGTCACGACTGAAAGATGTACCCCATTTCATCTTCGCCAAGATTGAAGGCGCCGATTTCATTACATTTCACCTGTTCTTTCCGCATTTGCCATGCTACCACGACTTCAATCGGTTAACTGATGAGCAGCTCTCGCGGTGGTTTGATAATATCTTCTATCCCGCTGATGCGCATATATCGCGGAGGTCACATAAAGTGAGGTTGTCATGTAGATGTAGAAAGATGGATGACGAGCTAAGACTACAGTTGAGGACGGGAGCATAAGGTCTCCTTTCTCACATGATGTTACATATAATGCCAGTCTTAAGCACCAGGCCCAAGACCGGTTCATCACGTATCACCCGCTGCCCGTCAAGTCTATGATGTTGATCGACTCCAGCACTTACCGGCAAGTTATCGTCACGCATTAGCTACCTGCCGTGCTCCCCAGGTGGAGGATCGTCTGCTCGAGACCCCTAGCTATCGGGGCCAATTAGAGATGTCCTATTTCCTACCACCGCAAGGTTTGCAGCAACTGTGGGACAATATTCTCGCAGCGATACGCCAACCAGGATCGCAGGACTTTCGCGATCCAGAGCTCTTCGTGGAGGCCAAAGGCACCAAACTTCTATTCAAATATCCCGACGCGCCATCCGATCTGCTTGCAGTCATGGAAAACTTTGATTCCGAACTTCACCGAGTTCTAGACTTCTCCCACGTATGCAGTGATCGGTTCTACATCGACGTGGGCAAAGAGACCTGTCCACCACACAGCGGCCCAGTGGCACGAGATAGCAATGTTTCGTCACACGAAGCTCAGACGTACCTCTGGCGGCGCTGTTGCATCCGCCGCCACCTTAACCAGCTCTACGATGGGAATACTCCAAAGTCTGGTCAAAACTTCTATCATGAGTCAATGCTTCGGGATGCAGGTGGCATGACTACATTGACGCCTCCAAGCTCTCGACTCCGTCGCGGAGGCATCCTATATGGCCAAATGTACAGTCTCACCAAGGAGATCATAGACGCTACTCGCACGTTTCCATTTCAAAACCCGGATCTACGGCACATGGCATTGGACCCTCAGCTCCGTCATGGTGTGCAGAACATTTACGGCAAGCCAACATCGGGACAGAGTATAACAGATCGAGCGTATCTGGCCAGCAAGCGCCGTTGTCATCATGGCCTAACAGATTCTAAGCAACGATCCTTCGGTGTCCGGGAGGAATATCGTATTTCGTGGACCTTGTTCCAAAGCGTCCTAACAGTCCTACGCTCTCTAACCCCGGAAACCCGCTCCATCAAGCTACCAGGGCGTCCACCTTATTTATGGGCAGTTCGCAGTCCTGTTTTTGTTAATTTCGTCTGGCACAACATTAATAAGTTTACGACCGGGTTTGAGCTGGTCCGAGCCCAGTGTTCTACGGGTCTGACGACATGGGAGCAGACCAAAATAATGGACATGTTTCTCCGATGTCTCCGAGTTGCAGTTGGGGGACATGATTACTCCCGAGAAGGGGCGCTATGGTGGAGTAGACGGGACCTGCCACAACCAATAGGCTCGCCACAAGTGCGTTACGGCCTTGGCTTTGGTCAAACATTAGAGCAGTATGGCTACTGCTGGATTGAGCCTCGTATCGACTGGGCTCTGTTGAGGTTCCTTCCGGACATTACCGATTCAGTTTTATTCGGGAATGGCACTCTCCAACAACGATATCTAAAACGCGGTGGCCATGTTAAGCATTTCTTTGACCTCAGTCGCCGTGCTGACTTGGGCCTCGAGTGGCTCCGACGGTATCCTGGGGAAGAAGTTATCATCGATCAAATTGTGTCATGGCTTTGTCACATTTGTCTACGGCAAATGAGGGTTGACGTTCTGCATTCTATTCAGCGTGACCTCCGCCCTGAGGTTCGTACTGCGATCTTGGACGATCATGTCCATTTTTGTCGCAAAGGTCTTTTAGCTGCCTTGATCAATGGTATGACTGCGGTATCAGGTAATCATGCGAATTTCAAGAGCCCTCATGAGGCTGCTCAAGCGTTATTCGGGTTTAATGATGGCCGGCTGCGAGACCATTGGGAAAACAAGCCGTTTCGGAAGCTTCATCAGTGGATATGTGCTACATTGCAGCAGAATCCAGCGGAGCGTAGGCTATCACAGGTATTCGCACGTCGACTTCGATGCTACCTTTTTGCGTACCATTGGGTGTTGCCATACCCTTCGCCAGGAGGGCTAGCGCCGAGGGCCAAAAATGGCATGCGCCGGTGGTTTTCGATAGATATCCAGGGCGAAATCGGACTCACGGTAGAGAACGCTTCTTGGGAAAGCTGGTGCTGGGCGAGAACCCGCTGGCGGCCGGGATACCCTAGTAGTCAATGCTCTTCTCAATTGCAGTAGACTTGATTTTTGTGCCCCACATGACAGGGGGTAGATTTGATTTAAAATGTTGAGGTAGATTTGATTTACCCTCAACCAATCAAAACTGTCCCCAGCACACAACGCGTATTACGTAAGGAACGCGAAGCATTCACGTGTACAGTGGAAGTGAGCAGAGGATTCACTCAGCGAGCTGCAAAATGATTTTCTAGATTTCCTAGATTAGTTTCTTAAGGCTGCACTACTAAGTTTATTATGCCCATTGTGACGGGAACGTCCGGAGTGCTGGACCCATACTAGGATAAACTCCGGCTTCCTTGACCAGCACTAGCCAAGTCACTCTATCAACCACTCGACAATAACCGAGGTTTTCCCATGCCAGAGAGTCGATTGCCATGCCAACGCCGCTATGCCTTTCTCGGCTACTCCCAAGAACTGCCCCTCTTCTTAACATGCAGCTACCCGTCTGCTGATGACTGGGTCAGAGTACCCTTCACACCCAAAATGACGAACGAAACGGAGAACATCGAGTGGTCAGACTACATCGAGGCGTGGCTGGACACTCTTATCCGCCCCAACAAGAAGCGCAAGAATCAACCTCAAGAGTTTCAGACTGCCATCAGGTCTCGGGGCCGCGAAATACCAACACCTTCCCTATCTAATAGGAGCATGTCCATCGCATCTCCAAAACGACGAAAACTTAGCGGCGACGACGACGACAAAGGCAACGACGGCGATGTCTTTTCGAGTCCTCAGCCGGGGACACATTCACAGCTAGACTTTGATATCGACCGAACGCCCACATCGCAGAATTCGCAGCATGCATCGACCGTACCCTTCCGCCTTTCCCGCCCTCCAACTGCACTCCGAGCACCCTCAACGGCTTCGTCTTCGCAAGTTTCGCAGAACTCGAGCCGACGTGGCAACAGCCCTTCCAAACGCCCTCAAAGCCTACGTGCACTCGAAAAGCCGATCGAGTATGTCGCCTTAGAGGACGATGCAGCCGCCCAATTGCCTGCAGATATGCAATCGTTGTATAACCGGATATATGAAATCACGGTAGAACACGACCGGTTCTTGCCACAAAACGCTCGAGAGGACGTTCAATCCATACTTCGTCGAAATATACGGGATGATTGGTTTATGAGTGCCGACGCTGGAGAGGCTAATGCCGACGACGTTGCTCAGAACGAAGGCGAGCAACACGACGCCTCGGCCGAGCTGCAGGCGCTCAAAAAAATTGAGTCAGCTGCTCGCGACAGTATGCGTCTTGGACGATCCGAAGGTGCATGGAACATCGAGGTCCACGGTCCATTGCTTGACCTCGCCCTATCGCGGCATCGATGCGTCATGAAAGAGTACGTGACGACCTCCCAGATTGCTCCAGCATTTATTCCTCCTACAACCGGTGGCGGGAACTTGGTCACTGGCAAGATGGTTGATTTCGTTCTCGTATTGGCACCGGATGATGAACATTCCTCTGTTGCCGACACTAAATTCGCCAACTTGATCCATAGGACTGTTCTGGCTCAGCCGGGGGGTGTGCAGTATATTAACCAGACTCAATACCCCCCCCTCCAATTCCGCCCCATCTCCGTCAGTATCGAGACGAAGGCTTCCGGATCAGCCGAGGAGGGCAAGTTACAGCTTGGAGTATGGTCAGCTGCGTGGCATCAGCGTATGAGAGCCTTGCTCAACTCTGGTGCGACAAAATCGACGGATGGCGAACGCCGCATCATCACACTTCCCTTGCTGCTAGTTGTGGGACACGAGTGGAAGATATTCTTCGCCTGCGACCGAGGGGATCACATAGACATCGTCGGAGATATGTCAATTGGTGATACGAAGAATATCATTGGATTGTACACTGTAATGGCAGTGTTGGCTGAGCTTGCAAGGTGGTCCACATCTGTGTTCGGAGAGTGGATAACTGATGTTTTAACATCTATCGACCTGGACTCCGCCTGAAGGACTGGACAGAAGCATTCGTTAGCCGAAGTGTATACACACAGTCCTTGGGCAATAGAATGGGAGGAGTGGGACGTCGTGCTAGACGGAAGCTAAAAGGTCATGGACTATACTAATTCTCTGTGCATGTCCTCTTCATGATCCTAATAGTCCCATGCCTCCCATCGACCGGACTTCCCGGCCAAGCCATGCACTTGCCTCGATATGCTCAATCTGATCGCCATCATACTAGGGTGCCGCCAAACGACTCTCTCATATCGAAATATGGGGGTTACGGTCCCAGGTGAGTTCAGGGGACAAAACCTCTTAGAATTCAAGCCAAAGTGAGATATATTATAGAGCAAGAAAAATCTAGCCAAATGCACATAGTCCCTGATTTTTCGCTATCTCGTAGAGTGCGCTGGAAAGCAAGTTCGTGCGGAAGCTGGCGGTCGTCGTGGTGCCGGCCTGGTAGCCATTTCCAATTTTTTACCTCGATTTTGTTGGCGTGGTTCAGGCTGAGCTAGATCGGGCGGCAACAAGGTGTACGCAACACTTTTGCAGGAAATACAGACAACTTAATTGCTTTTCAAATAAGTGTTTACCATCACAAGCATGACTGATCCTCGTTCAATTTCCGCTTCACTCTGGGCGACACTGGAATTTTCAAGTAGGGTTAGAGCTTTGGTCTTACCTGTGTTCACTTCCCCCCGCGATCTTGTCTCTAGTGACTACCCAAGTAAATGCGATGTTCGGACGGCCAAAGCGTTTTTGGCGCATGTGTTCCGCGAGTGGCTTGCTTCCTGCCGGATGGCCCAATGGGTTGTTGTTGCCGGCGAGCTCGTGAGCTTCCATTGGGCCAAAAAGTTCTCTTTCCACGCGCTACCCAACCCCCGCGCAGCTTAGCCATAGCCATAAGCGTACGAGAGCCAAGCAGTCAAGACAGATCACATAAAACCATCAAGCGCATGCAAAGCAGTCAATTTGGCGTCTGATTGCAGGCAGGCGATCAGTTTGTGTCCGGGGCACAGGGCTATCTCAATGGCCCTTTCGACACGCAGGCAGATTCAGAGCTGAACGCACGCTAGAGAGCTAAGAAGGACTTGCGTTCAGCTTTGGATGGTCACTTTCAAACGAGACGAGCAAGACGTTATTGCCTAGAAGAACATGCATAAGCAGTGGAGTGGAGACCGCGCGGGAATTGTGGTTGGAGGAGGACGGAGTCAGCGGGGCATTGTAGCAAGTGCGACCCGAATGGATATCACGACCAGATCGGCGTGGAGCGGGCCGATCTTAGAGCCCGGCTGGGTGATCTACGTTATCCCTTTCCCGCGGAAAGAGAAAACTACGTCATTGCATTGTCGGTGTTGGGTGTGATCGAAACCCTCTCTCCAGCCTCGTACGAAACCCACATATGGCTTGTCTGACCGGCTGCAGTCAAGACTCATGAAACCAATGGATTGCGGTATTTTCTCGCCCCAGCATCGCGGGAAATGCATTTTGCCACTGCTGCCTGGCACCCAAGCCAGCACCAACATCAGGAGTGTGATGCACGTTGCTGTCGTACTGTATCTGCACATTACCTTGGCCGTCTGAAAGCGCGCATTGACGTTACATTTGAAGGACGTGTAAGCAATAGTAATGACCAAGAATCCTCTTTGCGTTGTTCAGAACGTGCGTCAAAGCGGATTTTAGGTCCCGGAGTTGGCTGTCGCTTCAGTCAGTCATGTAGCCTGAGTTGCCGGGCTACCTAAATTGCAAGGTGGGGCTCTGACCACAACAGCGTGTCCGCGTTTACAGTTAAAGACGCTCGGGCAAAAGGACTTGCTGTGTGACCGGTTTTGGTCCATTTAATTATGTTATTTCACCCCTCCCGAACACCCGTCCCAACCCGCAGCCCGAAGCCCAACATTGCTAACATTGCTAACATTGCTATATAGTGAAACGGCTCGGAAGTGCACAGCGAATTTTGGCTTAGGTTTGAGAAAACGAATTTTGGATGCGACCAACGGCCAGCACGGCTCCCTACAGCACGTTTGCGGGGCATTGAGAAAGCGAATTTTGGACATGGCCAACCAAGACCAGGATCAAATCGAAGGTCAGGCTGGACTCACCGCGTATCCTGTGGCGTTAATCAGAAAGCGAATTTTGGACGGTGCCAATCAGTGCTCGCATCCTGGCTAGACTCACCACGTATCCTGTGGCGTTGGTCAGACAGAGCTACTTCGTACTGTCGGTGTGTACCACAGAGCTCCGATTGGATATAGGCAACGCCATCCCAATCAATGACCATATCTCAGCAGCCAGACAAGGGTTCGTGCATTGCAAATTTTGGCCCGATGCAAAGTGCACTTTGAATAGTGCACTTTGAGAAGCTGGGCTGTGTCTTTAGGCCTCAGGCTCCAGCGTGCGACCATCATCATAAAGAGCTGACTCCTGCTCGCATATCTCGGACCCAGCAGCTTCAGACAAGACTCAGCACAAGCTTCTATCTCTGGATATTTACCTTTTCTCTCGTTGGAGTGGTAGCATCTGTTTTATTTCTTCAGATAAACTGCTCTTCTACTCCTTCACGTCTTCATCCCACCTCAATCTCACCATGTCGCGGGCGCCAAGAATCCCCGCTCCAGAGTGGGATCGTCACAAAGACCACATACATGACGTGTATGTTGTGCAAGGCAAGACACTAGAAGAGCTGATCAGTTTCATGGCAAAGGATCATGGCTTTGAACCCACGTAAGTCATTCATGCGCTCCTTTTTGCTCCTGCAAGCCTGGCTATTCACTTTGATTCGAGATATTGATCTGCCAATAATTAGCAAGGCACAATATGTGCGCAAGCTGGATGGTTGGAACATGAGGAAGAACTTCAAGAAAGAAGAGTGGGAGCATGCCGACGCCTTGGTCCGGAAGCGAAAAGCGGCTGGAAAGGATACTGAGCTCGTCATAAGCGGAAGGGTCATCGAGGGCAAGAAACGGAGGAAGGCGCTCAACAGATACGCCGTCCTTCCAACATTCTTCCAGGCAGCTTCAAGTAAGTTGTGCGAGAGCTCTAATAATTATCAAGGACTAACCTTCTCCAAGCCAAGTTTGAGACCGGCCACGACGAGGTCACAGCCAGAACCCCGCCCTCGACTGGAGGAGACCCATTCATCATGTACAACAACCTGCCCTGGTTTCAATTTCAGGACCACGTAACAAAACTGGGTACTTAGTCTCATATCTTGAATACTCCGTGTCCCAGAGCTAACCTCATACCATATAGCGATCTCTAGCATGCCATCTGGCATACTCATACCAACCTCGGTCGAGCTTGCTACTTCTCTGACCAAAAACGTCTTCGGAATTTCCGTGGAACAGGACATGGGGGACACAAGAGCTCTTAGCGACTTGTCCTGTCTATTAGAGGAGAAGGTGCCCAAAAGGCGGGGCGACAACTTCAACTGCCATATCGAGAGGTTATCCCAACCCCAACCGCTGCTCCAGGTCCTCCAGTGGGCCGTCTTTCTCTCTTCCAATGGGCTTCTCCCCAACGAAGAAACGGATGCCCTGTTGAGATGGGTCACTGCGGGTGGGCACAGCCTGGCCATGGAGCAGATTCTCCGAGTGGGGGGACCTACAACTCTGATTTTTGCATCCAATCTCCTATTGAGCGCCATCAGGATTGGCAATGAAACCTTTGTCGAGATGCTCCTCGACCAAGGCATTAGCCCAAACAGCGCGGATTCTACCTTCACCGCGAGAACTGCTCTTCAAACTGCAGTAATTTCTGCAAATTCTGGAATAGTTCAGCTACTTCTTGATCGTGGGGCTGATGTTAACGGCACTATTCCTGGGCCATTAGAATATATCCCCCCCCTCAACCTCTTCCTTGCGCATAAAAATCGACCTCTCCAGATTCTCAAGATATTGATCAAGGCTGGCGCAGATGTTAATCACATCAAGGCAGGTTACCTTTCCGCGCTTCAAGCAGCTGTTTCACATGTGGACCCAGACGCGGTTACTGTCTTACTTGAAGCTGGAGCCGACGTCAATATGCCGCTTGGAGAAAAGTACAAGGTGATATGTACTCAGACCTGGGAAAAGTACACAGTTCCCGGAAATAAGATCTCATTGCCCACCCTCTGCACCCCACTTAGCCTTGCAGCTTCATGTGGGAACAAGGAAATAGCTCGGCTTTTACTAGAGGCTGATGCGGATATCGACGGATTGTGGTTTAGCGAAGCGACTGTCTACGAAAACTTGCACATGTTTGGCTCTGTGGAGGCAACTAACGCATACTTGGGCACCGAAACACCGCTACAGTTATCAGTGCGATTTGGCCACCTAGCCATGATTCGGTTTCTCTTGGACGCTGGTGCCAATCCTAATGCTGTCAGCATATCTGGTTCAACCGCACTTCAAAGTATCTTTGCGGGGGGTGTGCGCAAGCCTATGCTGCAGAAGGTGGCGCATTTGCTCTTGAGCCGAGGGGCTACTGTTAATATCCCCGCGAGCAGGAATCTCGCCGGGATGACGCCTATCCAAGAAGCCGCTAGATGGGGGGACATTGGGTCAGTCGGTCTCTTTGTGGACAATGGTGCTGATCTGAATGTTGCTCCTTATCATCTAGGAGGGCGAACAGCCTTACAGGCTGCAGCCGAGTCTGGGAACGTAGACCTAGTCACTCTCCTTATCAAAAGCGGTGGGGCCATCAACGCTGATGCTGCCGCGTATAATGGTCTCACGTGTCTCCAGGCTGCAGCTTCGTCGGGTAACCTGGCACTGGTCAACATACTGCTCCAACTGGGTGCCGATGTCAATGCCCCAGCATCACTAGGGAGTGGACTAACATCCCTCCAGGCCGCTGTCAAAAGAGGTGATGTAGGGATGGTCGAAAGACTACTGGATGCTGGCGCAGATGTCAACCAGATCATCAACGGTCAAACGGCACTCTGTTCGGCCATCGGGAATTGCCACTACGACGGCTACAGCAACGACACCTACAGCAACGTCAACAACGAGAGTATCTACAACCTACTAATGGAAAACGGTGCCAACCCGGATCCTATAAATGTTGAAACAACACCCTTGGCCATTGCGGCCAGTAATGGTCAGTTCCATCTTGTGGGTCGGCTTCTAGACGCCGGGGCGGACGTCAACAGACCCTCACTCAACCCGTTGAGAATACCCAACATGGCCCCAGGTCTGACTCCCCCACAAACACCTCTCGCCATCGCAGTTGCACACAGACATGAAGATGTGGTAAACCTCCTGATAAACTCGGGAGCTGGTTTAAATCACGTCGCGCATGTTGATGGAGCAAATCCTCTTCACTATGCGTTTAACAATGACAAGTTTTCGCGTGGAATCACAGAATCACTAATCCGCAGCTCCGCTGACCCCAACAAGCCGTCAGCAACCGGGGTGTTTCCAATCCACTTGGCAGCTAAATGCTTAAGCAGTGAAGATGCGGAAGCGGCAATAAAGATACTCATTGACGCTGAGGCTGACGTACACTCCCAATCGTGGGCTACAACAGCACTTCAGATATCCGTTAAAAGGGGTCACGAGCGCGTTGTTAAGATGTTGCTAGACGCTGGGGCTGACGTAAACACCCAATCGCGAGTTGCAACAGCACTTCAGAGAGCCGTTGAAAAGGGTCACAAGAGCCTTGTTGAGATGTTGCTTGACGCTGGGGCAGACATCAACGCACCCGCAGCACCGAGTTGGGGTACTACAGCCTTACAAGCTGCAGCCAAGAGAAACGATCTTCATCTCGTGCGAGACCTCATATCTCGTGGCGCCGATGTTAATGCTCCACCAGCCATCGAGATCGGCGCAACAGCATTACAGCTCGCAGCTATACATGGGAACATCAACATGGCTATCTTGCTCCTTGAGAATGGGGCAGACGTCAACGCCGAACCAGCGGCTAAAGAAGGACGGACGTCGCTTCAGGGGGCCGCTGAACGTGGTCGTCTGGATATGGTTTACCTATTGCTGGAGAATGATAAGGAAATGGAATCAATCGAGGAGCGGTGTCAGGAGGCGGCAAGGTTTGCGGACTCAAATCATCATCCAATACTTGCTAAGGTCCTTCGAGAATGGAAAAGGCCATGAGGAGATGCACATGGTCGTTTTGTCTTGGGAAGCAAAGTGTAGCCATACGGTGTGGGCATTCCTTTATTGAACAGAGTATACAGTATAGACAAGAATGATCTGCTCTTTCCATTTGAATTTACGAATAGTCGCGGTTTCCTTAAACCTGGTTCTTGGCGGCAATTCCAAGCTGTGAGAACAGGCTTTTCTCACAAGTTACCATCAGTATTGACAAGCGAGAGCAGCTTTTATTCCACGGCAGGATACTTGACATGGCGACGATGAAGAAGAAACTAAATCGTGCGGGTACATAGATAGCTGCCCGAAACGCTCACTCCACCGGCAACGCTTTAAATATGTACTTCACACACCCTGCCATAATCTCTCCACCGACACCACCATTGTTACAATTCTTAAAATTGTTTTCGAATAGAGAATCACATCTCGCATCGCTATTTTCACTGAGTGGCTTCCATGCATTGGCATCGTCCATCCTTTTCTCCTCCAACTCACAGGAATCATCCCACCCTGCCTCGAAGTAGTACTTGATTCCGCCCTTCGTGAATTCGTGGTGAAGAACTGAATCCTTGTCTCCCTTGAATATTCTGTAGCCTTTTACATTTTTGCACGCCTTCTTACTGAATGACCGAACACGAGCGGGAGCCACGTCTTTGTGCTTGCCGAATTGGTCGGGCTTGTAGCATTTCTGTGAGGGAACGATCATGTGACTTTCATACTTTATGAATAGTCTTACTTTATGAATGTTGTATAAATAGCTTTAAGTCAGAGCTTTCCTTAGGAATCTCTTTCTCTCCTTGTAAACAATCATTTTGCCCAAGTCGCACTCGACCTCGTTCGTGCTCTTGTCCCGTCACAATTTCTGCTCTCCGAGAGTCCAAGGGTGCTTCTTCTCGCGGATCCTGTACGAGTACATGCCGCAACCAACATTGTAGCTAGCCGTGGTTGACATTTTTCTCATGCCACCTGTTAGTTAAGTCAGCGGATTGGTTGATCGTCAAGGACAGGCATAAGGATGGGAAACTTACTTCCTTTGTGTCCGCAAGTTGACGCGCCAAAATATTCCATGACCCCATCGCACGACAATTCACATTCACTTGCGCTGGAATCCCCATTTGGCTCCCAAAGAAGGTCGACCCTGTAGCCTTCGTACAGACTTGGATCCGGCGGTGGCGATCGCTTGAGCCACCGGATGGGCTTCGCCTTGCCGGAAGGGTCGATAGTGAACTCAAGCTTTTTGTCAGGGGTGACGTTCTGACAGAAACGGCTATAAAAGTTTCCAGCTGGTCCATTCCAGACGTTGGATGGAAGCGGGCTCCAGTCGTTGTCTGCACACTGTGGTCCGGAAGCTTTGGACCTAGCATTTCTGATCTCATAACCTGCTCGCCACAATCCAGTTTTATACTTCCGGAGCGAGCTCGAGTGTGAGAGCCATAATGGCCTATTCGATTGTAAGATATTGGGCATAGACCGGGTGCTAAGGATAGGAAGCAAGGCGGGAAGGGATGCCATACATGATGTGCTAGAAAAACCATCATTAAAGATTTGAGTGCAGGCGTTTTTGCATTCAACACCTTCGTTCTTTTTCAAGTAAAACTCGAAAACATCATCACCATAGCCTGAGGCAAAGACGTCTTCAGGAGTGTATTCAACACTGAAATCTTTGTCCAGTTTGTAGTGCTTCGTATCAGTACAAAGCTTCTGAACCAAGCTATCAGTCGATTAGCACAGTCACTTCTATAGACCAATGAACTTACTTGAACTAAGTGCTGCTCTCCATGTTCTCATTCAACTTTCCGCATTCTCCATAACTGGGTAGCTTTGGGGGCATTGGTACGCGATTGGACGGCATGTTGTCGGCCAAAAATTTCATCGCTTGATCCTCCTTTTTGCCTACTTCTAGCGAGAGGACTACACTCTCAATCACACACCCACAGCCTTCATATTTTCCACTCTGATTCTATTAGTAAATTCCATGATACTCGGGGTAAAGGGTAAATACTACCTTGCAAACAAATTCAGTGTCATCCTTCAGTGGTAGGTCGAGCTCGCAATCATCCTTGGTACAAATCAAGTCTGTCTTGCTAGGATTCGCACAAGAACTTGTAGAAGTAGTTTTCGTAGACGTGGTTTTCGTCTCAGTCACGGTCTGAATGGAGTTGGAAGGGATGTGTACTCCAGTGACGACAACTTTCTCCCCCTCTTTAGCAGCCGCCTTGTCGGCATTGAAGACATGAAAGATGTAGCTGAGGAAGCCAAGGCCCAAGGCACCGGTGAGCGGTCCGGCGCTTGCTTGAAGAAGAGTTAGCTCCTCTTCACTCATAAGACTAAGCGCCACACTCTCAACAGCATCTGAGTCGCCAAGATCTTACGTCTCCGGAGCCTGAGCCCAAATCGGGCACAAGTTCGAGCTGCAGAACCTCCTTGACCGCAGGATGGTCAGGAGAGGCTCTGAATACCTGATCCGTCATCCGTCATCCGTCATCAGTGTTGTAAGTGCGGCGTGGGTTGGTGTGTGTCGTGAGAAACTTGGCGAAATTTCGAGAGCGATGGAAATCATATACTTAAATGCGCGTAAAATGCACCACAACTCTTTTCCAAGTAAAAGCTATATCAATCAATAGAGAAAGTCGCAAAACACTTTAAACATGATGAAACATCTTTTTGCAATTATATTTCAACATTTTACGCCCGATCAAAGACGCAAAATCAGGTGCAATTCTCAAGTGGCGCTCCAAAAACACCAGCAATCCCTGGTCAGCGGCGTCAGACCCCTGGTTGCATTTGACCAATACGAGCCAGGCATGGCGTCTACAGTATCCTTGTCATATTTCAGAGCCAATGAAAATCAGGGATGGAGTCTACAGGAGAGGCAAGCCGGTCGCGGCTTGCGCATAGAGCCTTGAGGAACGAAGATGGCTATGGCGGTTTTCAAGGTGCTTTTACAGCATTGGCCAAGAGCCTGCTAAGGCACGGGAGAACCTTTGGGTGGTGTTTCATGCGGCCGGAATTGGTGAATGGGTGGTGTAGGGTATCATGGTGGCGCATTTGGCACGCCATCTATGCGCTGCAACGTCGCAATAAAAAAACAAGATAACGCTGACACGTCAGAAGGCTACGCGCAGGGGGGCGAAATTAGATCTGCCTCCACATCTGCGCTAGTTTCACGTGCCACCAAATCACCATAGTAATGAGAACTCACTCTGATCTAGCCCAAGGGTGCTGATATTGCTGTCAAAGCCGGCTTTTCGCCTCAACTGTGCAAAATGAACATTTTGTAGGAAATAGGCGAAATCGCCGTCAATTGAGGTGCCTTATCTAACGCGGAACTATCGCCTGTTGCGCCCTTCGAGCTGCATCTCTCTCTCGTGCCTCCTTGGTCGGTGACGGCCGTCCTCTCAGTTGTTCAAAGTCGAATGCGGCATCAAAAAGGATGCCCTCGATCGTAGTCACTCGTGAGATCGCCACGTAATCCAAGCCGGCTTGGAAGCTCTTCGTGGAGAGGTCGGCTACGGCTCGGTCGACGGTCATCCCCTGCGACTTGTGCACAGTGATGCTGTACGCAACGGTTATAGGGAACTGCGACCGTGTGCATGATATATTGCCGATGAGGAAGTCTCTCGTCGATCGGAAGACTGGTACGACGTTTGCAAGGCTCGGATCTTCGAAGTATGGCGGCCCGGTATATCGATCGAAGCGGATGAGGAGGAGGAACGGGGACTCTGAGCGAGGGTCAGCTACATCGTGTTTCCAAGCGATATCATAGACATCTCCCAAAGCCCCGTTGACGAGGCCACAGGTCGTCCACAGATTCTCGGTCAACATGACCCAGGCTCCAATGCATAAGGCGAGAATCTGCTGTAGGCTGCCGGCCGTATTCATCTCAGCTTTCTCAGCACCAAGTCCGGTATTGGTCGCCGTGATACTGACGCAGGGAACTTGCAGTCTCTCCATGTGCTGGTCGTTGTAGTCGCGGACCTGCTTATTAGTCTTATAAATGCGGATCGCATCATCAAAAGATGCCACTTCTCGCATAGAAAGAGCAATCGGTCGAGGAGGGAAGAAACGGTCGGTCGAGAACGGAAGGAACGGTCGAAAGCAGGAGCGGTTAGTCGAGGAAGGAAGCGGCGAGGGAGGAAGCGAAGGTAGGAACGTTCGGTCGAAGGAGGAGGAAAGGAGCGGTCTCAGGAGACTGACCTGATGTTAGCAAATGTGTTCAAAGTGAATTCGATGACGGCAAGAGATCCGATCAAGCTGAGAAGTGTTGGAATCGTTTGGCCTTATGGCCGCAAAGAGGGAAGCAATGACCGTGATGTTGAACTCGCTGCGTTGCATGCACGCGAATAGCTTGACCGGCATGCGGTTCTGAAATCAGAAGGCGGTCAGGTTCTGCCGGCTTTAGCTTTATACGGAAGGCGGTGAGAGGAGTGGCAGAATTCTGACCACTCCCCATTCAGGATTTGCCGTTGTGGCTAGTGATTGTGGTGGCGCAGTGCTTACGTAAAGGTCCGGCAAGCTGACTTCACCTTAGGCAAGCTCCGCAGGGTTCTCTTAAACCCGCTGCGCTTACGGAGGGCCCTTTCAAAAGTCTTGTCCTGGCGCTAGTTCAAAATGGGAAATCTGGCGGCTGTGGCTGGGCCAAGTACGTCAAGTACTTCCTCTGGGATCTTATCCACTAAAGGCTGCTAATTTTATAGCAGCTTGCACTCACTGTGTGACGTGGTGGTCCCCCTAAAGCCCCTAAAGTTGTAGGGGATATAGCAGCTAACCTACTGGGGCTGGGTTCTGCACCTTGTACCTCAGGTAGCCGACAAGGATTGAGGGATGTGGCGCATTTAGCGTTGGACAAGACTTTTGAAAGGGCCCTCCGTAATAAAACAGCAATTTTGACCTCCATGCAGAACACCCCAATTCTTTATCAAATTCAGTAAAACTTTGCAGGTATATTTAAAATAAAGCAGGAATACCATCATGGTTTTTGGAACATTTGTATATTTTTCTTAGGGCGGTTATTCTCATTTTGGTGCTAAAAAGCCATTTCGCACTGTGCGTTTTCCAGTGACTCTATAGCGCAAGTACATACGAAGATTTTCGAACACAGAATGATATCAATACCTTGTAATGAGTTCATCTTTTCAGTGTCAGAGAATTTGATAAAGAATTGGGGGATTTTGCAAGGGGGTTAAAATTGCTGTTTTATATGGGATTTGGAGGTGTCCAGCTCACTTGTCTGTCCAGCTCGCTTATCATGCACGTTACGTACTGTTAAATCTCGATAAAATCGAAACTCTACCTTACTGAACTAACTGACCCTCCTCATTTCCCAGTACAAAGAAATTTTTCAGGGTCGAGGCTGTGTGGTTGGACTTAACGCGACCGCAGTCACTAGACAGGTTGACCCTGCTAGGTAGTCTCGTTCGTTTCCTGCTCAGTCGGAAGATGGCGACGCGATCAGGGACATCATACATGGGATACAGCTCTGGCTTCGGGGGGAGAAACAGAACGCGGTCAAAGAAGGCAAACAAGGTGGGAAGGCAAACTCCTCTAGGCGAGGTGCAGCGAAACGATCAAGATGAAGGCAAAAAGCACACTGACAGGTACCGTGATTGCGCAGACTCTCGTCACCACCAAGCGGCGCCCATCGTGACTTGGTCTCCTTCCTGCTTGGGCTGTTGCGACTTGTCAGAAAGAGCGGCTTGGGTTTGTCGGACATCACAATCTTGAACACCATGGCCTCCAAAGCAACAAACCAACCTTTCCGTGCTAGATTTGTTATCAACACATCGATGAGCCATGTCACGGCGGCCACCGTCCCCCCATCCCGCCCCACCTACCCGTCGTGGCCAAGCAGCCAACATTGAGGGGCAGGAGCTGTCGTCTTCCTGCTGTAGGGTCGGCGTGTCTACCAAGTAAATCATCTTGTCAGGATTTTCGTGAGAGAATAGGTGAGAATGCTAGTGAACACTAGGCATTCCATAATCCATGTTCACGATACGAGCATTGAGGAACACGGAGTGTTCATGTGGGAGGTGTAGGGTAGCTTGAAGGTATGAAAATAAAACCTTAATTTTTAATTTTCCTTTGTTAATTAATTCAGTTGCATGCTGTTGATAAAAAAAAGCATTCCCACAGTATTGAGCACACCCATTCCCACATTTGAGGCCCCCTTCGCAAGGCAAACATGTGGGCTCAGCCATGGGCTCAGCCTCACATTTGTCAGTGAGAGGTCAAAAACTGAAAACACACTCGCGGTGAAGAAGACATGTGTAAATCGTCCAGTTGCCGAGTCATCGTGATTCGCGGATTAAGGAATGAGGCGAAAGAGGCAAACGAGGCAGCACTTATTTGACTGGTTGTCGGGGACATGGCGAACAACCAATGCGGCTCGCATTTATAAGTTGCTGCCCGATATGCACGCGCTCCGCCCTGCAACCACCTCGGCTGGATATTTTGATCACGAGAACTTCAAAGACCTATGATCTTCCCATGCTTTGGTGGAAGGCGACGGCAGCTCAGCCCGGATGCAATCCTGTCGAGTTGTGCGCTGCCACGTTGCGTATCAACCCGAAATGAGCCGAACAAAAGGTGGTGTTTTGGCCCTCGGTCGGGCAGCATAGCATTGCCTCATTTGCCTGCAAAAGCAGATTGATCCTTGGCGCGTCTCCTCGTTGGTGAAACACGGTGACGGCTTCCGAAACACAATAAATAGTATCCATAGCCCATGCATTCCTTAATTATGGGCGGCAACACCAAATTTCGCATCGTCAACGTGGAGTACTCCACTTGATTCCCTGCTCTCTTTCCAGACACCTCACTACAAGTGGTGGAGCACTTGACTCTTTCATCTCAACAATCGACATGACCGGCTCAGGCAGCTAGCCCACCGAAAAGGCAGAAAAGAAACCATGCCCCAGCAACATGACTCGTCTGAAGGCGATGGGAAGATAAGTTCGTTTTGGGATCTAAGATTCAATTCTCAAGGGTCTATGACCTGGGAAAGTGAAAACAAGACATCCCGCGAAATATGCAGGGAAGTCGGATCAGCAGGCTTGGTCGAGTTCTTCATGACCAAGTCTGAGAACACCAACCGACTTGCGCTCGAGGTAGAGGTAGTTATGAATTTCTGTCCAGAACATATCCTGGAAGAGTTAGAGTCTGCCTGTCCACTGGCTACGGTGAAGAATGTCTCACTCCTCGATGACCGGACGAATGACGACACCGACAGGCCCTCAATTTCCCGAGGGTATCTTGGACCTCTCAATGCATATAAACTCTACCTGGAGTTGCAAAAGAGGGTAAAGCTTCCATCTGGATCTCATAGACACATATTCGCTAACGCCACATAGCGATTCCGATGCCAGAAATCCGATACCCAGACTGGGTCAGACGGGACGCAGCTACAGCCAGATGCCGATCGTCGTCTGATGTAAGAAAGCTTCTCGCTGTTAGTTACTACGTTCTCACGCTACGTTGATTCAGATTCGTTACAAACCTGGACCCTTGGACGATGATGGCCATCATGGCAACAGCATCACTCCATCAAGTCGGGGCATTAGGAACAAGTTTCTACCGGCACTTGGCCTTTGAAAGCTTCATTGGCAGCCACTGTCCAGTAAGATACTCAATATCCATATAGATAATAACCACCTAGACCTCATATATTTATAGTCTAATGGACTTTCAACATTCTTCCAAACATTTCGACTGGCTTTTGATCTGCCATACTATGTGTTTAGACGGGCGGCACGCCGTAAACCACCACAAGACCACCGAGGCAGAGGCCCCAACGCCACTCACAGAGAGGCTACAGACTTATCTTTCCTTACAAGGATACCGGCTGGATCCCCGCCTCGTTTCGAGCTCGAATACCTTTGCCAAGCCCAAGTATCTGTACTGATTACAGGATCTGATCCTTGGAGATGGGTTGCGTACTGCTTTGTCGACAACTACTTTGACCAAGAGGATACTGGGGACAGCCCCGACGTCTATGACGAGGACAGAGAAGTCGACGAGGATACGGGTGTCTGTCATATCCAACCCGACCCTCTCACAGCCGGAGGTCTGGACGCCAATTTTCCAATCAAAGGTCCGCGCGAATACTTTTTAGCTGTTTTACAGGCACGGCTGCGAGATATCAGGGTCGAATGGCAGAAGTTAGTGAGCGAACTGGAAACGCTGATTGGTAAATATGTAGGAGAGATTCCTCTCACTCCATCGTCTTACGGCGTGGTGTTGACAACCCCGCAGATTCAGCCTGGTCCCATCCAGACGACGACAACAACGCATCATGCCTCACCCAATTGCCATGATATCCCCACCATCATGAATTCCCATGTATGGGCTGACCAGACCACGGCGCTTCTTAGAAAGCTAGCCCAGAACCTCAAAATGACAATCAAGCAGTTGGAGTCTTTTGAAGCTGACAAAGTATTTTCAACAGTCGCTGAGCGAGCAGCCATCAGCTACATCCCCACCATCCGCGAGATCACGGAAGACTTTAGGAAGTACCAACAAAAATTGGAATTTCTCACCGATGACTGCGATTACTATCAGAAGAGGGTAAGACACGAAGTTGATTATAAGATCGTAAGCTAACCATTGTCGAATAGCTCACATTCCAACTGAGCTACGTGGGGGCGAATGATGCGAAAGCCCAAGCCATCATGGCAGCTTACGGGCAAACGATGACATTCGTAATGCTGTTTGTAAGTAAAATCGCTATGGTCTCATAGGCATATAAATGCTCATTGCGTTATCTTCGTTCAGTTCTTCACACCCATCGCACTCGCCGCTAGTGTGTTATCGATGCAGCCAAAAGTTATACCCGCCCCGCTGAGACTAGATGGCACGTCGTTCATCATCTTGGTCATCATCTTCATGGTGTTGATATGGTCTGCCGTGGGCGTACGGCTGAACTGGGAGCGAATCACGCAGAGCTTGAGACGTATTCTCAAACCAGATCCAGACCGTAGGGATCTAGAATATCAGGAAGATTGAAAAGGAAGTAGATATCGCAAAAGAATAAAAATGTGTTATAGTTTGTGATTGGGTTTGGCACTAATCGGTTCAGAACTTTCGATGTTCCTATTAAATTGATACATCAAGAAAAGGGGAGCCGATTAGCTGGGTCAAAAGTGAACTGTATTGTGCGTTGATTAAGGTGGTGATAATATTCTATAGTGTTGTGGCTACGCGTGCGCGCCTAATAGCCGTGGGGCCTTCACTGGTCTTCCCGCATCATAAATCCTCCTGATTGTAGATCAATTTATATAAACGCCTTGCCTGGTCCTGCGGCCAGCCCGCTAAATCATCGAGTACTGTAAGTGAAAGAAAATGATAGCTTTTTTTCTCTTTTGGCTTCTCCTAGAAAGACAAAGGAAGAATGTTAATGTTAGGGAAATATGCCGTGCGCTCGAACGGCCCTTAGTGTTCCACGTGGGTGGGAGACTAAGCGGTAGAGTGATAAGGCGCATTGGATACTGAAGGGGAGTGTTGCAAGAGTGAGCGTCGGGGGAGGGAGTGGCAGAGGACCGGGAGTCGAGGGAGGCGGACGGAACGGAGCGGTAGCTGGGCAACCGTGCAAGGCCAGGTAGCAGATATTGCTGGGAAAAAAGACCCGGTCCCAGTATCGTTATATGTTGTGCGGTGAATGCCAATGCTGTCGACATGGAACTCGTTTCCGTCACTGACATCCACTGCAAAGCCTCTCCCAATACAACGATGCAGAAGACGAAACAGGTCGCAAGATAGAAAAGGTAAATCTGTGGTCGGGAACGGACATGGTCCGCGCCAGTGTTGGTAAACTTTTCGTCCTCATCACTTGACGATAACTTTTTCGAGTTTACAGTAGGAGCATCTGGGGGTCCCGCAAGCTGGGCAACGGTCGACAGAGACTTTTTGGCCGCCGGTGGAGCACACGCAGCAAGTCCAAATGAACGTGGTTCGTTTTCGTGGTCCCTAGCCAGCAAATTTTGAGTATTCAATCGCAACGCGAACAGACGCGGATGACACCTACATGTTCTGTGAAAGGTGGTCCTGGACCATCGATGAGGCAATCCTCGGTCTCGTCATGGGCTATGATGGAGGTCTCTGATAGCTATCATGACGATTAGCCTATGTTCGCAGAATCCCCCTTGTATTTCCGGATACAGGCCGCCGAGGCCGATGCCGATTTTCTTCATCCCATTCAGCTTACCAATTGAGACATTGGCTAGGGATGAGAGCGCACTGCGCCCTATCCAAGCATGCGCCGTGTTGTCGAATTGGATCGATCGATCACCTCGATATCACCAGATAGGCTCATGAGCTGAAACTTGGGACAGAATCATCGATGATCCCACGATCTAACGTGTCGTCGCGGTCGCGGTCGCGGAAGTTCGGAGACGAGAGCTGGAGGATCGGCGAAGACGGAAGGAGTGTAGAGAGAAGGGAGGGCTGGTGAGGAGGGCCAAACACGAGCCCATCATGGTCGGAACAGTAGCAAGCCGTGGTGCGTGAATCTCGGAGGGACAAAGATCGGGAAACACAAAGATCGAGAGGGACAGAGAACGGTAAAGACGGAAAGTACTGCAACAAAAAAAGTAGGGCCGCAAATGATTTGCGTTGGAAAGGGGTAACTGAGCGACCACGGGCCAAAGGACACCCCGTGCCAACATTGCAATGTAGCAAGTACTTTGTACTCTCTACTTTGTACCAGGGTTGCCATGGCTCGCTTCAAGGTATGGATAATTACTCAATACTCAGCTCTCTCGGTCCGTTAAAATTCCACAGTGCGCCACAGCCAAGAAAAAGCAATCCCCTAAACAGTGGTCAGCTCAATTTAGTTTCATGGCGCTATTGAAAACAAACTTGGACTCGCTGAACAGCCAGCTTTCACACGGTGGTTTACAGTCCTGTGACGGTACAAGAGAACGAACGAGGTCGGGTGCGACTTGGGTAAAATGATTGTTTACAAGGAGAGAAAGAGATTCCTAAGGAAAGCTCTGACTTAAGCTATTTACACAATATTCATAAAGTGGGACTATTCATAAAGTATGAAAGTCACATGATCGTTCCCTCACAAGTCCGCTCTGGGGTACGCGTGGCCCTGCTGCCATTGCCATTGGCCCACCTGAAAGAAACAACAGACTATCATACATTGGTACCTGGTGCTACCCCAGATGATTCGTCTGGAATTTGAAATTTTATTTAGGGCGTCATTATCACGCACCTAACCTGGTGTAATAAATGGCACTTAAAATGTAGCTGAACCACAACATACAGCTTCAATGCAGCAGCTCATGTCACGGGCCAGATGAGATCAACTCAAGAGGTAATGCCACTGTATTGCGAGAATACTACGATGGAGAGGAAAGAGAGAAAGCGGGCAGGCGCGTAGACGCGTAGACGCGTTGATAGTCCCTGTGGCCTGCCCCGTGCGCCCTAGTTACATATCGACCCCACCCTGGGTCCAGCTCTCCGGACGTTCCCGTCACATCTCACTTCGCTCAGTTCGAATCTTAAGGCCTTCCCTCCGGAGATGCACCTCATGTTGCCGATCCGCCAGCGCAAGCGCCGTCCTAGTGGAAAGGATTTTAATAAAAATCTGTAGCTAAGCCTTCTCTGAAATGAAGGAGTCACTGCTGTCTAGGTCACTGTGCTTCCATGGGCTTGTTGAAGTAGTTAGTGGGGTTCAGCTACATTTTAGGTGCTTTTAGGTACATCGGGTTCGGTGCTTGATATGTCCGCCCTTTATTTACCGGGCAGGCAAGCCGCATACCAAACACCAACGGGTAACAAATAGGCTACTTTCCGTTAGCATCGTAAGGCAAGCCGCCTTTGTACTTCGTACATTTGTACAAACTTCGCCCACCTCACGTTAGCGGGTGTCTGGGCTCAAACCTGCTCACTTCAGGATCAAATTCAAGGTAAAGCTGAGCACAGACAGCACCATGACATCTCGAGAAACTGTACAGTCTTGAGTACTCCCAACAGCTCGTATCGCTAATTATGCAGTGAAGGTTTACAGGGTTTTTAGTAGAAATGTGGTCACGCTAAACTTGTTGGCGGACTGCTTAAGATGGACATTTTCAGGACGAAGACCAGTCCAAGCGGAACAAGTCCGACTGGACAACTGCAGAAAATTGACTCGAAAGTAAAGGCGCGAGATTATTTTGCATTTTCTCGCGATGTTGATGAGACTTAGGTGCCGATCGTGATGTCATTGTCAGCTGCTTTTGAGAAGTGCCGTGAAATCGAGCCACAAGCCACAACGTGGAGGGAATCACGATGTAACCCTTTCGGCGGGCTCCCCGAGGCGTTTACACCATCACGACTGACTCTTTGAGACTCAACACAATTGACTCGTGTGCCCTGCTCAATTGTTTGGACTTGCTGCAAGCCCAACAACTCTTGTTTGCATTGAATTTACCCACCGATCTCAGCCGAGCAACGGTCAATTCACCAAGAATGAATCCGGCTTGATGGCGGTCGCTTCTCATCCCACCAAGGTACGAAGCCTCCCGTTTTAATTGGATATTACTGCAGGGGTTTCAGGCTGGAGCAAGCATTGCCGCCCAGATGTGGACTTATCTGTTGGGGGTGACAAGGCACTCCGCATCCCCAGCGTCAAATATGGCAGAGATTATGAAGCCTAATGCGGATAAGCCGAGTCCCAAAACGCATAAGGGCTGAAAAAAGGAATCCTACCATCTCGAAAAGGCGCTTGAACTCATTTCAGGCCTCTAACACAATCAATGCCATGCTCCTTAACCTTGCCGGTGCCGTAGAGCCTAGAATGAGGACGGAAGAGCAAAAGGCCTTCATCTCCTAAAACTTCTCAATGAATACAGGTTTGGCTCCATAACACCTGTGAGCGTGGTCAGAGACGTGATGTAAAGGAATGACACTGAACACTTCGCGTAGGAGGCGTGAGCATTTATTGTGAGAGAGATGACAGTGATATTGCTGTGAGTAGATCACCAAGAAACAAAGTCGGAGGAGACAAGCTCGGACCTGATTAAAAGCCAGCTAGAAGGGCCGCAATGAAACAGTAGAACGTTGTGTGGTGCGTAATAGATAACCCGTGATGATGGCAGAGAGTCTAGACCAGTGGTTGTTACCTAGATGTTGTTACGTTCGAGCCCAAGTTGCACGAGAGCCCACATGACCAGGGCACACGCCGCGGGGCCGATTAATACCGGGCGAAGGGGCGATGATGGTTACCGCATCACATTTGAGTGGCGACTATTGTGGCATTCTACAACGGTGGGCGTTGCAGCAATAACGCGATCACTCTCACAAAGTGGAAGAATATGATGACAAGAGGTGTTTTGTTGCCCCCTTGACGTTCCAAGAGCAGCATCAAGAGGCCACACACTTGACGGAAGCGTGACACAATCAACCAATATATGAAGACGAAGCGCAATTGAGTAGTACGGTAGTTGGTGTGTCACGTTGCGAAACGGTTAGGCTGTGTACTATCAAGCCGTCGGTGATGCGGTGACAGGGACAACACCAGCCTGACCGCGATTGGCCCCGTGATCAAGTGAGTATCACCGGAGCAAAGGGCTGATACAGCGCCTGCCAAATTTCCAATGGGTGCACGAAGAAAATATGGGCAATTCAAACCGAATGTACAATTGCACATTGCACAACTTGACCGACCTTTGTATTAATATCGAGAACAGGGGAATGCCCTGCCGCTTTATGTATCAAGCCGGGCTTGATTCATTCACTTGAAACTCCTCGGGTCCCACTTTCTATGCTAAGACCTCTAGAACCTGCTTGCCAATGGAGATGACCTTTTCCTCTTCTAACCTTCCCGCCACGAGCTGAAGGCTGATTGGTAGTCCGTGCATTACACGACGTCAACTAATAGTCCACGGGTCAGATAGGGGCATGATGAATGTGTAGGCTGGGGATACACGTACACTCTTCGTTGATGGACTTGCAGGTTGGTCCCAAGGGCTCATAATTGGGGTCGATCTTGTCGACGTACACAGGAACTATCGCAGGTGCGAGAGCAGCTTACCCAGGTTTGCAGCGAGCTGGAGCGCACTCGGCTACAGTTGGATACCGTGACCGAGGCTCATGCAGCACGATCGCCTAGTCAGACATATGCGGATGCTGCCAGAATGACGCCTGTTAGTATTACCACTCAAACTCTATCCACGATTCGATCGACAACCTCAGAACCGGTGTTCTGCACAGTAGACTCATCCAGGGTGCCCAACGATCATATCGGAGATGCTACACCAGCAGTGTTTCGCAGGACCATTGAACAGGAAATGCGAACGTCTAGCGACCAACTTAATTGGCGATGTGTTGCCTTGACTAGAGATAGACGAAATACCAACCGCCTGAGGGTCATCGGTAGGAACGAGGAAGAACTGAAGAAAATCAAGACCATTATTGAGGCCAAGAAGGCTTCAGGTGCGAGAGTCCTTCGCGACCAACTGTACCCAGTCAAAGTTGACAATATAAACCGTACCGCCGTTCTCGACCAGGAAGGCAAGGTCCTTCCTGGAGCAATGGAAGCCTTGGGCCAAGAGAATGAAGTCCAGATTGCCAATGTGGCCTGGTTGAGTCGAAAGGACAACGCAAAGGCATATGGATCCATGGTGGTATACCTCACTAAAAACAGCGATGCCAGGAGACTCCTACAGGAACGCTACTTCCTCGCAGCTGGTGAATCGGCATATACCAGCGCGTTTGAGCGGAGAACAGGACCAATACAATGCTATAACTGCCAGGAGCTCGGCCATAAGGCGTTCTCGTGCAGCAAGAATCGGGTATGTGCAAGGTGCGCCGCCGAAGGCCATAATTATAGCGAGTGCCAGACGCAGGTACCTCAGTGTGTACCCTGTGGTGGACCGCACGAGTCGTTCAACAGAAGCTGCCTGAAACTCTACCCTCCTCAGCATGGGTAGGATGTTTCAGGTAATCCAACTGAATGTGAGAAAACAGGATACAGTACATGAAAGCCTAATGAATGACAAGCAACTCCAAAATTTTGCAGTTGTGGCGATTCAAGAACCACAGGCATGGAAGAGCAACGGTAAACTAGTAACAGTCGCTATGGGGCACCCCAGATGGATCAAAATGGTCCCCAGGATTTGGAGGGATGGCAGATGGGCAATCCGGAGCATGTTGTGGGTGAATCGGAACTTGGAAGGCGAGCAAGTACCAATACAGTCCCCGGACTTAACAGCAGCAACCATACGACTCCCGGACCGAATAATGTTAGTTGTGTCAGTATATGTGCCGGGACGTAAGCCCCAGGCTCTTCGAAATATATGCCATACCCTGCACCAGGTGATCCTCGACCTTTGGGGTAGGACAGGGATGGTAGTGGACGTCATCCTTGCTGGAGATTTTAATCAACACGACCGGCTATGGGGATGAGATGACGTGCCATTGGCAAGGCAAGGCGAGGCCGATCCGATCATCGATCTCATGAACGAACACGGTCTTTGCAGCCTCCTCCCGAGAGGCACGAAGACATGGCAAGGCCCTGACAAGGAAAGCACAATCGACCTGGTGCTGGCGACGGCGGAGGTGACGAACGAAATGGTGGAGTGCTCCATACACCCGACAGAACACGGATCGGACCACCGGGCGATCCAAACGACGTTCGATGTCGCGATGCCTGAACGGATTGTCATGGAAAGACTGTTGTTCAAGAACGCACCATGGACAGCAATCAGAACTAGGGTGGAGGACAATCTCCGAGAGCTTCCCTGGACCGTCGGCGTGCAGGAGCAGACAGATCAGTTTATGAGGGTCGTCCTCGAGGCGATCCACGAGCTGACGCCCCGAGCACAACCAGTATCGTACGCGAAGCGCTGGTGGACGAAGGATTTGACAAGACTCCAGCGGGTGTACACGTTCTGGCGAAATTAGGCTAGGGCAAAGCGTCGAGCAGGTCAGGGGAGGCCCGATCTGGAAAGACGGGCCAAGGAAGCATCCAAGGAGTACCGTGATGCCATCCGGAAACAGAAGAAACTGCACTGGGAAGATTTCCTAGTGTGTTGGACCACACTGACATCCTGGGGGACTATGACTAGGGCCTTAGCTAGCTGGGCAGAGGGACATATAAGGGCTCGATCCCTCGCAGCCATTGATGGAGGGCCATCAGTTTTTAGGTCTTGCAAGCTTTGTCTTAGATTTTGGGCCTCAGTGCCAGTTGCCTCCACGGCCAGCAATTCTATTCTTTTCTCCTCAAATTTTGATATTTCCTATTACTAGGGATATGATCACATTCTCTTATATTTTTACTTATTTTTAACAGATCTGGTTATCAGGCAATTCCTGTTGGATGGTCTGATTTTTGCTGAATTACAATAAGCTGTTATCTTAGCTACCCTACAAGCCTGAGTGGGTGGGTGTGGTCGTTTTGGTCCATAAGGTAAGTTCCCCCTTTTTACTAGCAGAAAATGTCAATATATGGAAGGCAGCCAAGTATTTGAAACCTGGAAAGGACATCATGGACGATAGGGTGCCCCCTTTAAAGAGACAAGACGGCTCCACCACGGAAGATAGGGTGGAGCAGGCAGAGGAGCTGCTCAGATCGTTCTTCCTGCCGTTGCCGGCCAGGATTGAAGATGAAGGTGACCGACCGCAACGGAGGGAAGTTCACATGCCAGACCTCACCATGGAGGAAGTTGAGGAAAAATTGCTAGCAGTGAAACCTTGGAAAGCGCCTGGAGACGATGGTCTGCCAGCAGTGGTGTGGAAACAGCTTTGGCCGGTGGTTAGATACCGTGTCTTGCACCTCTTCGACACATCCCTCAGGGATGGTGCAGTACCCCACCAATGGAGGAGCGCGAAGATCATCCCGCTGAAGAGGCCAGACGGGGGAGATTACACAGAGGCTAAGGCCTGGAGACCGATATCGCTACTATCAACACTGGGCAAGATACTCGAGGCAGTCGTTGCAGAGCGGGTATCCTATGTGGTGGAGAGCTAAGGACTGCTACCCCCAAACCACTTCGGGCCAAGGAAGCGAAGGTCAGCCGAACAAGCACTGATATTGCTGCAGGAGCAGGTCTATAAGGCATGGAGGGCCGGCAGGGTGCTCAGTCTAATCAGTTTCGACGTCAAAGGTGCTTACAATGGAGTGTTCAAAGAGCGACTACTGGAGAGGCTGAAGGCGAGAGGCATACCTGGTGGACTGGTGAGATGGATTGACGCCTTCTGCTCTGTGCGAACGGCCGCCGTGATGGTAAATTGGCACACATCACAACTACGGGAGTTGCCACAGGCAGGTCTCCCACAAGGGTCACCGCTGTTGCCAGTGTTGTTCCTGTTCTTCAATGCAGATTTGGTGCAGAGAAGAATCAACGCAAAAGGTGGTTCGATTGCATTCGTGGACGACTACTCGGCCTGGGTAGTGGGACCAACAGCAGAGGAGAACCGAGCCGGCATCCAATCAATTATAGACGAAGCACTGGGCTGGGAAAGACGGAGCGGCGCGACGTTTGAAGGAGACAAAACGGCCATCTTGCATTTCACGCGAAACGCCGCGCGTACGAGCGACACGCCGTTCATGATCAAAGGAAAAGTAGTCAAGCCAAGGCGAGCCCCAAGATCCTGGGAGTGGTCATGGACGCGAAACTACGGTATAAGGAACACATAGCTAGAGCTGCTGCAAAGGGGCTCTCGGCTGCCATATGTCTGAGAAGACTGAAGATGCTGTCACTGCGGACGGTGAGACAACTATTCGTAGCAACAGTAGCTCCCACCATGGACTATGCGTCTAGCGTGTGGACGCACTCATGCGGTGTCAGAGAAGCAGCTTGGTTGAACAAGGCACAGATGATCGGAGCACAAGCAATCACGGGAGCTTTCCAGACTGTAGCAACAACGGTGGCAGAGTCCGAAGCTAGTATCCAACCGGTACAGGAACGACATGCGCAAGCAGCAACAAGGTTTTGGATCAACCTCCGGACCCTTCCCAGGACACACCCATTGGCTACACTGAAAGTGAAAGTGTGTCGCCGATTCGTGTCGCCGATGCAGAGGATTGCTCAGGCACAAGGGGACACAACCACTGAACGAATGGAGATCATCCAGGAGTACGCTCTACCGCCATGGAGAGACCGTACACTAATGTCGTGCGACCCTAACCGGGAGAAAGCCGTAGAAGCAGCAAAGGGGGGATATGGCATAGTCATTGCCACGTGCTCCTCGCAGAGAGGGGGCATGCTGCGATGCTCACAGACAAAGATGGGAAACCTCTCGTTCTTCTTAGGAGGAAAGGCAGCATCTAACGGGGACAAATAGACGCCAAACATACAGGCAATACGGGCAACAATCAAATTCGCCATTGCAACAGGGAGGCTTGACATAGACCAGAAGCCTCAGGCACACTAACTATTCAGATCAAATCCTACTAGCATCATACAGTCTCATTTTGACAGACCGTGCTTCAGCTGCTGAGGATAGGATGCTGAACACTAGGAGAAATTGGCCCTCAAGCAGGCCTGTCACGGGATATACACCAGATTGGACCAGTCAGTAAAAAGTGAAATTGTGGGGCTTCGGGTGATAATGGAAACATTGTACGAAACGTAAATAGCTTAGCGCAATGGCCCTATGGGGTGTGTCCCCCTGGCGGAATAAAATCAAATCAAATCCAAGGAATGAAGTAGATCAGGGTATATGTTTGTCAACCTATATTATAAATATAGTTAACAGACTAAGCACTACCTTGTCCCCGCTCAACGAATCATCATGCATTACCGCCCCAGACGATGTAATTTATCCTTGAGTACCAATCTTGGGCATGTAGCTGAGCATAAAGCAGCAGACAGAGTTATTCAATACAAGCCTTCATCTATCCAGACATCGCTGAAGCAAAATCGTCGCAGTCTCCGAGATACTCAAAGTTGATGAGAGACTGGAAGCCCCCACCAAGCGTCGGTGACCCCTTGCTCACCCATATGACCAGATTGTCCGGATTGTTTGCTCTTACTACCTTACAGAGACGCTCAGTGAAATTCGCTAGCGAAGGAATCGACAACCTCGTCCCGACGATTAGGACGGCATCGACGGGCTGCGTTAGGTCGCGGTTGAATGCGGCCGTGATCTCTTCTTCGCCAGGACAATTTTCTCCGTAGAGAAGAACATTTGGTCGGAGAAATCCCACAGCTCGCTTTCGCTTGCGTGCCATGACCCGATTCCTCTGTTCTGTCTTACACAAAGGGCAGGGAGCCAGTACCCATCGTGGGAAGGACGGTGGAGTGACCTGTACAGTGTGTGAGGGTCTTAGGTGGCAGACTAGTGTATCTGCCCGGCCATGGAGCCACATTGTCCTCTGAGAAAGATAAGTGAGCCTAGTTTGGCGACAATCGATGTTCTGGGTGTAATGGTATCGAAGATGATCGGACTGAGCCAGGCGCTCGGCGAAGGCATCGAATGGGGTGAACATGGCTTTTCGGCCAGACCGCAATTTCTGCAACATCGGCGTGCAACGTATCGGCCAACTCCAGTGTAGAATAGGCCGAAACGTCGTATACATTGCGGCTGGATTTTTTTGAGCTGGAGAAGCTCCGATAGTCAGGGATTGTTGAGTTCAGTTTAGAGGGGCTGCTGACGGTGGAACGGGAGCAGGACTTACTGCCTGCGTTGGGTGAGACGCCAGCGCCGCTGATGATGATGATGTTTTTCTTGGTGTGAAGCTTTTTGTTTAGGAGGTTTAGGTCTCCCAGATGGGAAAGGCTAGATGCCGAAACATCCGGGGCATCATCCGGGAGTCTCACGTTAGGTATGTCCGGCGGAAATACAAAGGCAGGCTCCTGTGAGGGCCGTGCTAACTCGTGGGCGAGATCGCTTCCAGAGTGTCGACGGCATTGCCAGATGGTTTGAGGATGGTGCGGATCGAAGGCCGACAGCGGATGTCCTCGTTCCAGCCATCTTAAAGTCACTCGGCTAAGGTTATGAATCGTGACTGGAACCTTCTTCCAAAATCGATCGAGATACTCGGTGCAAAAGATGTTGAAAGAACATTCAACAGCACGGTGGCGTTCGATGCAAGAGGCACAAGCAAAGCCCCAGTAGGTGGGGAGAAAGACGCAATCCGGGAAGGGCATGGCGCTGCCATCACGATTGTAGCTCTCGTGACAGTCAGTGCAGGGTGCGAGTGCAAGTTGGCCTCTCGAGTATGCGAGAAAGGCGTTGACGACGTCAGCGCGCTTGGCGAGCTTTCCCAGGAGGTCGTTGGAAAAGTGAAAGCAGGTGAGACGTCGAGGCGGAAAGACTGACGCATTGGCTTGGATGTTGGTGGTGATGTAAGGTCGGAGCTGGTCGTTTTCGATGGGGACTTGAAGCCATCCGCCTTTGAGGTCGACATAGTCAAGCTGAGACTGTCAGTACCAGGCTCTTCAAATGAAGATCAGATCGTACGGATCCCTCAAGGCAGGGAGATTATCGGGGTCAAATTGATAAACCCTGTCAACTTTGGGCCAGCTATTCTCAACAGGTTCATGGCGCCCCCCGTTCCAGGCCTAGAGACATTCCAGACCTCGCCCTCATTCAGGCTGGCGGTCCATTCCATTTCCATCCACGCAGCCTCTTGTAGAATGGATGGACGTCCATTTAGGCCCACCTTGAATGGAATGGATGGAAATGGACGCTAAGTCGAGTCCGTGGGGCTTGGGGTGTCAGGGGCCAAATGTACTGAAATGTGAACTAGATTGTGTCAAGGCCCTATAGGGACTTCCCTCCGGGCGAAATAAAATCCATCCATCCATCCAACCGTAGTCGAGTGCCCCACTGAGGCAATTCTTGATTGATATCAAGCCCTCATCCTCCCGTGCTCCTTTCGTTACCCTTCGCAGAGTGCCCCAGTCCCGTTGCAGTTGGCTGTTGTGAGCGCTGGCTGCATCTTTACAGATCTGAAAAGCCTGGCTAAAAAGCCACAGCCTGGTCCAATCATCCAGCAGCTCGGACTACAAATCTCGATCATGTGCACGCAGACGGCTTCCGTGACGATATACCGGAAGTGTGGGCACAGGACTGCAGGCGAACCAGTCATTGACTACTGCGACGTTTATCCCCATAGTCGGAATTGCTTGAATCCACCTTACAATCCATTAGTCCCAGATAGCGAGGCGGATACGTGGTGTCAAAATTGCGTCGCAGCAGGCAAGGGCCAAAAGTTATGGGCAAAGGTGCGTCTGGTCTGCCTGGTCTGTCTAGGGTGCTTCTGTCCTTGGGGGAGAAGCGGGAACAGCATTGGAGAAGGGTGCGATGGTCTTTCAATGGTGTAATCTTATGTTCTGCTTGCAGCTTCCCTTCTCCAGTCACCTAATCATCTTGGACGGTGTAAATACTGTCGATCCAGATATGCCGGATCCCTAGTTCTCGCGTAATAGCAATCGACTTATGAAATGTTCGGGGAAGAGACTCTATAGGTATCTGGTTTGAGAAGAGCTCCATATTGTCTATGGTGGTAGATGGATCAGCGCTCGCAATAGTCCAGACCATTTGGACTATTAGTCCAGACTGCAGATCAGGGCAGGGAATACGGACGCCCGGTGTGGGCGCTAAGTGAGCTAGGTTGTTGGCATGGTGTTACAAAACCAGGGTACCCATGATTGTTGCTGTGCCAACCATTTTGTTTTGGATATTTCTGATCAATTTACTGGTGCGATCCAGATCAACACGGCACGTTTCAAGGGACGCATCATCCTAGTCGTCAATCCACGAACGCCCGTCGTGGATTGATTATTGATCTTGAATTGCAGTCCGGACTAATAGTCCAAATGGTCTGGACTATTGCGAGCGCTGAGATGGATGTTGCTGGATCTTGTCACACTGGCAGCAAGAGCGCGGCAGCTCGAGGTATTTAAAATCTTGTTAGTACTATTACTATGACTTCTGCGTCGAATTTAAGCTAGTTCTCCTGACTATTTGAGTATCTTGGTGATTATCTCATGTCCTTTCTGTCTTGCTACTTGCTTTGTCTCTATTCTCGTCTACGAGGTTCGTATCCTCACTAATTAGCTTCTATTAGAGGAGCCATAATTCGCTCGTTACCCTGGCTAGATGACCAGAATAGAGGCGATCTCCCGGATATTGGCCTTGAGTTGACGTTCATGTCTGTCCTTTATGCCAGAACTTTAACGGTTGTGTTGTGCCTATTCCTTGTTGTAATCCACAAAGGCGTTTCTCCCTTGATATTTTTCGCATTAGGCTTAGTTCCTGAAGAGAGGGGCTGTTCGACATAGGAAATATCCCCTGCTTTTGCTACTTATAAACCTTTATAATACAGCGCTATTTGTGTTGGAAGAACTGAGGATTCCCCCTCAACTTCAGGATTAAAGTTAAGGTTTGAAGTCCTAAAACTTAGATCGTAGGACTTGATCGTAGGACTTTCTAGGACTCAAGTCCTAGAAGGGACCACTCGAAGATATAAGGTCTTAAAGGTCCTTCGATTGCAAGATGAACAATAGCAATAAGAACTACTTTCTCATCAAGTGCACTCAGCATTCCTGCGCAATCCAACAACAATTTGTCCTGAACTGAGATAAAAATTATTCTGACATAAGAGGTTCAGGACTCCGTCCTGGCAACATATTGCCGCAGCCTTTACCACCTCCTATATAACAGTGTGTCACGATCCCAAGCTAGAAGGGTGGCAAACCCTTGGACCCACCATTGAGAACCAAACGGTGAGGCTGATGAGTCAGCCTCACGGGCGAATCAGGGAAGGAGCGATGGAGCGACAGGAACGATGGGAGCGAGGGAGCGTCGCTCCTCGCGCTCCATCGCTCCCAGTGAAACCTTAATCTTAAAATGTTCGAACGAGTCGAACAAGAGCGCGTTCGACCACGATCGACCAAGCAAACCAGAATAAGTATATATAGCTTCACTCATTCCCACTTCCCTATGTCTAGATAGCTCTCCAGCTTTCAATACAATTTGATTACTCAAGAATACTTCTTGACATTATCAGACGTGATTCGCCACCCTACGCTCAGCACGCTACGCCCCGTCACAACTGCCAACATAAACCAAACTACTATATCTTCCAGTGGGAAAACTGCACTTAGGTTTTCAATGCCACCACTAATTTTTATGGCCAAATGCAGTTTTAATATATACTTTACTGTCTAAAGAACATAAAAAAAGAAGTTTTATTCTTTTTAAATCCATATTGCTGCCGCGGCATGTCACGGCATGTCGCGACATGGTGACAATCGATCAAGCGTTACATTTCCTGTTATGGAATAGTGCAATTCATAGGTTAAGCGTTACATTTCCTAATATGGCTAGTGCTTTAACTTCAGCGAAGTTTAGCCGTCCCACTCACTCTGTTGTGAGGTGCGGGCTTTTGATAAGTGAGAGACCCCATTTGACCCCGCGCACTGTTGCAAAATAAGGCACTTTAATTATTGTTGAAGGAAGCCCATGGCCGCCTACGGCGGCTATGGCCTCAGGCAGCCGGGACCTCATACAGGCTCCAATTCCCTCGCCTAGCCAGCTAGTGATAGTCAACAATACACACATCTTTGACCTCTTGGCAATTATCAAACGTCAGTTTCTATAACTCTTTATAAATTATATTTCCACTTACCACGATCACAATAGAACCATTCTAGGGAGATTCTATAGTACAAACAGCAATGAAGATTCGATTTGTGGGCGCTAAAAAACAGGACAGTGCTACAGTACGTCAGCGTCTCCTACAAGCGAATCGTACACGAAACTACCGAAATCGCCAGAAAGCAAGAAAGGATACTGCCACGACAAACCACCAGGCCGAGCTATTGTCTGATGCAATTGAATCAGTGGCAGAGAATGGGCTGTCGGGACTGGAGAACAATTCATTACCCGACACAGGGGGGTTTGAAGATGATGACCCAGTACCCGACACTGAGGAATTTGAAGAAGCTGATCTTTTACCCCACACTGGGGAGTTTGAAGAAAACGACATTTCTCCCTGTGGCATTTTTACTATCTCTAGTCAGGAAGTTGATGATCCCATCATCAATACTATCGAGCCGGATCCCTATTACGAGGAGGAACCAGTCGGCCTCTACTCTGGTGAAGAGCGTGAAGATCAGAGACAACCCCAAAGCCCACAAATCCATGCCGAGGAGCGAGCAGATCTTGCTAATGATAATGCCAACACCGATGTGGAATATACTACACAGAAGTTTATTCAGCAATTTCTTGTCGGGATATATGGCTGTAACGCCCAAAGCCATCGAGAATCTCTGACAGCGCACATCGAAGCTGAGGGAGCGGATAACCACCATGGGCTTAATCGATTAGTCCCCCACGATGTACCTCATACCCTTGATAAACATTATATTCTCGCCCCCAAAATTGATGGCGAGACAACGGAGCTTACCCCGGATCAATGGCAGGTGCTATTCTCCGGTTCTGCAACCCAAAACTTTGATGGCAAGCCCAAGCAGGCTTGCCTCCACGTCGAACGGACCCCTCAGACTCCACCTGTTATTTCATTTGATGTCGACAGCCTCTTAGGCTTTGTGGATTCTCCGGCAGCAGCGATTCATGGGATACGATTTTATTCTGCTCCACAGTGTCGCCAAAACATTCAGACAGATGTTCACCTAACCTTTGATCATGTAGCTCCTGATACAGAGCGACCTCGACTACTTCCATCCCGACTTAAAGATGTGCCACATTTCACCTTTGCAAAGGTTGAAGGCGCTGATTTTATCACTCTCCACCTGTTCTTCCCACACTTGCCATGCCGCCGCGATTTCTATCGGTTAACTGACGAGCAGTTCTCGCGGTGGTTTGATGATATCTTCTATCCCGCTGTTCGTCAAGTTTATGACGTTGATCAACTCCAGCACCTGCCGGCAAGTTATCGTCATGCATTAGCTACCTGCCGTGCTCCCCGGGTGGAGGATCGTCTGCTCGAGACCCCTAGGCTTTATTGGAAGGAGGTCAGACGTAAAAACTTGGTGTAGACAGGGGTCAGGTGGTCCGAGCTTCTACGCCTGAATCCAATACGCCAGGCGCACATGCTAATTGGTTATGGTTTAGGGTTAGCCCCACTATGGGTTAAGGGTTAGCAGCCAAACCATAGCAAATCTGTGTAGGAAGTTCAACTCGTTGAACTATATCCGCGTCGCGTCCATAGCGCGTAGTGCACGCGATATTAAAAAAAGAAAGGTGAGGTACTCATAAATCTGCCGTATTGCTGGAAATACCGCAATACCATACTCGCAACATACAAAAAACCAACAAATGGACGAGTATGCGACGCTCATCGACGAGCACCAGCTTCTGCTGTGTAAGATATGCCGGCATGCTGTAAACCCAGGTGATAGCGTCAAGACTCACTTTAGTCGTACGCATCAGGTAAAGGGACAACTGCTTAAGGATATAACGAACTACATCGATGTAGACTCACTGAACAATCCAGCTACAGTTGAACTGCCAGCCGACTGGAGCGAACCGATTCCGATTCTTGACGTATATAGCGGGTTCAGCTGCAATGCATGCCGCTATGTAACACAATCACGGAAGAACATTACCCATCACTGGACAGAGTCACAACATAGCTCCGACGGACCAAAATACAGCGCCGTACAACTACAAACATGGACGCCAATACGGCGCGCGAGATACTGGATCGTTAGAGCTTATGGCGATGGCGACAGTACGATAGCACCGGAGTCTGCAGCGACAAATAGCATCATGGATAGGATGATCGCCGACAGCAAGGCCGAGCTACTGGAGGAGGACACCAAGAGAAACGAGCACGGTAACAGGCAGGAAGGCATTGACTACGACTCGACTTGGGTGAAGGAAATGAAGTGGGTGAGGCACTTTGGGGACCGGAGTCTGACCGAGATCCATGATGCGGCTCAGGGGATACGAGCAAAGGCCAGCAAGGTTAAGGAAAGAGTCCCCGAGGATGAAAAGGCTACGAGAGAGCTGCAGCTACTCACGCGACTAAACGAGAGCTTCGACCGAGAGGTAGACCGCTGCAGCTGGCGACTAGAAGGCGTACCGAAGGAGACGTTGCAGTGTCTTCACGGCATCCAGCCAGGGAAACCAAACAGCTTGCCATTCGGATGTACAGCAAAAGACAAGTCGCGGGCCAGCTATCAGTCTGTCGGACATCGCTACTTAGAGTTCTGCTGGCGGGCACACGAAATGGGTCGCGAGGAAGCGGCAACACGACTGGCGATGCACTTCACGGACGAGCAATGGAGCTTAATGGCAGATGTAGCCCGCGAGCTAGAGGACGAGCAGCTAGGCGATATTGTCGGACAAACCGAACTGCACGATGATAGCGGCTTCTTTAGCGGAGACGATGATACCAGCAGCGAAAGCTTGAGCGACGACGAGGACGGCAGAGAGCGAAGGCCAGGACGCCGCGAATTAGCAGCTATGGAGACGAAAGCGCTCGACCAAGCCGTGTTTCGATTCATGATAGCTTCCATCAAGGTGCGTGTAGGCGGCGATATGTATAGCAACGCAATGCTGTGCTTCTGCGCGGCAACGGGCATCCGAAGGCACCCGCTAGGCTACACGGAGGCGTATCTCTTTACAGGTGTACTGGCAGCGCTATCATGGCTTGCCCGACTCTTTTTTCTGGAGGCCGGATTCGAGGACGTGTCGCCGGAGGAGGAGCATGTGGGAGTAGAGGCGCTTGATCGGTTCCAGCAGGAGCACGAGACGTGGATGTGCATAGGCACTTATACAGTGATGAGCAAGATCATCAACTGGATGGCGTATGGCAAGGGACATCGCAATAAGACGGGCGGGCCGCCGACAGTGCGCTGGTCCGACGACGACGAGGCGCTGGTGCATAACGGGGATCACATGCTAGTGCGTGACTTCCAGCGGGCGGCTAACAACAATTCATCTACGAGGTCGGGGGTGACCTCGTTGAAAACCCCATACAAAAAAAAACCGCGCTATTGATGACAAGGGGGTGAACTCGTAGAAGACCCAAGGGGGCGAACTCGTAGATATTTTTATAACTAAAATTTCCAGGAAGCAGATTTTATAATTAATAACATTCAGAAGAGGTCATATATCAGCTCTACAAATTGTGGCCGGGTTTAGTTGTGTCGCGCGGGACTTGGTGAAATCGCGCGCTCGATGCAAATGGACATTTAAATCCACCAAAATTCCACCACAAGCAATGACGCAGAAAAATATATACCAATCGATAGAGAACGCTCTATACAATAAGCTTCTGCAACTTACTCTCTTTTTAATGTTTTTCTCGGTGAGTTATGCCATGCTAAAGACGAAAATCGAGGTCGGAACGGATGATGCTTATGTCATGCGGCTCTCAGCCTATCAGCTGCCGTCAGATTTCTGGCGATGACGGACCAATGAAAGCCAGTCTTGGCGGCTACAGTATCCCTGTCAGTTTTGGTGCACACCAATCAGCATGAGTCTTGACGGCTACAGTATCCCTGCATGTGGGGCGATCCCCGCGTTCGTACTAGCGGCTCCCAAAAATCCAGGAGCGCGTGGAGCTTGAAAGTGGCTTGAAGGTGACCGTATCCTTGTCGATTTTGGCTGGTCTCGTTGCGTGTATGTTACCGATTTAGTCCACACCAGAACTAAATAGAGTCTTCATAGCCCGGGAACAACATTACAGCTTTTGTATTGACAGAACTATATTTTAATGCGCAATTCAGCCAAGCTACTGGTTCCAATTTTGTGGTCCTAGCTAGATATCCCAATCTGCTAGTTTGCAAGATATAATTCAACAGCCTACCCTATACCCACTTTATGCGATTCAACTGCGGACAATATATGCCAAGCGTCCCTCTAGCTTTATGCTGTCCAGGCCGTGTCGAGTAATATCCTTGGTATATTATTGTGGTATTTTAATACATTATGTGCATTGAATCCCCGGCTGTACTTTATTCTGGCGAGCGCCTTTCTAACTACTGCCCATTGATTGGCCAAGTTCCCTTCCCTTTATTTTCAAGCTTTGTCGTGCCGTGCTTGCAATTTCGCCCGTCCAACCAAGAATAAACTTTGTAACCCCTACTCATTTCCCTGTCATTTCACCTCTTCATCACCTATAGTCTGTCCCACTAGCCAATCAACAGTCTAGCTTTGCGCCACTGGTTTCGAACCGAAGTCTTTCAGCAATCAACTCTCAGATTCAAGCTGGGATTATAGCAGCCTTAGTGAATGTTCCTTGTAGTTGCTGACGGTGATACTTACGGCTAGTGTAAACAAACACAAAGTAAGTAAACAAACATTTGGTGCCATTCATGTGCAGTCTTGTGCCACTCCTGCATCTTTTGGTGGTTCTGCTATCTTCATGCTGCCACTTGTTGAGCAGCACCAATGGCTCCTCTACCTGTTTCTGCTGACGAGAGAAGAAGACACAAGACTGCACTGGCCAAGGCTCGTCGCCAAAAGGCTTTGTTGACAAGTCGGCAGCAACACCACCAAGAATGTCAACGTAACCCATTCATCAGACTGATTCACAGTTCTGATCAATCTTCGCAAGCTCCTTTACTTCCCCAGCCTACCCTCAGTTTCTCACCCACTCCCACCCCAGCTACGGAACAACGTCCTGCGCAAGCTGGAAGTCAGTCATCGACAGGAATACGACAGACACAGGAGCGCCGTCGAAGCCCGAGACTCGCCGAGCCTATCCCTCGCCGGACTGAAGACGTGGATGTGATTGTGGTGGCAGATACCCCTTCGCCAGACCCGTCGCTTGCCGATAGCCTACTCCCCTCTCGGCCTCACGAGCCCACGAAACCCCGACAGTACCGTGACCGCCCGAGCCAAACAAGAACGCCGTCGACAACCGACGGAAGCAGACCATTCCGGGAGTCTTCTATCCCTGGGTTTTCGGATCTGACGTTGCGCGATGGTTCAGTCCTTGCCTCTCCTCCCCTCGAGGAGTTACATTACGAGGCATCGGCTGGATGGGGTTCTGCATCAGGACCAGCGCATGGATCCGAGTGCTCGTCCGATAGAGGATCCGAGTATGCGCCTCCATCTCTGGAATCGTCTCCTGCCACTCCCACGTCTTGCGTCCTCGAAGACTCCCTGCTCGCTCGCGAAGCAACCTTCCATCCAATCACTCCGATAGCGTCACCCAGCCCCTCTCAGCAACCTGCCTCGCCTTCCGAGCTCAGCATCTCTCATCTATCCTTATCGAGCTCATCCAGCTGCACAGGTTCCCCAGGCCCATCGCCGTCATTATGCGGAACGTCTGCGTCCGCTTCAACGCCATCACCCAGTGCCAAACCGGCTCGTATTCTCTTCCTAGAAGCCACCCGCAATCAGGAAACCAGAGGTGGAGCCGACTACCTCGAGATGCAGAGCGACGTATATGATGAGATTTTTGAGATCATCTTCGGCGTTGAATGCAATGGTAAGCCCCGCATCCGGCCTCCCATTGATGGAAGACTCACCGACGTCCCTTTAGACACGCACCCTCACGAACATGACGAGTCAGAGCACACGCACACCCTACAAGAGAGAGTTGTCCATCTTCAACGCCATCTCCCTCCCCTCTCTGATGTCTTTGGAAAGCGTGGGTCTTACGACCCTCACTCCTACTTCCTCCAGTGGCAGAATTTCCTCTCGCGCCAGCCACTCCAGCCGCTCTCCTTCGCAAAGACACAGGCTACACTCTCCCAGGAGTCAGTCACTATCACGAGACAGTGGGATATCGACAGTATCTGGTTCGGGGCCAACGATCTCGGCGCGATTCAACCACCCAATGACTTCCGGCTCTCCTTCCTGCCCCCATTCACCCTAAACCTGTCTACAGACCAGGTGATCCAGCCCCATGGACTCGATCTGGCGAAGACGCGCCACATTCCATTTGGATCATTCAACACCCCGAGCGTCCGTTTTAACGTCTTTCTCTTCTTCCCCGAGTCTGCCCGGACGCCTCGCTCGAGAACGTCTGCGTCCTCGAATGCCCTCTCCCTAGACCGGCAGAAGGACCTCTACGACAATATCATCCTCCCTGCTGCGTATGAAACCATCCCCGACCCTTTTCGTCAAGAGATTCCCCGGACATTTGACGCCGTTTATACAAAGTCTCGTTCATACCAGGAGAGGCCAGCTATGGGACGGTGGAAGGTGGGTGACGAGAATCGATCGTTCAGTCTGGCATATACTCTTCCTGCACGAGCTCTCTCACGTTTCTGGCGCTCCGTCGTGGACAAGGCAAACCAGTTCCACATCACAACCCAACGCGGGGAGGCTGTCGCATACTTCCGAGACTCGGCAGCCCGGGATCCCTCGCTTCAAGGCATACAGCTGCAACAAAGAACTCTTCTCCGTCATGTTTAGCAGTTATAGGCTCTTTCACTCGGAGTCCTTTCCACTCCTTGCGCTGAGCGATGGGATGATCCAAGACCTCGCCTCGATGAGCAAGGATCGTCAGCGGGCATACGTGACTCAACTCAATCGAGCATCCCTCCTTCACGCGTGGGAAGCGAACAAGCGACACGTGAGAGCAGTCTCGGACCCGAAAGTTCTGACGAACTATGGGATTCGGAAGGAGGGCACATTCCGCCTCGATGTCATCCTGACGATGTTGCACCGCGGCATCTTTGACCCCGAACGGAGCCCTCACACTGGACAAACCTCTCGATCAATTCCACTCCGCCATGAGTTAGGAGACCAGTATCCCTTCTGGATTGTGCCAACAAGAGATATCAATGCTCTGGTATTCACGCAGGCAGCTCGCCTCATACTTCCGCTAGACCATCTCTTTCAAGAGGTATCGTTGAGTCCTGGAGATCAGACAGCTCCTAGCGACTCGTTGGGGTCCTCCATTCGACAGATCCTCTCCTTTTATACCGCCCAGCTTCTCTGCCGGCTTTTGATACTGAACTTCTGCAGCGAGCGGGAGCTCAACCATGACAAGTGGATATGGCTCCCGGATTGGAGAGTGCGGGGGCAGCTGGGATCATTCAGGGAACGACGAGGTCTTGGACTCGAAAAGTCTATCGACGAATCTGGGATGCTTTGGATCCCCCGCGACCGGATTGACTGGCGCCGTGGACACATTGCTCTTGACACGCTGATTCATCTTTACATCCAAAGAAGCCCCCTTCAGGCTTCGCTAGCCTCGCAGTCCAATATCCAAGCACTCACTACCACCCAGCTGACAATTGAGTTTTACCTTCAAGAATGGATCCAGGACGCCCGGCAAGCGTTCGAAGAGGGACGAGAGGACGAGGGGAGAAAGCTAGCTGATCGTATTATCAGGCTGTCTGCAGAGGAGATTGCCCGTGCGTACAATCAACACCTCCTCGCAAAAATGCAGTCCTATTGGGAGCGGGTACGTAACCACCTAGGACGCAGTGAACTTCCCGCCTTGTCCCAATTGAAGCAAGCAAAGGAAGACTCAGACGCTGAGCGCAGCCGGATTGTCACAGCTCAGACGATATTGGAAATTTACATGGAAGCCTGGGCGGTGTACACTTCGGTATCGTCTGTAGAGTCTCTGCAAGAAGAACAGATGCCCAGAGAGATCCCCTGTTGGGTAAAAACTCGCAAGTACCAGCCGCCGAAAGACAACTGGATGGACTTTGTATTCGAACATCTCTTGGCGCGCCCGAGCCCACCAACCTGGGATCGTATTTATTTCCGTCAGGTGTACAGGACTTTCAAGTCATTCTGGGACGTCATCAGTAGGTCGGCAGGGTCTTTCGATGACCGCCTGAGAGGTACGCTGGGCAGGTACATCATGGTCACCTTCAACAGTGACCAGGTGAAAGAGGTTGGCACAAACCACACTCGCGACACATGGTACCACGGAAAACCGTCCTTTTTCCAGATGCAATATTGGGCTCCGTACTTTTCTCCCCCACAGGCCAACAGCCATTTCCGTTCGGGATCGGTTTCTCGTCATCATAGCCACTCCAGGAGGTCGACACCCGATAGGACCCTGAGGATCTTGACAACCAAAGAGTTTCAGGCTGTCGAGAAAAAGGTCCACCGGGATTGGCTACAGGCCACGTTTGAACCCGATCAGCTACATGCTGCTAGTCAGAGTGATGTCGATCGTCGATGCCGACGGACACTACGATGTGTTGCCCAACTAGCTGGTCCCACATGGGGCAGTGATGGGAGGTTAGAAGGTATCATACCATGGAGACTTGGGCCGAAGGGGGGCCAAGGCCATCAAGATCAGCATGCCTTCCACGTTCCTGTGCCTGCCACTGTTGTCGCCAGAGAAGGCCCTGACAGCCTTCAAAGTGAGCCTACGATCATGCTGCCGACTCGGCATAACGTGAAGGGGCTGCTAAATGCTCTTGGATCCTTCCCCGATGTTTCTTCAGGGTTGATTCAAAGATTACGATGGGTAAAACGCCAACTCCATAATGGCGGTCGTCAAAATGAAATTCCCAGTCACCTCGAGGCGAAAAAGGAAGCGAGGGAATTGACGCCGCAATCACGATCGCTGTTAAGACAGTTCCTATCTCAGAAGGAGCCCCCAGAGTGGCACATTGAGGCTGAAGATATTAATGCAGTAGACATGGGGTCTGATGTGTTTGAGAGTGATGAAACTGAGACTGAAACTGAGATCGACACCGATTTCGACGTCGAAAGCGACGACATAGGTTTATTAGATGAACTGGAAAGTCTGTAGAGTTTTCGCCCTAGCAAAACGCTAATAGCGGGTGGGTGCTAAGGAATTTTTTTTTACAGGAGAGAGAGTTGAGCACAAGAGTAAAGCTTGAAGATATGTAGCAGCAGTACGGTAGTGTGGTCTCTAGCATCACGTGATACAGAACTATAACCTGCAATGGTTGGGGGAGAGCGGGGTTCTCTATTCTCCTTTCACTACAAGCAACAGTCATCTCAACGCCCAGCCAACTGCGACAGCATACCGCTCTCTACCAACCTGCACAAACGAATTCAGCCATGGCACCCACAGAGCTCTACAGGATAGCCCTAGAGCGGTCTACACAGCCGGATTTGCCCACAGAACACAATGAAATCCCGCATAACATGCCATCCCTGACTGAGACGGACCGCACAGTTTGTGAGGGATGGCTCCAGGAGATCAACTTCCTTCGTCCCGGAGTGGAGGAGGAGGACGAAGTCTGGGAGAAGATCAAGAGGAACTGGATCGGATATCTATCGGCGACGAGTCCCTTGCCGGATGCAACGCTGGCGCCGAACCGCAAAGTTGTGCAGTTCGCGGCCGGGGACGGGGACGGGGACGAGGGCGTGGTGGAACGGAGACGCAGGTTTGAGCGTGATCGTAGGAGGCGCATGATCATCCAGTCGGCCTTCTGGAACGGGCTGGATGGAATAGAGGCCATGACGGAGCGATGGCCACGAGCGGCGCGGGCCGCATTGAACAGCATGGATAGAGGGGAGGAAGAAGAAGACCGAGGCGCCTTTGAGAGCCTCGCAGCCGTCTATGACCTCGGCCGGCGGCGGCGGTATCAGGCTATATGGACTAGCCTGGTGGGGTTTATCGTTCATTCGTACGACGAAGGCACACTGGAAGAGATGGGCCTGCAGCTGAAGGAGGGCCAGATCGACGATATCCTGGATATCGAGCAGGAGGTGTGGAGCGTGGACCTCAGGGCGATCGCACGGAGGCGGGAAAAGGGGGGGTTCGAGGACGTATGGGCCCCTATTCAGCAGCTGCTCTTCAAGGCGTTAAGGAGGCCGAAGTCAACGGCCAGGAACAACCCGCTCGTATGGTGGCTCGCGGTCCTCGTCCGATCGGCGGTTTCGGACGACAGGGATTTCATCAGCAGAGGGCGATTCCATAAGAACCCAGTGCCAATGGATATCGACCTCGAAGAACGGCTGCGGGCGATAGTGCACTATAGCAAGGTCCTTGTGCTCGACGATGCCTTCTCGACATGGTCGGAGAGGCCGGAGTGGGTGATGGAGGTGCAGAGCTGTCTGAATAGGGTGAGCATCGACTGGATCAACGACGAGAGAGGGTCCAGGCCAGCTAGGTCATCGGATGGGCCGGTCTATTCGACGGCCGCGTGGCAGTCCGTGGTGACACATATAGCCGAACATACTAGCAGGTATATAGGGGGGAAGAAGAAGACTGCGATACACCGGGTGCGATTGTTAGCAGATGAGATTGGGCAGTAATCACGTAGGCTAGAATATAGGTCACATGGTTATCACTCATATCTATTGGTACCATTGCGGGCATGGGAGGGCTGTGAGGACCCGGACAGTCTTCGGAATTCAATACAACTGTAAGACTGTTGTAACCCAACCTCCTACTGTACGCAGTCGTGCATGTAATTCATCGAATTACCACTTTTCTGGCCCGTGCACACCACGCAGTCGTCCGTGCACACACCTCATCTCTTGTATTTCATCTAATTACCTTACATCTGGCCCGTGCATGTATCACATCTCTTCTCTCCCCCTGTTTCTACCTTGACTCCTTGTCTGTCACGGGCCAGGGCCCATATCCTTGCGGCTGTGCCGCAAGACGTACTTGGCTCGTGCGCGCCAGGGATGGGAAATCATTCCACAGCTCAGGGGCACTTAGGAATTTCTTTCTTTCTTCTTCATCTTTGATGTAAATAGCATCCTGGACTAGATAGCTGGAATACAGTTACTAGAGGCCGTTCACATACATCAAAGATCACTTATTCTTTTGTTTGAAGTTAGAACCGTTAGGATGGACAGCCCGACACTACCTGTAGCCCTCGAGGCCATCATGCAGGAACTCAGGCTTATGAGAGAGGAAAACGCTGAACTCAGGAAAGCCTCCGCAGAGAGGAATGAAGAGCTGAGAAGAAGCATTGCAGAGAAGGATGAAGAAATCAGATTGAAGATTCAGGCAGTTGCAGCTGCAGTCCAGGGGGACGGCACTCCCCTAACACCAAGCGGACTCAGCACCCCAATCCCGAAGATTAGTACCCCCGAGCCCGAAATCAAGCACGAGACCAAACCCGAACCCGAACCGAAGCCAGCCCATCGACCGCGCCCACGTCTACCCGACCCTGCCCTCTACGAAGGAAACAAACCCATATGGCCTGGGTGGAAGCTAGAGATGGAAAACAAGCTGCGGGAAGATGCCGACGCCCTAGGCAGCCCCAGGTTGCAGTTCACATATGTATACTCTCGGCTAGCAGGAAAGGCCAAGCAGAACGTCACCACATATGTACGGAATGAGACACGGCAAACCGATACGGAACCGGACCCAGCAGTACTCCTTACCCGTTTGGAGCTCTTATACGGAGATCACGACCTTGAGAGGAAGGCCATTCAAGCACTTCACTCCCTTAAGCAAGGAGAAAATGAGTCCTTTAACTCCTTCTACCCCCGCTTTGAGAAGGAGATCTCCAATGCTAATGCGGAGTCATGGCCGGATAATAGCAAGATTTCCTACCTGGTTAATGCCTTGAATGACAAGCTGAAGATGGCGCTTGTACCGGTAAACCAAGAAGAGCTGGTTACCTATGTGCAGCTGGCAACGAGGTGTCAGAAGCTGAGCAATGCTATGGAGCTCCTGGGTCAATGGAAGAAGTCAGGCAGCAAGGGGCAACCGAGCCCCCCCCCACCAACACCACAGACGGCAAAGAGAGAAGATATGATGGAATGGGAACCAACCCCCACGGGCACGACACAAGTGAACACCTTGAAACCTCGAAGGAATAACAGCAACCTCAATGGGTACCCATCGAAGCGGCCGCAGGATAGGGCACTACTAGGCAAGAGAGCCAAGTGGGTTAGCCAGGAAGAAATTGACGCACGACGCCTCGAGCACCGCTGCCTTCGTTGCGGAAGAGACGACTGCAGGATCCTCACATGCCCGTTAGCAGCGCCCATCCGTCCTGGGTCGCAACCACGCATCAAAATCTCATCGGCGCGCCCTCAGGTCACTGAGGCAGCAGTAGAGGAGGAAGAGAGCAGCCAGGAGGAGGGAGAGGATGAACAATAGGGGCACGCGGCAGCCCTAAGGGAATGGAAGACAGATGGCAAGGCGAAGATGGATGGAGACCCCTTTCTAGCTGATATTAGGCTTAATGGAACCGACTTCACTACAGCCCTTATCGACTATGGATGCCTTTGCTACGCTGCTATGGACGAACAACTCTTCCACTCCCTGGGACTGCCCCGGATTCCTATCACCCCCCGGAAGCTTGAGAATGCAACAGACACCCCGAATACAGTCATCGATACAGTGACATACGCATCAGTTGACATCGACGGGCACCAGCGACAGCGCGTCTTCTTCTATGTGATCCCGAAGCTGAACTATAGTATCATCCTCGGGAAACCATGGATGGAAGATGAGGACGTACATATCTCAGCAAGGAAAGGGCGCCTGACAATCAGATCCTCCGGTATCCAAGTGTGGAACCAAGCAAAACGGCCCCCAGTCTCAGAAACGAAGATCAAGCAGGTAATGGCCTCGGTATTTATGGCCGAGGTACGGCGGGATAGGAGACGTCACGGCACTGGAGTATTCGCGGTCACCATAAAAGACATCGACAAGGCCCTACGACCAAGGGCAAGGACAGATCCGAAGGAGAAGCTGCCAGAGCATTACCACCAATGGCTCCAGGCATTCAGCAGGAAACTGGCCGACAAACTCCCGCCCCTACGACCCGGCATCGACCTTCGAATCGAGATCATGAAGGACAAAGATGGAAACGAGAAGAACCTCCCTTGGAGCCCGTTGTACGGTATGAGAAGAGAAGAGCTCCTGGTCTTAAGGAAGACCCTCACTGAGCTGCTGGACAAGGAGTTCATCCGCGCGAGCAGCTCCCCGGCAGCTGCCCCAGTCCTATTGGTTAAGAAACCAGGTGGAGGAATTCGCTTTTGCGTCGACTACCGAGGGTTAAACAACATTACCAAGAAGGACCGATACCCTCTCCCGCTTCTGAGCGAAACCTTAAGGAACATCGCAAAGGCAAAGTGGTTCACAAAGCTCGACATTATCGCTGCCTTCAATAAGGTGCGGATAGCGGAGGAAGATGTACACAAAACGGCCTTTCGCACGAGATATGGTTCCTTTGAGTACCGAGTCATGCCATTTGGGTTGACTGGAGCCCCTGCCGCCTTCCAACGCTACATCAACAGCACCTTGCAAGAATACTTAGATGACTTTGTTTCCGCATACGTGGATGACGTTTTGGTGTATTCCTCAGGGTCCCTCAAGGACCACAGGAGGAAGGTCGGCCAAGTTCTACAGCGATTGATGGATGCTGGCCTCCAGATTGATATCGATAAGTGCGAATTCGAGGCCAAGACTGTGAAGTATTTAGGCTTTGTGATCGAGGCAGAGGTTGGCATCCGAGTCGACCCTGAGAAAGTCAAGGCAATCAGAGAATGGGCTACACCAACTTCAGTCAAAGGAGTTCGTGGGTTCATTGGCTTTGTAAACTTCTATCGAGTTTTTATCCAAGACTTCTCAGATGTAGCTCGACCGTTGACCGAGCTAACTAAGAAGGATGTTCAGTTCAAATGGGACGACCGATGTGAAGAGGCATTTGACAAGCTGAAGGAAATACTCATCACGGCCCCCATCCTCGCGCACTTCGACCCAGAGAGAGAGACTATGGTCGAGGCTGATTCATCTGGCTACGCTACAGGAGGACTGATGCTACAGAAGGATGACTATAGCATTTGGCGCCCTGTTGCTTATTTGTCGAAGAAGCACTCTCCTGCTGAAGCCAACTACCCCATCCATGATAAGGAACTCCTTGCCATTATACGCTGTCTTGAAGCATGGCAGCCCGAGTTGCAGGCAGTTAAGCACTTTACAGTTCTTACAGACCATAAGAACTTAAAGTACTTTTATTCTGAGAAGCAACTTACTGAGAGGCAAGTGCGTTGGTCCGAGTACCTCGCTAGGTTCAACTTCACTCTAGAGTGGAGGCCAGGCAAGAGCTTGGGGCGTCCTGATACCCTGTCTCGTAGGGAACAGGACCTCCCAGCAGATGGTAGCGACGAGCGGTTGAAGGCTAGATTCATGAAGATGTTCCAGTCCGAACACCTCAAAAGTGTGCACATTGCATCGATGGGGGTTCCGGCGAACCCTGAGGAGATCAACTTTGAGGAGGAAGTACGGCTTTTTGAAGACCAAGAACTACAGACCCTATGGCATGAAGCTCGAAAGGATGAACTCTACCGACAACTCACAATGTGTGTGGCTAGGGACGAAAGAAACTTGCCTACTCACCTTCAGAAGGAGAGAACTATTAGCATTACTGAGTGCACCGTGGATGAACGAGGTCTTCTTCGCTTCCGCGATCGAGTCTGGATTCCGAATTTAGAACCCCTTCGCACGAAGATCATTCAGGATATTCACGACTCCCATATCACTGGACATCCTGGTAGAGACCTTACCTATACTATTCTATCGAGACAGTTCTTCTGGCCTGGGGCTGCAGCAGATGTACGCCAGTTTGTGAGGAACTGTGAGGTCTGCGGCAGGAATACGATCTGGAGAGACACCAAGAAGGGGCTCCTCAAGCCAATGCCAGTCCCTGAGCGCATCTGGGGAGAGATCTCAATCGACTTCATTACAGACTTACCACCATCTGGAAGGGATAAAGCGACAAATTGCATGGTCATCACTGATCGCCTGACAAAGGGGGTAGAGCTAGAGGGAATGGATGACATCTCATCTGAAGCAGTTGCAAAGAGGCTCTTTGAGCGCCACTACCCAATTCATGGCATACCGACAGCAATAACTAGTGACAGAGGGCCACAGTTTGTGAGCGATTTGTGGAAGCACTTTTGCAAACTTCTTAAGGTTGAACAACGGCTCTCAACGGGATATCACCCTCAGACTGATGGCGCTACAGAGCGTATGAATCAGGAGATTGAGAAGATCATACGGATTTGGGCCACCTACACTCAGGATAACTGGCTGGACCTCTTGCCAATTGTAATGGCAAGCATAAACAACCGAGAAGCATCCTCAACAGGCCTGAGCCCATTCTTCTTTATGCATGGCTACCACAACGAACCGATCCGCCTGGTGGCAGACCGCATGACCGAGGGAAAGCAGAAGGAGGGCGAAACTCTCGCTGAGGACTTCATAAGACGATTGCAAGACGCTACAGAATGGGCACAGGCGGCCATCGCCATGGCCCAGGAGAAGCAGGAACGGTTCGCCAACAAGTCCCGTACAGCAGCCCCGAGGTATAAGCCAGGCGATTGGGTCTATCTGAGTTTGAAGAACGTAAAGACCACAAGACCATCGAAGAAGCTGGACTGGCTA